CAACAGCGCGGAGCAGGTAGGGTAGAGCGCACGAGGGCGCGGGCAACCGCGCGTGCAGAGCAACAGCGCGGAGCAGGTAGGGTAGAGCGCACGAGGGCGCGGGCAACCGCGCGTGCAGAGCAACAGCGCGGAGCAGGTAGGGTAGGGCGCACGAGGGCGCGGGCAACCGCGCGTGCAGAGCAACAGCGCGGAGCAGGTAGGGTAGAGCGCACGAGGGCGCGGGCAACCGCGCGTGCAGAGCAACAGCGCGGAGCAGGTAGGGTAGAGCGCACGAGGGCGCGGGCAACCGCGCGTGCAGAGCAACAGCGCGGAGCAGGTAGGGTAGGGCGCACGAGGGCGCGAGTGAGACTGAGCGCGACTGCACAGGGTCCAGGAGCGGCGTCGCGGGCAGCTGCATGGTCGGCTGCTGCTGGTGCGGTTGCTCCAGGGGCGACGACTGAGGTTCTAGGGGCGGCTGCTCCACGGGCGGCGTCGCGGGTACAGGGGCGGCTGCACCAGGGGCGGCTGCTCCAGGGGCGGCGGCGCAGGTCCAGGGGCGGCTGCACCAGGGGCGGCTGCTCCACGGGCGGCGTCGCGGGTCCAGGGGCGGCTGCACCAGGGGCGGCGGCTCCAGGGGCGGGGTGGCGAGTCCAGGGGCGGCTGCTCCACGGGCGGCGTCGCGGGTACAGGGGCGGCTGCTCCAGGGGCGGCGGCGCAGGTCCAGGGGCGGCTGCACCAGGGGCGGCTGCTCCACGGGCGGCGTCGCGGGTCCAGGGGCGGCTGCACCAGGGGCGGCTGCTCCCTGGGCGACGGCGCAGGTCCAGGGGCGGCGGCACCAGGGGCGGCTGCTCCAGGGGCGGGGTCGCGGGTCCAGGGGCGGCTGCACCAGGGGCGGCGGCTCCAGGGGCGGGGTGGCGAGTCCAGGGGCGGCTGCACCAGGGGTGGCCGCTCCAGGAGCGATGGCGCTGGCGCAGGGGCGGCTCGCGCGCTGTTGCAGGGGCGGCGTCGCGAGCTGCTGCAGGGGCGGTGTCGCGAGCGACGGGCGACGGGGGGAGAGCAGCAGGCGGGCCCCCGGAAGGCGCCGCGACGACCAGTGACGGCGCCCAGGGGGCGTCGCGTCGTGTAGGGGCGACGCCGCGCGGGTCCCGCAGAGGTGTCGCGACGAGCAGGGCGACGCCGCGCGGGTCCCGCAGGGGCGTCGCGACGAGTAGGAGCGGCACCCAAGGGGGGGGGGCGCCGCGACGAGCAGGGGCGGGCCCCCTGAAGGCGCCGCGCCATGCGACGGCAGGGAGCAGCACGCAGGCCCCCCGGAGGGCGCCTCGACGGACGGGATAACCGCCGCGCGCCCCGAGCGCGCGGCGGGTAGAATAAGCCGCCACACGCTCGAAGCGCGTGGCGGGAAGAAAAATCCAGTGCCGCGCACCACGGAGCGCGCGGCGAACAGTAGGGCAGCGGAAGCAGTTGGTGGGCCCGTTGAGCTAGGCAGCAGGATCTTGCCCGCTCTAGATACCATGTTAGAAACAATAGGAGTGGGGCCTAGGCTACTAAGCCTAGGCCCACACTAAGAGGTAGTAGGATGTGCCCTAGGACTAGGGTTTGTGGTATACGAAGGAGAATTGGAGAAGAGAGAATGGAGAATGATTTTGTGAACTAGCAAGCAGCAGGATACATATAGGAAACCCTAAGGGGTTGTACTCACTATTGAGCACCCCACTGCAGGCTAGACAAATAACATTCTGACACCCTAAACACGGGAACCCGCAAGGAGTTTAGGGTTGATGCCTCCCCGAGTCGCATCCGTTTCCGAGTGGGTTTTATTTTTTTTGTCACGTTGAGTGATGTGTCTCTTAAAAATATACACGAAGAAACATACTTCCAGAGGAATACGAAGCTAGCTTCGTATGAGGAAAAATATTGAATGAAAAACTTCAAGATTTTAGTAATTTCTCAGAATCTCGGTTCGGGTAATCGGCCCAGCCACATGGGCAGCTACGGGGATGTATCGAACGGTCAGGATTTACCCGGCCCTAATTTGGACACCTCCCTGCTATTTTCCGGCCCCAATATGATCTTTGCCCTCTTCGTTGACCCGCCAAGGCTTGTGATTGCACCGCAGCATGCCATGTCACGTGTTTCGTAACGTGGCACTGGCCGATACGAGGAAACCTGAGCACCGTCTGCCACATCACTAAGAGTCAGGATGAAGCAATTTCGCGGCACGACTAAGAAATTTCGTTGCCTTGAAAAAGATGGCCCGCTGAGTAGGCGACGAATCTGGCGAAACGCATTACCACATACACCAAGTCGATCCTCTCTCTCGCAGCGTCCTAACCCATCGCAAAATCTGTGCACGATGAAATGCATAGATGCGGCTCGGGCTTGCTATATACATTCACGAAGAATTGACGTTGTTCCCATTCCACCCAACTACAACCTACTAGCAGACCAGAACCCACCAGGCCAGCACTTGGAAACCAGCCTTCACTTAGTCCAATTTCAGCTGATTTACAAGGATTACAGCCCTACTCGGCACACTTCAGCTCTCCGGATTCTGTCGCATAACTTCTCATGGCTCAGGGTCCTCTAAACATGACGCTTCTGGCTGCGTTCATCGTGGCTTTCACTGTGCTATCGGCGTTCAGGGTTGCTCTTGCCGCAAGGCACTTGACTCCAGACGCTGCAGTGTCTGCAGGGACAACGTCTGTGAACGGGACTCAGTACCACACGAATGCTCTTCCGTGCAGCAAATCGGCTCTCGCTGGATACGCGAAGAAGGTCACGCTCAAATCGAAGTAAGCTCTTACCACCAGCTCTTCCCACCATTTCCCTGAGTTTCTTCGAAATAAAAACATTTCAACTGTGGCAAAGCGCATAGCAGCAATAGATTGCGCAGTGACGCGCAGTTTTCCGCATCAGATTGAAGAGTGTTTGAGACGTTTAAACTGCTCGTAGTCGTAAGTTGCCTCGCCTGCCTAAATCTGACGCTGTTGTTCATCCAAACCCTAACACTCGCACAGGCTCTTATTCCATTGGAAAATCGTGGGCACGACTCTCTACGGCGCCATTGTCGCGCAGGCTGGCGGCGGCGCGAAGAACGGGTGGTTGTCCGTCGCTTGGACCAAGAGTGCGGGCCGGATGTTCCCTGCAGACGCGGTCGTGGGGAATTTACCCGCACCGAACTCTGTAAAGGCGTACGCGTTAAACGGTTATAGCATGTCGTCCGTTGCGCCATCGTCCGCGTTCAAAGTGACAGCAACGTCAGTTACCAAAAGCGCATCGGCTACAATTGTCAAGTGAGATATTTCTATTTATTTCGATCTCTGTGCATTCTAGCTAAAATCCAAGGTAGTCACAGGAGCGTTTGGTTTCGGCCTCCAAACTATCCCAGCACCACAGCACCACAGGATTGATGAGGGTTTGTGAATCGGAATGTTGAATGTCTTTTCTGCCTCCGGAAGGTCTCTGGAACTTGTGTTCAAGTTGGAGCATGTAAAAAACGCATTCCAATTCCAATCTCAAACATACCATTCTGACTTCCTGCCTGCTCTTCAGATTCACCCGGAGTGGCAAGACAGGCGTCTCTCCAATCAACTATGCTGGTGCGAACAACATGATATGGGCCCACTCCTACTCCGGTTCCTCCAAGACGCTTGGGGACCACGGTGACAACTGGTAGGTACATTCTGCTACAAGCCATGCTTTAACAATTACACGCCAAGTGCATTCCATTCACATGTTAACCAAACCATTGACGGAAACATGTTTCCTCATCCATCTCCCCTCCACTATTTCAGGGGCTCTGTGACTGTCAACCTGGCATGCAGTGTATAGGTGGGTTGGAGCGACAATATGTACAGATCTGTGAACTGGACATGCTTCTTGTAGTATATGCATGCGTCCATAAGTGCTGGGGAGTTGGAAACTCTCAGCATATGTCTAGTACCGCTAGCAAAAGCAGAGGATGGGATGGGAGGAGTGTAATTGTTTGGAGTTGGGATGAGTTACTATCCTACTATGTACGATCAGTTATTTTAAGTCAGTTGAGTATTGTACGCTCTTCATTTACAAGGTACCAGTACCAACACTACATTTCCATGTGCAACAGATGAACAGTAAACCTTGAGAATTCCAGAAGGATTTATCATCCCCAAGTTACATGTCATGACTCATGAGCCATTGATAGAATGGTATCAAATCAAATGCAGTATTTTCACATTCCTTTTGGGTATGGAACCTGAGATTTTAGATTCTTGTCGGTTTCCGATAACAGACTTTGATGATGGTGAACACTGTACGGATCGGTCCAGTGAGGCAACATTCTAGAATCGCAACGCTACCTCATTTAACCCTAATGGACCGTTTGTAACCTCGCAGATTATGAATCACGGGTTCCATGCCTGCATTTCAAGCCTTGTGGTGAGGGAAGGGCTATTTGCTGATTCAACCCTGTGTCTATCGTCATTTACGGTAGCTCATCCTTTCTTCTTCTCCTCCTATTACCTCCCTTCCTCTTTCCCTTGACTTTCTTTCTCCCTCGTCCCCTTATCTCCTTACAACCATTTACCCTTCACCTTAACTTTCAAGACTTGTACCGTATTGTACAATTTTGCTGGCCGACCACATCTTCTGGGAGTGGTGTGGCGTGGCGTGTGCTTCCCGCAAACAGCCCCGCAATTGCGTCTAACACTTGATAGCCACAACGCATATTTTTGGACGGTATGTACCTACAACTTTAGGTTGCAGTCCTGCCAAAATCTACCAGACGGCCGCAGTGTGGACGACAATTTTTGGAGATTGAATGAAGGGTAGGTAACTTTGCCTAGTAACAGACCATACAGTAGATACATGGCGATTTGCCAAACTGCTTGCTCTATTCTTAGCAAATGGTGACATGGAAGCATCTAGGATGTTCATACGGTACCATTCCTATCCTGCAACTGGGCTACGGTAATACATTCTTGCAAGGAAGCGATATCAAACGCCGCACACAAACGCCCTCTCCTGCACCAGGCGCTGCCGACTTACACCTTGCAGCCCAGGTTGACTGACACGACGCCCCTGTATAGTAAGGCAGGAAAAGTCGGGGAGATCGTAGTGAGGACAATTGAGCCAAAAAAAAACCCAAATGTTGCTTGCTCGTATGGCTGTGAAAGGCGTTAAAAAACGGATCACAAGCGTATGATACATACCTGTTCGACGGCGAGTGGTTGAGCGGGCCAAGGGCCTTCTTGCCGTCAGCGGAGAATGCCCAAAGGAGGAGATTCTTCGCACCATACTTCACAGGGACGGTACCCGCAGAGCCGGAGCGAGTGAACCTGCTCGGATGGCCGAGGGAAGACAAAACAAGTTTGCTTAGTGACAGCTAAAAACGACGAGCATTTGAGAAACCACGGAAAGAGAATGACACAAACCAGATTTTCAAACTTAGAGAGACGTGCATGTACGCGCGGTCCGCAATTTGGGCTTCTGGCTTTAAGCACGTGTACTCACTTCACGATGGTTCGCTGGGGGTTCACATCCATCTTCGCATTCGTAACCGTGAACTTCGTCGTCGGCTTCACATCGCCGAGCGCGATGCTCTTCATAAAATACGCGTTGATCGGCTTCGCGCCGGCCAGGTTGCCGATCACCGCATCTGCGCCCGTCATCTTGCCGTCCTTGGAGAATCCCAGGGACAGCCAGCCCTTGCTTGCTTTGGACGCAGCCTTTGCCTCCAACGCGAAATTGATGCTGGTTGGGCTGACGTTCTTCCAGTGGAGCATTAACCTGATCAAGCGAGAGACGTGAAAAAAGTAGAAAATTAATGCTGGTTGGACTGACGTACTTCCAGTGCAGCCATATTCATAACATTGGAAAAGCGCATCGTAACATGAGTTGACGGCCTTTAACGCACTGTGACTCGCTGCTGAGGTACATTGCAGAGATCAGAGGATCCGGAGCTTTTTTTGTACCGAAAGGTATGGAAAAATTTGGGAACTTTTTGTACCGAGAGGCCTGGAACAATGTATAATCTTTTTGTACTGAGGTTTGGAAAAAATCCGTAGTCGTGAATGACTAGATTTCGGAGCACATCGAATTTCACTGGAACTTACCCGTTGGTGAGAGAGACAGCATTCGTGTATCCAAGGGAAGCGAGCGATGACTTGATGCATTTCCCAGGCACGATTGGCGCGGAGGCGGACACAAACACGCCACCAGTCCCGAGCAAGGCCAGTGCGAGCACGGTGAGGGACGCGAAACGCGCCAGGCCATGCTGTTGAACTGAGGAGTGAAGTCTGGCCATGGCGGCGACGGGAGGACTCGCTGGATGCGGTGGCGAGGATTGGCGAGGATTGGCCGAGGAGAAACGCGAAACACCACAGCACTGGGGAGCTGAGCTGTTTGCAGTAAGAAAGGCGAAGCAGGTGGCTTCTCGGAGGCTGGTGTGCCGTTCTGATGAAAAAATGCTTCAGGAAGGGTAGATATAACAATGCGCGTGGTGAATCGCGAAGGCAATACTGTATTGTTGTACTGTATGCATGGCACAGTCAAGTGCTGAAATTCTGGGAGACGCTACGGTGGGGTGCGGGGCGGCACGGCTGGGGCTTGGTTCGGTTGCCCAGGGCTGCTTGCGGATGGCGTGTCATGTCAGTTGTCTGGCAAAGCCATGCCTGGTCCGACGCGCATCGGTGGTGGATATGGTGGCGTGTCGGTGACACGCTTTGTGCTCAATGCGCGCAGTAGGGGTGTTACGATGGGATGGATTCAGAAAAAGCCCACTCGCTTCCACGAGGCAACATCCATTCTTCCGCCGACGTGCACTTGCGGTCGAACTGATTCTTGACATGTGGACATTGACCTGGCGGTAAGTTTGTTTGAGCGCGAACCGTAAACGGGCACTGTGTCACTCAATTATCGTTGAAACTGCCCCTTCGTCAATATTCCCTCCCACCTGTCGCAACTTTTTAGGGCGAGCCCGCTCACCGAAACTCTTCTGCCTACACGTACTCGCGGTGCTTGGACCCTGAATCCTGGGCGGTCAAAGCGACGCGACTGCAAACGACGAGCCGCGATTTCTTCCATCCAAGAGTTTTACGCGAGGAGTGATCAGCAGCACCCACCGACAACTTTTCCCCTTTCAAATCAAACCCATTTGATTGTTGGGAAAATATGCCATTTGTAACGATAATGGGACTCGAAAACATTTTGGTAAAGAAATAACGGGTACGGTCACTGCAAAGGGTGTTTTCACGCGACTGATAAAACGTTTCACGGAATCAGTCACTAGTAACTGGTAAGAAATCACGCGAATGGTCACAGATGAAACTCCCGCCAAAAAATATAACCCAAATGGAACCTGGATTCATTTTCGGACGAATCAACCCTAAACACGTAAATCGCCAGGTGTTCAGGGTTGATCCGTTCCCAAACCGCATCCGATTCCGATTGGGTTTTAGTTTTGTTAGAACTTAGCAGATTGGTTGGGCGCGAGCGGGAAATTTGTAGAGTTTCAAGAAATTTTGGCGGGAGTTACATGTGTGACCATTCGCGTGATATTTTTCCTGTTGTTAATGACTGAACCCGTGACCCCACTTACCAAGCCCGTCAGCAAACCCGATACAGTGACCGTATACGTTATTTTTTTACTATTCGTGTTATCCAGTCCCATTTTGGTTACTTGTAACATATTTTCCCTTGATTGTTCAGCAGAATTCCAGGCCCTGATAAGGAGTGTACTGAGCAATCTTGTACACTTGATATGTTTTTTTTTAAGCATCTCCCTTGTTGCAAGACCGGCCAAATATAGTGATGGCTCCTATATACAGCTATGCATGATTATTAAAATTGGGGGGTGTTATGATGTGGTTTTGGATGCGCGAATATGAAGATGAAGGGAGGCAGTTTGTGTTTGATCTGTACAAAAATGTCATATAAGAAACGAAACCCGCTATTGTCGAGCATGTCCCGAAACAATAATTAAGTTGTCAATTGCGTGTTCTTGAGCTTGAAAGGCGTCACTCAATACTTGTATCTGTCATAAATTCTTTGAATAAGCCATTTAAACTGTTCCACACAGGTGTACAAGGTTTGTAAGGCCATTAAAAAGCAATATGCCGTTATAAGATCAATGGCTCGACTCCCAGTTCAGGATTTACGTTTCCCGCCAAACGAGTACAAAGTCTGGTAGTGACGGCGACTCCCAGTGCCGTCAATTTTCAACCTTTTTATGGGTTTCACCAGCAAGAAAAAGGTGGGAGGGCGCAGACCCGTCAGCGAGAGTCCACTTTTGGCAGGGAGAGGTGACTTTTGCTCAGGACATCCACAATTACAAGCGAACCGCGATTTACAAGCGAATCGCGCGACCGTTTCGCAGTCGGAGGACTTGCAATTTCGAGCACCACATATCTCCCGCCCACCCTTTTCAGTATCCCATGACTTGCAATGCAATCCAGTCAGCCAATGCTTCACTCACATCACATCACGAGTCACGGAACGGAATAACCAGCCATCACCACCAGCACATAAGCTGCTGACGTATCATAATCTTGAGAAGCACGAGACGGGACCAAACATTGCTTTTTTATTCTCGTAGAGCCGCCTTCATTCAGAAACACACTAGATCACAGGCCAATCAATGCACTAAGGCCAATCAACGCACTAGAAAACGAAGAATCGTAGGTCTTGTCTGTCTCATGAACCTTCTCCCTTGGTTTGCGCAACTTGTAATTCAGCTCTAGCTGCTCTTCCGTATCTACGGGCACTTTGTCCCTGTCGAGTATCGCACGAAGTCGTTTTCTGTCGAGAACCTTCCCGATGGCTTTCTTACCTAGTCATCCGTCAGTCAGATTCCAACTGAGCCCGTTCACCCTCGCATCTAGCAGCGCCTTGCTTCTCATACTGCTCTTATCGTCCACGTCGGATATTCCAGCAACACCCGCCGGGCAGAAAAACCTTCACTCTGCCCGCAGTGCCGGCGGATTTTTCCAACTCGCCGAGGCCAGGGACCTACCGGAACCAACTCTTTTCAGCCGCCTAGGGCTAGAGAGGGGGCTCTTGGGGCTTAGACCGGGATCGCAGGGGGGGTTTCCGCAGCAGCAGAAGCCAGTGAAGTGTGTCAAGTCGACCCTGCCGGGTTACACGGCGATGATCGCTCTGGCTGATTACGCAGGGTACGTTCTCATCCATTCTTCACGTAGTCTGCTGACAATAACGAATAAACGTGTCAACAGTGAAACGCACGTGTAAAGCCTCTCATCTCTTTCATCCCTCAGACGCGGAACCCTCACGCCGTCCCTCTCACATTTCTCCCATTTGAAGTTGCTTCTCTTGTTTTTCCCGTTACCCTCCTTCCTTTCACTCTCCTCTTTACCCTTACTAAAATTCCGCATCACTCGCTCTGATGTGCCTCAATTGCCTTAGGGCTGTTTGGATAGAGACTGATTTTATTTAACTATCTTCTCGGCATTCGGGACCCCGCTTGCAGGCTCTACTTCCATTTTGACGTGAAGGGCTCGACTCTTAAAGCAGCGGTGGAAGCGAGGAGAGTTGCTGATGGCGCGAGCAAGGGATGGTTCGCTATAGGCTTCTCCAAGACAGGCCAAATGGCCGGCTCCGATGTAGTTCTGGGAAATTACGTTCCGTCCACAAATAAGAAGCTGCCCGTGGGCTCCAAGCCGGGAACCGGCGGTCCACAACCAAGGCCCATTGCTTACTTAAGCGTCAACGGTACTAAGAGCGGAAACGGCACCAAGAGTGGTGGGACTGGGAAGAAGGGCAGCGGGGCTGGGAGTGGGAGTAAGAACAGCACGAAAAGCGGTAACAGTGGTAACCCTGGCAGCGGTAACGCGGGCACGGGCGGCAAGCACAAGGGCGCGTTGGTGGGAGCATTCAACATGCAGAGCCTGACCATGGGGACATATGCAATGGCGGACAACTTCAAAATCGCGAACGCCTCAGTTACAGCTTCGAAGAACGGCACTATAGTGAGGTGAGCCTTGGTGCATCGGCCGTTTCTCCTGTGACTGTTTACATGATCTCTTGTGTATATCTATTCAGCTTGTGTCATATGAACTCCTGAGCCCTTCTGCGTCAACCCCAACCACTATGTCTGCTATTTCGTACCTTATCACGCCACTTCGTAAAATTCACGCTTCATTCTCCCGTATAGACGTGCGGTCACTAGTTATGGGCTTAGCTAAGTGTACAGAAGCTTTATATCTTCGTGTGTTCTAGTATCTAAATGCGGTACGAGACCTCACGTCGGGAACAACTACCGAGTCTTAACTTCCTACATCCCCTCCATTAACAGGTTCACAAGGGGCGGGCCTGGCGGGTCGGTACCGGTGAAGTATGACGGTATCAACACGCTCATCTGGTCCTACTCCTCTACTGGCGCTACCAAGGTTTTTGGCGGCCATCTGAGACACAGGTATGCGCCACAAGCACGACTCGTCGACAAGTAATTGCGTGGACCACATTTGTGATATATTTTCCTTTTTAACACCACACTTTCAGCTTCGCTCCTCTGATTTCAAACCTTGCATGCGATTTGCGCCTGTTGCCTGAACGTCTTGCAGGGGCAGTGCCGTGGTAAATCTGGCGTGCAAGGTCTGACCACTCGTGCAACTAAACTTAGATTGCAAGCGTTCTCCATATACATAGCCATAGCTACGTTCATACTAGTTGCTGACAAGATAGGTAGTTACAGAACATGCATATCAGGAATGACTTCGCAACATTATTTTCTTACTACCCGTGGAGCTGTAGTTTGATTGTCCTTGCATTAGTATTCCCCGCCATAGCACACTTTGGTGTGCAGTCTGGCCTCACAGCAACTGGGTCAGCTTAACTTTCCACGAGCCGAAGCACTCCCGAGTTACCCTCGTACCGTACCTTTCTCCACGTTACTGCTCCAGCCCAGCCACCCTTCTACCACCTCTTTTGACTGAGGTTCTCGTATACTAGCTAGATTCCGCCTACCTTTAGCTTGTGCCGCTATCTTCCAGAAGGGTGCCAATAGTCTACAATCATATTTCAGTGCATTTCTGGTTTGCCTGTGAACCCCGTGCACCCATAGGAACTCAGGTTATGACAACAAAATCTTCGTGAATTTCACCAATAGAATGAGTTTCGTAGCTTAAACAGAGACAAGTTACACTCGGCAAGCACGATAGCGAACAGAAGAATCACCCAATCGCGAATAGCATGAGCGAGTCGCGAATTCACTGAAGTAGCGCGTTTCGCAGTCGAAATTGAACTTCTGTGCGTCATTTTCCTCCCGCCCTTTTCCACTCACCCACTGAGCCCACTCTCCCAACGAAATGCCTTGTCACTACACCACCAACTGCCTCACTCTCACACATGTCACACAGCCAGCCGTTGTTGCCCAAAGCCAGAACAGAATGCCATATTTCCACCACGGGGCCAGCATATAAACAGCTTGCGTAGTCGAATCGGCCGTTCATCCTAATCTGTTTCACGAGAAGCAACCAGATGTCGCTTAGTTCTCCCGGAGACCTACCTACTTTCTGAAGATTTTCCGCTAGGCCAGATATCTTTCCCGCTTCTTGAAAAGGGGTTCCTCTCTTCTTTCACCCGTACATTTTTTTCCGGTTTTCTTTAATTATCTCTAGTCTCCTCGCTCTATATGTTCCTGCGCTCCGAAACTACAGCCACCTCCTCTTTCTCGCGTATCGCGCGTAGACGTTTTCAGTCAAGAACCGTCGGGATGGCTTTCCTTCCAAGGCATCCGTCAGTCAGATTTCTACTCTGCCGATCCACCCTTGTCTCTAGAAGCAATTTTCTTCTCGTGCTGCTCTTATCGGCCACGTCGGTTATCCCAGAAACATCCGCCGGGAAGGAAAATCTTCATTCTGTCCGTAGTGCTCGTGGTTTTTTTCAGCTAGCCGAGGCCAGGGGCTTACCGGACCAAACAATTTCCGGCCGGCTCGGGATGCAGAGAGAGCTTCTAGGATCCGTGTCCGCATCGCTAGGCGGGGAGCATGTGGCGGTTGACGCGGGGAGAACGGGAGTGGGGGTAAGATTGGCGGAGGAGGGGGGGATGCGCGAGACGGTGAAAAGGAAGCGAAGTTTGATGGGGCTTCGACCGGGATCGCAGGGGGGGCAGCAGCAGCAGCAGAAGCCGGCGAAGTGTTTTATGTCGACCCTGCCGGGTTACACGGCGATGATCGCGCTGTCTGATTACGCAGGGTGCGTTCCCATCGATCGCTCCCGTTTCACATCCATTTTCCCACAAAACAGCGCCGCAGCGTGATCGCATGCGTGAATCAGAATTTTCCAATGCGTATCGAGGCTTTGCTAGTAGGCGCTAGAAAATACGTGTTTCGACTGACCTATTTTCTGGTCTTTCCTGGACCCTCCTTCCAGGCTGTACTTTCATTTCAACGTAAAGGGCTCGACTCTCAAGGCAGCAGTAGAAGCGAGGGCCGTTGCTGATGGGGGCGCGAGCAAGGGATGGTTCGCTATAGGCTTCTCCGAGACAGGCAAAATGACGGGTTCCGATGTAGTTCTTGGAAACTACATTCCGTCCACCAATAAGAAGGTTCCTGTGATGCCCAAGCCGGGAAGAACCGGCGGCTCGCAGTCAGGCGCGAATGGTACTGCGACCAACAACGGTACTGCTACCAACAACAGCACTGCGAGTGGTGGGACGGGGAGTGACGGCAGCGGGGCTGGAAGCGGGAGTACGAACAGCACGGAAATTGGTAACAGTGGTAACAGTAGTAACAGTAGTAGTAGTTACCCTGTAAGCAGTAACGTGGGCACGGGTGGCAAGAGCAACGGTGGGTTGGTGGGAGCATTCAACATGCAGAGCCTCACCATGGGGACGTATGCTATGGCGGACAACTTCAAAATCGCGAACACCTCCGTTACAGTCACGAAGGGCGGCACTGTTGTAAGGTGAGCCTTTTGTTGCTTGGACTTCTTTACCTGGTCTTCTCTTTTATCTGGTCTCCTGAACCTGTGGCGACTCAACTCCTGTGCTTGTTTCATGCGGACTACAGAGCTTGTTTCCTGTGAACTCTTTTGCTCTGCTCGTTTCTTGTCGAATCCTGAGCTCGTTTGCATCAATCAAAGCATACTCTTTTATACCTTATCACGCTGCCTCATCAACTTCCCACACGATCCACCTTTTATATATGAGGCTCACCAAAGATGGTCCAAACGAAGCTCCCGCACCTTGCAGTATGACGCACGCGCCGGTGCATACATGCTCAAGGGCTGTAGGAAAAAGCCAAAACGTTTTGCGTCTAAACTTCTCACCTCCCCTCCACTGTCATGACAGGTTCACGAGGAGCGGATCTGGTGGGTCGGTGCCAGTGAAGTATGATGGGCTCAACACGGTCATCTGGTCCTACTCCTGGAATGGCGCTACCAAGGTGTTTGGAGGACATATGAGACACAGGTACGCGCCACAAACATTTCAGTTCATTTTGTAGACCAAGTTTGTAATTCGGTATGTGTTAGTCATCTGGTTGTGCCTGTGTGTGGGAGCTAAAGGAATTTTGATTCTACTTTTCCACTGCCACGCTTCTAGCTTCACTTGTCTGATGCCAGAATTTTGATGCCATGTGTGCCTGTTGCCCCAATGTTATGCAGGGGAAGTGCAGTGATAAATCTGGCATGCAAAGTGTTACCGCTCGTGAAAATTAAGTTCTAAAGCGCACTGTCATGCCATACACATATATACCGGTATTAATTATGTTACTTGTGAGGAACTTCACCAGTTGTTCCAAAACTTTTGGAGCATCAACTGGTTGTTGGAATAAGTTGTTACGTGTGCAACCAAACGGCCTAACAACGATCACACCCACAAGGCAAAGAAAGGATACGGTACACTGCAAGCAGAGCCGCGAGTAAACGTAACGGAAGATCTAATGGTGGAGAGCGAAATATTTAGAAACCTGCAATGCTACTACGGATTATTGGGCTGCCCCCCAACTACGTATAAGGCGAGGTACAATACACCACCCCAAAAGGAGTCGGAATATGATGTCTACTTAACAAAAGCCAACAAAATTGCTATTTTTGCTGTGAGGTTAATTATACGTTTTACTTGAACTCAAGTGTACAAATGAGGAGACCGAGTTTGTGAGCGGAAGCTTCTGCCATACTTCCTATTTGAGAAATTTCTTCCGTACTTCTGCTCTCAGCCCAAACCGCCCGTGTCAGTTTGGGTCTGGCCGGCCTGGAAGCTTGGTTGAGCCCGTGGACAGCACATGAAATTTGGTTTGCCGCCCCTTCGACTCTCCCCACCGACAGGTTGCTCCAATCATGCCTGCCAAATTGGCTCTTCCAGCTGGTTTAGCGTTTCGTCAGCGAGCGACTCGATCTGCAACTTCGGAGTCGCCTTAGGGGGTGTCTGAAGTGCAACGTCGACGAATGCTACAGTTTCGTCGGGGAACGTCGGCGAATTTCCACCTTCAGATCAAGAGTTCCGACCGTCACGATTCGTCGACGTTCCCTACAGTATCGTCGAGTTTCGTCGACATTCACTTCAGACACCCCCTTACACACCATTTCTGGCGAAATGGTCCCTTTCGTCATGCCGAATGAGTTTCTTCGCGCGGCCAACTTCATTGATACTCAAATTATGCCTGACGCGGTTTGCAAGCGTACTCAACTTCGATTTCTCATCGCTGATTGGTTCTCGCTTTTCAATCACACTTTTCAGGCTAAAAAACCTCCAAAATGTGATAGAAACAGAACGCGATAACCGAACTTAATTAGACAATATTGTGTGGAGGTGATACCTTACAATAGACAAAAAAGCATTGAATACTCAACCCTTTACAAAGGAAAATTGTATAACGCGCGAATTTCGTAAATATAAAAACCCATTGGAAAATAATGCAGACTAGGAATAACTTAATGGAATAGGGTCGACGAACATCATGCGACAAGGATTTAAGGGTTGATGCCATCCTTAATGGATGCCTTTCAGTAGGAGGGCTGTTTTTTAATGCCTTTCGGCTAGCAAGCTCCGCTGGGCGGTGTTGTTTGTTGTAGCATAAAAACCTAAACACTATACGACATCCCGTATTTACGGTTAACATTAATTCTTGGTTATCCAAGCGTTTTAGTATGTTCCCTTTTGGTTGGGTATGTGCGGACCGGCTGGTGGCGACTTTGTTTCAGTATTGTGCTTACAAAGTATTTGTACTGACTATAGTGCGAAATTGTCGGTTGAGTACGTTTGCAAACCGCGTCAGGCATAATTTGAGTATCAATGAAGTTGGCTGTTCTTCGCGACATGGACGAAGGTTCAACGACGTCGCACGCGGGTGGCCTGTGTTTTCCCAGCTCAACTCACGCCCACCAGATGCTATTCGTTCAGAGAAGGGAGACACACGAACCGCAACGCGCTTCGTCACAAGCTTGGGCATGCGGCCCGATGCGACCAGACATTGACCAGGCATTCACCAATTTCCCGAGCAAGCATATTCATTGCTTGGTTCAAATTCCCAAGCAAGATTCCTCACCACCAATTCACAATCATCAATTTCCCGCTCCAGCCTTTCTTATCATCACAGCAGACCCACACGCTTGACTTCTCGACTTCGGCAACAAACATGGCTCGCACGTTCCTCATCTGCTTGGTGCTCGTCATCCTCGTCGCACCATCCGTTTTCGCCCGCAAACACCCCGGAGGCGGTGGCCATCATACCCGCAACGGCACGCGCACTGGAGGACACCACAAGGGCGGGCACCACAAGAGCGGTGGGGACAGCACGTCAGGCCTAACCAGCAGCAAGGGCGTCACGGCAGCCAAGGCCTGCAAAAAGTCGTCGCTGGGATACAAGGCGTCAGTCGACCTCACCGGAAAAGGGTATGTCGCCGTCGCCATCCCATGTTTCTCGTCAGAGTTGTGAAAAAACGAGACATACAAACCGTTGCCGATCTTTTCCCGTCGACATTACGCACGCGATATCTTTTCGTCTCCATCGGCTTGACACCAGGTGAGACGTCGCTCCATCACGGGGAGGAAACATGACATCGTCAACAGGCTTTTCCGTGCTAATGGGGTTTTCTCGCCTTTTCCCTGGTTTTCTCAGGCTGCTTTTCCACTGGACGGTCTCTGGCTCGACCCTCAACGCCGCGATTGAAGCCAAGTCCACTAGCGGCGCCAACAAGGGCTACGTCTCCGTCGGCTTCTCTTCGAACGGGAAAATGTACCCCGCGGACGCGGTTGTGGGCATAAACGGAGGCTCCACTACAGCGTACAAACTGACCTCGTACAGCTCGTACACGCCCAGCAAGACTTTCTCGCAGACCAGCCTGCAAGCGACCTCCAGCAGCCTTGTCGTAAAATTCTCTCGGCCGGCCAAGGGAGGTCTCGTGAACATCAACCTAAGTGGCAAGAACAACGTCATCTGGGCGTTCGGAAAGAACAAGAAGTTCGAGGCTCACACTCCGACCGACCGGTGAGTGCCATCCCTTTCATCATCCCTTTCTTCTCCACCTCTCCAGTTCATGCTCCATGCACATCTACGCTATTAATCGAAACAACGCGCATCTGACTCATCTCGATGCGAAGGTGCCTCCAACCGCGCTTTGGTGCTCATGGTGCTGCCTGTTCTTTTTTTTCTTCTCTCCATGGTGCTCATTGTGATTGCAGTGGTTCCAAGTCCGTGGACCTCTCATGCGTCGCCTGAGAACGCTTCAAAGCTGGGCATAGGCTGTTGCGCCAAACTGCAGAATATGGTCCACCAGGGTGGCTAAAGTAGGTGTCTGCCTCGTAATTTAGCGCATAGGTAGCATGAATGTTGCTTGGATGACGATGGCCAGTTCCCACTGCCCATCAGAGTCATCCTATCAGTTTTTTCTCATACAGCTTGATTGTTATAGACAGCAAGCATTTTGTGTTTTTGTAAGAAAAGGTTATGAATCCACAAAGCTACACTTCATATTCCCGGTATAAGGGTGGTTCACTTTATTTTGTTGAGGGTTTGTTAGACGCAGTTGAACACGGTCTCGCACGTTTGTGAACGGTTTTGAAAACACCACCAGTCAAGACCGTAATGCACCAGAATGAACCTTTCAAAATATATGACGAACGAAAATGACTCGCGCTGAACCCCAAGTCGGGTGCCATCACCAACCACGCGTGCCACGTGTTCACTTGGTCTTTGCAAGATTTATTCGCACCGCACTTCTCACCGTCCAAAAGGTTGAACATTTTCTCCAATCGAATGTGCGACTTGAAATCCATTCCACTTTCAAGCGAGCTGAGGAATACATGCGTCGCGCGACCCGATTTTCAATATTCTTGTAATTGTCAGCACCGCACTTCTCCGGAGTGAGTTCCGTAGTGCTAGGACTAAGACAACCCAGCTTCTACTGCAAGCGGGTGGCTGCAGTGGAAATGGAAAGTTCCCTGCTTGCTTCTCTCAACTCAACTCGTTCAATCACCGACTTTCGCGCACCCGCTCCCGCCCCATCTCTCCACTTTCGACAAGCAGATCGCTTTTCACACGAAGTGTATAAATACTTCAACAAATTTCCTTCTCTCCATCACAGAGCAGCGCCTCTTCCCATCCCATTCATCCAGAATCGCTCAGTCTTAGCGATTCTTTCCGCAACTCGAGGTTCGCCACGATCCTTGAGGCCCCGTTTCCGACCCCTCGAGGTTCTACGCTTTCTCCGCGACCTCGAATCGACCGCCCGTCCTTTCCGCTCCGAGACGTCAATACCACCCACCGCTCCGACATCCGCCCCCACCACCATGGCGCGCTCTTCTCTCGCTTTGCTGCTGCTCCTGCTTGTCGCCCCATCCGCCGTGTTCGCGCGTAAGCGCGTGGCACAGTCCGGCTGCGTCAAGTCCACGCTCGCGGGTTACACGTCAGCAGTCGACTTGAACGGAAATGGGTACGCTGCTAGATCCTGTCTGTCGTAGCAGTTTATCATGTGCTGGCTATAGTCAGGAAATGGCAGCTCAATCTTCCCCGCTTTCCCTCAACCTTTCCGTGGCCCCGCCGCTTCTCAGGCTCATGTTTCACTGGAAGGTCTCGGGATCGACTCTCAGCGCCGCCGTTGTAGCCCCGTCCAACAAGGGCTCCGTCTCCGTTGGATTTTCTAAGGGCGGCAAGATGTTCCCTTCAGACGTCGTCACTGGCTATAGCGGAGGCTCCGTTGCATCGTACAAGCTCACGAGCTATTCAGGAGGTTCCACTAGCAGCAAAATCAAAGGCAGCAGCGCTAAATCTTCCTCTTTCGGCACTACTTTCAAGTGAGTCGTGCAAATACCATGGAAATCTTTCGGGGAGTCGCGTGCAAAAAAATTGACCGCATGAAAACACGTGACGCCGCCCATCAGGTTGATGCGCCATTAACTTCGCATTTTCGTCCAATCCCCTCCCATCCTCCACTCCTCCCCGTTTGGTTGCTCCCAATGCAGGTTCACTCGCTCAGGGAATGACGGATCTGTTTCCATCAACTACTCTGGTTCCAACAGCATCATCTGGGCGTACGGCGGAAGCACCAAGAAGCTGTCTGACCATGGCAAAAATCGGTAGGTTATTCGCCCCGCCTGTAGTCTCCTTTCTGTTCTGCGCATGACAATTATAGCGAGATACAGCTGTTTCTTATGTGAATGCTCCTTTAGGACACCTTGTTGCTAATTCATCTCCGCTCCACTTCCACTCATGCTATATGCCTGCGAACTTACCCCTTTTCCTCGTCTCCCGCCCATGCTGTGTCTGCTCCTGCAGTGGCTCCAAGTCCGTGGACTTGTCTTGCGTTGGCTAAACTTCTTGTGTTGGCTTTACCTAGGCGTTTTACTTAAGAGCTTACCATTATAGCCATGCTTTGAGGTTGCAAGTTATGAATGCACGAGATAGTTTTGAGTTTTGAGACTATATTCTGGGTTCAATACAAGATGGCAAACAAAGTGGAAATTTCTACAACCTCGTATGTGTACATACGAAACAATTGTTTCACATGTAGATTAGCATAAGATCTTGTGTGTAAGGAAAAACCCTTTTTCCTTACTGGGGTTTACTCAACCGCGTACAACCCCAACTTTCGGAAGTGCACGTTCGGCCGCTTTGCTTGCTGCCGAAGCAACCTCGCGTCGCCTTCGGCTTTCCTTTGCCCAACCTGCACTCAACCTCGTGTTCCCGAGGTTCCCGCCTAGTTAGGTTGCCTCGCTATATAATCGCATGTCTTTCATTGTATCGTGAATCCATTGAGTCACAGCCTCGTTATTCGTTATTCCGCGCAACTCTGTTTGACAACTCATAACACCTGGTATCAGAGCTACTTTCCTAGTTCACCCCGCTTTTCCAGGGTAGTTTAGTGGCACGGGTGTGACTGGTACGGTGGGCTGCAAAGCGGTTGGTTGCAAAGTTTATTAAATTAAACTTGCCCGACTCCGATAGCTTTTGCGCTTGCACTGTTGCCGGATAGTCACGGAGACCCACTTGCCTGTTAGACGTAGCTTGCGACTCATGGACCAGGCGGCATTTGACGCGTTGATGCAGCAAGTGGCGGAGATGTCGGCAGGCATGAAGGCGTTAACGACAGAGGTGGAGAGACTACGTGAAGAAAACAACGAGCTACGCCAGGCGCGAGGTGAAGCGCGCCAGGAGTCGCCCGCTGAAGAAGGCGAGAGCACTGGTCAAGCGGTGAGCGGCAATCCGTTGGAGGAGCTCACACGCGGCTTCGAAGAAGAAGATAGGCAGCGAGCGGCGGCAGCGACAACAGTTGCAGTGACAACAATCAAGATAAAGCCTACGAGCCCGCCCCCGTTCAACCCTACCGACAAGAACACTACTGTTAAGGGGTGGTTGTTCGGCGTGGAGGTGTTCTTCACTGCAGCGAACGTCAACGACGACGCCACGCGTATTAATTACGCGGTATCGCTTCTGCGAGGCCCGGCGCTTGAGTGGTGGCGACGAACCTTGGACACGGGGACCCCGACAGGTGTGACACATGCGGCAGACGGGACTTCGGACTCTGCTATTGGGAGGGCATCATCGATATTCGGTGTGGCCACAATTCGCACGTGGAAGCAGTGGGGCGCAGCCTTACGAGAGCGTTTCGAGCATGTATCCGCCTCGGAACACGCTCGCATGAAGCTGCGTACCTGGTCGCAGTTGGCTTCTGTTCAAGACTACACGGCGTCGTTTATGGCGCTCGCGGATCAAGTGGACGACATGGCGGAAGCTGAACGGTTGGATAAATACATCAGCGGCTTGAAGTATGAGATACAGTACGAGGTGCGCCGCAGCCGTCCAGCAACATTCAACGAAGCCGTCCGATTGGCCGAGAGCACAGACGCGCTGATGCAGTGGGCGAGATCGAGTTCTCGGGAGGGAAACCGATTTCGTGGACAGACCCAGCGGGCCACGATTAACGGAGTCCATGCGCCAGACCGCCCTTTTACAGGGTTGTGTTTTAAGTGCGGGAAGCCGGGCCACATGTATAAAGACTGCCCCGACAGGACGCAGGGAAAGAAGAACGACGGGAAGGAGCCGGGAAATGGGAAGAGTCAGTAACAGACGGGCCCCTTACTGACTGCGCTCTGTCGCCCGAACCCCACCATCCCCACCGAGTCGTGGTTCCGATTCATGCAATCGATCGCACTCGGACGAATAACGGGGGTGAACATGTGGATCACCCTGTGCTGGTTGTTGGCACGGTTGTTAAGAAAAAAATAAAAATGTTCGTCGATGGCGGGGCTAGCCATAGCCTCTTCAATCTGGCGACAGCAAAAAAATGCAAGTTGCAGCTGGACAGGTGTCTGCCCGAAATTGACGCCCGCCTCGTGGATGGGACGCCTCTGGCGATTTTGGAAGAAACACGGACGGTGCGGATTGAGTGCGGCGACAATTTCGGCTTCAGCATGAAGTTTCTCGCGACGACGTTGGACGGATGCGACGTGCTCCTGGGACGCGATTGGCTGCGACGGCACAACCCGGTAATCGATTGGACGACGGGATCGTGCAGCATCAGCAAGGACGGGAAGCTGATTACTCTGCCCGCGTGGACTCCGGACTGCATCGAGTCTACATGCGTCAAAGCCATCACTATTACACGCCACGTCAACAGGGGTGCGCAACTGTTCGCCGTATGCTTGCGCGAGTTGGCAGCCGACACCGACGGAAACGACATCGAGAAGCTGTGCGCAGCTGTACCACCTGATTTAGCGGAGCTGATTCGACAATACCCCGACATCTTCCCCGACGACCTGCCACCTGGACTACCACCCGAACGCCCCGAGGACCACAAAATCTTGCTGGAGCCCGGCGCGCAGCCGACTGTTCGCACTCAGTGGCGGTTGACTCAGCCCGAACTCGCGGAGCTTCGAAGTCAACTTGAGTCACTGTTGGAGAAGGGCTTCATCCGACCCAGTACTTCGCCCTTTGCCGCGCCGATCCTGTTTACACCGAAGAAGGACGGCGGCATTCGCATGTGCATCGACTATCGCGCGCTCAACCGGGTTACCATAAAATCTCGCTATCCCATCCCACGCACCGACGACCTCCTCGACCAACTTCGCGGCGCTCGCTACTTCTCGAAGATTGACCTACGCTGGGGTTACCACCAGATCAGGGTCTTCGCTGACGATTGTCACAAGACCGCCTTCCGAACCCGCTACGGCAGTTACGAGTTCACCGTGATGCCTTTCGGCCTCACGAACGCGCCATCAACATTTCAACGCACCATGAACAGGGTATTTCGCGACCTGCTAGACAAGTGTGTTATCGTCTACTTGGACGATATTCTGATTTTTAGCAGGACACGCGAGCAGCACCTCCGCGACCTCGACGCAGTGTTTAAGCGGCTACAGGAGAACCGGCTCATCACCAAAGGCTCTAAGTGCGAGTTTTTTAAGCAAGAGTTGGAGTTTTTGGGGCACGTCATCTCACGCGACGGCATCAAAATCGACCCGAAGAAAATCAAGACCATCCAGGAGTGGAAGGCCCCGACTAATGTCACGGAACTTCAGAGTTTTCTGGGGTTTGTGAATTATGTCCGGCGGTTTATCCCGAATATGGCGGGGATAACCGGCCCGCTGACCGACCTGCTGCACAAGGACAGGAACTTCGTGTGGGGGGAGGAGGCTGAGGCGGCTTTCCAGGAGTTGAAGCGGTTCTTCGCTTCACCGACCCATCCAAGCCGTTTGAAGTTGTCACCGACGCTTCAGATTTTGCCATCGGCGCAGTGCTGCTCCAGGATTTTGGCAACGGCTTACAACCGATCGCCTACGAGTCACGCAAGTTGCAGGCAGCCGAACGCAACTACCCGATTCACGACAAGGAGATGCTCGCCATCATTCACGCGTTTAAACTGTGGCGATGCTACCTGACAGGCGCCGATGTCACTGTACGAACGGACCACAAGTCATTACAGTATCTTCTCGCGCAACCCAACCTCAACCCACGACAAATCCGGTGGCTCGATTACATGGAGTCACACTTCCACTACAGGATCACCTACAAGAAGGGCGCGAACAACATTGCCGACGCCCTGACCCGACCAACCGTCCAATCCGCAGCTGTGCTGATCACCCATTCGAATCCGCTTCTTTCGGGGCTATTCACCCACGGCTACACTACGGACCCGTTCTTCACGACTGGAAATCACCAGCAGGCGACGACGCAGAAAGGGAATTATTACCTAAAGGCCGGAACTGACCGGATTTGGGTTCCCGCTTACCGGCTGCTGCGCGAACTCCTTATTCAGGAGGTCCATGATTCCAACCTCTCCGGACATTTCGGGGTTGATAAAACCCAGAAGTTGTTGCACCGTCAGTATTATTGGCCTGATTCTGCTAACGACGTGCAGCGATATGTGTCTTCATGTAGGGTGTGCCAAGCCATGAAATCGACACGTCAGCGGCCAGCTGGGTTGCTGCAACCTCTCGAGCCACCCGAACGACCATGGCAACAGGTGACGATGGACTTTGTCACGGGGCTGCCAGCTGGGCCGTCCGGCAACGACGCTGTACTCGTCGTCGTCGATCGCCTCACAAAAATGGCGCATTTCGCACCTTGTCGCACGACAATCACCGCCGAAGAAACTGCACGCCTCTTCATCTCCACCGTTGTGCGACTACACGGCATCCCATCGGCGATCATCAGCGACCGGGACCCAAAGTTCACATCGAAATTTTGGAAGGAGACGTGGGCGCAGTACGGAACGAAGCTACAGTTCTCGTCGGCATACCACCCGCAAACCGACGGCCAGACCGAGCGGACCAATCAGACGATGGAGCAGCTGATCAGGACAAACTGCCCCGACCCCGCTCGCTGGGAACATTCGCTCGCCATGCTGGAATTCGCGTTCAACAACGCTCCGTCCAGCACGACTAATCACTCCCCGTTCTTCTTGAATTACGGGATGGACCCGGTGGTACCTACAACGACTACACTTGACAACCCGGTCCCGAGGTCACAAACATTTGTGACAGAACTCCAAGAAATTCGCGAGAAGGCTGCGGACGCAATTCGCAAGGCGAATACCACTTCCCGCAAATACACCGACCTTTTACGACGGGAACTCGTCTTGGCAGCTGGGCAACTAGTACTACTGGACACGAAGAACCTGCACCTGCCCGGCCCATCGAAGTTACGGCCACGATTCTGTGGGCCTTTCAGGATCCTCAAGATGGTGACACCTGTCACCGCGAAGCTGCTACTACCCGACGACTGGCGTATTCACGACGCCTTCCACGTCAGCTTATTACGCAAGTTCGTGCCTGCCACAACAGACATCGCGCGCCAGAACGCCGTCCCGACAGCTCGACCTGTCCCGGAACCGACACTCGACCCGTCCAAGATTTTGGCGCATCGTGTTCGGCTCGACGCTTCGGGACGCCACGTGGACTTTCTTATCCGTTGGACTGACCGCACCAGTGAGGACGACACATGGGTGCCATCCGCCTCGCTTGAAGCTTCCCCGCTTCTTGGTGATTACCTCGCCCGCAAGCGAGCTGTGGATGTTGACCACCTTTCTTAAGGGGGGGGGTAGTGTAAGGAAAAACCCCTTTTCCTTACTGGGGTTTACTCAACCGCGTACAACCCCAACTTTCGGAAGTGCACGTTCGGCCGCTTTGCTTGCTGCCGAAGCAACCTCGCATCGCCTTCGGCTTTCCTTTGCCCAACCTGCACTCAACCTCGTGTTCCCGAGGTTCCCGCCTAGTTAGGTTGCCTCGCTATATAATCGCATGTCTTTCATTGTATCGTGAATCCATTGAGTCACAGCCTCGTTATTCGTTATTCCGCGCAACTCTGTTTGACAACTCATAACATTGTGTGTATTGAGTGGTCCCTTACCAACGGCACTGCCAGTGAGTTATCGTGTTCTGAGGGCAGGTCATACTTCCGCTTCGGGCTTGTATAACGTGGTTGGATACGGTAGAATACGGTTGAATACGCTTTGGCTCAGCTTTTGTCTTCACCGCATTAAACCATTGCGCACCAGGATAAACCATTCAAAACGAACCTGGAACAAAAAAGTATGACCTGCCCCGATAGTTCGCGCTAGGGGGTAGGGGTTCGGAGAAAAACATCTCCAACCAACAAGCCACCGTCCGGGGAACCCTTCAATGAAAACAAACAGAAGCAAATGTCGGTAGGGTGTTGAGAAAAGACACGACCCCCGTTATGCTTCAGAGCCCTGCTATTGGCTGGTCGGTTATTTTTGCCGAAACCAAAACCCCCGTCCTTCGCCAACTCACAGTCCAAGGTCCAACCAAGCAAAAATGGCGCTCGAACAGACATTTGCTAGAAACGCCCTTCCCTTCCCTTGCCGTGGAAATGCCAATCAGCGAGGCGCATTTCTCGCCTTAGTCTTGCACGACCAGCTGCTAGGCGAAATTCCTCTCCTGTCGGTCGCACTCGTCCCCCTCGCATCCCACCACAGCTGCATCCCTGTACTTGATGTGTAGATCTTGAGAGTTTCTCGTTGCTTGCTTTCGCGGTTTCTAGCGAACAGGCAATAGGCTTCAAGCGTCGTGAAACAAGCGTTGCGTGTTCCCAGTTGTGCGCGCCACGTCTCGCAGCTCCTCTTGACGCCATGGCTGGGTTTCCCCGCATGACCGCGACGCGCCGAATCCAGCGGCGTGGGTCACGGTGCCACCGCGTCCCGCGGCGCGTCCTGTTCACGTCCCACGCCGTGCTCGCTCTCATCTTAGTAGCCGCTGGAGGCTGCTTCTTTAATGGCGGTGGCATGCGCGGCGTGTCCGCCGCGCCGGTCCCCGTGGCGGCTTGCTTCAAGTCGACGTTACCTGGTTACACGAACGCCGCCGCTCTCTCACGGAAAGGGTAAGCAACTTTTTTACAAGGCGTGGCCCTCAGGACCAATGTACTTTAGGCGACTCGACTTCACAAGAAGTTGCTTCAGTCGAATATACTTCCACATACCGCAATACGCGGTTTCCGCGTTTTCCGTATTTCCCTCGCGAAATTGGAAGTTCATGCTTCGCTTGTCACCACTTCGCGCTTCGCGCGTTTTCTCCAGTAGCGCATGGAGCATCCAACACCCATAACCACCAATCAAACCACTCCATCCGGCCGAGAGATTTGCTCTCCGCTTGACGCCCTACATTTTCGAGGGCTGAAATTTTGAAAACTCTCCCCTCAATCACACGGTATCGCTCCAATAATTTCCGGATTCCACTCTTCACCTTTTTAACCTCGTTTTTTTTACACTGATTGCAAGACCACCAGCGTCCACCTCCACCTCTAGATACGTCTAACAGGCCGAATCGAAGAGCTTTGGGAGCATATAAAAATGTCACATATCATCCGCCATTTACGCATGTGTCGTGATACTCTTACGTCTGGTTTACTTTACCTTTCGTCCAACTTGAACCCGTGTCTCGCTTGATCAGGCTCGTGCTCCACTGGAAGGCTGTCAACCCAACCACCATATCGTCCACTATCACCTACCACCTATCCATGTGCCATAGTAATGAAACTTCTGGTTTTACTGTACATTTTCCTCCCCTCCGTGTCTTGCTTGATCAGGCTAGTGCTACACTGGAAGAACGTCAACCCAACTACCATCGATTTCGCGTTGGAGGCAAAAGCTGCGAGTGGCGCGCACAAGGGCTGGATCTCCGTCGGATTCTCCAAGGCGGGCAAGATGACCGGCTCGGATGCGGTGATCGGCAACCTGCCTCGGCCGAACGTGATTGGTCCGTACTTCATGGCGAGCATTTCGAAGTCGTCGGTAACGAGGACGAACAAGTTCGCGATCACAAAGACGAGCGTGGTTACCAACCCCCAGGGAACCATCATGAAGTGAGTTCAAGTGCTTTGGTGAGCTTCGGGTTCAAGCGATTTGGTGAGCTTCGTGTTCAAGTGATTCTTCAGCCTTTCATGATGTCAGTACACCAACCCGGTGTTGCTAGTTTGGCTCACTTCAGCTACCTTTGTCTCCGTAACACGTGTTGGTAGTCTCACCTTCCCTCCATATGCATTCAGCTGTTTCTGAACTGCGCTTTGTTCTCCTTGTTCTGTTGTTTGCCATGCAAGCAGGTTCACCCGCTCTGGCCCTAAGGGTACTGTCCCTGTGAAGTACACTGGGAAGAACTTCATTCTGTGGGCCTATTCCGCCACTGGCAAGTCCAAGACCCTGGACAACCACACTCCAATGAACAGGTAGTGTATGTATTGGATATTGCAATATTAATGCATGCTGAGAACTTCATTCCCTTGGCGTATTCCGCCACACACACCAATGAACAGGTACTGTATGTATTGGATATTGCCATATTAATGCATGCTGAGAACTTCATTCTCTGGGCATATTCCGCTACTGGCAAGTCCAAGACCCTGGACAACCACACTCCAATGAACAGGTAGTGTACCGTGTCTTAAAAGCACTATGAATGTTATGCTGAATGTGTGCGTGCCATGCTGTGCTTGCAGCTTACATTTGGTAAAAGTACCAACTCAACATTTGGTAAAACCCCCTTGTGCAGCCAGCATTGCTTGCCATGCCACTGTTATCTGGATGTTATATGTCCTGCTCGCACTTGGTTATCCATATCTGTTGCTACACCTCGTTTGTGTTTCCAATGCAGAGGTGCCGTGTCTATCAACTTCGGCTGCAAGGTGTAAGGTTGGTGCGTGGAAGAGAAAATGGTTGGTTACGAGAGATCAAGTTAGGACGTGCATGACATCTTACAGGTGTCCCACCAACCATGGCCAGCCAGCCGTGGTGACAAGTTGCTGATTTGATGAGTTTCATGAGCTGGTGATGTGTCTTGTCTTGTCACATGGAATGGAACTCAGTTTCGGGATGAGTACATTGGATTGGCCCAAATACAGAGCTGGCAAAATTTATATTGGATTGGCCCTAATACAGCAAAATTAATGCCGGTACTCCTCACTTGCCGTTTTTTGCAAAGAATGGAGGGATCCACAAATATGTCACATGCAGGGATCTCTGAGGTTTGGCGCCATACTATCTATTTTTTACTTTGCCGTACACAACGATTGGGAATGGTATTCCGCCCTAAGCACAGTGTGCTGTATTTGGCTAACCAAAGCTACGGTAAGCTAGCTACACTATTCATCAACGAAGTACATGTACACATGGAGTGGGGTCTTGCTGACGAGGCTCTGTGCATTGACAGTCACGCCTGGAACTGGTACATCCGAAACTTGAGAGGAATCTGAGGATGGCTTTGGTAGTGGTAGACAGGCCACAGGGTCAGGAATACCTTTTCGAGGCGGTTCAAAACAGCAGGAGGCCTGCACATTTGGAACTTGAGAAGAATCTGAAGCTCTGGGTGATATGGATGCTGGGGAGTGAGGAAGATTCTCCTCCTTTATGGACTTTGCCTTTGATGCAGTAGCTGCCACATCACCTGCCACATCGGCTGCCACATCAGCTGCCACATCAGCTGGTACGTCAGCTGCCACGTCAGCTGATATATCAGATGCCACATCAGCTGCTAGTTCAGCTGATGCATCAGCGGGCGCATCAGCAACATTGCTAGTCGCCAGATCTTCATGGTCTCGAGTCCTGTTCTTATCATCCCACAGGGCGCTGGCAATGGCCTCTGCCACGTCAGCTGCCACGTCACATGCCAGGTCATACTCATACTTATCATCGTTCATGCAGCCATTTGAATTGGTGTAGAGAGCAAGAGAGAGGAAGAACTCCCTTCCTGTCTCTATATCGAGAATGTAGCTGGAAAGGAGGCGATAGTGGGTGGGGGGGAAGGTGGGCAGGGGTTTGTGGATGGGAGGAGAGGAGAGAGCGGGGAGTAGGAGTGGGTAAGGTGGGATATGTGAAGTGTCACTGTACACTTATCCAAATAGTGTGGATAAGAAGAAAGATACAACTCTCCCTGACTGTCGCTACGCAGGAATGACATACACTGTTATGAATACATGTCCTGTTTCAGCAGGGAGAGCTATGGTCCGGAGCAGATTTGGGTTAGAATACAGAGAACACTCACTCGTTTTCAATAGTGAAGCCAAAAGCCTGCCCGATCTTGTTGTAAATGCGCAGAGCTTCTTTTGGCCGCACTCGGCACAATCCGGGCAAAAAAAACTGCACGAGCAGAGCCAGAAAAATAACCAGTTTGCAAAGAAAAAGAAAAAACCATTCTTGTTTGTGTCTCTCATTAGTACTGCCCTTCCTATGGTTGAACATCCTTGCTCAGGCCAATGTCTCATCATGCCCCATCAAATTCATATCGTACCCCATCATACCCCATCACAACCCATTACACCCCATCACACCCCATCACAACCCATCACACCCCATCACACCCCATCACACCCCATCACACCCCATCACACCCCGTTACACTCCATCACCAACTCACAACCAACCAGATGGCATCGCACCGCATCACACCCTATCACACCCCACCAGACCGCATCACACCCCATCACACCCCACCAGACCGCATCACACCCCATCACATCCCACCCACCACACCGCATCACACCTTGCAGTAATCATCCGTGTACTTCTTATCAGCATATCTGGGGTTGCGGGACTCCCGAGGGTACTGCCTCATAGCCTCCAGCAGCAGCAGCCTGTGACCCTCGTCCAATCCGATCGGCTGGCAGCCTAGCAGCTGGGTAACAGACAGTGGCATAAGGGGAGGAGGGGAGGAGAGGGAGACGTAAAGCTCCCTCAGACGCCTATAAGTCGTAGTCGCCTCTACTGCGGGTACTGCCTCATGGCCTCCAGCAGCAGCAGCCTGTGCCCCTCGTCCAATCGGATCGGCTGACAGCCAGGTAGCTGGGTGACAGGCAGTGGCAAAAGGGGAGGAGGGGAGGAGAGGAAGACGCAAAGTTTCCTCAGACGCCTTTGAAGCGTAGTGGCCTCTACTGTGGGTGCTGCCTTGCCTCATACTCTCAAGAAGCAGCATCCTGTGACCCTTGTTCAATCCGATTGCTGGCAGCCAGGCAGCTGGGTCATGGGGGGTGGCAAAAGGAGAGGAGGAGACATAACGATTGCTTCATGCAGTTTAGGGGAGACATCAGAATGACTTTTGAGTCGACTCAAAAGTCAGCTGGATCCAGGCCTGGCGTGGCAATGGGGAGACCTCAGAATACTCTCTGCTGTTTATGTTCATGCTTCCTGGAGTACTGTTTCCCTTTCTCCCTTCTCCTTGCTCTCCTCCCGTCCCCCCCTTCCCCTCTCCCCCCCCCTCCATACACACAGATGTGCATACCTGCACGTCTGGGCGCATGAGCAGCACGAGGAGGTTCTGCAAGTCAACAAGAGTCAAGTGATTCTTGAGAGAGAAACCTCATGGGGCCTTACATACTCAGCAGATACACACACCACGTGTCAAAATACCTGTATGTCTGGGCGCATGAGCAACAGGAGGTTCTGCAGGTGTCAAGCAATTCTAAGGAGTGAAACCTCACGGGGCCTTACATACTCAGCAGATACACACACCACGTGTCAAAATACCTGTATGTCTGGGCGCATGAGCAGCACGAGGAGGTTCTGCAAGTCAACGAGAGTCAAGCGATTCTTGAGAGAGAAGTCCATTGGAGTGTTGACCTGAAGAGACCCGTCTGGCGTTGAACAACATGCCATGCCATCCCATGCCATGCCATGCCATGCCATGCCATGCCATGCCATGCCATGCCATGCCATGCCATGCCATGCCATGCCATGCCATGCCATGCCATGCCATGCCATGCCATGCCATGCCATGCCATGCCATGCCATGCCATGCCATGCCATGCCATGACATGCCATGCCATGCCATGCCATGCCATGCCATGCCATCCCATGCCATGCCATGCCATCCCATGCATCAACAGGCCATGCCATGCACCCGCATGGCATCACGACCATTGCATAACACCAAACGTGGCGGCATGCATGCATCACATCGCATGACATGTCATCACAATGATCGTGCCATGCCAAATGGAACACACACACACACACACACACACACACACACACACACACACACACACACACACACACAAGGGCGTAAAGAGGGTCTTTCCTGAAGAAACGTGTACACATGGAACACAAGTGCTAACTCACGATAAAAGCATACCCACACCCACCTTGGTGCCATCGGCATCGATATAAGCACGCCCAACCAGCAACCCCTCCACTCCTTGTATCGGAGGCAGCTCAACACTGCTGCACTTGGGAGCAAAGCAGAATCCGGATGCATTGGCTTCCATATAAGCACACCCACCTTGGTGCCATCGGCATCGATATAAGCACGCCCAACCAGCAACCCCTCCACTCCTTGTATCGGGGGCAGCTCCTGGCTGCTGCACTTGGGAGCAAAGCAGAATCCGGAGGCATTGGCTTGGCGTTCCAAGCCCACTTGCATGGGTTCGCAGCGCCGGTTGTCGAGAGGAGAGAGGGGGAGGGAGAGGCGGTGGGAGAGGTGGGCGGATTGGAGACCCAGGGAGTGCCTGGAGAGGAGGGACGGCAATAGAAAAGAAGAAACTTATTTGCTTGCAACAGTGGGGTGAGAGGACAGAGGTGGAGGGATGGAGAGGTGGTGGGAGAGGTGGGTGGAAGAGAGGCCCAGAAAATGCTTATCTGCTTGCAACAATGACTGTGCAGGGGAATCACAGTGGGGAAAGGCGGCGGAGAGGTGGGGGAGAGGTGGGGGCGAGGCGGTGGGAGAAGTGGGTGAAGGGGAGAACCAGAGAGTGCCCGAAGCGACAGAAGTCATCACTGCTATGAAGGCATCGGGTTGATTTTAGGCAGTGATACTCACATGGCTTCATTGAGTCGCCTCTGTCCTATCAACGCATAGAGCCTGTTGTATGCCGTGTTGCTAGACACCTGATTCAAGCACAAAGAAACACAAGCATTTGAACCACAACAAGATTTGGGGCGTAAATTTGAGACGTCGCATAACTTGTCCTATCAAGGCATAGAGCCTGTTGGATGCCGTGTAGCTAGACACCTGGTTCAAGCACAACGAAAGGCGACGATTTAACCCACAGCAAGCACGGGATAGCAGAAATGTTAGGAACAAACCAACGACATGTTTCCGATCATAATACGCAACACAATTTTGCCATCCATCCATTCAGGTTGGTAGAATCTCGGCTCTCCTCCTCGCATCCAGATTCGGTTCTTGAAACTTCTCAAAAACCGTCTGTTGTAGCACTCACCAGGAACATCTTTCTGATCTCATGGGCAATGGTAATATGCCCTCCGTTCAAGTTGGAGGGGTCCTGGCTCTCCTCCTTGTCTCCGGGGTACAGAGGGAGGAAGGAGAGAGGCGAGTTCAACGATATGTTCATGCCTCGAGCTGCAAGGAGGAACAAAGGGAGAGAAGAGAGCTTGAGAGAGAGGCAACAACAATCAGAAATCGGGAAAGGGCAGCATCACACGGGTGTGAGTGGGAGAGACTTACAGGAGGGAGAGTGAGAGAAAAGCAGGAGAAAGAGTGAAAAACGCTTCAGCTGGTAGTGTGAAACCAAGCCTACCACCGGTACAGTTGCTGCACTTTGTCACTTTCTGAGAAAAACCACTTCGAACCCTCTCGAACCCAACGTACCCCAAGCCAACACACCAGTCTCACCTTGGAACTCTGCCACTGTCTGAAGAGCCACCACTGCAGCACACAGACTTCTGAGGCGCGCCAAAAGAACCGCTCTGAACTCTTTCAAACCCAACGTACCCCAAGCCAACATACCAGTCTCACCTTGGAACTCTGCCACTCTCTGAAGAGCCACCGCTGCAGCACACAGACTTCTGAGGCGCGCCAAAAGAACCGCTCTGAACTCTTTCAAACCCAACGTACCCCAAGCCAACATACCAGTCTCACCTTGGAACTCTGCCACTCTCTGAAGAGCCACCACTGCAGCACACAGACTTCTGAGGCGCGCCAAAAGAACCGCTCTGAACTCTTTCAAACCCAACGTACCCCAACCCAACATACCAGTCTCACCTTGGAACTCTGCCACTCTCTGAAGAGCCACCACTGCAGCACACAGACTTCTGAGGCGCGCCAAAAGAACCGCTCTGAACTCTTTCAAACCCAACGTACCACAAGCCAACATACCAGTCTCACCTTGGAACTCTGCCACTCTCTGAAGAGCCACCACTGCAGCACACAGACTTCTGAGGCGCGCCAAAAGAACCGCTCTGAACTCTTTCAAACCCAACGTACCCCAACCCAACATACCAGTCTCTCACCTTGGAACTCGATCACTCTCTGAAGAGCCACCACTGCAGCACACAGCTTGATGGAACTGAAGCGGAAAGAGAGAAGAGGAGGATAACAAGAGCGGAGACAGGCACACGATGGGAGGAGACGAGGTTTGGGGTGGAGCCTTAAGGAAAAAGGATGACAACAGAACGGGCCAGCTGGCAGGACATGGCATCTGTTTTAGGCAGCACACATGGCAGGATAGAAAAGCTCATGATCCACTCGATAGACACGTCGAATCTGGCAGATATAGCATCTGCTTAGGGCAGCACACCTGGCAGGATAGAAGTACTCATGATCCACTCGGTAGCCATGTCGACGCAGACAAGGCTGACTATTAGCGTTTGCAGCAACTTCTGATACAAGCGCCTGCTATAGCATAAGCTGGCAGATTAAAGCAAACTGAAAAGGCAGCACACCTGGCAGGATAGAAGTACTCATGATCCACTCGGTAGCCATGTCGACGCAGACAAGGCTGGCCGTTACTGTTTGCAGTCACTTCTGATACAAGCACCTGTGGGATGGACAATGGAGAACGTAAGGACGTCAAGGCTGGCATATAGAAATCGTCGAACTTGTTCTACAAACTTGAGGGGGCGTATGCATTCAGCATGTTTGCTTTCGTTCTTTTGGTTTGTTTGAATGTTTGTCTGTTCGCTTTCTTTCAGCTGACAAATTCGGAATCTGAACCACCTCTTGGGAACGGATCACAGATGGGGTTCAGTAAAACATATAATGTCAAGTTGACTTTTGAGGTATTTGTACCTGGAACCTATACGTGGAAGGGTCCTCCAAAACACGTTGAAGCTTCTTGGAAGGATGCCGACGAAGGATCGCCTGACGCATTCAAGGAGCAAGGCGAACAGAGGATGAAGGAATGACGATGACGGGATGCGGGATCATGACAAAATCATGACGGGATAATGGCGGATGATGACGGGGGATAATGCTGAGATAATGGCGGATGATGACGGGGAATTATGACGGGAAAATGGGGGCCTGTGTTTGCAGAACGAAAAGAAGGGTATTTAGGGCTAGCATGAATGATGACAAACTGTAGAACCAAGCGGGAGAAGCTGCGAGTCGCACCTCCACGTTCATCGTTGCTGATGTAGTCGATGATTCGCGATTTGACTGAAACGAAAACGGTCAATGATTCGCGATTTGACTGAAACGACAACGGTCAATGTTTCGCGACTCGACTGATGACATGAAAACGGTCAATCACAGGTCGTTCCCGCCTCAGCATACCACGGCCTTTTCGGTCTAGACCATGGTTCAAATACAGGACATGATGGAATTGTTCTCAGTACTTTGCTTTGTGTGTCAGGAGCAAGGTGACTACCACTTGCTTCTCTCATAAACTAGCTGACAAAACTGTCCGACAATCCCAAGGTGACGTAGCAAGGTGAGCCACGAAACAGAGCCGCGAGGCTGCTTGGTTCGCGCCGCGTGCCATGTCACGCAGTTGAGTGACAAGTTGGGAGACGAGAAAGCCAGGGCCAAAAACTGATATAAAACCAAGTACATGCCTCTGCAACACAAAGTAAATATAAGCAATATGATACATTTGTAAGTGAAAAGAAGGTATTCAGATCCAAAGCGCAACGGTCGTTGCGCATCTATGACAGAAGTTGTTGTTCATGCCTTCTTCTTCAAATAATTTAGTACCAGTTACCATCAGGTTTTTTGGGCAACCAGCCTCGTTCGTAACTGTTGACAAACTGCCAGTGGTGTGTCCCTGCAACCGGAAAAAGAAAAATACGTCCCACAACAAAGAGCAAAGTAGACCACATTGAAGACAGAGGAGGAGCACGGGCGTCAGCGAAACAGAAAAAACAAAGCGAGCACTGACGGGCACTGTACAGTTGTCAGAATGAAGGAAACAATGAGGTAAAGCACTGACTGGTGGCGCAGAGTTTTCAAGTTAGCAAAAGGTAGGGGAGGGCAGTACAGACTGACCACTGATGCTGAGTTTCCATGACAAATAGATCCAAACACTACAATAACAAGAGCACGTAACAGTGGTGTTGGGAGTTCCCGGGACGAAAAGAAGCAGCAGAACAAGAGAACAAGAGCAAGAGCACGTACCAGTGGTGTTGAGTTTCCAGGACCAGAAGAACCAGCCGGCCTTGGCTTGGCTGAAGGCCTTCATCTGGGCGAGGGAGAAGTTAGCCTGCTGCTCCGGTGTTGCAGGGTTGCCCATCGCATTGCAGAACTCCCCCACCAACAGCTGCCGCCCCACTTTCTGCATCCAACGCATAGATACACAGTGCAACAACATTCCTAGTAAGTGTCATGCAGAAAACAGGCGAGGCGTTGAGAACAAAAGGCAAGCGAGACTGAACTGGACAGGCTTTTTGTTAAGTTGTCATTAGAGGACGGAAAACACAGATTGTAGGCAGCCCACCTCTTGAAAGCTGACGATGTTGTTGACCCGGGTGGTGTAGGCGTAATCAAGTTCAAAGTTGACGCCTTGGGAGCTGAAGAAGTTGCCAAAGACGTCGTAGATGTGCTGCTCCAGGATCACATTATTGTGCCACGCGTCATTCATGTGCCACATCACGTCGCCAAAGTTGCTGCCCACGCGGCCCTCCATGGCCACAAAGCAGCAGAGGCAGCGCGCGCGGATGGTGTTGAAGGCCGCGGAGTAGTACCCCCGCATGTCCTCCAGATCCACCCCCGCGTACCCGTTCGCTCCCCCCACCACCGGCTCGTTCAGTAGACCCATTCCGAGCCACATAGGGTCGGCGCCGTACCTGCGAGGTTCGGGTGGTTCGGAAAAGCAGGGCAAGGGAAACACAGAGGTGATACTGGGTTAGAGGCCCACGGCTTTCAGGGTGCAAGAGCACACAATCTCCTCAAAGGTTGCTGCCCACGCGTCTCCTCAAGAGCTGCTGCCCACGCGGCCCTCCATGGCCACAAAGCAGCAGAGGCAGCGCGCGCGGATGGCGTTGAAGGCCGCGGAGTAGTACCCCCGCATGTCCTCCAGATCCACCCCCGCGTACCCGTTCGCCCCCCCCCACCACCGGCTCGTTCAGCAGCCCCATGCCCAGCCACATAGGGTCCGCGCCGTACCTATAGGGTTGGAAGCCAGGAGCAAGAAGCCATTGGAGCAAGAAGACAATGCAGTTTCCGAACAAGAAGCCATTGAGTTCTGATTTTTTTTTTTTTTTCCTCATTCGCTATTAAATGTGCTAAGAATCTTTTAAGACGAAGCACAAAAAGATTGCAAGCGCATAGCCTCACCTGTCAGCAAGCCAAGTCACAAAGTCGAGCGTGCGGTTGATATTCGCCCCTCGCCAGCGAATCAGCCCGTCTCGTGCATTCCCCTTGCCCGCCTGCGACCCCGGCGCCACATGCACACTGAACCAGATCCTCACTCCATACTTCCTCCCCATCTCAAACGCCCAGTCTAGATACGTCACTGCTCCCGGCACAAAAGGAAACTCAGGGGAGGCATCGAGGGCGATCCAGTAGCCCAGGGGGATGCGCACTGTGTTGATGCCCAGCTCTTGCATCTTCTGCCAGTCTGCTTCCGTGATGAAGTTTCGGCGAATGTTCTCGTAGATTGAGGGTGCGGCTGCCCCGGCTGTGTAGGCCGCCTGCCAATCCGCCTCAACTCGCCACAGCTGGGAGAAGGGAGGCGGAGGGAAGGGAGATGGGGAGGGGGAGGGGGGAGAGGAAAAGGGGAGGGCAAGGGGGGGAAAGGGGAGGGGGGTATAAGGGGACGGAAATGAAAGGGGAACTGAGGGGAGGCGTCGAGGCCAATCCAGTAGGTCAGGTGTACAAGCCAGTAGGCCGGGGAACTGAGGGGATGCGGACTGTGTTGACGCCCAGTTCAGAGAAGGATGTTTGGGAGGGTGGAGAGGAGGTAAGGAGGAAGAGAGGAAGAAGAGAGGGAGGGAGGGAACACTCACCACTGTGAGGTCGAAGGCAGCAGCGCTGCTCCAGACGGCGTCGTTATCAATGGAGTCAATCAGATCAGCTGTGAGGGAGCCGTCAGGGTTGGCTTGGACAAAGAGGCCGTTGGGAGCGCGCAGCACCACACGCACACTGCTGTCCCTCTGCTCCGTGGAGCCGTTGAGTGGTATTCCGTAGATGAAGAGCTCAAAGTTGCTTGCAGCGCCCTGGTGAGTAGAACAAAATGGTGAATGGGGTTGGCGGTGGGAGAGCGGGAGGGAGCTAAAAATGCTTGTAGCTAGGAGGAGAGACGGCGAGGAAAAAGCGAGAAAGCTCAAGCTTTTAAAATAGTGCATAAATGCCTCGGCGATTGTGGGATTGACGGAAGAGTAAGCTTCGCGGATTGACACCGCATACCTCGGGCTCTGTGGATTGCACCCAGACGTTGGGTGGGTTGTCCCGCACAGCACGGCCCGGTCCAGTACTGCAGCCACTGCTCAAAACGGATACCTGATACCTCGGGCTCTGTGGATTGGTAAGCATACCTCGGGCTCTGTCGATTGCACCCAGACGTTGGGTGAGTTGTCCCGCACAGCACGGCCCGGTCCAGTACTGCAGCCACTGCTCAAAACGGATACCTGATACCTCGGGCTCTGTGGATTGGTAAGCATACCTCGGGCTCTGTGGATTGCACCCAGACGTTGGGTGAGTTGTCCCGCACAGCCCAGTACTGCAACCACTGCACGGCTATCTGGTGAAGCGAAAGTGGGCGGAACAGGGGAGCACGAAGCGAGAGCATTGAGGGAGAGCATAATGGGGAAGCGCAACATAACAAGCTCACAAGGCAACAGAGTCTTGGAGCAAGCACTCTTTGAGTGTTCGAGTGTTGGGCCTTACTCTTCGAGTGTTGGAGGAGGCGTTTCGAACGGTTGTGAGGTGCAGATACGCGTCCTTGTTGAGGGAGCCGTTGCAATACATCTGCTCGGGGGAAGAGAGGTAAAGATAGAATATGCGGGTTGGAGGGTTGGCATGTTTTAACGGTGGTGAGGTGGAGGTAGGCGTCCTTGTTGAGAGAACCGTTGCAGTACATCTGGTTGCGGGCACGAGCGCAAATTAGGGTATACGCAAGAGAACGCGATTGGATGACCATAGGCTGTCAATGCGATGCTACTGATTTTGCACGACAACAAAGAGCAACAGTAAGCTGTTGTGATGTAAAAAGTGTTCACTTACTATTGTTCCACCAACACCGGGCCAGAAGACGTTTTGGGCCGATATCACCGAGCGAGGTGACATTGAGTCGACTCAAAAGCGAAAGTAACCTGTTGTGATGTTAGAGGTGTGTTGTGTTGTGTGCACTTACTATTGTTCCACCACCACCGGGTGCTGTGACGTATTGGCCCGATATCACCGAGCGAAGAGTGAACTGCCATGCACCATGCCATGCATCACCAAACCAATCATGCACGATGGCATGGATACCCCATTCCATGCCATGCAAGATACCATATTCCGTGCCGTATTCCATGCCATGCCATGCCATGCCATGCATCCACCATTTGAATGTGCCATAGCATAGCAAAGGGAGAAACATTGACAAAACGGATCGAAGTTAAGTGCAGGGTGGACCAAATGGATGTGGAACCGCGTTTGGAGGGAGAAGGGGGTGCAAAAACACATTCTATGCTGATAGTTGAAATACTTCACTTCCTCCCCTGTCCCCCCCTTGCCCTGCCTCCACTTCCTCCCCTCCCCTCCCCTCCCCTCCCCTCCCCTCCCCTCCCCTCCCCTCCCCTCCCCTCCCCTCCCTCCCCCTCTCCCGTATCCCACACTCACCCGGGTGCCATCGCTGTAGCCAGCAAACTTGAACACCTCTCGGTTCATCCACGGTTCAGTCATGAGCCACGACCCCAGGTTCGCCCCTCGAATGGCCGGCACCCACATGATCTCCCTCACATCAAGCCGCTCCCAGTCGCCAGGCTCCCCCCTCCACCAGAACTGCGGGCCACTCTCGCCATTCTGAGAGATGTACCACCCATCGGAGGATTTGAAGACGATGTAGACGGTGTTGGGGATATACTCGATGGTGAACACTGTGAGCGGGTCCGATGCGTTGGTGGTTGTCTCCAGGAACATGGATGGAGCCTTGGTTATGAACGTGTTGCTGGGAGTCAAGAACTGGAACTGCAGGGGGGTGTGGGGGGGGAGGAGCCAAGGGGATGTATTCAATGGTGAACACTGTGAGCGGGTCTGATGCGTTGGTCGTTGTCTCCAGGAACATGGAGGGAGCCTTGGTTATGAACGTGTTGCTGGGAGTCAGGAACTGGAACTGCGGTAAGGGAAGGGAAGGGGGAACGGGGATTGGGGAGAATATCACATGAGGGGTGATTGGCAGAACTGCGGGCCACTGTCGCCATTCTGTGAGATGTACCATCCATGGAAGGATTTAAAGACGATATAGACGGTGTTGGGGATATACTCGATGGTGAACACTGTGAGCGGGTCCGAGGCGTTGGTGGATCCCTAGGATCCGTGACACATGGGGAAAATGAGAGATTCCGCCATTGTTCTTACCTCAGTGTCTGAGACCCGAATGATGGTGGGCGTGATTGTGACATGGGCATACGAAGGCATTCCATCCCTCATACCTCAGTGTCTGAGACTCGAATGATGGTGAGCGCCTGTGAGGCACTGGGCGTGGAGCTGACTCCATCTCTCACACCCTCACTCACGTGGATGTAAGAAATAAGTTATTCTGAATAAACCCCATCGCCCTTACCTCAGTGTCTGAGACCCGAATGATGGTGCGCGCCTGTGAAGCACTGGGCGTGGAGCTGACTCCATCTCTCTCACACCCACCCACGCACGATTATAAGAATAAAGCCCATTGCACCTGGGTTAAAGAAACCTCTCCATTCCCCTTACCTCAGTGTCTGAGACCCGAATGATGGTGAGGGCTTGTGAAGCACTGGGCATGGAATAGAGCCGGCCTACACGCCCCACCCAGTTCACCCCGTCTGCTGCCGCCCACCACGTCTGCCACGTCTTGGTGCGCACTATCACCTGGGAGGGAGGGGGGGAGGAGAAGGTAAAGGTGAAGGGGGGGGAGATATCGTTGGGGGGGAAACAGTGTGAGGATAGCTTCCATCCACCACGTTTGTCAACGTCTTGGTGCGCACTATCACCTGGAGGGGAGGGGGAGGTGAAGGCAAAGGTGGTGGTGGGAGGGAAAACAGTGTGAGGATAGCTCACCACGTTTGCCATGACTTGGTGCGCTGCGCACTATCACCTGCGAGGGGAGGAAGATGGGAAAGGGAGAGGGCAGTTATATTTGAATCACTTGTGAGAACTGTCAACAGAATAAAAGGGAGCATGTGAGAATCTGTTGCCGTTCACCACGTTTGCCACGTCTTGGTACGGGTTATCACCTGGGGAGAGGAAGATGGGAAGGGGAGAGAAAAGTCTCAAGCATTTGATGCATGGGAAAGGGAGGACCAAGTAATCACGTGCCCATAGACATGCCCATACCCATACCCACCAACACCCATACCGTCCGCTCCACTCACCCTAGCGCCGTGTGCCAGCTGGCTGCTGAGCCACAGCAAAATCATCTTGGGATCATAACTCCCCATATGCCCCTTCCCTTCCCCCAACCCACGGCCTGACTCCATTCACTCACCCTAGCACCGTGCGCCAGATGGCTGCTGAGCCACAGCGAAATCATCTTGGGATCATAACTCCCCAGATGCCCCTTCCCTTCCCCAACCCACGGCCTGACTCCATTCACTCACCCTAGCGCCGTGTGCCAGCTGGCTGCTGAGCCAGTAGGACGTCATCGTGGGAACGCCGGAAGCGAGCTTGGGAGCAGCATTGGAGCAGCACTTTCCCTCGCACCTCGGACCCGGGGGGAGGGGAGTATTGAGGGGAGAGCCTGCGGAAGGTTGATTGACGGGAGGGGGACTGAGGGGAGGGCTTGGCGGAGGGCTGGGGGGAGGGCTCGGGGGAGGGCTCGGGGGAGGGGGCGGAGGGCTGGGGGGCGGGGGACGAGGAGGGGGGGAGCGGGGTGGGGGACGAGGGGGCGGGGAAGGGGGGCGAGGGGGAGGTGGGGACCTTCTTGGCGGAAACCAGGGGGGGAATCTATTAGCTGACGAGGAGGGTCTGGAAGGGGGGGGTTTCTTAGTTGGGGGAGGCGGGGGCAGCTTTTTCGCTGCTATGACTCTCCGGTGGATGGTGGAGGAGGAAAGGCGAATGTCTCTTGACAGTCCAATGTGAGTGGAAAACGACGAAATGCGCCAAGGCTCCTTCCCTTCTGCTGCCTCCGTGTCCCCCTCCTCCTCTTCCTCTCGCTTCTCCTCCCGAACATCTTCCCGAGCCTCTTCCCGAGCCTCCTCCCGAGCCTCCTCCCGAGCCTCCGCCGGGCGTCTGGGCTGATGAACCTTCCCGAACGCCATGTGTTTGGCGGCATGCGCCGCCCAAATCGCCTCAATCTCCGACTGAGGCTCATCCCCCACCGGCTCCACCCATTGAACCCCCCCAACCCCCCCAACTCCCCCAACTCGCCCCTTACTCTCCGAGCCTGAGCGTAAACGGTTCCCGGCGTTCGGATCAGGTTCACAGCCCTTATTGCGCTTCCCCAGACACAGGCTCTCGAGCCATGGGTCTATCTCTGAGTCCTCTGGTTCTTCTTCCTGGTGGGGATAGGTCAGTTTGATGGCGTCCGGGAGGGAAGGTCTCCTTGATTGGAGGTCAGTCAAGTCGCCTGCATCGGATGCTGCTCGGAGAAGATCGGACGGCTCTGGAACGTCGGTTTGAACGGGCGTGCTGGTCTGAATGGGCGTGCTGGTCTGAACGGTCGAGCTGGCTTGAACGCGTGGGAGGTTAACGGTGGGGATGCCATGCTGCGAGGGAGTCGATGATAGGAGCAGGACGATTGCTGTGCTGATGAAAAGAGTCGTGACTGCAAGAGGCAACCTGGGACGAAAAAGGGAGAGCAGGGAAGGATAGAAAGAGTAGGGAAGGGTAGAAAAGAGTAGGGAAAGGGTTGAGGAAGCTTGAACGAGCGTGCGTCCTTCAACAAACAGGCATATCAAATAGATATGTGTAAGGGAGTGAAAAGGCATACGTGTAAATATGTGTAACAGGCATGCGAGGGTAGAAAAGGCGGCAGGAAGGGTGGAAACTTGGAGAGGCAAGGGAAAGTGTAGGAAATGTGGGTGCAGATGAATGCTGCAGAATGCTACACTTCTGGCATGCTTTAACCCTCGAAACTTGGGCAATGTACGGCTAGAAGAGTGCTACGAGGGGAATGAGGCGGTAGAACATGCACACGAGACAGGGGTGACCGGAAATGCCTTTTCCCGCGCAGGGTAACGGTGATAGAGAGCTGGCGAAAAGTGTTCGGTATACGAAATCCGTTACCGAAGCCACTGTAATCGTCTCACAATGGGTCCATGAATGTTGTATGCGTGCGGACCTAGCTGATGCCAGGGAGGTACCTAAGAAAACTTGTTACCATATAGTTACGAAAGTAGGTGGCTAGGTACGTGGAGGAACGATAGTGCGTAGTCTTAGCGAAATGGAGGAATTTAGGTATCAGTTCACCCAGCTCGTAGGCCTATTTTGAATATCTTCAAGACACATTTCAAAGGAGCCCAGAAAGAAGTGTCCTACGATCTCAAGAAACGGAGAAATCTTAATATCACACACATTGCTATGACAAAGAGGAGGTGTTTTAGTACCATTTCGCGGCTCGTCTGAAGAACGACATCTCTGGCTGGCGTTGCTCACGAGGTGGAGAAGCAGCTCGTCAAGATTCCGCCATGAACCTACGAGGCTGGCGAAAAGTAAATGGGGCTACCTACCCTATCCTATGGTTCGCTGTACAACAATGCTCACTCTTTTAACGAAAAAACGGTGTAACAACTTGTCGTTTCGGAAAAATCTCAAGCCTGATGGGGCCTCTAAGCCGCACTGCTAACAGATTCGAGGAGGAGCTTTGGATCCAGAGAGTCTAAGCCGACTCTGAGCCTTCGCAAACAAGTTATATGCACAATGCCCGCATACGAGATAGAGCAGTAGCACAAATCAGTACTTCTAGTCCAACGAAGGCTCACGGTCAAGGTACTTTTTCTGGCCTAAGTTTGACGACTGTAAGGAAGAAGGTACAAAGGCAGAAGAGAAAACTAAGTACGAAAGAAGGAACGCGATGAGACGATGCGTAGAAGCGGAATGTATAAGCGGTGTGTCGCGTCGTATCGTAATGGGTTACGTCTTGACCCGCGAGTCGCGTCGCGACCTGCCGAGAGCATAGAGCAAACCACCTTCGCTGGAGTCGGTGGGGTGGAGCTGGGGCGAGGAGAGAAAGCCAGCAAAATGAAATGGGTGGAGGCGAGGCCTCACCACCGTTAGTGAACTACCGAATGGAACCATGGCGACGACTGTTCATGGATGTGCTGTAAAAGGCCGCAGTCCCCGCGGTGTGGTTTGTGCCAGCGAAGGTGAAGATGAAGGTGAGTTGTACGAATCATCAATGAACCGACCGACAGAATCAACAAGGGTTTTCTCGTTCGCTATCACCTTCGTGTATCAGAAGACCTCAAAAACATACTGTACTCTAAACTAATCGAACCGCTCTGAAACAAGAGGCATCTTACCAAACCTGATTGTAGTTGGCTCTTGTGGCACGTGGTTGGAACAGGTATTTTCTGATTCTGCCTTGATTCTATCCAGGGTGGGCCTTGGAAACTGCGACAGTGCGACAGCACCGACCTGAATCGCCATCTCACCTGTGCGAACCTGACGAGCTTCGATACAACTATCGCGAAGCAGCTTCGCCAATTCATACGCAACGCCGCCAGCCATCCACAACCCCAGCCACCTACCCTGGCTGGAACTGTGTTCTTTGTTCTATGTGCAAGACACTGTAGCAGATTCACAAACCACCAGACCAGACAAGAACCCACACAAGGCACATGAAGAACAAACACGCATACAGCGGATTTCATTTCTGTATAAGCAACCGACATGAAAAATACATCGTAATGGGGCTATTTGTTGGTGGCAATTGAGATGCTTCACATGTAAGAAAGGTTCGGTAATATTAGGGCGTGTAACATTTTCACATTTTTTTTCAAACGAACGTACGGTTTGGAAAAGTACCGCTCTGAAACGTATTGAAACCTAATTGAACAAAACATTCATTAAATTGACCATTTTCAACCTTTCGGAACGTTCGGTTCGTTTGGAAATTTCCAAAAATGTTAAACGCTCTTACACCATCTTCTGCAAATACATATCTTCCTTGCATATGCCACATTCTCACACTATTTTTTGTGTTGTCGTAATTGCAAGATTGCAGATAATATAAATTGAATAAATTAAAAAATGAAATGTTCGAATTAAACTGATGCTACGATTCTTGGGAACCATATATTTATACAAAACATGAGCATATGAGGAATATTGAAGTAAACTTACGGAATTCATGGCGTTAGTAATAATCTACCGTGAAGCATGGAGCAGCTGATTAATATCAATTCTCGCAGGTTTCAATACTGAACCACCTCCTGTCAGGCTGTGCCAGATACTCGCAGATTCCCGCAGACCGACCCTCGATTCTTCCTTTCTCAACCTCCACTTCCGCCAGGAGGATTCTCTGCTAGTCAGGCTCCATAGGCCAGGACAACGCTTCCCTTCCAGCAATGTCCTGAATTTCTTGCTGTTTCAACATTCTCTAGCGACGAGACCTTATATCTTGTCGCACGGTGCAGCAGGATTCTTTGTCTGATTAGCAGCAGTCATGGTGGACGCGTCAGCTCCAGCTTCGGAAGTTCCAGCCGCTTCCGAGCCTGTCCAGAAGGCTTCAGGCTCGGAAGCTGATGCAAATGCCGAAGCTCTTCCGGTGATCGACATGGTGCCGATCCTGGAGCTTGCCGAGGCTAAAGTATGCTCGTGTTCAGTGAACGACCGTGTCGGTGTGTTCGACGCATCGATCTCGTCAGCTCTTGACAGCAAAGGTCCGTTACGAAGACATTGTCAACATAATCATGCGAGAACAATCTAATTAACTGTCTGGATTGCAGGAAAACGATCATGACGGACGGATCTAGCACGGGACTGGTGGAGTATAATGACTGAAGTTTCTGACAACGAGCTGCGACCAAATCGAAGTTCAATTTGTCAGACGTTAAATATAGTTATCTTATACACGCGACATTGGCTAACCAGGTCGCCAAATTCTCACAGAATGAGGGGTTTCGGAGGGTTCTACAATGAACCTACAGAATTTCACCTATCAGCCAGTTAGGTTTCCTGGATTGTCATTGTCGTCGCTGATTCCTGAACAGGTTTCAGTAGTCGAAGAGATTCGCGTTCGCTAGTGTGTGGCCAGGGTTCAGTGTGCCAATAGATAACCAGCCATGATTCAATCACAAGTGGCGTCGTCTGGTAAAACCTGGATAATCGGTCATGACGCAGTGACCAATGGCGTCGTATGATAATGCTGGATAACCGGCAATGGCCAGTGGCCAATGGCGTCTTTTGATCAAGCCTGGTTTACTGGCCTCAATTCGATGACCAATGGCGTCGCTTGGTAAAAACTTGAACAGCCAGCCAGGATTCTGTGACATTTGGCATCGTCTGATAAAGCCCGGACAACCAGCCAGGATTCAGTGAACAATGGCATGGCCTCGTCTAATGAAACCTGGATAACCCTATTTTCCTTGAAATGCCTCCTGACATGTGGATGACAATTATATCCCACTCCTCCATTTTCACCCCATTCTGCATCTTCCTGGATATCCAGCGCTTCCCAGTCCTTTCTCCTTCTTGGAATCATCTGCTGTGAACTTCCCTCTCTCCCATCGGTTCCTACCTTTCCTCCCTTTCCTTCCCTCCCTTCCCTCCCTTCCCTCCCGTCCCTCCCGTCCCTCACATCCGTCCCTCCCATCCCTCACATCCGTCCCTTTCCACCCTTCCATTCCAATCCTCCCTTCCGCCCTTTTCCACCGTTCCCTACCTCCCCTCCCTCCCTCCCTCCTTCCCTCCCTCCCTCCGTCCTCTCCCGTTTTCAGCTGTAGACGTTGCATCAGCAGCCCCTCGCCTCGCTTCGCTCATCTTCCAGACCCTCCCCATCTACTCCGACCGTCGCTCCCAAGCCTCGGTTGAGCGAGCTCTAACCAAAGCTCTCAAGCGCGAAACTGCCTTTGTCAAGGCATTCGCCGGAGCTCTCGTCCAAACCTGCGCCAAGCCAGGCTCGGTGTCAGCCTCGGTGGCCGGCTTGGTTCGGTACAAGCTGCTCAAGTGGTCGTGTCTGCTTCTGAGAGAGAGGGGGGATGCGATCGTGGGCGTGCGGGCGGCGTTCTCTCGTCTGGTAGTGGCACAAGGGACGCTGCTGACAGTGGCGCTGGGAGATGAGCCAAGGATGAAGCGAGCTTCGTTGCATGCTGTCAACGAGATGCTTGGCGCGGTGAGTATTACCCTCCCTCCACCCTCCTGCACCCGCTCTCCCCACCTCTCCCTTGCTTCGTGAACTCCCTGGTGCTCACCCTCACCACTGTCCTCATTCCTGCTCCCACATGGAATCAAAATCTCCTCTTTGCCCACTCCCCTCTCCCCAACCCCGCAACAATCTCCTCACCACCCTTCGGTCTCCCTACTTCTCCCTACTACCTTGCACACTCAGGTGCCCTCCCTTGCAGCAGCATACCTGGCAGAGCTCAAGTCCACGCCTGTCACCCTCACCACAGTCGGCATTGCCCATCCCCTTCTCACCTACTTCCTCGAGACCAAGGCGCGCGAATCAAAAGGTGCTGCAGCAGCAGATGACGTAGCGAATGGGACTGCAGAAGCAGCAGCAGCAGCTGTGCCTGGTTCCGCAGCTGAGGCCAAGGTAGGAGATCATTCAGACTGTTGTGTGCCTGTAACGGATAAACTTAGCAGTCATTCAACAGAACTGCTTTTAGTGCTGACTGCAAGGTGTCTGTTCTCATCAGTTCCTCTTTGCCCTCAAGGCGTTTTCCGCTGCATGGTGCTGCAGCCTGCAGGTATTTTACCTGGAAGCCCGCAGAGCAGGTTCATGCTAGTGCTCGCTGCTGAGTAGCAAGGAGCACCCTCTGCCATTGTTTTCTGAAATGCGGGTACATCCATATGATGGTTCTCCTGCCCTCTCCTTCTTCCCCAGGCGTTCTTCCTGGACACCTATTCCAAGCTCGTGCTGAGCAGAAGGGAGCCCCCGCCCCTCCCCCCCTTTTCCCCGCATGGCGTCATAGACCCTGTTCGTTCTCCTCTTTTGTCTCATCATCTGTCCTCTTCCCTTCCCCAGGCGTTCTTCCTGGAGACCTACTCCAAGCTCGTGCTGAGCAGCAGGGAGCGACCCCCCCACGTGGCATCAGAGGCGTTTGCCCCTCTGCTGCACTCACTGGAGCACACGGAGTTCAAGGGCACTCTCTTCCCCACTGCTGCCAAGATGCTGAAGCGCAACCCTGAGCTCATCATGGACGCTGTTGGTGAGTGGGTGGTTTCTGAGTTGCCTCAGTAGTGCCCTCTGCTGCACTCGCTGGAGCACGCAGAGTTGAATCAAGTGCACGCTCTTCCCCACGGCTGCCAAGATGCTCAAACGCAACCCGAGCTCATCATGGACGCAGTTGGTGAGTTGGTGGGTGGTTTCTGAGTCGACACAGAATGTGTCGTCTTGTGCCATAACCCATCCATGGGACTCAAGGGAACCCCGAGCGCATCATGGACGCTGATGGTGAGTGGATGGTTTTTGAAGGTGACTCGAAAATGGTCGTGTTCTATTGGATTACATTTGCTCAAGCGCAGAGCCGAACCTCCCCCTTCCCCCCCTCACCCCATTCCCTTTCCCCCACCCCCCCTTCCCCTCCCTTTCGTTCTCCACCTCTCAGGTTACCTGCTGTCGACTGTGCGCCTTGATTTGAGCGCCTATGCACCAGAGCTGCTGCCCACGCTAGCCCTGCAGGCGCGGCATCAGAATGCAGCCACAAGGGAGGAAGCGATTGGCGTATTTGCAGTAGCAGCCAAGCAGTGCAGCGACTCTGACAGCATCCGGACCTTGTTTGCATACCTCAAGGGGGTTCTGGCAGGTGAGGGTCCCCTCTTGACCTGACACAGTATAGATTGATCATTGAGATGGTTTTTTCTCTCTTGGCATATTGCCACCTGCCTTAGCGCGCACACCACAGCCCAGCCAAGCAGTGCAGCAGCTCCTACAGCATTCGGACCATTCTTGCTTACCTCAAGGGGATTCTGGCAGGGCAGGTGAGCATTCTGTCTCGACACATATTGTGAAATCTTTTCTCTCTTGACTTATCGCCACCTGCCTTTGCGCGCACACTACAGCCCATCCAGAAAGTGCAACGCTCTCATCCTTCTTCGCACAACACACCCCCTTCTCCTATTTCCCCAACCCACTCTTTTCCCCCATATCCCTCCTCCTTCCACCCCCTACTTCCCTCCCTTTCGTTCCGCTGCCCCTCCCCTCTCTTGCCCTCCCACTCCTCTGCCTCCCTGCTTGCAGGCAAGGAGGGCAAGCTGACGTCAGCGTATCAAAAGGTGGGAGTCTACCAGACGCTGCGGGCACTCTCCTCCTTCTCCCCACCGGGACCCAATGCCATGGCGCCAGCTGTCGCTGCTGATGTGGCGGAGTTCCTGATGACGGCCTATGCTGGCGACAGTGAGTGTCCTCAATCCTCTGTCAACACTTGCGAATGCATATGTGCCAGTCTGTCAAGTATCTGTCATATGTAGTGACTATCAGTGGTGGAGGTACTCCATTTGACTCCTTTACACAATTCTCTTTCTCATCTGCACCCAATTGATCACTCCCCCACCCCCCCCTGCTCTTCCTGTGTGTCTCTCCATTCCTCGTGCATCCTTGTCTGTTGCACTGCTCATTCCTTCCCTTTCCCTTCCACCCTTTCCCAAACCCCCCATCCCTCCCCACTCTGTTCCCACCCGTTCCCCCATTCCCTCCCCCCTCCCTTCTCGGTTCCTCCTCCCCACCCTTTCCCCCTCCCACTCTTCGACTTCTTCCCCCCTTCCCACCACCCCACCCCCGCCCCCCTTCCACCCACCCTGCCTTGTTCCAGCCAATGAGGAGGTGCTTGCATCGATCCTTTCAGCGCTGGGCGAGTGGCTTGCGCGGACAGCAAGGCAGGCGCCTGCTGCCACGTCAGCTTTCGTCACTGCCAGGCTGGCGAAGGAGAAGGAGACGCTCAGGCGCTGCACGCTGAGGTGTCTGCGAATGGCCTTCCGCAACCCACACGTGCGAGAGAAGGTGAGAGAGAGAGAAGTGGAGAAAGAAGGGTTTAGAGGGACGTGGGTAGGAGGGAAGGTGGCAAGGGATGGAGAGGCTTGGTTTCGGAGGAGCATGCTGAGCTGTCTATTGCTGGCCTTCCTCCCTTTCCCGATGCCCATCGTCGCAGCTCGACCCATGCATGAGCGCACTTGTGGCAAATACTGGTTTCCTTCTCCCTCCTCCCCCCCCGCATTCAGCTCGTGCCATGTGTGGATGCGCTAGTGGCGCTGGTGAAGAGTGGAGTGGCAAAGCCCACCATGCGGCTGGACGGGGTGTATGCTCTGCTGCTGGCAGCATCAATTGCTGCACTTGACCTCGGATCAGGTATGGCCACTGATTGATTCTCCATTAGGCATTCTGCTTATGATCGCATGCACCACCCGTGCGAATATTATGGGGTGTATGCACTGCTGCTCGCTTAATCTTTTTCTGCTGTCGACCTGCGCTCGTATTTACCCTGTGCTTCAGTCGTCACTCTGTGTGTTTGTGTGGGGGGGAGGGAGGGAAGGAGCGAGGGAGGGGGGGGTTGGGGTGAGCGCATGTGTGCGTGTTTCTGTATATATGTATGTGTGGGTTGGTGGAACTACATGTGGCCATGAGTGTGATTATGCATGTGTGCATGTGCATGCATGATGTATGATTGTGCATATGTATGTGTGCACGTGCATGCATGCGTATGCAACAACAGAGGAGAAGCTAGCAAAGGAGAAGGTGTGGCAGCTGGTGCTGCAGGGCGAACCACCCTTCCTCTCCACCTCCATTGTACGCTGCCCTTTCTGCCATCTCTGGCCATTTCTCATCTGCCCATGCTTTCTTTGGCCTGCCTGCCTGCCTGTTCTCTTCCCAACTGCTCATTGGTTCTCTCGTAGGTTCTTGCTCTCCGTTGTTCCATCTTGTTGGTTCTTGTTTCTCATTTTGTTCTCGTTTTAAGAAGCTTATTTACTTCTCTCCTGTTCTACCTTACGTACACCAGGTGCCAAAGGTCACAGGAGAAGAGGACCTTCTCGCCCTGCTTGAATTGGTGGAGGTAGTGCTGCTTCACCACTCGGCCAGGTATAGGTTTGACTCACCTAGTGTAGTACAGGTTGTGTCTGGTGTAGGCTTTATCTGGCTCTGCTTGAATTGGTCGAGGTGGTGTTGCTTCACCACTCGGCCAGGTATTGGTTTGCGTTAGCCTGGTGCAAGTTGCAATTGGTGCAATTGAGGCTTGAATTTGAGTCATTTGTTGCAGCACACAGCTCCTCCCGTAGCCTCTGCTTGCCTGCGCCTCCACATTCGCTTCTTCTTCCTCGCTTATGCTTAATATCTCGTTACCTACCTCTCTCCTTCCTGTCCCTCCCTCCTTTCACGCCCCCCCTCCCTGGTCTCTCTCTTGCATTGTCTTGTCAGCAATGGTTTTGACACAGTGGTCTTGCAATTTCAACCCCTCCCTTCTGGTTTCCCCCTCCCCTCGCTTTCTCTTACCCCCTTAAAATGCTGACTCTCTTAATACCACAGCTCCATCACTGTTCCTCCCTCCCATCCCATCTCTCCGCCCCGCCCTCCATACCCACTCTCTCCCCTGCTTCCTGCCCTGCTCTCCCTCCCTTCTTTCTCACACAGTGTCAGCACGGGTCATGCTGCAGCTGTCAGCACGAATGAGCTCTGCAGGGTAAGTTGCAGACGGCTCCACCTAGAGGAAGTGATCAGCCCAAGCTCTCTTGTCGTATATGATAACTTCTTCTGTTATTGTTTCATTTCCCCTTTTGGTCGTTCTTCTTTGCATATATTGTGCAGCTTCCCTGTGTGATTCCCCGTGCCTTTCATACTACCCCCATGTGCCACGTAACCGTGACCCATTTAGCTTGCTGTGCCCCTGCTGTGGTACCCCTTATCCTCAGTGCGCAAGGCAGCACACGCTACGGTGGCTCGCGTCCATGCCATCTCGCTCCTCCTCTCATCCGCCTCCTTTATACAAACCATACACCTATATAGTCCCGCACCCCCACCCTGCCTCATACAGCTTGTGGTGCACCTGCTGTGGCACCCCTTATCTTCGGTGCGCAAGGCAGCACACGCCATGGTGGCTCGCTTCCACACCATCTCGTCCCTTCCTTCATACATCCCTGTATACCTCATACACCTTATTACCCCACTGTACCCCCATTCACCCCCATATATACAGCTGGCAGTGCATCTGCTGTGGCACCCCTTCTCGTCAGTGCGCAAGGCAGCACACGCCATGGTGGCTCGCTTTCACGCCATCTCGCCTCTCCTCTCCGACTCCCTGCTGGACGCCCTCTCCCTCTCCCTGCCGCCTCTGGAGGATCTCGCAGCAGCTGCGGCCATCAGCACCGGGTGAGTGGCACTCTCTTGGCTTACACTACCCTCCCTGAGTTGAGGCACCTCACCAGTTGACTCTCTGCTGGACGCCCTCTCCCTCTCCCTGCCGCCTCTGGAGGACCTCGCAGCAGCTGCGGCCATCAGCACCGGGTGAGTGGCACTCTCTTGGCTTACACTACCCTCCCTGAGTTGAGGCACCTCACCAGTTGACTCTCTGCTGGACGCCCTCTCCCTCTCCCTGCCGCCTCTGGAGGACCTCGCAGCAGCTGCTGCCGCCTTCCTCCCCCACCGCTGCTGGGGCAGGCGGGCACTGTTGGTGGTGGCGGGTACAGGGGCCGTGGCGGAGAGGGTGGCAAGTGTAGTCGTGGTGCACTAGAGCTCCTCAATACCCTTCCTTTCGTCGTTTTCCCCATCAATTCCCCACACCTTTCGTCGTTCCTCACTCCTCTCACCCTTACCATCTCCCGCAGGGACGCCCCTGAGGCAGCAGCATCACCAGAGTCAGCTGCGGACCGCCTTCCGCCCCCACAGCTGCTGGGGCAGGCGCTGCTGGTGGTGGCGGGCACAGGGGCCGTGGCGGAGAGGGTGGGAGATGTGGTCGTGGTGCACTAGAGCTCCTCAATACCCTTCCTTTCGTCGTTTTCCCCATCAATTCCCCACGCCTTTCGTCGTTCCCAATGTTTCCACACTCCTCTCACCCTTACCATCTCCCGCAGGGACGCCCCTGAGGCAGCAGCATCACCAGAGTCAGCTGCGGACCGCCTTCCGCCCCCACAGCTGCTGGGGCAGGCGCTGCTGGTGGTGGCGGGCACAGGGGCAGTGGCAGAGAGGGTGGGCGTGGCGGCACGGGTGATGCTGCTGGCGCATCACAGGCTTGTGTCTGGGGGACGGAGGAGAGACGTGGTGTGGCAGGTGAGCAGTCTATTGTGGTTCAGCGCGGTTTAGGGAGCTTGGGTGTGGTTTTGCGTGACAAGCTGGTGGGGGCGGGCACAGGGGCAGTGGCGGAGAGGGTGGGTGTGGTGGCACGGGTGATGCTGCTGGCGCAACATAGGCTTGTTGCTGGGGGGGTTTGAGGAGAGACGTGTTGTGGCAGGTGAGCGATTCAGTGCAATTGAGTGCTGTCGGGCGTGGTTTTGGACAGGCACAGAAAGCCACAGGAGCCCTGGCGGAAAGGGTGGGCGTGGTGGCACTGGTAGAGAATTCTGTAGGTTAGAGTTGAAATTCTTGGTGTTAGGGCTCAAGTTTGTCGAATAACCTTGATTTTTCGCTTTTCTTTTGATGTGATGCATGCACTCCACACCCCACAGGAGCTTGTAAGGGCATGGCAGCGTCGCGCATATGAGGTGTCTGCCACTCTGGCTGCGGAGCCTGTTGTTGTGGCTAAGGTATGCGGGCAATCACTGGCTGAGTCGCTCTGTTACTGCATACTTACAAGTCTCAATCGCCATCCAACCCAATCCCCTTTCCAACCTGCGTTTTCCAAGTCTCAAGGGCCATCCAATCTCGATGTGGCCTCTCACCCTCCCCCCCTCTCCTATCTGCTGCTTATGGTGCTCCTGTGATTTCTCCCCAGATTCTGACTGGACCAGCGGGGCTCACATCCAGCCGTCCAGCTCAGTCAGATGCTGCCATCGCAGCCATCCAATCTGCCATGCGCCTCATCCCTGCAGAGTTCTTCCAGCCTCTAGTGATGGTACACTACCCTCTGGCATGCATGCAGGCATGCACGCATGCATGCATGGAGCGTACTTTAGCACTATAGAAGTAGGTGTGGTGCCCATCCAACCACTAGCATGCTTGTAATGCATACATGGGATGCTGGAGGGAAGCCGTGCGTACGCGCGTAACAGTGGCGTGCTGGAGAGTATGTGTGAGATGAGGGAGAGAACTGTCAGCCACACTTTGTTTTCTTCCCACTGCTGTTGAACAGCCACGTGTCTTCCTGTGCTGTGGTTTCCTTGCAATGGCAGGAGCTGGAAGCGGTGGGACAGCGGAAAGAGCACGATGCTCTCACGGATTCGGAGATTAAGGTAGGCATGCATGCCACTCCATGCCATTCCATGCCATGGCACAGCACTCATGGCACAGCACTCATGGTAACAACAACATGACGGGCATACGCATGACTGCATCTTGCTTTGTGTAGGGGGTTGAGGTTGATGGTGTCTCATGGAGGCAGCAGTGTGTGGCATGTGGCATGCGGTGTATGGCATGGCATGGCATGAGATGGGATGGGATAATATCGAGTGACAGAACACAGGACATGGAACGTGTGTGCGTGCATGAATGTAAACACACTCACGTGTGTGTGTTCCCAAGAACAGGAGACATGCCAGACGCTCTCCCTATTTGTTCGTGTGTGTCTCCTCTCCTCTATTCTTTCCTTCCATCAGATATTCAACACTCCCGAAGGCATGCTATCAGCCGAGGACGGAGTGTACGTGGCGGCGGTAGTGAGGAATGAGGAACAGTTACCCTGCCTCCATCTCCCCCTACTCCCGTGCTTCTGGTGACATATGTTTCTCTTCTCCATCCCTCCAGATATTCAACACACCCGAAGGCATGCTCTCAGCAGAAGATGGAGTGTACGTGGCAGCGGTGGTGAGGGACAAGAGCGTGAGGCATACCTAATGCCCACCGTACCTAATTTCCCTGGTTTTATGTGTTTTTCTTCTTTCCTCCCATCAGATATTCAACACTCCCGAAGGCATGCTATCAGCGGAGGACGGAGTGTACGTGGCGGCGGTGGTGAGGGACAAGAACGTGAGGCAGGCGCGGGGCAAGCTGAAGCTGTACGGTGCAGAGCTGGATGACGATGACGAGGAGGAGGAGCCTAGCAAACCTGCCCCGGCTGCTGCACCTGCAAAGAAAGGCGCTGCTGTGAGTTGATTGCATGTTTTTATGACAGTGCTAAGGACCGTGAGAAAGGCGAGGAGCAAGCTGAAGCTGTACGGTGCAAAGCTGGATGCTGGATGATGATGACGAGGAGGAACCCGCCCCTGCCGCTGCTCCTGCGAAGAAAAGCGCTGGTGTAAGCTGTACGGTGCAGAGCTGGATGATGATGATGACGAGGAGGAGGAGCTGCCGAGCAAACCCGCCCCTGCAGCTGCCACTTTGAAGAAAGGCGCAGCTGTGAGTTGTCGGAGTTTCGGAGAATTTGAAAAAAAAAAAAAAGTGGGGAGTGCCTGGGGAGGGATAGCCAGGCGGATTCAGAGGGGGTAGTAGAAGAGAGTGCCATTTGAGGTGCTATGGAGGCAATGACATCTCTGGAAGCAGCTAAACAAGCACCACCTGTCATGTCATGTCACATCAGGAGCAAGCACCTGTGATGTGCTATCCCCACCCTGTGACACTGTTTGTGTGTGCAGGCCACACCAGGAGCACGTGGTGCAGGTGGAGCCGGTGGCCCAAAAGGGGCGGCTGGGCTGGGAGAGGAGTCTGTTTCTGGGACGCCTCAAATTCAGAAGCAGCTATGCAAGCACTTTCTGTCATGTACTTCATGTTCTATACCAACCCTTCCCTGTGACACTGTTTGTGTGTGCAGGCCATGCCAGGAGCATGTGGTACAGGTGAGGCCGGTGGCCCGAAGGGGGCGGCTGGGAGAGAAACAGGCAAGAAGGACGCGGGAAAGCCCTTGGCAAAGAAAGCCAATCTTGTACCATTCCATTGCGCCTCTTCCGCCCGCTGTTTATAACTACAGGCCACACCAGCACGCGGAGCAGGTGGGGCCAGTGGCCCGAAGGGGGCGGCTGGGAGAGGAGCAGGCAAGAAGGACACAGGCAAGCCCGGGGCAAAGAAAGCAGCGGCAGGCGATGGGGAGAAGGGGAAGACTGCCAAGGAGGAGGCAAGGGAGGCTTTGCTGCTGGAGGAGGCAGCAGTGAGGGAGAGAGTGAGGGGGATTCAGAGGCACACGGGGGTGCTGGTGCGGGCGCTGGGTGCGGCTGCTGCTGCCAACCCGGCCTTCTCACACGACCAGCTGCCCCAGCTGGTGAGTCTGCTTTTGAGACGTCTCAAAAGTAGCGGGAGTGCGGGAGAGAGTGAGGGGGATTCAGAGGCACACGGGGGTGCTGGTGAAGGCGCTGGGTGCTGCTGCTGCTGCCAACCCGGCTTTCTCACACGACCAGCTGCCGCAGCTCGTGAGCTTCTCAATCCGTAGATATTCCGTGCTGCCATGCCTACTTTGGTGCTGTGCATGTTAGTGCGTGCCTGTGCGACTGTGCGGCAGCAGTGCAGGCGGATTCCGAAGCGAACCTCTTCTCACCCACCCTCTCTATCCCCTCCATCACCTATTCTGTCTCTTCCCTTCTCTCCCTCTCTCCCTCTCTCCTCCTTCCCAGCCGCCACAACCCCTCTAATTCCCCCAACCCCTCCAGGTAGCGTCCATCCTACCGCTGCTGCGCTCGCCGCTCATCCCCTCACAGGCTTTTGACGCGCTGGCGCAGGTCATGCGCTGCCTCTCCCCCGCGCTACAGCCCTCTAGCCCAAACCTCCGCCACCCCGCTCCCCTCTCCCCCTCCCCCCCAACCCCTCCAGGTAGCGTCCATCCTACCGCTGCTGCGCTCGCCGCTCATCCCCTCGCAGGCCTTTGACGCGCTGGCGCAGGTGATGCGCTGCCTCTCCCCCGCGCTGCAGCCCTTCTCCTGGGACGTCGCCTCCGCCCTCTGCTCCGTCTCCCTCGCAGGGGAGAGCCTGGCAGAGCAGCTTAAGGAGGAGAGCGCGGAGGAGGGCGAGGAGGAGGGAGGGGAGGGGAAGAGGAGGAGGAAGAAGGAGGAGAGTGTGGTGGACAGGGTGGTGCGGGCTGTGTGGGCGGCATGTAAGGAGGGAGGGTCGCTGCCTGCTGCCACGTTTGGCGCTGTGTTCCCGGTAAGAGGGGGAAGACCTCTGTCTGTTCACCAAGGATGTTGAAGGAGAGTGTGGTGGATAGGGTGGTGCGGGCTGTGTGGGCGGCATGCAAAGAGGGAGGGTCGCTTCCTGCTGCCACGTTTGGTGCTGTGTTTCTGGTAAGTGAGGGGAGATATGTTTGTCTGTTCACGGAGGAGGAAGGAGGAGAGTGGGGTGGACAGGGTGGTGCGGGCTGTGTGGGCAGCGTGTAAGGAGGGAGGGTCGCTGCCTGCTGCCACGTTCGGTGCTGTGTTCCTGGTGAGTAACGAATTGCTTGTCTGTCTGTCTATCTGTTTGCGAGTGAGGGACGGTCGCTGCCTGTTTCAATAGTGAGTGGGTGGCGTGGTGGTGGCGTGGTTGTTTACCTTCATCTGATAAGAAGACCTGCCGGCAGGCATGACAACAACCTCTCTCCATCCTCCACCTGCACACCTCGGCCTCCCCTGCATGTTCTCACCTCAGGCACGTCTTTGTGTTTTATGTCCCCTTTTTCCCCCATCAGACCTTCGAGCGGGTGCTGAGGGCGAACAAGAAGTCCCGTCTGCAGGACTCCATCATCTCCATCCTGCAGCTGCACACCTCGCCATTCATCGCATACTCTCAGCTCAGGCACCTCTTTGTATTGTATATGTCTCTCCCTTCCCTATCAGATCTTCGAGAGAGTGCTTCGAGCGAACAAGAAGACCCGTCTGCACGATTCCATTATTTCAATCCTGCAGCTGCACACCTCGCCCTTCATCGCTCTGCCGCGCCTCGCCATGATCTCGGTGCTCTACCACGTGTTGGGCCGCGTCCGCATCTACCACTCACGGGTCCAACCAATTCTGAGGGAGCTGTGCAGAGGCCTCAAGTCCGACGAGATTGGAGGGGTGAGTCGAGGTTTGTTCAGGTCTTGTGCGGTTCTGGTCTGTCAATCTGTGCCATGATCTCGGTGCTCTACCACGTGTTGGGCCGCATCCGCATCTACCACTCACGCGTGCAGCCGATCCTTAGGGAGCTCTGCAGAGGCCTGAAATCGGACGAGATAGGAGGGGTGAGTCACGGTTCGTGGTAGTTTTGTGCGATTCTGGTCTGTCAGTCGGTGCAATGATCTCGGTGCTCTACCACGTGTTGGGCCGTGTGCGCATCTACCACCCACAAGTGCAGCCGATTCTGAGAGAGCTCTGCAGAGGCCTGAAGTCAGATGAAATTGGAGGGGTGAGTCGCGGTTCGTGGGGGTCTTGTGCGATTCTGGTCGGTCAGTCGGTGCCATGATCTCGGTGCTCTACCACGTGTTGGGCCGCGTGCGCATCCACCACTCACGAGTGCAGCCGATTCTGAGGGAGCTGTGCAGAGGCTTAAAATCGGACGAAATCGGAGGGGTGAGTTTCGGTTCGTGGGGGTTCTGTGCGGTTCTGGTCTGTCAATCTGTGCCATGATCTCAGTGCTCTACCACGTGTTGGGCCGTGTGCGCATCTACCACTCACGAGTGCAGCCGATTCTGCGTGAGCTCTGCAGAGGCCTGAAGTCGGATGAGATTGGAGGGGTGAGTTGCAGTTTGTGGGGGTTCTGTGCGGTTCTGGTCTGTTGATCTGTGCTGTGCGTGTGCCTGCTTCACCTGGTGTTTGGCCATGCCTCGTCTTGATCTCAGTTCTCTACCATGTGTTGGGCCGTGTGCGCGTTTGTCATGTGTGGTGTGCTGTGTGCAGCCAGTGCTAGTGTTCTCGTGAATGGGACCTTCAACACGCGTCTTTGTAATGTCGGGCAGGCTTTAATTGGGCCAATTTGCAAGCAGCCCTAACATGTAGTTTTTTCAAGTTCGCGACAACCACATCCCACCCCTTCCCATTCTGCAGGCACTAGAAGGGCTGTTTGCAGAGCAGGCACATGTGAGGGAGGCATGTCTGGAAGCAGTCAAGTATATTCCAACCCTAGCAGCAGGCAAGGCCCCTCAAGACCCCTATGTGGCCTGTGCCATCTGGATGGCCCAATACGACCCCGAACCTGCCAACGCCGAGGCTGCCGAGATGGTCTGGGACATGTACGGGCACGAGCTAGGCCCGGAGTATGCGCCGAACCTGATCGTCAGCCTCGGAAACCCGAGCCAGGAGGTTCGGCTGGCGGCTGCCGAGGCTATGGCGGCAGCTATGGATGAATACCGAGGCACGATCCAGGCCAGTTTGTCGAGCCTGTTCTCGCTGTATGTGCGGGATGCGCCACCTCAGACTTCCATGTGGCGGCCTCAGGATGATGCCACGTGGCACAGCAGGGAGGGCATGGCTTTGGCGATGCGTGCTGCTGCTGACGTGCTGACCACTAAGGAGCTGCCACTTGTCGCCACGTTCCTCATCTCCAAAGCCCTGGTGATTCCTCTTTCCATGCTTCAAATTCTCTTCTTTGGTTCTGCTTGCTTCTGGTGATCCCTCGTTTCATGCTCCAAAGTCTCTTCATTTGTTCTTCTGCTAGCTTCTGTTTCTAGTGTTGATTTGTTTTGCTGAGCTCCTTTCAAGCAGTAAATTGAGCCCTTCTCTATGGCGTCCCCACCCGCTCTGATTCTTTCTCGAACAGGCCGATCCTAATGAGGAGGTTCGGAGGCGCATGGTGGAGGCAGGTTTGGCGATCATCAACCGGCATGGCAAGGAGAACGTGGGACTGCTGCTGCCCATCTTTGAAAACTACCTCGACAGAAAGGTTTGTTGATATGTATCGATCTCAGCTCTTCTCCTCTCTCGATTGAAAAGAAGGCGGATAACAATCTCAGCTTCTCTCTCCGCCTCTTCTCTTCCCTGCACCCGCTGTGTTGAATTTTCAGGCGGACAACGAGCACAGTTATGATCTTGTGCGAGAGGGTGTGGTGGTCTTCCTTGGTGCCCTTGCTAAGCATCTTGCCCCGGTAAGCCTGACAGCTGCCTTCAACGTAACGTTTTTATATTAACGTTTGGCCTGATCACTGATGTTCCTCCCAAGTCCCTAGTGCCCTTGCCAAGCATCTTGCCTTGTTTCGTCTCGTAAGTTTGAGTCTCAAAGAATGTTCTGAGGTCTAACTGCCTCAGAATGGCTTAGCGTGTCAGCCTTGCTCCATCTTTGCCTGAGATGCCCCTTGCTGCGCAGCAGCAGCAGCCATTAGAAAGTACCGAGGTCGAAGGTCAGAATCCTCTTGCAGGGATGCTGTTCGCACCACATCCACATGTCTTGAATCCTCGCGGTATCTTCTCCCTTTCCCAGCACCACCACCTGTATTGCAGTGCCTCATTCACCTTAACTCACCCTCCCCCGAAACTGGTGTATGATTCCGTTTGAACACACAGGAGGATCCCAAGGTGACGCTCATTCTCGCCCGGCTGCTGGAGGTGCTCAACACGCCCTCAGAGGCCGTGCAGAGGGCCGTGTCTGACTGCTTGCCGCCACTCATGCCCGCCATCTCCCTCAAGGTGCGTTTCCCTGTGAGCGTGATAAAGGCATGTCTCATTGTGTGCCTGGTGAGGGCCTCAGAGCCAGGGGCCTTGCAGAGTGCTGTCTCCTCCGACCCGACTGCCTGCCGCCGCTCATGCCCGCCATCTCCCTCAAGGTGCGTCACGTCAGCTTGTTTTATTCATAGGGGTCCCAACTCAACTTGGGATTATGGATTTCGCTCTTGTCCTTTCTCAGCTCGTCTTTCCCCCCTCCTACTCCCAGGCGCCCAGGCGCTCATAGCCCAGCAGCTGAAGGAGCTGCTGACTAGCGACCGCTTTGGCGAGAGGAGAGAGAGGTGCGGTTTTCGCAGGCGCGGTCTTTGCACCAAAGTCAGCTTATCCTCCCATCCCTTCTCCTTCCCCTCCTCTCTCCTCTACTCCACAGGAGGGTGGCGCCCAGGCGCTCATAGCCCAGCAGCTGAAGGTCCTGCTGACGAGTGACCGCTTTGCCGAGAGGAGAGGCGCGGCATTTGGGCTGGCAGGGGTAGTGAAGGGGCTGGGTCTGAGGAGCATCAAAGATTATGGCGTGCTGCAGGCACTGATCAAGGGCGTGGAGGACAAGTGAGTGGGGGGGATAGGTGAAGGGAGTGTGGGAAAAGTTTACAGGGGCAGGGGCAGAGGAGTGGTAGCCAGCTGGCAGGGGCAGGGGTGGTGAAGGGGCTGGGGCTGAGGAGCATCAGGGATTATGGGGTGCTGCATGCACTGATTTAAGGCGTGGAGGACAAGTGAGTGGGGGGGATGAGGGGAAGGTGGGAAAGCATCTAGAGGAGTAGCAGCAAGGTGTATGTTGGGGTGGTGAAGGGGTTGGGGTTGAGGAGCATCAGGGATTGTGATGTGCTGCAGGCGCTGATCAAGGACATGGCAGACAAGTGAGTTGGGGGGAATAGCGTGGGGCGGAGTATTATACTGATGGAAGTGAGGAGGATGGTTGAAGGAAGGATTCGTGAATGAATCTTTTTTAGTTCCTCTGATTTTCACTCCGTAAGCTGTTGGGTTGTTCTCCAACTGCTGCAGTCAATCATTCCTTTAGTGCTACTCTCATATTGGAGTAAAAACTGCTCTTTGTTGCTTGCTGGTGCTGCTGCTCTCGTCCCCAACCAGGTCATCCCCGAAGGCAAGAGAAGGAGCACTCTTCGGCTTTGAATGCCTGTCCGAGAAGCTTGGTCGCCTCTTTGAACCGTGAGTCACGACTCTGAGCATTCATCCCTTACCACGGAACCTACCCCAAGGCCCATATTTGTCCCTTACTCTGAGAATTCTCTAGTTTACGATCCGCATCCTGCCGTACCTCTCTGTTTGTGTGCTACTCAGACACAGCCCAAATCGTTTCCCCTCTCCCCGCTCCCGATCTGCTTAATCTCTTTCTGTTTCCCCTATCACCAGCTACGTGATTCACATCCTGCCGTACCTCCTGGTGTGCCACTCAAACACAGGCACGCCATTGAGGGAGGCCACGGTGCATGCATCCCACCCAATGTCTCCCTCTCCCTATGGATTCTACCTTTTTCGACCGACTTCTGTCTCTTGTTCCCCCCCAAACCCATATTCCCCTCTCCCCAGCTACGTGATCCACATCTTGCCCTACCTCCTGGTGTGCTACTCAGACACAGCCACTCCAGTGCGCGAGGCCACGGTGCATGCGTCTCGCTGCATCATGGGGCAGCTCAGTGCCCCTGGCGTGAAGCTCATCCTCCCTGCGCTGCTCAAGGTAAAAGCTATTCAAGTCGCCTACATTATCATATACGCGGACGCATCCCCACTCTTTAACTTGATATTATTCTTGATCTGACAGCTCCTATGAACGATGGCCTTCCCTGGCCCTCATTTCACCACCCTCCCCTCGTTCCCCGTTGCGATTTGCCACCACTATTCCCGTTCTTCCTTTCCTTTTCCTGGTGATCAGGGCTTGGAGGAGAAGGCGTGGCGCAGCAAGCAAGGCAGCGTGCAGCTGCTGGGAGCCATGGCCTTCTGTCCTCTTTTCAATTCCCCTTCCCATTTCCCGCCCTGATTTGGCACCACTTTCCTCCCTTTTCCTCAACCAGGGATTGGAGGAGAAGGCGTGGAGAAGCAAGCAGGGCAGCGTGCAGCTGCTGGGAGCCATGGCCTTCTGTGCGCCGCGCCAGCTGTCGCACTGCCTTCCCCTCGTGGTGCCCAAGCTCAGCGAGGTGCGTGCGCTGAACAAGGAAGGTAAGTCCTTTGCATCGCCAGAGGAGAGGGAGATGAGTGCAGGTAGAGAGTTTGGGCGAGCAAGGTGAGCGGGAGCCATGACATTCTGTGCCCCCCGCCAGCTCTCGCACTGCCTTCCCCTCGTGGTGCCCAAACTCAGTGAGGTGCGTGCGGTTACAAGTTGTGTGGCTGGCATTGCTCGGATAAATGATTTGCTTAGTCTTCCCTTATCTGATTGATGCAAACCACATATTGGGCAACATACTTGGAACACACAGCTTCGAATCGGTTGTCTGACTGGCTCTCATTCCCAGCCTCGCCTATACCTCATGTTATCCCCTCGAACAACAGGTGCTCACAGACACGCACCCCAAGGTGCAGGCAGCAGCGCACACGTCCCTGCAGCAGGTGGGGAGTGTCATCCGCAACCCTGAGATTGCCGCCCTCATGCCCTGTGCCCTCTGTGTGCCTTTTTCCTCCATTCCCTTGCCCACGACCAGGTATTGACTGACACGCACCCCAAGGTGCAGGCAGCAGCGCACACGTCCCTGCAGCAAGTGGGGAGTGTCATCCGCAACCCTGAGATCGCTGCCCTCGTGCCGTCGCTGCTGGACGGCATCGCCAACCCCAACAAGCACACCCGCGCCTGCCTTGACCTTCTTTTGCAGGTGCCGCATTTGAGACAGTCCGTTGCGATCGCTTAATCATGTCTGGGTTCTTCAAGGTGGCTAGGAAGTTGCCTCACGCCTGGCTGGCATTGCGCAAGCAGCAAGCCCACCAAGGACCGTTTCGTTTTTGTTGCACACACTTTCCCCCTTCTTACCCACCCGCACCCCACCCTCCTCCCCCCACTTTCTCCCACACCCGCCTACCAGACCACGTTTGTGAACTCAATTGATGCAGCCTCCCTCGCCCTCGTGATCCCCATCGTGCACCGCGCCCTCCGCGAGCGCTCCTCCGACATCAAGAAGCGCGCCGCTCAGATCGTCGGCAACACCGTGTCACGCGTCACCAACCACTCCTCGCTGCTGCCATACCTCAACCTGCTGCTCCTCTTGAGCCGTCTCAAACTCTGTGCACGCTGCTTCTTTCTTCCCTTCTCCCCAACCCTTCCCCGTCAAACCAGACCACCTTTGTGAACTCCATCGACGCGGCCTCTCTGGCCCTCGTGATCCCCATCGTGCACCGCGCGCTGAGAGAGCGCTCCTCAGACATCAAGAAGCGCGCCGCTCAGATCGTAGGCAACACCGTCTCCCTCGTCACGGACCACTCCTCACTCCTTCCCTACCTCAACCTGCTGCTCCCCGGGCTCAAGAAAGTGTTGTTAGATCCGCATCCGGACGTGCGCACCGTGGCGGCCAAGGCGTTTGGGTCGTTGGTGCGCGGCGTGGGCGAGCACGAGTTCCCCGACCTCGTGCCCTGGATGCTCGAAACCATCGGGTACGCTGTTCTCCTTGGTATCTGCGTTCGTTTCGAAGCGTGTTTTCTGCTTTCGGAATTGACTCAAGATCTCATGGTCCTATACCCAACCCCACCCCCCTCCCTCCCCTCCCCTCCCCCACGCCCCTTTCGCCTCTCGCTGCTGCAGGTCCGATGCATCGAGTGTGGAAGGTCAGGAGCGGCGCAGGGGTTGAGCGAGGTGCTGGGGGCGCAGGGCCGGCACCGGTTCGAGGTGCTCTGAACCCACCCAACCCCCACCCACCCCCACCCCCCTTCCCCCCCTCTTCCCCCACCTCTTCTGACCTTTGTTCTGCATGTCAGATGCATCAAGTGTGGAGAGGTTGGGAGCGGGGCAGGGGTTGAGCGAGGTGCTGGGGGCGCAGGGCCGGCACCTCTTCGAACTCCTGCTGCCTGACCAACCACCCCCTCCCTCCCTTCCCACCCCCCCCAATTCTGTCTTTAACCACTGTTGCAGGTCCGATGCATCGAGTGTGGAGAGGTTGGGAGCGGCGCAGGGGTTGAGCGAGGTCCTGGGAGCGCAGGGCCAGCACCTCTTCGAACTCCTGCTGCCTGACCAACCACCCCCTCCCTCCCTTCCCACCCCCCCCAATTCTGTCTTTAACCACTGTTGCAGGTCCGATGCATCGAGTGTGGAGAGGTTGGGAGCGGCGCAGGTGTTGAGCGAGGTCCTGGGAGCGCAGGGCCAGCACCTCTTCGAACTCCTGCTGCCTGACCAACCACCCCCTCCCTCCCTTCCCACCCCCCCCAATTCTGTCTTTAACCACTGTTGCAGGTCCGATGCATCGAGTGTGGAGAGGTTGGGAGCGGCGCAGGGGTTGAGCGAGGTCCTGGGAGCGCAGGGCCAGCACCTCTTCGAACTCCTGCTGCCTGACCAACCACCCCCTCCCTCCCTTCCCACCCCCCCCAATTCTGTCTTTAACCACTGTTGCAGGTCCGATGCATCGAGTGTGGAGAGGTTGGGAGCGGCGCAGGGGTTGAGCGAGGTCCTGGGAGCGCAGGGCCAGCACCTCTTCGAACTCCTGCTGCCTGACCAACCACCCCCTCCCTCCCTTCCCACCCCCCCCAATTCTGTCTTTAACCACTGTTGCAGGTCCGATGCATCGAGTGTGGAGAGGTTGGGAGCGGCGCAGGGGTTGAGCGAGGTGCTGGGAGCGCAGGGCCAGCACCTCTTCGAACTCCTGCTGCCTGACCAACCACCCCCTCCCTCCCTTCCCACCCCCCCTGTCTTTAACCACTGTTGCAGGTCCGATGCATCGAGTGTGGAGAGGTCAGGGGCGGCTCAGGGGTTGAGCGAGGTGCTGGGGGCGCAGGGCCGGCACCGGTTCGAGGTGCTGCTGCCAGACCTGCTGGCGGGGTGCTCACACAAGGTGGCGACTGTCAGAGATGGCCATTTGACTCTGTTCAAGGTGAGTCAACACTGGTCAATGCTGGTCAACGCTGGTCAATGGGAGTCAATGCTCAAAGACACCGGTTTAAGGTGCTGCTGCCAGACCTGCTGGCGGGGTGCTCGCACAAGGTGGCGACTGTCAGGGACGGGCATCTGACGCTGTTCAAGGTGAGTCAACAATGGTCAAAGTGAGTCAACGCAGGTCGAGTCAACGCTGTTCAACGTTAGTCAACTCTAGTCAATGCTGGTCAACTCTACTTCTTCGAGATGCCAAAAAAGAACCTCCCCTGCTCTTCCCTCGTGCCTTGCATTGCAGTACCTACCGCTTGCCTTCGGTGCACCCTTCCAGAACTACCTCCCCCAAGTGCTGCCTGCCATCCTCGACGGTACGTGATGTGATGCTCCAAATCTACCTGCCCCCCATTTCTCTTTTCTTGTTGTTGCCTCCGGATAAGAATGCTAGGCCGAATTGCTTTTCTATTTCCTCCCTCCCTCCCCACATCCACCCTCAGGTCTGGCGGATGAGAGTGAGCGTGAGAGTGCTTATCCTTAATTTCCTTTACCTTCCCTCCCTCCCTTCCCACATCACCCCCCAGGGCTGGCGGATGAGAGTGAGAGTGTGCGCGATGCAGCACTGGCAGCTGGGCATGTGTTGGTACAGCAGTACGCCATCAGGTGTGTTCCTTCTCGCCCCGTACTCTTTTTGTCTGTTCTATTTCTCTGTGATCACTTATGTGTTTCGCCTGTTTCCCCCCTTCTATTCCCTCCTATCCCCTCCTCTCCATTCCTAGCCCTATCTTATAACAGCCAGCATTTCTTTCACCTTGCTCTCGTTCCCCCCCCCCCCCCCCCCCTCCTCCCATCAACCCCCCACCCCCCTGTCCTCTCCCCCCACCCCTCGCGCCCTCTCCCTATCTTTTTTTTTTTTTTTTTTAACTCCTCCTTACCAGTTCGCTGCCACTGCGGCTGCCAGCGGTGGAGGAGGGGCTGTTCAGCGACAGCTGGCGGATCAGGCAGAGCTCCATGGAGTTGCTGGGCGACCTGCTCTCCTTTCTCCTTACCCTTCCCTTCCTCTCTCCTCCCATGCCCCCCCAGCTCGCTGCCTTTGCTGCTGCCAGCGGTGGAGGAGGGGCTCTTCAGCGACAGCTGATATGCTCCTTTCACCTCACCCTCTTTCCTCACTCTTCTCCCTCCTCTCTCTCCCCTTTTCCCCCATCCAGTTCGCTGCCTTTGCTGTTGCCAGCGGTGGAGGAGGGGCTGTTCAGCGACAGCTGGCGGATCAGGCAGAGCTCCATGGAGCTGCTGGGCGACCTGCTCTTCAAGGTGACTGTAACGAGGGGGGAGAGGGTATTTTAGGTTGCTACAGGTGACTACAATTGGGAGCTATTGATGTGATTTTGATTGTGACGAGAGCTCCATTGAGCTGCAGGGCGACCTGCTCTATTGACGTGACAATAATGAGGGGAGGAGATGGGAGGGGTGGGGTATTTTTGGTGACCACAGGTGACTTTAGTTGGGGGTCATTGAAGGTTTTTTTTTTTTCTTCTTCTTTTCTTTTTTTTTTCACGTCGTTATAACTCCCCTTCTTGTCCTGCTTCTTCCTCGTGCTCATCCTCGCTTTTCATCACATGTCGCAGGCACGTCAGGCAAGGTGGTGTTGGAAGGTGGCAGTGACGACGAGGGAGCCACCAAGGAGGCGCTGGGCCTGGCAATTCTTGCCACAACTCTCCATAACTCCTCCTCCCTTTTCCTCGTTCTCCCTCTATCTTCCAACCCACCATCACAGGTTGCGGGCACGTCAGGGAAGGTTAGGTTGGAGAAAGGCAGCGACGACGAGGGCTCCAGCACGGAGGCGCAGGGCTGGGCGATTCTTGCTACTGCTCTTCATAACTCCCTTCTTCCGTCTGTCATTTTCCTTCTCTCTCACATCAGGTCGCGGGCACGTCAGGCATGGTTGTGCTGGAGGGCGGCAGTGACGACGAGGGCTCCAGCACGGAGGCACATGGCCGGGCGATTCTTGCCACAACTCTCCATAACTCCTTCCTCCTTGTTCTCATTTTCCCCTCGTTTCTTTCTCCTCGCCTCAGGTGGCAGGCACATCAGGGAAAGTCGTTTTGGAGGGAGGCAGCGACGACGAGGGGGCGAGCACGGAGGCGCAGGGCCGGGCAATTCTGGACGTGCTGGGGCTGGAGAGGCGCAACGAGGTGCTGGCTGCTGTGTACATCGTTCGATCAGATGTGTCACTCTCCGTGCGACAGGTGAGGAAACCAAATGTGCTGATACGAGAGCATCTGTTGAGGCACGTACCTAGTTGTTGGCAGTGAAGTGAAAAGAAGAAGGGGCTCCCGGGGTTGAGAATCCTGGTGTGTAGAAGGTGTTTCTGAGTTGAAGCATCCCCAAGAGGGCCGGGCGATTCCGGTCGTGCTGGGGCTGGAGAGGCGCAACGAGTTGCTGGCTGCTGTGTACATCGTTCGATCAGATGTGTCACTCTCCGTGCGACAGGTGAGCCATGGGGGGTTGAGGCATGGGGAGGTGGGGCATGGGGGGTTGAGGCATGGGGGGGTGGGGCATGGGAGTGAGGCATAGTAGTGATGCATAGGGGTGGGCATGGGCACGAGTGATGAGAGGCGCAACGAGGTGCTGGCTGCTGTGTAGATTGTTCGATCCAACGTGTTGCTGTCCGTGCGACAGGTGAGGAAATTATGGGGACATGGGCATGAGTGGTGAGAGTGTGGAAGTAGTTGCTGGCTGCCTTGTAGATCGTGCGATCAGATGTGTCGATGTCCGTGTGACAGACAGGTGTCGATGTGTGCTACCTACCCCCACATACTTCCCTCCATTCCCTTCCCCCCTCCTCCCCTCACTGCAGTCGGCGGTGCATGTGTGGAAGACCATAGTGGCCAACACGCCTCGCACGCTCAAGGAGATCATGCCCACACCGCACGCTTGCGCTCTTGTTCACCTTCATATCTCCGCTCGCTTCCCTCCCTCCCTCCCTCCCTCCCTATTCCCCCTCTTGCTCCACTGCGCCTGCAGTCCGCGGTGCACGTGTGGAAGACCATAGTGGCCAACACCCCGCGCACGCTCAAGGAGATCATGCCCACACTCATGCGCCTCCTCATCGACTCCCTCGGCTCACCTTCTTTCGAGCGCCGCCAGGTCAGATCGGGGCTTGTAGAGGCATTCACTTCGCTGCATGCGAGGTAAAACACACGCAGTTAGGCTATTTCATTCATCATAAGTCTCATCCTTATGTGGACTGGCGGCCACAGTATGGTAAGGCTTCACTCCGCGCACGCTCAAGGAGATCATGCCCACACTCATGCGCCTCCTCATCGACTCCCTCGGCTCACCTTCTTTCGAGCGCCGCCAGGTCAGATCGGGGCTTGTAGAGGCATTCACTTCGCTGCATGCGAGGTAAAACACACGCAGTTAGGCTATTTCATTCATCATAAGTCTCATCCTTATGTGGACTGGCGGCCACAGTATGGTAAGGCTTCACTCCGCGCACGCTCAAGGAGATCATGCCCACACTCATGCGACTCCTCATGGACTCCCTCGGCTCGCCGTCTTTTGAACGCCGCCAGGTGGGAATGAGGGGATTGAGGTATGCACAGCACTAGTAGTATCACAGTATCACCCCCGCGCACGCTCAAGGAGATCATGCCCACACTCATGCGACTCCTCATCGACTCCCTCGGCTCGCCGTCTTTTGAACGCCGCCAGGTGGGAATGAGGGGATTGAGGTATGCACAGCACTAGTAGTATCACAGTATCACCCCCGCGCACGCTCAAGGAGATCATGCCCACGCTCATGCGCCTGCTCATCGACTCCCTCGGCTCGCCCTCCTTCGAGCGCCGCCAGGTGAGGATGGGACTACATTCATATTGGATTTCCTGTGATCTCATCGCAACCACCATTCCCTATGCTCTCCATGCATGTTAGTGTGTTGCCATACCATCACTATCCACATTTGTTAAACACAACACCTCGAGTCCTACCCCCCACCCAACCCTCGTCCTCCTCCTCTACTCCTCTGTGTCCCCCAGATGGCCAGTCAGGCCATAGGCGAGTTGGTGCGCAAGTTGGGCGAGCGAGTGCTGTTCTGGCTGACACCTTTGTCTGCCTGCCCTTTTCTATCCCTCCAATCTGTGCGCCACTCCTCCTGTGTCCCCCCACCTGTGTCCTCTTCTCCTCTGAGTCCCCCAGATGGCCAGTCGGGCCATAGGCGAGTTGGTGCGCAAGCTGGGAGAGCGAGTGCTGCCTTCTGTGGTGCCCATCCTCTCTGCTGGCCTCAAGGACCCCAACCCTGCCACCAGACAGGTGCGTTTCAAGACTCTAAAACCAGGACCCCCAATTCGAACCAGAGAAAGGTGGATGGGTGGGTGCGCATGCTGCCTCGGTGCTACCCTCAGTGGTGCCCATTCTCTCTGCCGGACTCAAGTATCCCAACCTGGCCACCAGACAGATTTGTGTGCGTGCACGCGTCGTGTGCATGTGCGGGTGGGGTAGGTTGGGTGGTTGCGTCACTCGCGGTGGGTGGTTGGGTGGGTGGGTAGCGTATATGTGGAATCCTGCCCTCTGGAGTGGTCCTTTGCCTGCCTCTGTGCCGCACACTGCTGTCTGTTCATCTCATGTCGTCACAACTCATCTCTCCATCCATGTCATCAAGGCCATTCGCTCCGTTCCATAGGACGCCGCTATAGCACGCTGTGTTCATTCTCTTGTTGTCTATTTATGTCTGCAGGGTGTGTGCTGTGGGCTGGGCGAGGTGATGAACGCAGCAGGACGGCAGAACCTCACATCCCACCTGAGAATTCTCAGAATTGACACCTATTCATGCCATGAAAATCCTTGGCTGTCTTTTTGTGCCTGCAGGGTGTGTGCTGTGGGCTGGGCGAGGTGATGAATGCAGCAGGGCGGCAAAACCTCACCTCCCATCTGGACGATCTTATTGGCACCATCCGTACCGCGCTCTGTGACGAGTGAGAAAGAATGCATGGGCATGCTGCGTATGTATAATGTATGTAACAGGTGGTGTGTATTGTGCAGTAGAACCTCACATCCCATCTGGACGACCTTATTGGCACCATCCGCACCGCACTCTGTGACGAGTGAGTCCAACCAACCAGCCAACCAGTGAAGCGCTGTGCCTTTGTCATAGATGGTGCGTAGGCCGCGCCGCAGAACCTCACCTCACATCCCACCTGGATGATCATATCGGCACCATCTGCACTGTACTCTGTGACGAGTGCTGCATGCATGCCTCTCGCATGCATGACGAGTTCTCCCTCCCATGTTTTCGTCCGCGCTCCTTCTGCTCATCGTGCTCCTCTACTCCTTCGTTCCTCCCTGTCTCTCATGTTGAGCAGGGATGCTGAGGTGCGGGAGGCAGCAGCACAGGCCTTCAGCACACTCTACAAGGTGGGTGCTTTCACAGGTTAATCCGTTCTCTCATGTGCATAGGACTTGCGGGTATAGAGATGATTTTTTTGGCACCCCAAAAGGAGGCAGCAGCACAGGCCTTCAGCACGCTCTACAAGGTGTGTGCCTTCGAGGGAAATCCATTCTGTGAAAGTCAATTCTTTCACTGAATTGCTGCACTGAACTGCTGCTCCTCCAATGCATGTATGTGCCTGGGGGCTGAGAGGCAGCAGCACAGGCCTTCAGCACGCTCTACAAGGTGTGTGCCTTCACAGGTTAATCCGTTTTCTCGTGGGTATACGACTGTCAGAGTCAATTCGTTTCGCAAGAATGCTACACAAACTGAACTGCTGCTCTTCCTCTACTTGCGCTTGCTTTCCCTTCCCATCAGAGCGCGGGCATGCAAGCTATCGATGAGATTGTGCCAGCCCTGCTGCACTCTCTGGAACCGACCAAAGGGACCCTCCCCCCACTCCCCCTCTGTACCCTACCATCTTCCTCCCCCTGCCTACACAGAGTGCGGGCATGCAAGCTATCGATGAGATCGTGCTAGTCCTGCTGCATTCTCTGTAGGACCCCCACACATCTGCCACGGGGTGTTGTGAGTTGACTGTAAACACCCCACCGCTTCCACCCACCTCCCTTCCCCCCCCTTCCCATCAGAGTGCGGGCATGCAAGCAATTGATGAGATTGTGCCAGCACTGCTGCACTCTCTAGAGGATCCTCGCACGTCTGCCACGGCCCTTGACGGGCTCAAACAGATTCTCAGGTGGGATGGGTTCAGGTGAATTTTCAAGTGGAATGTGTTCAGGTGAATTTTCAGGTGGGATTGTGATACTCAGGCTGGATCCCAGATTCAATAGCAGCATATTGCAGCCTGAGTATGTTTCACCTTGAGTCTTACTCCATTTCTCCCCTCTGCCTCCCCCCCCCTCGCCCCCTCCCCCATCCTGCAGTGTGCGCACCACTCTCGTGCTGCCCCACATCCTGCGCTCATCGAGGTTTCTGAGTCTTGCCTACAAGTCATTCCATTTCTCGCTCTGCCTCATCCCCCTTCTCCCTCTTCCCTCCTCCCCCTTGTGTTGCAGTGTGCGCACCACTGTCGTTCTGCCCCACATCCTGCCCAAGCTCGTCAAACCGCCTCTCACGTACGTAAACTGCCCTTCCACTGCCCAATACGTGTGGGGATCCCACTTGCTCCCTTTCTTGTCCAATCTACCAGTAGATCTAATTGGCGGACTCAATGTTTGGGTTTACTTTCTCCCCTTTACCCACCCCTGATCTCGCCCACACAGGGAGTTCAAGGCACATGCTCTGGGTGCGCTGGCAGAGGTGGCAGGTGCAGGCATGTGTGTGCATCTGTCCACGGTGCTACCGCCACTGCTCAACGAGATGGGGCAGATGGAGGAGGTGAGTGGAGCTGGAGAGCCGAGGTGCGGTCCTACGGTCTCTTAAGTGTTTTGAGACGTCTCAAAGCACTCCTTTTTTCAAGGTGCGGTCCTACAATCTCTTAAGTGCTTGTGTGTTTGTTTTGAAACGTGTCAGAACGAGCCTTCCTCCCTAGCACTTTCAAAAGCATCTGCGTTTTTTTGGCATGGTTAAGGTTGAGGCATCTCTTATAACCTTTCTCTGTTGCTCGTTTTCAGCAACCTTCCTCCTCCCCCTCTCTTCTCTCCCGTCCAACCTCCCCGATTCCCCCTACGGTCCATGGCAGTGGCATCAGCAGAGGCGGTGGTGAAGGGAGTGGACGAGGAGGGTCTGAACCCTCTTTTAGGCAAACTCACACTGCTTCCTCTCCCTTCTGTTCCCCATCACCTCCCGTGCGCTCCGTTCTGTTACTCCCTTCCAATAGTCTCCCTTGCGTTCCATGGCGGTGGCGTCAGCAGAGGCGGTCGTGAAGGGCGTGGACGAGGAGGGTCTCGACTCTCTCATTGGCGAGCTCACGCACGCTCTCTCTGATAACTCGGTACGTTTTGGCCAGTGGGGAGTGGTAAGGGGTGAGTGGGGAGGGGAAAGATGGTGAAGGGGCTGGACGAGGAGGGGCTGGACTCTCTTACAGGCGAGCTCACCCACGCGCTCTCTGATAACTCGGGATGTCTGGGAAGATGTAAGGGTGGGTGGTAGAGGTGGGGATGGGGGTGAGTGGGGAGGGGCTGGGGTGGATGAGGAGGGGCTGCAATTTCTTATAGGCGAGCTCACCCACACACTCTCGTGTTTTGAATCGACTCAAAACACAACTGCAACTTCTTCTCAAGGAGCTCACCCACACTCTCTCTTCTGCTCCTATCTCCTCTCCTCGTCTCTGCTCGTCTCTCCTTTCCTTTCCCCTCTTCTCCTCACCATGTCCTCCCTTCCTCTCCTCTTCCCTTCCCCCCATCCTTCCCAGGCTGTCATGAGGCGCGGAGCAGCGAAGCTTCTGGGAACGTTCTGCAAGATCACACGTGTGGATCTGGAGGAGGAGCTGCCATCACTGATGACCATTCTCATCGTCATGCTCGCTGACCCCGATGAGGCCTGTGTGAAGGTGAGATATACGAGTGCATGGTGTATTGTTGCGCAGACATGTTGTGATGGATGGAGGAGGAGCTGCCGTCGCTGATGACCATCCTGATCGTCATGCTGGCTGACCCTGATGAGGCCTGTGTGAAGGTATTTGATGAGTGTAGACTATCCATGTTGTGGTGGCATGGGGAGGAGGAAGAGCTACCTACCGTCGCTGATGACCATTCTCATCGTCATGCTGGCAGACCCCGATGAGGCTTGTGTGAAGGTACGATATACAATACGAGTGCATGGTGTATTCACTTCACTGTAGTGGTGGTATGGGATGTGTGTGGGTCTAGAGGAGGAGCTCCCATCGCTGATGACCATCCTCATCGTCATGCTGGCTGACCCGGATGAGGCTTGTGTGAAGGTACGTGCGGTGTGCTGAGTGCAGACTATGCATGGGCAAGTGTTGCTGTATGGAATGGAGTGCATGTGTGGGCTGGGGGCAGGCGCTGACCATTTTGAAGGAGTCGCTGCCAGTGCAGAGTGTACCCCTCCTCACCATGCATTCCCCATCCTCCCTCTCCCCCATGCTCTAACCTCCCTTCTCCCCTCTCCCCTATCCCTTCTCACAGGTGGCATGGGAAGCGCTGGGCAGTGTCACGAGCACCATTCCCAAGGAGTCGCTCCCAGTGCACCTCAAAGTGGTTCGAGACGCTGTTGCCACAGCCAGGGACAGGGAGAGGCGGAAGAGGAAGGTGGGTCCCTTTCCTTGTGCAATTCATGCCCTTTTTCTACTTTTACAACGTTTTCTCTGCTCGTGGTCTCACTCTCAGTATGGTCTTTCTCCTCCTCTCGTTCCCACTCTGCAGGGCCTTCCCATGCTCGTTGCTGGTTTCTGCCTGCCCAAGGGCTTGCAGCCGGTGCTTCAGATATACCTGCAGGTGAGTGTCTCAGTTTCTGTTGAGAGGGTTTGGATTTACCTGCCACAGATATACCCGCAAATCAATCTAGGGCTTGCAGCCGGTGCTTCAGATATACCTGCAGGTGAGCGTCTCAGTCTCTGTTGAGAGGGTTTGGATTTACCTGCCACAGACGTACAAATCATTTTAAGGCTTGCAGCCGGTGCTTCAGATATACCTGCAGGTGATTGTTCCTTCCTGTCTCTGTTGGGGGATTTCGATGCTTCAGATGCACCTGCTCCAGATATACCTGACGTGCCACCAGGCTCCATCATGCAGAGACGTCTCAAAACTTCCCCAGCCAGAGATGCCACAGGCAGCAGCAAGCACACCCGTCTCACCTGTCTCATCCCCTCCCCCTCCCGCTCCCCCTCCCCTCCCCCTCCCACTTCCCTTCCCCTTCCCCCACCCCCACCCCACCCCCTCCAGGCGCTCATGTTGGGATCAGCAGAGATGCGAGAGGCAGCAGCAGACGGTTTGGCAGAGCTCATAGACGTGGCCAGTGAGGTGGCGCTGCGGCCATTTGTTGTTCCCATTACTGGGTGAGCGTGGATGGGCGTGGATGGGTTTGGATGGGTGTGGATGGATTTGGATGGGTTTGGATGGGTGTGGATGGATTTGGATGGGTGTGGATGGGTGTGGATGATAGACATGGCTAATACTCTGTGATGCCCATCACTGGGTGAGCATTAAGTAGTAGAGTAGATGGGAACAATGCATGAGCATGGATATGTTGCTCCTCCCACGCTTCCTCACAGCCCTCTCTTTCCCTCTCCCCCTCCCTCTCCCCCCCCCCATGCCTCCCCCCCGGCCTCCCCCCTTCCCTCTCCCCGTCACCTCTCCCTCTCTCCCCCCCTCCCTCTTCCCAGCCCCCTCATCCGCATAGTGGGGGATCGCTTCCCCTGGCAGGTCAAGGCGGCCATTCTCTCTACCCTCGCCATTCTCATCTCCAAGGGCGGCATCGCACTCAAGCCCTTCCTGCCGCAGCTGCAGACCACCTTCATCCGCTGCCTCCAGGACTCCAACCGGTGAGCCTGTGGGTATTTGCTGCAGGTGTTTTACAACAAGTGCTTGGTAGCATGTGCACTGTGCTGCTGCTGGTACTCCAAGGAGAGAGTCGCGCTCAAGCCCTTCCTGCCGCAGCTGCAGACCACCTTCATCCGCTGCCTCCAGGGCTCCAATTGGTAAGCTTATGAGGAGAGACTCGTGAAGCAAGCATATGGTGTATGCGTATGTGGAGGTGGCGTGGGGGCAGATTTGAGGACAGAGGTGCGTCCTGTCCTGCCCTTCTTGCCAGTTCAGCTCAACTCGAGTCGAGCCAGATGAGCCGGCTCGGCTCGACCTTTAGACGAACCAAGTCGTCAGCTTCGGACGATGCGCATGCCTATCCTATTGCCGTCGTCGATTCAAACCGTATCTCCCACATCCCTCACCCCTGCTTTGCCAGCTGACAGCCTCCCAACCCATCTACTTTCCCTCACTCTCACAAACCACCCACCTCCCGTTCTCCCCTTCCTCCCTTCCCAGCACGGTGCGTTCGCGAGCAGCCAAGGCGTTGGCGCAGCTGACAGCTTTCCAACTACTTCCCCTCAACCTCACACCATACCCTCGACCCCACCTTCCCCCCCCTCTCCCATCTCCCCAGCACGGTGCGCTCGCGAGCAGCCAAGGCGTTGGGGCGGCTGACAGCTCTCAACCCAAGAGTGGATGCTCTCATCTCCGACCTCCTCAACTCCATCCAGGTCAGCACACTGCCACGTCAGCACTCTGTCCATGTCAGCACTTTGTCCACGTCAGCACTATGTCCACATCAGCACAATACCGGCTTCTTCCCTCCTCTCCCCTTCCTGCTTCTACTCCCTTCCCTTTCGTCCCCTCCTTCCTCCCCTCCCTCCTATTCAGACCGCAGACGGGGCAGTGAAGGAGTCGATGCTGATGGCCATCTGTGGAGTGGTGAGGCACGGAGGCAAGGCGGCCTCTCCCGCGTCGCTGGAGCGCCTCTCCTCGTCGCTGCAGGCTGTGCTGTTCGCGGGCCCCCTCCCTTTCTCCGTCCGCTCCTGCCCCTCTCTCCCCTCACTTTCCTTCCCCCCCTCCGCCCCATCTCTCCCGTCTCTCCCGTCTCTCTCGTCTGTCCCTTCTCTTCCCCTTCACGCTCCCATATTTTCCTTCCCCTACAGACTGCAGACGGGGCAGTGAAGGAGTCGATGCTGATGGCAGTGCGTGGAGTGGTGAGGCACGGAGGCAAGGTGGCCTCTCCTGCCTCTCTCGAGCGCCTGTCCTCGTCACTGCAGGCGGTGCTGTTCGCCTCGGACAGCGATGACGACTCTGTTGTTCGCTCTGTTGCTGCCAGAGCTTTGGGCGGTACTGCACAGGTGAGAGTGAGAGGCAGCTCTGGGGGATACTGATCAGGTAAGATATTCCCCATTATTTGAGGGATGTTCTTGTGTGGGCGTATCCTCCCCTGGTTTTTGAGAATTCTCAAAAACCAGCTCTGATCAGGTAAGGAATCCTCCATTAACTAAGGGATGTCCTTGTGTGGGATGTCCTTGTGTGGGCGTATCCTCCCCTCTCACCTCCGTCTCTGCTGCCCCAGTGCCCGCCTTACACATCCTTTATTTCAATCAACCCTCATCAAAGTGTAGCGACATGGGAAATCCCCTTTCCTCGCACCCCTCCCCCTTCCTCTCTTCCACCAAACAGTATCCATCGCAGCCGGATTACCTCTCCCTCCTCTCCCTCCTCTCCCTCCTCTCCCCACCCCCTCCCTGCCTCCCTCATGTTCTGTACTCGTACTCCCTCTTTTCCCCTTTCCCACCTCTCCCCCAAACAGTACTTATCGGAACCCGACTACCTCTCCCTTCTCGCCGCCCTCGCCGCCCCTCTCCCCTCCTCCCGGCCCTGGTCGCACCGTCTTGCAGCCGCACTCGCCCTCTCCTCCCTCCTCCGCCACACCGCCTCCCGCCCTCAAGCTCCCAGCTACTGTTATCGGACTCGAAGCACAGGCACCTAGAGAGCAGTTGTGATGAGGCTCCATACAGGAAACTGGCTCCTTTTCTCTCTCTCTCTCTCTGTCATTTACCATACTCCCTCTTTTTCCCCACTTCCCCCTCCCTTACACCCCCAACAGTACTTAGCCGAACCAGACTACCTCTCCCTTCTCTCTGCCCTCGCCGCCCCTCTCCCCTCCTCCCGGCCCTGGTCGCATCGCCTCGCAGCCACACTCGCCCTCTCCTCCCTCCTCCGCCACACCGCCTTCGCCACTCAACCTCCGACCTACTGCACCCAGAGAACAAACACCGAGGATGAGGTTCCATACAAAAATTAGACCCTCGTCCTCTCTGTCTCTCTCCCATACCCCTACCCCCTCCCTCTACCCCTTCAGTACCTATCGGAGCCGGATTACCTCTCCCTTCTCGCCGCCCTTGCAGCCCCCCTCCCTTCTTCTCGCCCCTGGTCGCACCGCCTTGCAGCCGCACTCGCCCTCTCCTCCCTCCTCCGCCACACTGCCTCCCGCCCCGCGCCCCTGCCAGCATCCCAGCTCGCATCCGTTGCCGAAAAGTCAGCGGTGGCGATAAGAGCACATGCAGGGGATGATAAGGTGCCGGTGCGGGAGACGGCGGCTAAGGCGGCGGGGCGGTGGCTGGTGCTGTTTGGGATGGGCGGGGGGAGTGCGGCGGGGGTGGTGGCGGTGCTGGCTTCGCTGCTGGGGGATGCTGCTAGTGACGTGCGGAGGAGAGCTCTGTCTGCTGTCAAGATGGTTGCCAAGAAGGTGGGTCAACTCAACATGGTCAGAAGGGTCAATGTGGTCGACTTGGATCCGTGGTGGGGGTGCTGGCTTCGCTGTTGGGGGATGCTGCTAGTGACGTGCGGAGGAGGGCGCTGTCTGCTGTGAAGATGGTTGCCAAGAAGGTGGGTCAATTCATGGAACAGGATCAACAGGGTCAAGCTGGTAGGCCTACTTGCTTGCTTCCTCGCTGCTGCTAGTGACGTGCGGAGGAGAGCCCTGTCTGCGGTCAAGATGGTTGCCAAGAAGGTGGGTCTTTGGAGTCATTGCTACCCCACCCACCAACCTGTATCTGGCCGTTGTGACTACAGGAGCCCATCCCTGCAAAGCTCCTGGCTTTGCTGGGCCTGCTCCTGTCCGAGTCCCTTAAGGATACGAGTCAGTGCATGCATTCCCCTCCTATTTCTCCCTTCCCCCCCAATTCCCCCCACATCACTCCTCTATGCTCTGACTACAGGAGCCCATCCCAGCAAAGCTCCTGGCTTCGCTAGGCCCGCTCCTGTCCGAGTGCCTCAAGGACACAAGTCAGCCTGTGCCCTCCTCACCCCTCCCCTCCACCCACCCAACCCCATCACTCCTCTATGCTCTGACTACAGGAGCCCATCCCAGCAAAGCTTTTGGCAGTGCTGGGTCCGCCCCTGTCGGAGTGCCTCAAGGACACAAGTCAGCCTGTGCCCTCCTCACCCCTCCCCTCCACCCACCCAACCCCATCACTCCTCTATGCTCTGACTACAGGAGCCCATCCCAGCAAAGCTTTTGGCAGTGCTGGGTCCGCCCCTGTCGGAGTGCCTCAAGGACACAAGTCAGCCTGTGCCCTCCTCACCCCTCCCCTCCACCCACCCAACCCCATCACTCCTCTATGCTCTGACTACAGGAGCCCATCCCAGCAAAGCTTTTGGCAGTGCTGGGTCCGCCCCTGTCGGAGTGCCTCAAGGACACAAGTCAGCCTGTGCCCTCCTCACCCCTCCCCTCCACCCACCCAACCCCATCACTCCTCTATGCTCTGACCACAGGAGCCCATCCCAGCAAAGCTTCTGGCAGCGCTGGGTCCGCCCCTGTCGGAGTGCCTCAAGGACACAAGTCAGCCTGTGCGGCTGGCTGCAGAGCGAACTATCCTGCACGCCTTCCAGCTCAGCAAGGGTGAGTTCCAGCTCAGCAAGGGTGAGTTCCAGCTCAGCAAGGGTCAGTTTCAGCTTGGCAACGGTGAGTTTCAGCTCAGCAAGGGCGAGTTCCAGCTCAGTGCGGGTAATGTCCAGCCCAGCAAGCACAATAGCTTTGCAACACCCAGCAAGGTAATCATCATCTTCACTCAGGACAAAGGGGCTGAGGCATGAATGGTCATGCAGAGTCTACCACTGGCCACAAGCACGCCTGAGCCATGACCACTCTCGACCTCTCAGCGTCTTCCCCTTTGTTTGTTCACTCGCACTCTTGCGAATTCCAACTGGTGCTTCATCCTGCCCCTTTCTCTGTGCTTTGATTGACCAGGTCCTGACCAGGTGACAGCAGCACAGAAGTATCTCACAGGGCTCGAGTCTCGCCGCATTGCCAAGATGCCTGTTGTCAGGTAAATTTTGCCTCCGTCCATTTTTTGTCGATTCAAGCTTTTGTGGTTCCAGTTTGGACATGTTCTCGTATCAGTGGTACGGTACCGTATTTCTTATTGGGCCTCAACTTTGTCTTGACTGCTCATACGGTGATCTCTATGTTGATTCGGTGTTTCTGCAGCGATGGTAGCGACGACAGTGAAGATGATGATGCTCAGGATGATTAAACATTACCGTAATTCTGTGTGTCATGGGATGATGCTGAGTGGGTAGTCGTGGATTGTTGGGGATTACTTGGCATATGCTTCCAAAAAAAAATGTGCGATATGTTTTGATTTCAGAATATCGCAATATGAGTCAAATTACATGTCCCTTTGCCACATTAACATGCTTTATAGTGTGTATCCCCTATGAGTATAATTGCTATCTTATAATGTGACTAAAGCGCTTTTATGCATGGAAGGTATTTGCGTGTAGAGTTTCAAGAGCCTCAGTATTAGCAGCTGCACAAATCCCTGAGCTGGGGTTACGATGCTAGGTGCGGACGAACAAGGACGTGGTTCTGACTTGGCAACGGGTCCAGCACCGTGACGTGTATCAAATACGGTTTTCCTTGAGGCTTCAGTTCTGCCAGCTCCTCATCCTGATAAAGGGGAGTATTGCGAAGTGGAGCGTGCGAAAGCCCAACGATGTCAAGTTTCGCCACCAGGAGAACCCAGCAAAACCAGCCATGAGAATCTGCTTACTCATTTCGCATCATGGGCACCTTGTAACCAGCCATGGCGGCATAGGCCTCGTGCCGTAAGAGCCAGACCGCCAGTAATCCACTTTGGACCTGTCCTTGCTGAGTCATGTATGATAGAATCAGTGTGGTAGTAGTCATTCCGCACATGTGTTTGCCTTGAAATATGACCGCGGATTAGCAATTTCTTTCAGGCCGACTGACAATCACGACGGATACTCTATTTTTCCTCCAGCTCCTCGCAACTGCACGAACAATTGTCGTAGCAAATCAATCCTAAACGACGACTGCGTACCGCAGGAGCGCCGGGAGTTGAGCATTCAACACAACAATCTAGGATATCGTCTGTGATAAAGTCTAGTTGGAGTCACAGCCCTGAAGTCTTCACCAGCGATTGGAATTCTCCTGACAGAATCAGCAGTTCCACTTCGTCGGATAAATTTCTCAGATTCTCATGGCTCTCGTGAGGGAGAATGATCAGCTGGACAAGTTCGTGATGTTCCTCGCGAAACGCGACGGCATTGACAAGCTGGTGAAGACATTTCAGTATGTCTTCAAGCTCGCTCACTGGCAGCTCCTGAGAACGAATAAAGGTGAGCAATGACATTAGAGGAGCAGCGCCCTGACATGTGCTCCAGCATTCGCTGTTTTCGCTTTTCCCCGGCGCATGACATGCTAGAACGTGTTCACTTTGACCTTAACGGTCGCTATCCACTTGCAATCCTGCTTAATTTCTTGCAGATTTGGCCGACCGAGCTCAGAAATTCGAGGTCGGGTGTGGGCTAAGCCGCAAGGCGTTCCGGCTGGGTCGCTTCCTGACCGGTTTCAATAATCTCCGGACAACCCAGTACTCCGACTGGAAGGTGAGTCATATACAGGCTGTGTATCTGAGTTGCGTCGTTTGCCGCTTCACATGCAGCAATGTGTTGGCTGGCTCTTGTTGAGTTGACCTTCTGATTGTTGAGTCTGGAATTTTGACTTCTCAGATGCATTCGTCTTATGCCCTTCAATCTTTCTGCTTTCAGGTGACAACTCTTACCGTGGTTGGCAGCGCTGGTGAAATGGTTTACTTCTTCTTTGATCACCTCACATGGATGTCCAAAGTCGGCCTTCTCGAGCCAAAGCTAGCCGGTAATGCCTCAGTCAGCAAAATCTCCAGGCTGATGTATCTTCCTGGTGTGGTCTGGTGTCGAATGTGCAAATCCTCTGTCCTTCTGCTGCTGGCCATTTGTCAACCTTTATGTCTGCTTACCTCGTATTCGTTGGCCTTCCCCTTGTTCCTCCTTCCGCCTTGCAGCCAAGGCCGCATACATCTCAGCCTATGGAGAAACCGTTCTCTACCTGTGTTTCATCTCCCTGGACATTATCATGATCAAGAGGGGGATGGAGCAGGAGAAGCAGCTTCAGGCGAAGCTCAAGGAGCTGCACCAGCGAGCAGAGGCCCTTGCCCTCACAGCAAAGAACAGCCCGCGCCACGGAAAGAGCAGCGGCGGTGATGATGGCACTGATAGCAGCATGTGTGCATTCAGTAATGACGCATCCAGGCGCAGCAGCTTTGAGAGTCATGACTGTGGGAAGAGCAACAGCAGCCAGGGAAGCGAAGGTGAGAATGGATGGCTGGCTGCAGCAGCACCAGAGGGGAAGACAGCCCCTGCAGATGCACCACCAGAGGGAAAGGGCGCTCCTGCTGCTGAGACAGCGGATGGAGGGCATGGAAGTAACAACTTGCCGCTGTTGTGCACATGCAAGGAGGCTTATATTGAGGAATTGAGAAGGCTGGAAGGTGAAGCGATGAAGATTAAGATTGCGCTGAGCTCCATCAGAATGGAGAGGCTGATGCGAGTATTGAGTATTGCCGGGCAGTTTGGAGATCTTTTGATTTCTGTTGCTCAGGTGGAGCCTAATCCGGTGTGCTGCCACCCGCTTACGTTGGGCTTGAGTGGGTTGCTGTCAGCATGGACTGGTTGGTACCGTTTGTGGCCCGCGAAGTAGGCTTGTTACCGGTTTATAAATATGGTGTTAATAGTCCTGGCGAATGTTTAGAATGTGCTGCTGGCTGTTGTCAAGCATTCTGTCGTTTTAAATATGATGTTTTATTTTGTCAAAGCAGTGGTTTGGTGGGAATGCCCTGGTTGTGCTGCTTGCATTCATTTCCGCTCCATCCTGTATTTTGTGCCTATTCTGCCTCTACCGAGGACAGCGCAATCACGAATGAAGCCTTCCTTCCCCAACGACTGCCAGACCACCGAACAATCGCCACGAAATCGGTGTACGCGATAGTGAAACCTCCCCTCATTCTCTTCGCAGCGAAACCAACCGACAATTCGCAGACATGCTGCGAATGCCGACATTCCGTCGCATGTGTTTCTGTAGCAACCACGTCGAGTTCCCTGTCGTGATGAGATCGGGGGAATAATCAAAACAACCAACATGTCAAATCAGTGGTCGCATTTGATTACATTTCATCTGTCGTGGTGCAAGACGATTCCAGACGGTGTACAGCGGCTATGAAGCTTCACCGTTTTGCACCGTGATGCAACACGACTAACCGTACATAACGAACGAAGGACGAACACGTGGACTCCCCCCCCTAAACATGGGAACAGTTGCCTCACCAACAGCCACAGTGATCATTGTCCATCCATGGCGGATGGTGTGGTCCCATTTTAGCTTGGCAGGATCCCCCATCCCAGCTAGCTGTGCAACAAGCTGAGTTGGCTGCAGCTCACCTCCATGACCGCTGCATTACACCATCGACAGTTAGAAGCCGCCATGGTTAGCCTTTTACCAGAAACACGGAAAGTAAGCTCTGCGTTCGCGTCGCTATCAGTTTACTCGTTACCGAATTGCCCCCTTAGTTGGTCAGAAAAGCGTTCGACGCGTGGCGTTACCTTACATTGACAGAAAAACTCGATCCATTACTTTGTGTTAAAAACAATCGCTTGATAGAACCAGACAGCAGCAATTCTGCCGTTTCGCCTGACGTGGTCTCGAATAGAGTTGACTCAAAGAACGAGGCTTGTAAGACGCGACACCTCCCAGTGAGGACTCGTGGTCTCGCGTGGAGGAAAACCCGCTCATGATTTTTCCATGGGGGAGAAGATGTCGTTCTTCAGACAGTTTCCGAACCTCAGACGGACCTCAAGGTGGTACTTTGTCTCCTTTTTTCTCTCAATTTGATTCACTTTCTCTCAGTCATACCCCTTTGCTCACCCGTTCCCACACCCCTCTATCCCTTCACAATCGCAGCTTTAAAAAAATACTTCACTATCTCAGCTTTCAAGAGCCTGTCGTCTCTTCCCTCTCCTTATTTTATATACATAACCTTCCGCTCACCTCCTCCCCTCTCCCCCCCCCCCCCCCCCCCCCCCCCCCCCCCTCTTTCTTCCCCACCTTTCCCACCCCATCACAGGCTGACGTTTACAATCGCAGCTCTTGTCATCACCTCCTCCTCTTCTATCGCTGGCCTTCCACTGACCCCCTCTCCTTGTTTTCTTTACATAAACCTTCCACGCACCTCCCCACCTCTCCCACCCCCCCATCACAGGCTGTCGTTTACAATCGCAGCCCTCGTCATCACGTCCTCTTCTATCGTTGGGCTTCCACTGACCCCCTCGCAGCACGCCAACGCCAAACCGACCGCTTTCACAGACAGCTCAAGACATCTTGAGTCGAAAACTCTCTATCCAGACCCCTCCAAACCGAGATCTACCTATCAGAATTCAGTGAATGGAGAGACGAGGAGCGGCGACACAGAAGACCCGTGGCTGGAGAGCCTCTGCTTGGGAGCTCATAACAAGAACTGTGACCCGGATCCACGGGAACAACAGACGGGAAAAAAGACGGGACAAGCGACAGGAAAAGTGCACGGAAAGTCCTCTGGCCTGCAGGACAGGAAGAGCAGAAAGACGCCGCGTGCATGGGTGCGGCCCTTGAAAGACGAGCCTCAGTCTGAGATAGAATCTATCTGGGCTTCTCATGCTGCCCAATATCTCGCTTACAGCAAGCAGCACCACCCGAGGGGGTCGCCACAGCCACGGAAACAGGCTCGGTACAAACCTGCAGATGAGGCTCGGTACAGCCCTTCGCCATCCCCCCCAACTCCATCGAGGTCGAGACCCCTTCCGGGTCCCCTTTTGAGTCCCCTTTTGAGTCCCCGTTCCGTTCCCGGGCCAAGGTGCGAGGGACAGTGCTGCTCCAACGCTGCTCCCGCGCTTGCCCCCGGCGTTCCCAAGATGACGTCCACGTGGATCAGCAGCCAGCTGGCAGATGGTGCTAGGGTGAGTGAAGGGAGTATAGAAAGGTAAGGGGGAGGAGTGTGGGTGGGTGGGTATGTATGGGTGTGGTAGGGGCTATGATCCCAAGATCACCTCCACGTGGATCAGTAGCCAGCTGGCAGATGGTGCTAGGGTGAGTGAAGGGAGTCTTGGAGGGAAGGTAGGGGGACTTTATACATGGGCACGAGTGTGGGTGGGCGGGTATGGCTGTAGATTTGGGGGAAGGGGTTATGATGCCAAGATGACGTCCACGTGGATCAGCAGCCAGCTGGCAGATGGTGCTAGGGTGAGTGAGGGGAGTCAGGGAGTGAGGGGGGAGGAAGGGGAAGGAAGGTGGGAGGAGGGGGAAGGAAGGAGGGTGGGGTGGGGTGGAGGATATCTCTACGAGTGGGTGGGTGTGGGTAGGGTACGCATATGAAACCCCGATTTTGCTGCCATTTGCCTATCAGAATCCCCCCCTCTGCCATCCTGAGGCTGATCCGCTCTGTCCGGAAGGTGCCCCACCTCTTGGAGCGGAAGGTAATGACCCGCTCCAAGAGGTGGGGCACCTTCCGGACTGCACCAAACGGTGCCAAGTGGGAGCAAACTTGCTCCCCCCCTCCCCCCCCCCCCCCTTCCCTCCACACCTCCCCATCCCCTACTCCCTTCTCCAGGTCGTGATTCGCTCCAAGAGGAGGTGGGGCACCTTCTGGAAAGCAGCAAACGGGGCCAAGTGGGAGGGGCACGTAGCATTTAAACCGTCCAATTTTCCCTCCCTTGCCCCCTCTGCCTCCCTGCTGCAGGTGGTGATTCGCTCCAAAAGGTGGGGCACCTTCTGGACCGCACCGAACGGGGCGAAGTGGGATGGACGCATTGCTGCCCGAGCCACCGCCACGCCAGAGCCATCGCAAGCACTTACTGTGATCAGAGTCTCCAACACAGAGGTAGGATTGGGCTGGGATCCAGAGCGTAGACCCATTGCAGGCAGGGTCAGGTCAGAGTGGGGTCACCCATGCCGCTGCAGGGTGTTTTTGAAAAATCTCAAAAACACCCATTGCAGGCAGGATCAGGTCAAAGCTGGGGCCACTGCCATGCCAGAGCCATCCCAGCCGGTGGAAGCGCCTTTTGAGGTGCCTCAGGAGGTTCCATTTCGTTTCATCTCCCTTCCCTTCCCCCAACCAGATCAAGTTCATGACCCCCAGCAACACGTATCTGGCCAAGGCCCCAGGCGCCTTCGGCTACCTCAGAACGACCCGAAACGCGTCCAACCCGCGCGCCGTCTTCACCATAAAGTACATCCCCGGCACGGTCTACGTCGCGTTTCGCTCCTCCGACGGATATTTCGTCACTCAGGACGGCAAGAACAGCAACCCGCAGTTCAAGTGGAAGCGTGCGGGCGAGTGGGAGCGGTATGACGTGCGGGAGGTGATGGAGGTGCCGGCGATTCGAGGGGCGAATCTGGGGTCGTGGCTCATGACTGAACCATGGATGAACCAGGGAGTCTTTCGGTTTGCTGGCTACAGCGACGGCACCCAGGTGAGTCGGCAGGGCGAGCAAAGGGAAGTGGGAAGGGAGGGGGGGAGGGGGGAGGGATGAAGGGGCGAATCTGGGGTCGTGGCTCATGACTGAACTGTGGATGAACCGTGACGCGTTCAAGTTTGCTGGATATGGTGATGGCACCCGGGTGAGTGGGAGAGGAGTAGAGGGGGAGGAGAGCATGTGTGAGGTGTGACTATGGCATCGTATAGCACAATGTATGGTACACTCCCGGGAGAATCTAGCAGACATTGAGACATATTGACAGTCTCGCTTGTTTCGATTGAGGTGTGAAGTCCATAGCCATGTGCATGGCTTCGTTTATCTTGTCTCGCTTAATTTTATTTTCTTTCGCTATCTTCTTTATTTATTCTTTTTTTTTTTTTTTTCCTGGCTTCTGTATTCTGTCGTTGCAGTTCACCTTGCGATCAGTGGTAACAGGAAAATACGTCACTGCACCTGGCGGGGGTGGGACCATTGTAAGTGCACTGCACTGCACCGCACCGCATCGCACCGCACCAGATGCGGTACAGCAATTCTCTCACCAGGCACACCCAACCTCCACCTCACCACCGTTCATTGGTGTTTCTCTCCTGCGCCCCATTACATGCCCTCTCGCCTCTCACCTCCCGCCTTTCGTCCCCCCGCCTCCCGCCTCTCGCCTCTCTCCCCTCAAGCAGATGAGGTGCAACAACACACTTGCCACCATACCAAGGATACCTACCTACACCTCACCACTGTTGAAAATGCCAACAGTGCACCAACCCATGCACTCATTTCCCGTGCACCCCCATTGCTGCGAGCAGATGAGGTGCAACAAATCCCTAGCTATAAAGGACACCTACCTCCACATCACCACCGCCAACTCTCACACCCCCAACTCACGTTCCCATGTCACATACCCCCCTTTGCCCTCTCACCTCAAGCAGATGAGGTGCAACGAATTACTTGCTTCAAACGACACCTACCTACACCTCACCACCGTTGGGAATGCCAACACTCGTGCACCAACCCATGCGCTCTTTTCCTGTGCATCCCCATTGTTGCGAGCAGATGAGGTGCAACGAATCACTTGCTACAAAGGACACCTACCTCCATCTCACCACTGTTGACAATGCTTCCTCCAACACTCGCAGAGTAAGGCACTGGCTGCTCAAATTTTCCTTGTTGAACTGAGAAAAAATGTTTCAGCAAAGTTATGTCAAGGTTCGTTCAAATAACATGTTACCCGGTTTGCTCTCCTCTCCGCATTTGGCTCATCAGATATCCATGCAGTGTTGCACTGCAGTACTGGGTCGTGACTCGTGACCTTTGACGGCCCCCAGGTCATGGCCTTGGAAAGCCTCTAACCTCGGCCCCCGGGTCATGGCCTTTGCTCTCTTCTCTTCACTTGCCTCACCAGATAGCCGTGCAGTGGCTGCAGTACTGGGCTGTGCGGAGCAACTCAAAATACGTCTGGGTGCAGTCGACAAAGCCCGAGGTACACAGTGGTGTGGTATGGTATGGTGTATTATGGTATGGTCTGTCATGTACTACCAGGAAGAAAGTGCAGGACAAGTCAAAATACGTCTGGGTGCAGTCCACAAAGCCCGAGGTACACAGCGGTGTGGTATGGTCTCTTATGGAATGGTTTGTGATGTGCCAGAAAGAAGGTCAGGTATGTTGTTTGAAGCTCATATATATACCATGTGGTAAATTATACCGCTTGTCATACTGACCGAATCACTAAAGTTAAGTGAATCACCTGTGTGAAGCTTTATTGAGGTAGCACGCAAGCAACTATGATTCTCCCTTATTCATTATTTGCACCGCCCTTTCGCCCTCTTCCCCCTATCAGGGCACAGCAAGCAACTTTGAGCTTTTCATCTTCGACACGCCACTTAAAGAGTCAACGGAGCAGACATAGGCTCCACTGCTCCTCCCTCCCCTTTTCCCACTCTTCCCGCTCCACTCAGGGCACAGTAAGCAACTTTGAGCTCTTCATATTCAACACGCCGCTGAACGAATCAACGGAGCAGAGCGGCAGCAGTGTGCCTGTGGTGCTGCGCGCTCCTGAGCTGACCCTCCCCTCCCCTCTATGCCCCTGTCACTCTCTTCCCGACGCAGGGCGCAGCGAGCAACTTTGAGCTTTTCATCTTCAACACGCCTCTCAACGCTTCAACGGAGCAGAGCGGCAGCAGTGTGCGTGTGGTGCTGCGTGCTCTCAACGGCCTCTTCCTCCAGGCTCGCTCAGACGGCTCCCTCACTGCTGACCTCCAACAATCCCTCGAAAACAATGCCATCTGGACCAGTGCTGCTGCGTTCGACCTCACTGTGGTGAGTTCATGGGGACTCCTCGCTCCTTCCTTCTTCCCTTCCCTTCTCCATCCAAGCTTGCCCCAACGGCTCCCTCACTGCTGACCTCCAACAATCCCTTGATAACAACGCCATCTGGACCAGCGCTGCTGCGTTCGACCTCACTGTGGTGAGTGTTCGAAAGCTCCGCCCTTCTTCCTTCCTTCCTTCCTTCTTCCCTTCTTCCCAATGGCTTCTTCCTACAAGCTCGCACCGACGGCTCCCTCACTGCTGACCTCCAACAATCCCTTGAAAACAATGCCATCTGGACCAGTGCTGCTGCATTCGACCTCACTGTGGTGAGTACTTGGGAACTCCTCGCTCCTTCCTTCTTCCCTTCTTCCCAACGGCCTCTTCCTGCAAGCTCGCTCAGATGGCTCCCTCACTGCTGACCTCCAACAATCCCTCAGCAACGACGCCATCTGGACTAGTTCTGCTGCATTCGACCTCACTGTGGTGAGTATCTGGAGGAAGATGACAGAAGAGCATAACCATCTCATAGCAAGCCAACCCTGACGGCTCCCTCACTGCTGACCTCCAACAATCCCTTGAAAACAATGCCATCTGGACCAATTCTGTTGCATTCGACCTCACTGTGGTGAGTGCTTGGGGACTCCTCGCTCCTTCCTTCCTTCCTTCCTTCTTCCCTTTCTTCCTAACGGCCTCTTCCTGATGGCTCCCTCACCGCCGACCTCCAACAATCCCTTAGCAGCGAGACCATCTGGACCAGCGCTGCTGCTTCTTCCTCGCTCATCCTTCCTCCTCCTTTCCTCCAAGCCGACCCTGACAATTCCCCCCCCATTCCCCTCTCTCCTCCCCTCCCGCTCCCAGTTGTGGCGGGTGGAGGCTGACTTTCAGGCAGCCTACACAGCCGGTGCAGCCGCCCCATCAATCTACGAAAACATTCGCCGAAACTTCATCACGGAAGCAGACTGGCAGAAATTGCAAGAACTGGGAATCAACACAGTGCGAATCCCCTTGCCCTACTGGATAGCCCTCGACGCCACCCCCGAGTTCCCATTTGTGCCGGGAGCAGCAGCGTATCTCGACTGGGCGTTTGAGATGGGGGCGAAGTATGGGGTGAGGATCTGGTTCAGTGTGCATGTGGCGCCGGGGTCGCAGGCAGGCAGAGGGAATGCAAGAGACGGGCTTGTTCGCTGGCAAGGGGAGAATATCAACCGCACGCTCGACTTTGTCACTTGGCTTGCTGACAGGTGAGGCTGTCCGCTTACTTTAATAATAATAATAATAATAATAATAATAATAATAATAATAATAATAATAATAATAATAATAATAATAATAATAATAATAATAATAATAATAATAATAATAATAATAATGATGTTATTGTTGTTATTATTATTATTATTGTTATTGTTATTGTTATTATTATTATTGTTGTTATGAGTTGTTGTTATTATTATTACTATTATTATTACTACTACTATTATTATTATTATTCAATTATACTTGGAGCATGTCTTGTGTTTTTGCTCCAATGGCTTCTTGCTCCTGACTCCCGTACCTCCAGGTACGGCACCGACCCTATGTGGCTGGGCATGGGGCTGCTGAACGAGCCGGTGGTGGGGGGGGCGAACGGGTACGCGGGGGTGGATCTGGAGGACATGCGGGGGTACTACTCCGCGGCCTTCAACACCATCCGCGCGCGCTGCCTCTGCTGCTTCGTGGCCATGGAGGGCCGCGTGGGCAGCAACTTTGGCGACGTGATGTGGCACATGAATGACGCGTGGCACAATAACGTGCTCCTGGAGCAGCACATCTACGACGTCTTTGGCAACTTCTTCAGCTCGAAGGGCGTCGACTGGGAGATTGAATACGCACATACCACCAGGAAAGACAACATTATCGCCTTTCAACAGGTAGGCTGCTAGTACGAACCATATCGTTTCCTCGCTTCCAGAAAACAAAACAGAAAAGGGAACGTTTTAAAGTTGGGCCTGGGACTTCTGACACGCCCCTGAAGCGGCGGGTGGCACAACAATGTGATCCTGGAGCAGCACATCTACGACATCTTTGGCAACTTCTTCAGCTCGAAGGGTGTCGAGTGGGAGATTGAGTACGCGCACACCACCAGGAAGGACAACATTATTGCATTTCAACAGGTGGGCTACCTAGTATGTACACTGGATTTCCCTTTATTCCAGGAAACAAAAAAAAAAACAATGAGAAAGGGAAAAATCCTGAAGGTGGTACAGGTGAGTAGTGACCCGCGCCTCTGAAGCGGCGCGTGGCACAATAATGTGATCCTGGAGCAGCACATCTACGACATCTTTGGCAACTTCTTCAGCTCCCAGGGCGTTGAGTGGGAGATTGAGTACGCGCACAGCACCAGGAAAGACAACATCATCGCCTTTCAGCAGGCGTGTTGCATGTTTTCCATGGGGTTTCCCTCCTCGATTTGAGTCGACTCAACAAGGCTTGGTTTCCCTCCCAGTTACCTTGTGTTCTCAACACCTCAACTTGTTATCAAACACCACATTGCACGTGCCCCGTTGTGTTGCGTTGTCTAAACGTTGTGCTGTGTCCCGTCATGTTGGGTGCAGAAAGTGGGGCGGAACCTACTAGTGGGGGAGTTCTGCAATGTCTCACCTGTTTTCCACCCACCGCATGCTATGTGTCCTGTTGTGTTGTGTGGTCTGTGCTATTTGTTGTTGCGTTGGGTGCAGAAAGTGGGGCGGAACCTTCTGGTAGGGGAGTTCTGCAATGCGATGGGGAACAGTGCAACACCGGAGCAGCAGGCCAACTTCTCTCTTGGACAAATGAAAGCATTCAGCTATGCAAAGGCCGGCTGGTTCTTCTGGTCCTGGAAACTCAACACCACAGGTACGTGCTTCCTTCGCCTCCTCCTCAGCCAAACGAAAGCATTTAGTTATGCCAAGGCCGGCTGGTTCTTCTGGTCCTGGAAGCTCAACACCACTGGTGAGTGCTCTTGCCATTGCTCATGTTGTGCTCTTGTGCTGCCGACTTTTGCCTTGGAATCTCTCAATACTACCACCAGTCAAAACTTTCATTTTTCCTTCTGGTTTGGAAAACCTGTCAGGGATCTACTCCTTCGCTATGTTTGAATCTTCCCTCTTTTCATGCCCAGTACCATCCCAGGTGGGTTTTACGATGCACAGTGTCTCTTGTCTGAGCCCTTTCCCTCCTGTTTTTGTCCTGCTTATTCCACCTGTTGCAGGCACCCATCACTGGCAGTTTGTCAACAGCTACGACAACGGGTGGTTACCCAAGAAACCGGATGGTAACTGGTATTGATACACTTGTGAAACTTTGTTCCATATTGTATTTATTTATTCATCTAATGACCTGATTCAAGCCTATCGCTCTCCCCGTTGCTCCGGGGTGAGACCTCCAGACCCGCAGGTGGGACAGCCAACCAGGCCGAACCCCTGGCACTTGTAGCACCTGCAGCAATGCACATGAATGGATAGACACATACAGAGAGGTGGTGATGAGAAGCGGTGACACGTCAGTCGAGGAGTTGAAATGTTTGATTATGGCTAACATTATAGAAACATGGCAACGGGGGAAGGAAGAACGAAGGTGGAAGAAAGGGGGTGAATGTAGGGGGCAAGAGGGTTTGGGGGACGAGGGTTCAAGGGAATGGGGTGAAAGGAGGGAAGAGGGAAGGTTGTCGGGGCAAGTGGAAGGGGACGCCTGGGAAAAATGGGGGGATGATTGGCGATCACCGCGCATATCATATGCTGACTCACTTCCATCTCTCCAGCATGTTGCCCTTGGTCTTGCTCTTCCCCGTCCCCTGCGAATCATGTACCCATCAAACGGGAGAATTGAACCGGCTTAGGAGTGCACAGGACAAGGGGAGAAGAAGAAGTTGCGTTGAAAAAGCCATCCTGTAGGTATCAACATTTCTAAGGCTAAACCTCCAGAATCCGTGCATTACCTTGCAAGTGGAGCAATCCACGCCTCCTATGTCTAAAACTTTCGGGATTAGCGCGCTCCAGAACCCGTGCATTACCTTGCAGACGGGGCAATCCACGCCTCCTGTCTCTAGAATTTTTGGGATTAGCGATTCAGAATCCGTGCATTACCTTGCAGACGGGGCAATCCACGCCTCCTGTCTCTATAATTTTGGGGATTAGCGATTCAGAATCCGTGCATTACCTTGCAGACGGGGCAATCCACTCCTCCTGTCTCTATAATTTTTTGGATTAGCGATTCAGAATCCGTGCATTACCTTGCAGACGGGGCAGTCCACGCCTCCCGTGCCTCTGCACGTGCTGCACGAGGCTCGAGACACCTTTCCCTTAGCCGGAGGTGACTTTTTCGAGGGAGACTTGGACGGCGCGTCAGCCTGCGAACGACAGACACGGACGGGAGGAGGCAAAGATGGTAATGATCTCGACGATTGAGGTGCGGCAGAATGTGTCAGAATCCCAGCCACTAACCACTGGGATAAAAGGGCTTATTTGTATGGTGGGTAGCACACACCCATAACCCCACAGGCCGTGCCTGTAGCCCTCCCTCACTCATCCGGGGACGATCCCAGTGCCCCACCAACAGAATGCAGATTGCAGAATCGCTGAATGCATGTTGATTTGTGTGACATATGTTATTGATTGAGTTTTTGGAATACACGAGGTTCGGAAGATCGCACAAGAAAGACTGTTCAGACTCAGGAGAATGTGAACGTAAGTTGATGGAAAGGGAAGCGAGGGACCCTTCGCATATGCAGAGCGTCGAGCACATGAAATCAAAGTGTATGGGATTTGCCAGATTCTCAAACACCATGTTCTCAGATTCCGGTCGTGCAGCACAACGAACGGTCATTACGAACCTTGGGCTTGCCCCAGCCAAAGAGAGCCTTCACCGCCACTGAGCGCCGGCTCGCGGATTCGTCTCGCGAGCACGGATAAGTTATCATGGGCGGCTGAGAAACTAGTGAGTTGCTTGCGGATGCGAGCTGTCCATTGGTTGGTCGTGACTGGCTCAACGAGCCAGCAAACGAGACCGTGGCCACTCTAGATAGAGCCATGGGTACGACAGGCAATCCCACTGACGTGGCAATCCCACAGCGTATCTCGACAGAAACGAATAAGGACGCAACCGCTTTATAATGCGTCAAAACTGGACCAGCCGGACCCGTTATCAGCAGCTATTGACCAGCGCGACCCTACTGTCTTTTCAATTATGCATTGATAAAGTTAACGGCCGATTTTAGGCTAAAGCGGCACCACACAGCCCCTAAACTGGTATTGAGAGTCTACCTCGCGAATCTGGGTGGTGGGTCAACAACGCCCTCCTATAGTCGAGATTCGGCAATTTCGATTGAGTCACATATGTGGTCAGCAATGGCTTGTGTTCCTCATCCGCTACGTGGTTATTTGGATGTTGATTGGCTAACAGAAAGCGGACACGTGGACCAACGAACGCGTTACAGTGACCCCCGAGTTTTTGACAACTGCCAAACGAGAATAAAGGAAACACTTTCGATCTTGATAGGTGTGTGCGTGTATTGTCGATTGCAGCGCAGTCCCGCCCGATTCTACCGCAATTTCCACGCGTGATTGACAGCGTGTCCGTTTCAGTTATGAAGAGCCAAAAGGTTGAGCGGCTTGGCTCGGGCTACAACGAAAAGTCACAATCCCTGTTCATTCATGAGCCCCGATATGTTTCATGCCTCCTCATATGCTGGGAAAGACATCAGCTTCATCCCCACGGGCCAGTTGGCTTTTCGGCAATCTGAAAACCATCACGCCAGCCCAGTGTTCTTCCCTGCCAAGAAGTTTAATTTTCTGCCCGGGTGTGGTGTGATCGTGTATTACACAAACAACCAGGCCAGCAAAATGTAGGCATTATCATGACAAACAACACACAACCCCACGAGAGATCCGAACTAAAGCACGTTTCTTAAAACAATACGGGACTGGTCATGCCCGTGACAAAAGGGGATCCCACCCACCCACTCCCATCCCATCCCATACCTCCCCTCTTGCCCTCCCTCTCTCAGTTTCACTCCCGATAACTCCATTGCCATTTCTCTCCATGGCTGCCTCTCGGTGTTGTCGTATCGCACTCGCCAATTCAACTATTCCCGCGTGCGACGTTTCCGCACCAGCCGTTGCTGCTGCTTATCCAAATCTCACTCTCGTCGGCGTCGGCTGAAAGGCTCCTCGCTGGCTCCGCAGCCTACGCTCTCCTCCGTTCTGCTCACAGAACATTTAATTCACACGACAGAAACCAACTCGGCCTCTGCCTTTCAAGGTCCTTATTTCTCTGACGGAGAGCGTCGGAGAAGCCGAGTACAGTATAGCTGCGTTTCGCTTAGAAACTTCTGGAGACAGACAGCTTCGTACCGTACTGTATTTGTTGTAGGGATTGATTGCGCCTGCATCACCCCTGCCGTCACTGCTCTCTAAACCACTGATACAGTGGATAGCGAATTCGCGATCACTTTCGTGTCCCCGTCATCCCTGATCGAACGCCAGCCCTTCGATTTCCGACAAGCCACCTGTTGCCGACGCCGCTCGGTGTCAGGCTGACGCGCCGTTCAACCCAGTTTGCCAGAGTCTAGTCAGTTTTTGAGAATGCTCAATAGCCAATCAGGCTCGGAGGTGTCGTTTTAGGACAAGTCCTCCTGCTTGCAGCCTGGGCTTTACGACCGCTTCAGCGACTCCTATCAGGGTCTCACGAGACCTGACCGCTCCTCCTGAGCCTCACTTGCCCTTTCATCGTTCAACCAAGGAGGAGCCGTTCAGGAGTCGGCTTAGGAGCAGTCATCCTGCTTCCAGCGACTCCCATTGTGACATTACGGGTCTTGACCGATCCTCTTTGCCTCCCCTACTTCCTACGAGTCGTCGACCAGGAGTACCTCGTCCCGCGGTTCTCGTAACTTCGCTTACTCCGCTCGTTCCTCCGCCAGAGGTTTCCCCGACTCGCCCAGCGGGCCCTCGCTTCCGCCATGAGTTTGACTTCATCGTTATCTCCTTCTAGTACTACCCAAGTAGGACTAGAACTAAGGACTACAAGTAGGAGCTCTGGGATAGAGTCTTTGAATCTGACGGGCTGTCACCAGCCCGACACGTCTGCTACTGACTTTATCGGAGTAGATTCTTCCGCGCCGGGTCAATGTGATGGTTCTGAGGCTGTTCTCGATATAAGGCTCCCCGTCAACGGTGTTGAGTCGCCCCCGCGCGGGCTACACGATGGCTCTGGTGAATTGGCGGAGCTTTGCGACCGTGTATATGGAAACGGGTTACCAACTTCGCCAGACCATCCGCCGTTTCGTGAAGGTTGCGAGCTTCCCCCGAAAAGCCCCCCGCGGAATGATGCGAATGGGCGCGGAGGCTTCGGCGGAAAAGACAGCGGAACCGGGGTGCGCATGCGCATGCCGCGAAGCTGGCAAGCTGGCGCGTTTCTGCTTCCGCCAAGGTGGCTTCGGGTGTACTTTCGGAAGTTCCGCGGAATTGGGGAGGGGCTTTTTCCGGCGTACCCAAGCTTTATTGTCGTCTTTTGGTCCTTCATCGCCTCGTTTATTGGTGCGCATCGCTGGCTCTGATTAATGCTGTATCTTTTGTCCTCGATATAGCAAAGGTCTCTGCGCACATCCGTCTCATTTCAAAGTTGCTTATCTGGTCAACCGCTGTCTAAATGGCTGCATTCATTGGAATTCCGCAAGAAGGCATGGTGCGAGTTTTGGAGAATTTCCGAAAGTGACTCCAATATAGCGTGTTGTTATTGCCATTTAACATCATCCTCACCTGACGTCCCGTCCCCCACCTCCCATCCCTCTTCTCGTTTACCCCCCCTTCCTCTGTGTTGCGACACCTGCAGGCATAGCACTGTGCGCGTTTCTCGCGTTCAACACAAGCATGCAGCAGACCCTGAGCCCTTATCCCAGCAGCAGCAGCACCACCACCACCAGCAGCAGCAGCCACAAGTGGAAATGGCCAGCAGCAGCACGAGGCGGTGGCGTCGTTTATGATCGGCTCGTTTGGCGCCACAGCGGTGCTCATCTTCGGAACCATCGACTCGCCTCTCTCGCAGCCCCGCAATGTGGTCCTCGGGAGTGCCGTCTCTGCTGTCATTGGCGCGCTTATAGCGGAGATCTTCTCTATTGGCGGGCTCGCGTTTCCGAATACGTCCTGGCTGTGGCTACAGTGCGGGCTTGCGGTTTCCTTATCCATAGTGGGTACGTCCTAGGTTTGTTTCTCACTATCTGGTTCTATCTAGCTGTTTACTTCGCACGCTTCAATTTCTGAGGCACCTATAATAACTTCGCTACCTGTGCAGCTGGCTGTATAGCTTCATGATTCCCCATTCCCCTCATCCCCCAATCCCTTCCCCTCTCCCTTCCCCCCCCAACTCAGCCATGCAGCTGCTGCGTATCGTCCATCCACCGGGGGGAGCCTCAGCTCTCATAGCAGTCATGTCTCCACCTTCTCTGCGCTGCCACGGCTTCTTTCTCCTCACACCCGTGCTGCTCATTTCCCACCCGACCTTCCTCCTCCCTCCCCTCTCCTCCCCCTCCCAGCCATGCAGCTGCTGCGTATCGTTCACCCCCCTGGGGGAGCCTCAGCCCTGATTGCAGTCATGTCGCCGCCCTCCCTGCGCTGCCACGGCTTCTTTGTCCTCACACCCGTGCTGCTGGGAGTGTGCATCATGCTTACTGTTGCTCTCTTCGTCAACAATATCGCCAGACAGTAAGTCAACACACGCCTTGCATTTAATTTCCCCCTTTTCATCTTATTTCTCATCATCATGTGTTGGTTTTCCTGTATCTCCACTACCCTATTTTATACTTGCATTTATACTCCCCTTTTTCATCCCCGGCCTTGCTGCCGAGTCCTTGTTTCTCTCTCCTGGTCCTTTTCTTCGTCCCTGCAACTCGCCCATCCTCCTTCCACTCCACCTCTACTCACCCTCCACTCACCCTCACCCACACCCCCAACCTCACCACCAGGTACCCCCTGTACTGGTGGCGGCCAGTCATCCTGGACATCCCGGTCCCTGAAGGCTCCACACACCACTCCCTGTGCTCACTCACTGCCCTTTCCCCACTCCTTTTCCACTTCCACCCCACTCCTCACCATCCTTCCCTTCTTTCACCCTGCCCCGTCTCACCAGATACCCCTGTACTGGTGGCGGCCTGTCATACTTGACATTCCCGTGCCAGAAGGCTCCACACACCACTCTACCGGCGTGCATTTTTCCAACCATTCCCCACTCCTTCCCACTCCTTCCCCGTTACTCCCAATCACCAGGTACCCCCTGTACTGGTGGCGGCCTGTTATCCTCGACATTCCCGTGCCAGAGGGCTCCACACACCACTCTGCAGTGACAGCAGGCGAGGCATACCACACCATACAGCACCTGCACGCCGTGCACTCGCCTCTGCACCATGCCCAGCTGTCCCTTCAGCCGCCCTCTCAGCCGCTCACTCAGCCGCCGTCTCAGCTGCTGCCCCTGTGCCTCCCTTCAAGCGATGCACAGCGGGTCCACGCGGTGCTCTCTCCCGTGTGCGATGCCCCGCCTCATCAGTCAACCAGTGAAGCTGTGACAGCTGGCGAGGCGCTTGGCACGGTAGAGAACGCCCATCCGCTGCCAGTGCCTTCGCAGCACTCACCGGCACATGCGGTGCAGAGCGGTTTAGATGCTGAAGAGGACGGGCCAGCCAGTCGTGTCCATGGCGGTATGGCGTACTTTCAAGGAGGCCGTGCCGTAACAGAAGCGTGTAACAATGCTGGTTACACGTGCCAGGGTGCTTCTTGTAGTACTAGGGGCACAGTGCGCACGCAGGGTACACAGGGTACGCAGGCCTCGCAGGGTTCGCAGGGCACGCAGAGGACAACTGCGGCAGAAGCAGTGGCAGCAGAGCTCACCTTTCGTGGCGGGCCGTTCCGCCACGTCAGCGGCTCTTTACTGAGCCACGTCAGCGTTCCCTCGCTGAGTCAGCAACAGGTGCACCATGATCAGGACAAACAACAGGTCGAGCAGCAACCACAACCTTTTTCGGGCAGCACAGCGGTTTTTGCTGATGCCACGTCATCACTTTCATCTCTATCTGACGGCATGGCAGTTGGTGACAGAGAAGAACTCAGCAATAACACACGTGACAACAATGCAGCAGGCATTGCAAATTCGGGCCCACGTCTGAAACCGCTGATAGATTAGCCCGTGATGCATCTGTGTCCGTTGATTCGCCAGCTGCTGTTGATCCAACGGCTGGCGTTGGTGCAGCTCCTATCCTTGGAGACTCGATAACGTGGTCCGCAGCAGCACATTCGGTAGCTGATTCTGGGAGTTCCCCAATCGACCCAGCAGCACACTCCAAAGGAGACAGTCAATGATCCATCAAGCAGCAGAGGGCCTCTGAAATGGCATCTGGAGAAGGTTTAAGGAGAACAATCAGCATGAATGTGAGGCAGAAATAGCGTGAATGTGAAGGCATCAGCAGCGAATTGTAGTGCAATATGCATCGGGTTTCCAACCAATTGTATGTAGGCGCATGTTGCTAATGTATTAGAAGGTATTATATCATTCTTTCATTGCATATTGCAGCACATGCCACAAATGTTGCGAAAGATTTGTGCCTGCTTATGGGATCCCTGTGCACAGCCTAAAAGTGCAGTCAATTTTGTTTCGTATCTCGGAGATTTTGAACAAAGAAAATGCGTTCACACCAATCACCACACTGTCTACACTCCCGGGAAATGTATCCCCAGCAGTCTCTCGCCTTACAGGCGAACCCCAAGCTTCCGTAGCAATCCCATAACTACAGCGATTAGTTAGTAGTGCCATCACTAAGCTTGAGTCGGGAATAAAGACGATTCCTACTTGCGAGTCGCGACGCGGTGCTCGCAATAGTTGACGGAAATTCGCATATCTTAAGCTTAAAGAAATTATACATCTCGAAGGAATAGCACGGGATTGGCTTGTGTTTTTCTGGTTATCCTATATAGTATACAATAGCACCCTAGCTTAGCATCCCTTAGACTCATAGTGAACAGATGGCGAAGGTGGCGGCTCCGTGGTGGATGGGTGATCCTAGTCGGCCTATAACGGATCAACTGGAAGGCACTTTCGTTTGGGCTAAGGTGCGATTTGGTCATGGTTTTTGGGCCTGAATAGACTCACTTGTCCTCATACGCGTCTTATCTTTAGGTTAATACGCGTCACCGTTACTAATGCGTGGACGTTTTAAATCATTCCCTAACTACGTGGACCATTTCAGGCTCTGAAAACATAACAGTAACTATGGCGTTCCATTAATTCTTAGCCTACCAAATGGCCGCCTCAAAACTCTTACTCTCTTTTTCCTTTCGTTCTCCTTCATCATCCAAGCATTTCTACTGGCTGTCAGCTCAATTTCTGTACTCCCCCTTGTATAAAACAGTTGCAAGGATTCAAAACCCTTTCCCTTTACTCTCCTTTCGTCCTGTTGCTCTTCTGTCAAGCTTTTCCCGTTTCGTGTTCTCCTTCCCCCGCTCCCGCCCCCCCTCCCTCCCCCCCCACTGCTCCCCCCCCCCCTGCTCCCCCCCACCACTGCTCCCCCCCCTGCAGAAACGCGCTCAGTGGCATGCGGGCATCATAGCGTCGCCTCTCAACTGCTCCACCCCCGCTCCTGATGCTCCCAACATTCCTCCCCGTGCACTAAACGCCACCACCGCCACCACTCGAGCACGTGCCTCTCATGTCTGCGTCTACCTGCCTCGCGATGCCACCTTCGTCTGGTGCTCCCAGGGCTCTCTGCTCCCCGTGTGGGTCAAACCGGACCCGCTTGGCCCATATTCCAGGCCCGTGCTCCGGAAGTTGGTGTCCATGTGTGAGGGGACAGGTGGGGAGGAGTGGGAAGCGGTTGGAGGTGGTGGTGATGGTGGCGGTGCTGCTGCTGCTCGTTCTGCTGGTGCTGCTAGGTTGAAGGTTGTTGGTGCGTCAGCAGGAGATGCTGCCACGTCAACTGGGCGTGGAAGAGAGTCTAATCTGCTTCCCGATTGGGCGAAGCCGGCTAAGCAAGCAACGGAGGGCAGGGGTAGTGGTGGCGGGGAAGGAAGCGGGCAAAGAGGTGGTGACAGCGAGAACGCAGGAGGAGATGGCGGAGATGAGATAGGGGGTGAGGGAGGGAGAGGACGGAGTGAGGGTGAGAGGGTAGGGAAGGAGAACCTGAGAGAGAATCAGAGGAATGGAGGTGGTGGAGGAGGTGGTGGTGGTGGTGGGAGTGAGTCAGGCAGGGAACGGATTTTGAAGCTCATGAGGAGGGTTGGGGTGCTGTCAGTTGCGACAGAGATACTCGACTTGAGTGATCAGGTCCCGTTAGAGGTACTTACGATCTCTGAATTGCGCTTAAGTAAACCAGTGCACTGCTCTTCCTGTTCTCCCTGTCCCACCTCCCACTGCTCCCTGCTACTCCTCCCTTGCCACTTTCCTCTCCACTACCATCCCGAATCCCTCCTTTTGACCCCAGGCTGTGGCTTCGCCGGCTCGCTCCGTCTCATGCTGGTCGCGCTTGCTGCCGAAGCCAGGGCGGACTGCTTAACAAGTCTATTCCTTCCCCCTCTTCCCCCTATTAAATAGGCTGTGGCGCTGCCGGCTCGCTCCGTCTCATTCTGGTCTCGCTTTGCTGAGAGGGGTGCCGAAGCCGAGTCTTATGAGGAGCAGGGCGCGCTACTGAGGGACCTCTACCAGGCAGGTGATTTGCTTTATAGATGTTGGCGAGAGTGGTTGAGAGGGGTAATTGGAGGTGCCAAGGATGGCACTGGAGCTAAGTCCTTTGAGGAACAGGGAGCACTGCTGAGGGACCTCAACCAGGCAAGCCATTTTGTTTCCACAGGTGCGTCCTTGAGAGTCGGTGAGATAGGGTGAGAGTGGGTGGGAGAGGGTGGGAGTGGGTGGGATAGGGTGAGAATGGGTGAGAGTGGGTGAGATAGGGTGCAAGTGAGTGAGAGTGGGTGAGATTGGGTGAAAGTGGGTGAGAGTGGGTGAGAGTGGGTGAGATTGGGTGAAAGTGGGTGAGAGTGGGTGAGAGTTTGTGGTAGTTGCAAGATCTGGAGATAGTGGCTGGGGTTAGAACTGAGTCGTTTGAGCAGCGGGCCGGGCTGCTGAGGAGACCTATGCCAGGCAGGCCATCTGCCTATTTTTGAGTCGACTCAAAAGTAGTTGCAAGGTCTGAAGATAATATTTGGGGTTAGAACTGAGTCGTTTGAGCAGCGGGCTGGGCTGCTGAGAGGACATATGCCGGGCAAGCCATCTGCTTTCCACAGGGTGACTGTGGGAGTTGAGAGTCGCTGAGAGTGGCTGAGAGTGGTTGAGAGTGGTTGAGAGTAGCAAATGTAGAGCACGTAGATTGTAACAGCACCTGAATGCTGCTCCTTCCCTTCAATAAAATCTACGTTTCACCTGTAGCAAAACGGATTCCTTCTGTTCCCTTTGCTTCCTTCCTTGTCTTCCTCCCTCCCTCCCCTGCATCCCTTGAGATCATCCTGCCACAGCTGCAGCAAGGTGATGTTTGACTTTTAAGTCGACTCAAAAGTCTCTTCCCTTTCTTTTATCTTCCCCCCTCCCTCCCCTGCATCCCTTCAGATCGTCCTGCTGCAGCTGCTGGCTTTTGAGGCGCCTCAAAAGTCGTCTCATTACCCGCAATGCGGCTCCTTCCTTCCCCTCCTTCCTTCTGTTCCCTTTGCTTCCTTCCTTGTCTTCCTCCCTCCCTTCCTCCCTTGCATCCCTTCAGATCATCCTGCCACAGCTGCTGCATCCTGATTGGCTCTCGTCCCGCCATGCCAGCTGGACCGACGAATGCCTCGCTGCCAGCTCAGCTCTGGCACTGCATGCACGCATCCAGGTACCTCCCGAATCTCGCAAGCAACAATTGTCTTTCTTGAGTTGACTCAGAAATAGGCTCTTGTAAGCAACAAATGTTTTTTCGCAGACTTTTGTGGACCCTTCTTAGCAAATGTCTTTTGAGTCGACGCATGACCTTTCAGGCAATCTGCGTTGGTGTTACTTTCGGAAATTCTCAAAATTAAAAAAAAACAAACAAACAAACAAACAAACAAACAAACAAACAAACAAACAAACAAAATATCAAAAGTGACTCTCGTCAACAAACGTCTTTTGAGTCCACTCATGAGCCTTCAGGCATTTGAGCACCCTCTACTACACCCATACACTGGCTGGCTGGCTCGCAGGTGCTCCTACCTTGGAAAGACTTCTGCTTTTACGACCCTCTTCTCTCCTCTTTCACCACTTAATCTGTTTTTTTAGAATTCTCACAAAACAGCTTCTCCTACATTGAAAAGACTTCTGGTTTTACGACCCTCTTCTCCTCTTTCACCACATCGCTGCTGAGGTTTCTTCCTTCTCGCCCGCCGCCCCTTCTCCCTGCGCCTTCCCTGCCTTCCCCCCAACTCCCCTCCAGAAGCTCTCCTCAGCCATCCTCTGGTCGCACGTCTCAGACCTCTGGAAAGTCTCCCTGCCACCGCAGCCAGCAGCAGCGTGGGCTGCCTTCACGCTTCCCTCCTGTGCTGTTCGTTCACTCGGTATCACTGTGCTTCCCCTCCAGGAGCTCTCTTCAGCCTTCCTCTGGCCAAACGTGGAAGTCCTCTGGAAGGTCTCCCTGCCGCCGCAGCCAGCAGCAGCGTGGGCTGCCTTCAAGCGCCCTCTGTTTCTTCCCTTGCGATTCATTCACTCAGTCTGTGCCCCCGTCTGCCCCCGTCTGCCCCCTCCAGGAGCTCTCGTCAGCCATCCTCTGGCCGCACGTATCAGACCTCTGGAAAGTCTCCCTGCCGCCACAACCAACAGCAGCGTGGGCTGCCTTCAAGCGCCCTCTGTTCCTCCCCTTGCTGTTCATTCTCTCTGTCTGCACCCCCGTCTGCCCCCACCAGGAGCTCTCTTCAGCCATCCTCTGGTCGCACGTCTCAGACCTCTGGAAGGTTTCTCTACCGCCGCAGCCAGCGGCAGCGTGGGCTGCCTTCAAGCGCCCTCTGCTGGCCGCCGTGGCAGCGTGTGTGGTGCACGGCACGCCTGGCAGGGAGAGGCTCTGGTCCAAGAACGGAGGGATTTTTGGGTACCTTCCCTTTGCTCTGGGTGGTGGTGGTGGTGGCGGTGCTGCTGGTAGTGGCGGTGTTGGTGCTGGTGCTGGTGGCGGTGCTGGTAATGACGGCGGTGCCGCTGCTGCATTTCTTGCAACTTCCGGGACTGTGAACCGTGATTCTGTTGGCGCAGATGCTGCTGCTGCTTCGGCTGTTGCTGCGGCGGCTGCTACGGCTGCCCCTGCTGGTACTACCTGTGCTAACGTAGCATCAGGAGTCGGAGCAACAGCAGCAGGGGCAGGAGCAGCGGCAGCAGCACAAGGGGTGGCAGCAGCAGCGGCAGCAGGAGCACCAGAGGGGCCAGCGGGCAGTGGCGTGGTTAAGTGTTTTGGTTTGCTAAGCAGTGGCAGAAAGTGCCCTCGCAAGGCCAGACCGGGAGTTTTTTTCTGCAGTGCTCATGCTGGTAAGGGGATGGGATTGGAGGGGGTGGGAGTTGGTGGAGTGAGAGATGGGAAAGTGAATAGCGAGGGGGACAGAGGGACTGAGACAGAACGAATGCAAGGGGGAGGGGGGGAAGAAGCTTTAGGGGAAGGAGGGGGGAGGGGAGGAGACGGAGGGGTGTTGAGAGGTGGAGAGGGGTTGAGCGATGAGGAAGTGGATTTGGGGGAATTGGGGGAGTTGGAACTTATTGGAGACCTGACGTTAGGCATGTATGGTTCTGGTGCTGATGGTATGTGCGAGCGACCTGTTCGCATTGGTTATGGTGCTGATTGCGATGGAGGGGAAGGAAGAGGAGGATTAGACGAGGAGAGAGCAAGAGCATGGGCAGGAGCAGGAGCAGAGGCAAGAGCAGAGGCAGGAGCAGGAGCACAGGCAGGAGCAGGAGAAGCAGCAGGAGCAGCAAGAGGATTGAGCTTTGGCGGTGTGAGGAGCTCGTTTCAGTGGAGGAATGAGGGCGCAATAGCAGAGGAAGCGGCAGGAGCAGGAGCAGCAGGGGAGTTGAGCTTTGGCGGTGTCTTTGGCGGTGTGAGGAGCTCGTTTCAGCGGAGGAGAGAGAAGGTGATCATGCTGTGCACTGGCATTACGAAGAGAGGCGGGCCGTGCCAGGTGCCGGTTCTGCCTCCCTCCACGCTGTGCCAGTTCCACAGGCGGCAGCAGCAGTATCAGCAGCAGCAGCAGCAGCAGCAGCAGCAGCAGCAGCAGCAGCAGCAGCAGCAGCAGCAGCAGCAGCAGCAGCAGCAGCAGCAGCAGCAGCAGCAGCAGCAGCAGCAGCAGCAGCAGCAGCAGCAGCAGCAGCAGCTGCAGCAGCAGCAGCAGCAGCAGCAGCAGCAGCAGCAGCAGCAGCGGCGGCGGCAGCAGCAGCAGCGGCAGCGGCAGCAGCAGCGGCAGCAGCAGCAGCAGCAGCAGCAGCAGCACACAAGGGAGTATGTGCGGCAATCAGAGCAGCAACGTCGGCAGCCGCAACAAGAGCAGCAGCAGCAGCAGCAGCAGAAGGGCGGCAGCAGCGACAACTTGATGCAAGGCAGTGGCAGCAGCAGCGGCAGCAGCAGCGGAAACAAACTGAGGATATGTACTATGGGGATATGGATGGTGAGTATTATGATGATGATGAGGAGGAGCGTGGGAAGGTTCTGGCAGAGGAGGAAGAGGAAGAGGAGGGCGAGGAGGGCACAGGCATGAAGGATTACGTCAAAGGTTACCATTCTCGTCGTGACTACAACGAACGTGATTTTGACAAAGGTGACTGTAACGAAGATGAAGGTGATTATAACGAGGGTGAGACTGGTATTGGATCGAAAGAGCTAAATCGTGAGGTGAAAAGGCTGTTTGAAGCGTTTGTTGAGGGAGATGTGAGATGGTGGGCTGATTTAGCAGGTGCACAGGTAGCAGATGGTGGTATTAGAGGGAGTGGTATGAGGGAGGGTGATGCGAGGGAGGGTGACATGGGGGACGGTGATATGAGAGCTGGGGAATCAAGGGAGGGTGGTGTGCAAGAGAGTGGTGTGCAGCAGGGTGATGGGGTGCCTACCCTAAGCTCTGCTCTCGTGTGTCTGTCAGAGAGGATAGATGGACTTGAGGCTCAAGTTTCTGCTGCTGGCGATACTTCTGCTGGTGATGGTGCTGGTGCTGGTGCTGCTACTTCTGCTTCTGCTGCTGAGTCTTCTGCCGATGTTAACTTTCGAGCCAGTTCTGAAGGAAATTCTCAAGTGAACCCGGGCCTCCTGCAGCTGCTGCATCTGGTCTCTGCTCGATTGGATGCTCTTCGGCCAGTGGTAGAGCGCCAGCGAGGCAGAATGGACGCTGGCGATTGGTGGAGAGAGGATTGGGAGGAATGGAGGGAGATGGTTCTGAGAGGAGGCAGGAGCTGGAAGGTTAAAAATGGAGTAACTGAGAGGGGGATAGAGAGGGGAATTCAGAGGCGGAGGGGTGAAGAGGGTGGGATAGAGAGCAGGAAGCAGGGAGACATAGAGTGGGGATGGGAAACAGAGGGAGAGGAGGAGGAGGATGGTGATGCTGCCGATGCTAATGATGCTTCACAAGGTCGGAAAACTGTTTGTCGGGAGGCCGTTCGCGATTTACACGAGTTCAGGAGGATGATACGGGCCAATACACGGAGAGTTAGAGAGGAGAAGGAAGGGGTGGATGGGGGTCCATGTGAGCAGGCGAAGAGGAGAAGAGACAACCGAAAGGGCTATTCGTCTTCTCCGGTGGGGCGGGGAAGGACAGCTGGTGGTTGTGTAGAAAGGGATTCTACAGCACAAGAAGCAGCATTGGTGGCAGAAGCAGAAGCAGAACGAGCAGCGGCGGCGGTGGCGGTGATGGCGGCTACAGACAGCTGTGCTCGAACCAGAGGGGACAGAGGTTCCACCGCTGCTACAGCTGCTACAGCTGCTGCAGCTGGAACAGCTGCTACTGCTGGGACAGGAGAGGCTGGTGTGATCGTGTACCAGAGGAAAAAGCCTCGTGTGGCAGGTGGTGGTTTGTCCAAAGGAGATAGAGAGTCTCTGGTGGTGTGTGCGGATCTGAGTGGGGGCAAAGAGCGGGTGCCGATACCATGTGTGGTGGATGGGGCAGTGATGCAGGGGATGGGGAGTGGGCAGGGGAGAGGAGAGGACGAGGGAGGGGGTTGGGAGCGGTGGAGGGAGTTTGAGTACATCACACAGCGGTGCTTTGACCCAAGCCTCGGTCTTGATCTCACTGTGAGTTGAATTTCCGTCCAGGCGCCTAGAAAACTGTCTTGATTTTTCACAGTAGATTCGGTGTCGTTCCCAGGGCGTCCGTGCCAGCTGGCAGCTTTCTCCTACAGAGCTGGCAGCTGGGCTGTGCGTGCCAGGGCCCTCCATGCAATCCCAGGGGATGTCTGTGCGACCACGTGGAGCACTCACAGCAGGACATTGAGTGTTGTTATTGCTGTGATGTGACTGGAACGGAAGCCCTTGTTCTTGCTTTTCTTTACTCCTTTGTCCCCTCTCTCCTCCTCCAGAGCTGGCAGCCGGGCTGTGCGTGCCAGTGCCCTGCATGCAATCGCAGGGCGTGGAGCACTCCCAGCAGGACACGGAGGGGGGTGGCGTCTGTGTTGTGAATCGAATGGGAATCCTTGCTCTTGCTTTCCTCACCCCTTTGTCCCCTCTCTCTCCTCCAGAGCTGGCAGCTGGGCTGTGCATGCCAAGGTGCCGCTTGTGATCCCAGGGCGTGCGACCACGTGGAGCACTCCCAGCAGGACACGGAGGGTGAAGCTTGCGACGTGAATGGGGAGCCTATGAGAGGACGCTTTGCCTACGACAGCAACGGCAGAATCGTGCTGCAGGTGCGCAGAACGCAAAGAATGAGACAGGTGGGAACTGAACAGTTGCGTGCGACGTCAATGGGGAGTCCATGCAAGGACACTTCGCCTACGACAGCAACGGCAGAATTGTGCTGCAGGTATAAAACAAGGCAAGAAATCGAGTTTGAGTCTATGCTATTAATGCGTGTGTCGTAGGCAAAGAGCCCTTGCATCACATGGACTCTTCTCATCGTCGCTTGGATGGAGCGCCAACGGCTGCGGTGTGACGCAACTTGCATTGCACTGTGTGTGCAGAGAATTATCTACATTTAAAAAATGCACTGTGTGTGCAGAGAATTATCTACATTAAAAAAAGTGGACTGTGTGTGCAGAGACTTATGTACCCAAAAAAAAAAAAAGAGAGGTGTCTTCCCTTCGTCATGCTCTGCTTTCCCTCCCCTCTCGCCCTCCAGAGAGGGCTGCTGGTGTACGAGTGCAATGCACACTGTGCGTGCGTTGCTCTCAAGTGCCCCAATCGTGTGCTGCAGCGAGGCATTCAGCATCGCCTTGAACTCTTTCTCACTCCTCACAAGGTCAGCTTCTTTCATTCTACTCACTCACTCCCTCACTCAGGGCGTATCCCTGGGTGGTGGCAGGGCCACTGTAGCTGGCAGGGTTGGTGGCAACTTTCTCAAAAACACAGGGGGGCGGAAAATGCGCATGCCACCAACAGTGCCAGCTACGGTGGCCCTGCCACCACCCAGGGATACGCCCTCACTCACTCGTCCCCTCATCCTGTCTGTTCCTCACTGCTCGCGAGTCAGCTTCCCACACTCTGTCTCGTTCTCTCTTTGCACAGTTGTGCCGTTGCTTACACATCTGCTCCTCCTGCCCCACTTGCAGGGATGGGCCGTGCGGGCAGCAGAGCCGTTGAAACGAGGCACGATTGTGTGCTTGTACATTGGGGGAGTAGTGGGCAATGCAGAAGCCAGCACACGTGCACAGGCATACGTTGAATGCTCTCTATGCACCCTTCCTACAGGGCTGGGCCGTGCGGGCAGCAGAGGCACTGAAACGAGGCACATTTGTGTGCGAGTACATAGGAGAGGTGGTGGGAAGCACTGAAGCCACCACACGCGCACAGGCATACCCTGAGATCGGCTCCTATCTCTACGATATAGACACTCACATGGACGCTCCTCCTGCTGCGGTGCAGTGCGGTTCAAGTGGGAGATTATCAAGTGGGAGAATATCAAGGGGAGAGCGGCTTGGTAGTCCGAACCAGGGACGAGCGTTGGTCAAGAGAAGAAGGAGATTGGCGCGGACTGGTGGGAGTGCTGGATGGCTGAGGAGAAACGAGCAGCTGGAGAGGCAGAGAATCAAGGAGAAATGGGAGCGGGGTGAGGAGGGATGGGAGGATGATGAGGAAGAGGAGTTGGAGAAGGAGTGGTGGGATGTGGGGAACGTGGAAGGTTGGGAGCTTGAGGAGGTGGGTCTGAAGAAGCCACAGCCGCAGCAGCAGGCGCAACAACACTTTGTGATTGACGCCACTCGACAGGGGAACATTGCAAGGTTCATCAACCACAGGTCAGTGGGGTCATGGGATGGAATGTTGAGTGGACCCAGTATCCCCTGAGTATCTTGTCCGAATTTCAGCCCCACTACCCCAACCCTCACTCCTTTTGAGGCGCCTCAAAAGGGGTCATGGGATGGAATGTTGAGTGGAACCAGTATCTCCAGAGTATCTTGTCCGAATTTCAGCCCCACTCCCCCAACCCTCACTCCTCTCTCCCCTCCCCTCCCCTTGACCCTCTTCCAGCTGTGACCCCAACCTGGTGAACTACTCGGTGCTTGTGGAGAGCATGGACTGACAGCTCTGCTCTTCACATATTCGTACCTTTTTCTCCAACCTGCCTTACCCCCTCCCCTCTTATATGCACCTCTCCCAGCTGTGACCCCAACCTGGTGAATTACTCAGTGCTTGTGGAGAGCATGGACTGCCAGCTCTGCTCTGCTCTTCTCCCTGCGATTTTTGCAAACCAACTCCTCCTTACCCCCTCCCTCTCCATGCACTGCACACACACCTCCCCCAGCTGCGACCCCAACCTGGTGAACTACTCGGTGCTTGTAGAGAGCATGGACTGCCAGCTGGCGCACATCGGCCTGTTTGCCGCCCGGGATGTGAGTCCAGTGGTGATGTGATTGTAACGAGGGCGTTTTGCAGCATGGACTGCCAGCTGGCGCACATTTGCCTGTTTGCCGCCCGGGATGTGAGTCCCCTCTTGTGATTGTAACGAGGGCGTGTGCGATTTTAAGACAGGCGCATGGGGATTCCCATGTATCTCGAATTGGCTTAAACTGGAAAATATTTGAGAGGTGTGTGCTGTCCGTCCTAAATTTTGAAACTTTGTGATTACGCGTACCCCTCTATTTGCCGTATATTTCTCCTCAGTATGTTTGCCAATGCTTATCCGTTTCCATTCTGCTTGCAGATAGCAGCAGGAGAGGAGTTGTCATATGACTATCACTACAGTTTAGTGGATGGCCCGGGTTGCCCTTGTCATTGTGGAGCCAAGAAATGCCGTGGTCGTCTATATTAGCGTCCATTGGCATGTGTTTATACGTCAGTTTTTTGCATGGAATAATTATATCAGATTTTGGTTATGTAAGGTGATTGATAAATGTTTTTCATTTTCAGCATATATCGTATCAGCATTCAAAAGAAGAAATGGGTGTGGATTGTATCACTGCAATTTCATGGTTTGTCACTTCTTGTCGAGGCATCTCGAACCGGAGCCGCGACAAGACCAGCAGCCGCCTGCTATTTTCCAGTAGGATCTTTCGGCTGCTACTATTCGACGATACGTGTACCCTCACCCTCACGCTTTAGTTAGGAACGTAGGCCTAGGTCGTCCTCCCGTATACTCCTTTAGATGTCAATATTGATCATATCGTTAAGTAAGCGCCACTAACTTCCTTATCAGGCCTGTGAGCATACCCCTAAGCGTATTACTTAGACGGGGCTGTTTACTGAGGATCGGAGCACTGGCGGAATGGCGGAGAGTAGCAGCGCGTCCGACGATGCGCTGCTGCGGGAGTTCTTCGCTGAGGTCGGCGCGGTGGAGAGGGATAACGAAGTAAACAGGTGCGGTGAAAAGCGGTTACGAAGCGAGCAGGTGCGATGCAGAGCGGTGACGAGGTGAGAATCTGCGATGCAAGACATCACGGACAAAGGTAGCTGACGGGCCTGGTTATTGGTCAATGGGGAAAAGTCATGTTTGCTGGTCATCAACCATTCGTGGCTCCCCCAGCCTCCCTTTTATTCTCTCCCTCTCTGGTACCTCGGCATTTGATCCTGCTTATTCTTCGAGCTTTGAGTCGTCTCGAATCATCCCCACAATTTTACTCCCCTCGTCACCCTCTCTCCCTGCCGTGTCCCACAGGATCCTGGCGTTTTTCAAGCTCAATCCTTTTGAGCAGCTGAACCTGCCGTTCCACTCTACCGCAGCTTCAGGCTTCAACCTTCCACCCTCACCCCTCTCTCCCTCGTCGTGTCCCTCAGGATCCTGGCGTGCTTCAAGCTGAATCCGTTCGAGCAGCTGAACCTGCCGTTTGATGCCAAGCAGGAGGACGTCAAGAAGCAATACCGCAAGGTACGAGCGTTGAATTGCTTGTGGATTGAATTCGATTGCTGAGTTGACTCAAAAAGAGCAGCTGGACCTGCCGTTTGATGCCAAACAGGAGGACGTCAAAAAGCAATACCGCAAGGTACGAGTATTGGCTGGCAGGACCTCGTTACACCTCTTTACACCGCAACTCACCTCGTTACAATGTCACAGGCTGCACCTCGTTACAATGTCACAGGCTGCTCCTCGTGACAATGTCAGCTGCTGAACCTGCCGTTTGACCCCAAACAGGAGGACGTCAAGAAGCAGTACCGCAAGGTATGGGTATTGGCTGGCAGGCAGCTGCCTTGTGGGTAGGAATTCAATTTTTTAGTTGACTCAATAAGAGCAGCTGAACCTGCCGTTCGACGCCAAACAGGAGGACGTAAAAAAGCAATACCGCAAGGTACGAGTATTGGCTGGCAGGACCTCCTAATACCGCAATGTCACAAGCTGCACCTCGTTACAATGCCACAGGCTGCACCTCGTGACAATGTCACAAGCTGAACTTGTCGTTTGACGGCAAAGTGGAGAACGTGAAGATGCAATTCCGCAAGGTGCGAGTATTGGCTGACAGGACCTCCTAATACCGCAATGTCACAGGCTGCACCTCGTGACAATGCCACACGCTGCACCTCGTTACAATGCCACAAGCTAAACTTGTCGTTTGACGCCAAAGTGGAGAACGTCAAGAAGCAATACCGCAAGGTGCTGTTATTGGCTGACAGGCATGGCACCTGGGTTGCGAGGCAACTTCTAGGGAACCTCGTTACAACCCTAACCGAAGTGGTGTATCAACTCCTCCTTAGTATTCCACCCCACGCCTTCATCCATCTCTGCAGCCACACCACACCTTCATCCATCTCCCCACCTTGTCCCATCTGCCAGGTGTCTCTCTGATAGTTCACCCTGACAAATGCAAGCACCCTCAAGCACGAAAAGCATTTCTTGTTTTGCAGGCGACTCAATACACGTCTCTTAACCCATCTCCCCACCTTCATCCCTCTCGCTTGCCTCCTTCATCCCTCTCCCAGGTGTTTCTGATGATTCACCCCGACAAGTGCGAGCACCCTCAAGCACGAGAAGCATTTCTTGTTTTGCAGGCGACTTAATACACGTCTCTTAACCCATCTCCCAACCCAAATTCCTCTCACAGGTGTCACTTATGATTCATCCCGACAAATGCAAGCACCCTCAAGCACGAGAAGCATTTGATGGTAGGTATGCAATGGGAAGGTACTGTGGCATTCGTATCTCTGATGTAACTGTGCAATCTACTCTGCTGTGGCATTCATTGACCGATGGCAGTCCCACCATTGGCTGCCTCACTCTCGTCGTATCCCTACTGCCTTCCCACACACCCCAATCCCTCACACAGTGGTGGCGAAAGCACAGGAGAAGCTTCTGAATGCAGACGAGTGGGGTTACCTCACATCACAATTTGCAGCAGCCAAAGGTATAACTTTGTGTTTTGAGACGTGAGTTAAAGTCTGCCTTGAGACCTAACGATACGAGTGGGGATACCTCACGTCACAGTTGGCAGCTGCCAAATGTAAGCTAGCTTAGACTGGAAATCTAACAGCCATGGGTTCTTAAGTCGTGTGAATTTTTTTCTTCAATTCAAGAGCCTTTGAGTATTGAGGAACTCAAAGGACCAAAACCGGAGGATGTATTGAGAGGGCGCATGAGGAGTAGAAGAAAGAGAGGCAGCGTTTGAGGCGACTTGAGAATGTGAGGATGTTGAACATGTACGTATGCTTCCTCTTTGTGTGAGAGCACATTAGGAGGCTGAGAAAGAGAGCCAACGTTTGCGCCAGCTTGAAACAAACCCGCTCTCCCCTTACCCCTTTCCCCTCTCTCTGCGCCCAACCCCGCCCCCGGTGAGCACCAGAGGATGTGTTGAGGGAGCATAAGAGGAAGTTGAAGAAGGAAAGGCAAGGCAAACCGGCCGCAGACGGGCTGTCTAAAGCAGAGGAGGTACGAGGAGGGGCGGGGGGGAGTGGCTTAGTCGACTCAGAAATCGCTTTGTTTTTAGTCGAGTTCGAAGGAGCGGCAAGGAAGGACGGCTGGAAACGGATTGTGTGACGTAGAGTGGAAAATGCGATGATTCTTTGTGATGCTTCGTAGGGGCCTTCGAAAGTGATGCTTTCATGTCTTACTCGAGTTAAAGGATTCTTGTGGTTCTTTCTATCCCTGTGCTCACTCACAGGAGGCGGCCTTCCTAGCATCAGCAGAGTTCAAGGAGCAGTGGCGGTTGAAGGCTCGTGAGCTGTTGACAGCGAATGAATGGAGGCGAAGAAAACTCTCAAAGCGGGTGCGCAGTATTCTGATCTTAACGTTTTCCAGAGGTGACTTTTGAGTAAACTCAAATGTCACCTCGGGGGCGCACTATTCTGTATCTTTACGTTTTCCAGGATACACGCATCTCAATTTCCTCTAAGTACGGATAGAGTTTTTTGTTCCTTTATGCTTTGAGGGTTTCAGGACGTTTGATCTTATGTTTCTCTGTGGGATGTGGAGCAGATAAAGGAGGAAGAGGTGAAGATTCAGCAGGAGGAGGAGGAGACGAAGGAGAAGACACTCAAGGAGAAGGAGCACGCCCAGAAGTGGGAGGAGACTAGAGAGACGAGGGTGAGTGGTGCTAGCATGGTTTACTAAAATGTGGCACGGGTGCGTTAAGAATAGACAAATGGGATGAGGGTGAGTGATGTTGGCAAGCTTTCATGAATTGTTTCGATTGTTTTGCGTCTGATTTTTCTGAGCTTTTTTTTCCATTATCCGTACGTATGATTCTTGGCTGCCTTCTTGATTTCGCTTCGATTTTCTGTGTCAAATGGTTCCTTCCGCCCCCTTTTCTCTTTTCATTCTCCTCTTGTATCACTCTATTTCTCGCATGCTCTCCCCTTGCCAGGTCAGCAGCTGGAGAGACTTTCAAAAGAAAGGCAATAAGGTGATCCCGTGTGCTGTGCTGTGCTGTGCTGTGCCCACACTATTTTTGACTCCATATCACCTGCATCCTGCACTCAAGCGTACCTCACTCGCCATTGGGCTACTATGCACCTATCGTATCTACAAATTGAGCGGATATGCATTCGCTCAACCTTCCACCCTGTGGTCTTGTTAAGAAAGGGCGAGCTATCTGTTTTTTGCACTCCCCCCTCCCTCCCCCACCACCACCACTGCCACAACCGCTACAACCACTGCCATCATCTGTTTGGTTTATTTAAGTGTGACTTGCTTTTGTTCTCATCCTTTGACGCCATCCGGTACTTGCAGAAAGCAAAGGGTGAGCTCAAACCTCCAGCCATGCGAGCCGAAGATCCAAATAAATCATACGTGAGGCGACCTGCAAAGAAAGGATAATACGAGGCCGCTGGGTAGAGCTAAATATAACCTTTTGTGTAACGGTGTAGTGATAGCAAGTGGTGATGAAATCACACAATGTGTAAGTTGACGCGTTCTGCTTATGCTATGAATAAATGTATTTTGTGGCCTAAACGCGGGATAAAGCAATCGAATCCTCCATGAAACGAGTTGTGAGGTGGGCATCGGATTTGTCGTCCAAATTGTCCGTTGGCCGAGTCGTGCATTTTTCGAGCCGTTGATGTTTCGGCTGGGCTGATGCATCTCCGTCAACAAGGACCATCTGGCGCGAAGCGCGTCAACTTCGGAAAAAGAACATCCCGTCAACCTCCAAGTTCCAAGCATTAGTAGGCGCTGTACGGTGAGGCATGGTGAAAAGTGGTTCTACTAGCTAAATTAGGAGTACTTGTGACCCACCATGGTCAAGCTTGCCAAAAGCTGAGGGGGCAAAACGCAGGTTTGTGCTGGTTCGCTCGAGGGACTCGGGCGCGGTGGAGGAAGAGGCAAAATCCGGCACAGTACGTTGTTGTTCAGAAGGAAATTTGGGGTCCAGCCAGAATCCATCACTCTTTGCCTTCACATTTGGAGACTGTACAAGGCCCGAACATCGGCGCTTTAGTGTCGTCGTAAGCAGTCAATTGACGTTTTTCTTGAAGCGGAACCTTGTTTGGCGTACGGGTAGATGAAAGCGACCTCCTCGTTTCCTGGCGTCCGACTCCGTGCTTGTTAGATTTTGCCGGAGCGTTCAATTCCACCATCAGGTGCTCTAACTGGTTATTCTCGGCAGCTTTTTTAAAATCTCGCTTGCTCCTGAAGTAAGCTTCAGTTACCCGCATTATTTCATCGTTTGGTTACTCACATGGTGTCAGAGATTAGCTTACGTTGAGCGGGTAATAGACGCATTATAACGAACCTCGCTGGAATTAAGATGGCGATGGAGTATTTACGAAAGCTAGACGACGCGGCCTTCGCGACTCAGGAGATGGACCTGGTTCTGGAGCTGGAGTCGCGAGTCGAGCAGTTAGAGAACGCTAATAAGGAGCAGGAGAAGGAAATATCGTCACTAAGAACACAGGTAGGCATGATCAAAGAGTTGCGACGATTGATTCGCTTCACAGTACTTCAATTCCTGAATGTCTAACACTTCCAGGGTGGTGTTTGGGGAGTTAAACCTTTCAGCCTATACATCTTGCTGGAAATTCCCGCCCATCTTTCCGTCAGCTCGCGATAACAGAGGAGAGCCTTCAACGCGAAAAGGAGGCGTCGGTGCGTCTCTTGCAGCTGCTGCAGCAGGAGCGCGAGGCGCGCTCGGCCATGGCGGCGGTGAGGGAGGAGGACCGGGTGCTGTCGGATGCGGATATGGCGGCGCTGATGCAGAAGAATAAGGAGCTTGAGGACGTGCTCCGGAGATTAGAGGAAGACGTGGAGGCGATTTCGCAGGAGAAAGAATCTCTGTTGAAAGACAGAGACGGCATGGCGGTTGAATCCAGGTGAGGCGGTGGAAATCAGGTGAGGCGGCGCTGATGCAGAAGAACAAGGAGCTTGAGGACGTGCTCCGAAGATTAGAAGAAGACGTGGATGCGATTTCGCAGGAGAAAGAGTCTCTGTTGAAAGACAGAGACGGCACGGCGGTTGAATCAAGGCGACTGAGCTTGCTACACCCGCTTCTGGAATTCTCATAAGCGACTCAGATTTAGAGTGCATTCGAGAACAGTGCATTCAGCTCGTCATGTGGTTCCTAGATTCTGATTGCAGCTCGTTGTGCGAGCGGTTGGAGGAGGCGGAGGCGGCGATTCTTTAGGCGCCTCAAAAATCGTCTCAGTTCATGTGTTTCCTTTTTCCGGTTTGCAGCTCGTTGTGCGAGCGGTTGGAGGAGGCGGAGGCGGCGAGCGAGATGCTGAAGCGGGAGAACGAGAACCTCGAGGCCGAGCTGGTTGCTGCGCGCAAGTCCCGGGACACTTACTGGAACCACAGCATCGCATTGTACCAAGAGAAAACGAGGTAAGGCGAGCGAGATGCTGAAGCGGGAGAAAGAGAACCTCGAGGCGGAGCTGGTGGCTGCGCGCAAGTCGCGGGACACGTACTGGAACCACAGCATCGCGTTGTACCAAGAAAAACGAGGTAAGTCAAATTTGGGGACTAGTGCATGTGGGGCCTGGGATCCTCCACGGGACACGTACTGGAACCACGGCATCGCATTGTACCAAGAAAAGCCAAGGTAAGTGAAAACAGGGTACAGTTCTGCATCTGCTTTCTGCGCTCAAGTTGGTTCGATCTGAGCGCTTTGATTTCCCTCTGAGGATTCGCGAGAACGCGTATAAGGACCGTGTTTGGGTCCATTTCTTCCTCACACTTTCTCTATTTTCAGCCATTCTCCCTCGTGTTTCCAACCACCCCATGCCAGGCTGGAGGAGCAGCTCGCGATGATGAATAAGATCACCAGCACCATGTCTGGTGGGACCCTTATTATTCTTAGATTCTCTTCCTTCCTCATCCATTCTCCCTCGTGCCACCCTAACCACCCCATGCCAGGTTGGAGGAGCAGCTCGCCATGATGAACAAAATCACTAACACCATGTCTGGTTCGACTGCCAGGCAAAGGGCGGCAGCGCGGCACTCCTTAGCGGGTACAGGAGGAGGCAGTACAGCCAAGCAGGGCCCAAACAGGGGAACCACACCCACACGTGCCCACTGCCACAACCAGCAGCAACAGCAACAGCAGCAGTTTCAGAATTACTCAAACCCACTCCAGGCCCACATTTCCCTCACCCCACCTCCGCCATCCTCGAAAGTGGCAGATCCGTTTGAGTTACCAGTAGACTACTCCTACCAGGACTTGCCGTCTACAGCAAACCACCAGTTCCCAGGGGCCCGGGGCGGCCTGTGCTTGTCCCCATCCCGAGCTGATAATCCGTCCGCGAGGAGTATGAATGGGCGGGAAGGTTTTTCTGGGAGTAGGATTCCTGGGGCAGGCACGGGAGCAGCCACCGCAGCAACAGCAGCAGCACGGAGACAGTCGGAAGCTTCTGGTGGGCTCATTCATTCCTCGGCCAAGCAGCTTCAGCAGCAGCAGCTGCAACAGTCGCCGCTGAGGCAGAGGGAGTCGTTTTATCAGGTGAACCCCTCTGCAACAGGAGAAGCTGGTGGTGCTGCTGCACCCCAGCAGCTGCAGTCCCAGCAGCAGCGGCAGCAGCAGCAACAGCAGCAGCAACAGCAGGTGCAGAAGCAGCAGTTGACACATCCGCCTTCCCTCATCCCCTCCCCCGCCTCCTCCGCCCGCCTCAACTCCGAACGCTCCTCCATCTGCAGCTCCCCGCGTAGCCCTGGAAAAGCAGGCGCGGGGGGGGGCGGGGGAGGGGGAAGAACCGGAAGCGGGGGAGGGGGAGGCGGAGGGGGGAGGAGCAGAGCGGATGGGCTAGACGGGAGTGGTGAATACATGGATGAGAATTGCAAGTCTGGAGTATCGTGGGGGAGTGGGGGGAACGATGTGGGCGAGTCAGGGGGGGAGGAGTCTGTGGGAAGTACCAGTATGATTCCACGGTACAGTGGCAGCAGCAAAATCCCTGTTCCTGCTGCTGTTAACGGTGTCCGAGCTGGGAGTGGAGGCAAGGTTTGGCGGTAGCAAGGTTCCAGCGAACTACGACTTATACTGGAAGGGGGAAGTACCGTACAAGTATGATTCCACGGTACAGTGGCAGCAGTCAGTTGCCTGTTCCGGTTGCAGTGATCAGCGCCCGTTCTGGGAGTGGAGGCAAGGTCTGGCGATAGCAAGGTTTCAGCGAGATAAGCTTTCACACTTAGACTGCCTTTGAAGGGTAGGGAGTTGATGTAGAGGGGGGGAGGGGTAAGGGGAGTGGGGAGTACCAGCATGATTTCACAGTACAGTGGCAGCAGTGGGTTGCCTGTCCCTGGTGCAGTGAACGGTGGCCGTGCTGGGAGTGGAGGCAAAGTTTGGCGGTAACAAAGTTCCGGTGAAATAAGAGACTATACCGCTTTTGAGGATTGGGGCAGTGATGAGGGAGAGTCCGGGATATTGGGAAAGAGGGAACTTATTGGAGAAACAGTGTTTGGTAATGTCGGCAGCAAGGTTACCTAACCTAACCCTGCCGCAGTCAACACTGGACGGGCAGTGCAGGCAAGGTCTGGTGACTGCATCTGACCCTCCACTTCCGCAATATTATAACGAGTTGTTGCTTCACCGTATAGGAGCAGGAACGAGCCGTGACGTCGTGTATATCCTGCCCTTTTTATTTGCGTGCAATAAGACCACGATTGCTTCTATTCAAAGAATGGTACGGTGGTGGTTGGTGGCGTGGGTGGGGTGTAGTAGTGGTGGCAACAAGCTACTGACTTCTCACACTTGGTATCTTGGGGGTTACCGACCGTAGTTTCCGCTCTGGAACAGCCGAGTTGAATGGGTGGCAAGGAACGACGTAGGCTAGAAGAGGACGGAAGGGGATAGTGAGGTTCAGAGGGGATTAGGAAACTGATTCACTGCAATTGTTACACACTAAAACCACATCAAACTTTCAAAGTTGCAAGGGTTGTATGTTGATAAGCTAATATAGCAGCATATGTGGTGGATTCAAAGTGTTCAAATTACCTGGCATTCGCTTTATAGCAGTGTTACGAAGTTCATACACGCAGCTTTTTCCGTATCAAAATCAGTGGCGGGAAGTCTTCCTTCCGCTATTTGTTCCCCTCAAATCACCGTCATCAATCTGTCGCAGCAGTTCACGTTGCGCTTCACTGATAGGCTACTTGGACTAGCCTCGTGGTCTGGGCGATAATTGCACCGACAACTCGACGACGCGTGACAACATCCAGACCAGACTCTCAATTCGCAACTGTATTTGGTGCTTGTCGTACCAGCCGTCGAGACATGAATTCACTGGTTCGGACGAGCGAAACCGGTTCCGAACCGAACAATTGATAGCCACGGCTTTCCGGACCAGCTGTCTCCTCCCCTCCGTCCCGTGCCTCCACCCTAACGAGTGTCGAATCCGAAGCGCACCACACGCCAAATTTCTTCACAATATGAAATTCGCGCGCTTCCGCCTTTCCCAACTTTCCGACCCGACCCACTAGCTCCACCGAATTCCATCTCCACAGGGATTATCTGCTCATTGATGCTGTTCCTCTCTAGTTTTCGCCCCCTTGTGTATCACATTACCGTTGTATGTTTGTTGACTTGACCTGGCCACGTTTCATGATGCCGCGCCTCATTCATGGCTCACCCCTCGCGCGCCACCGCAATTCCACCATCCCACTGCAAGAAGTGTAGCTTCTTTGATTTCAGTCCCAGCCCCCACCGCATAGCATCCGTGCACCTAACCACCACCATGCCACCGACTTTTAGCCAATCGCCAATGACCACCAGTTGACGGTTCTCGTCTCGTCCCCTGATTTGCCGCCTAATCTCCCGCGAATTTTACAAATTGCAGCCAAAACCTTGAGCTAAAACCAAAGACGATACATCCATTGGGGACACCGACAGGTTGATAGCGTATCGCCGACCCATCTTCATCATACATATTATCGGTTTCCCAGCAGCTGCAGAAGCAGCTCAGCTACAGACCACTCGACCGTTAATTTAAAGTGCAACGCTTCCCATCAAACCCTAGCTTCCCGTCTGCTGATCAATACTAGGGACTTGCACGTTTCGAGGCTCCTCCCATCACCCCAAAGATCCTTCGACTTCGTTGCTCTACTCCGAGTGTTCCCGTTCAGAGCGTCGCTGCGAGACCATCCGAAGTCTCTCCTCTTATCCGAGCGTCCTTTCATATACGTTACGGAAAGACGCTTAGTCCTCTCCCACACCTCGCTATCGCAAGTCCCCCACTTCTCGCCATCTGCTCAAACTGCTAGCAGACCTCGTCAGTCGCGCTATAGAAACGGTTCTTACGGTGCTCGTTAGTCGACGGCGCATCGTAGTGCACGGCTTGGACGCTATCATTGGCCTTAGAACGTGCCGGTTGAGAACCTCCACGTGCTCCGCGATTTTCACTGCTCTAGCGTATGTATAAAGTAGGCTCAATTGTACGTAGCAGCCCTGACATAGGGACTCCGAAAACACATTGAATACATTTATCAGGTGGATTGGTCTTAGTGCTCTCCTTCCGTGGTGCCACGAGCTTACAGTACAAATTCTTTTCGGTCCAGTGTAGAGTTGTACTAGTAAGAAGGTGTCGGACTTGTAGAGGGTTGACACATTCTTGCTCTTCTGAGGATCTCGGCTCCTTTTTGGAGGAAGGTCGAGACAGGGCGATGTGTCGCACGATCGCCTGCTCACGCACAGCGACGTGGGCGACCGGCGTGCGATGGAACGTGTCGCCTAGCGATCGTGCGAAACGGTCGGCGACGATGGTGTTGAGATGGCTGGCCGTCGTCTGCTTGGTGGCATTCGTCGCAGGAGGACTCCCGACGTCGCAGGCCGGAGGTACGGGATTGGGGACCGAGACCGAAACGGGTAAAGGCTCCTACTATCAACTACTACTGGCGGTTGTGCAAAGAAGATTGATTATTTCATTTACTACTATGCGCCAGTTGACTAACGCAGCAGACGTAGCATATTCACTGCCGCCCCTTCCCCTCTAACCCTTCCAGCGGGCTCCAAAGCCGCGGCGCCTGTGCGCAAGGGTGCATAGTGCACCAGGTGACTGTTCCGCTAACTCCGCTGCACCCCCGCTCCCCCTCCCTCACTCCCACCTTCCCCACCTCCCTCTCCCCAGCTACGCGCGCGAAAGCCGCGGTGCCCCTGCGCAAGCAGTACATAGTGCACCTGGCGGCGGTGCCGCCGGTGCTCAACTACCGCGGCGGCGTGGCGGGGCTGGCGGCGACCGCGCCGGAGCTAGACGACAACGACCCCGAGAGCAGCCCCACTGATGCGGATGACGACGATAGCGCTCCGGTCGATGGTTCAGGTGGCGGTTCAGGTGGCAGTTCAGGTGGCGCTTCAGGTGGCGGTTCGGGTGGCGGTGCGGATGGCGGTTCAACTGGCGGGTCGGGTGACTCAGGTGGAAATTCAGGTGAAATTCCTGCGGGGGGTGCAGGAACCGGAGCAGGAGGAGGCGGCGGGGGAACGGATTCAACTGAGGTTCCTTCTCCAAGTGATGCTACAGCTGGCGGCGCTTCCACCGGCGGCGCTACAGCTGGCGACAGCAGCGCTACAAACATCACGCTGGCAGCCGCGACGCTTCAAGGGCTCAGTGCGGCCCGACTCGCCACCGTTAGCAGCACATCCGCTGTGCCCCCTCGCTTCGGTACAATCACGAAAGCGATACGGCGGCTTGCGGATCGAATCAAGCGGCGCGCGGACGTGCGGCGGGCGAATGTGAAAGCATTCGTAAACTTTCTGCGAGATTCGCAGCGGCAATTTTTGCGAAAGAATAACATCTCGCCGTCGCGGATGTTCCAGAGCTACACGTATACGGTTAACGGGTTCGCTGTATCGCTGACGGCCGCGGAAGCGCAACGGCTGAAGCAGCATCCTGCCGTGTCTTGGATCGTGCTAAGAAGACAAACCGGTGAGTGAGAGAATGAGAGACCAGTGAGTAGAGCGATTATTCCAAAAGAGAGGAGGAACGAAGGGGTGAACGCGTGGAAGCAGGCGAGATAGCAGGGGAGGGGGGAAAAGCGGAAGACAGCTAGCGGGGACAGACGGGGAAGAGAGAGTGGGGGAGTCTGAAAAGGTTCGGGGAGCGGTAGGGTTGAGAATTACAAAAATAGTGGGCAAGAAGATGTTCCGAAGCTGCGCATATTGCGGCCAAATATTCCCCCGTTTGCTGACAGTTATCTTTCTTCCTTTTCCTTTGTCGTCCCTGATTATGCTGCCCCGCTTGCGATAATTTTTCCTTTTTTGTTGGGCAGGTTCGCGCGCTCACTGTAGACTCGCCGACTTTCTTGAAGTTGCCGACCAGCCTGTGGGCTGAAAACGGGGGGCAGAGCCGCGCGGGCGAGGATGTGATTATAGGCGTGATTGATTCGGGAATCTGGCCGGAACACCCTTCTTTTGCGAACACGGTAAGCAGTATAATTACTTCTTTCTCTTGTCCTTCTCCTGCTCCCCTTTACAACTACCACTTTCCCTCCTACCTTTGCTTCACCCACAACACCCTCCTTTTTGTGCATCTGCTTCAACCTTACCCCCTTCCCTCGTGCATCTTTCCCATCCCACCATTCCCCAGCCTGCAGACCCCTACGGTCCGGTCCCGGACCGCTGGTTCGGCGGGTGCGCAGAAACGGCGGACTTCCCAGCCTCGCTCTGCAACGGCAAACTCATTGGTGCAAAGTTCTTCAACAGTGGGTTCCGCAAGTCCGGGCAGAGCGTGGATCCAATCAACGACTTTTCATCTGCCCGAGATGGCGACGGGCACGGCACATGGTGTTCGGGGTGAGTGAGGGTGTTTTGATATCACTTATGGGTTTCAAAATGCCCGAGAACATGTAGTGTTCGGGGTGAGTGGTGTTGGGAATAAGAGCGTCCTCACATGTCCTCACACTCCCCTTTCACTTCACCCCCTTCTCTCACTCCCCTTCACCCATCTCCTCTCACTTTCCTGTTTAAAACCCGTGCGTGAGTTTGAAAATTTGATCGGCCCTCTTCCCTCCCCCTCCCACATGTAAACTACTGTCATTTCTTTTTTTTTTTTCCTATCCGAGCGGCGGCAGCCAATGCGAAAGTGAGTGTGGAGATGGATGGCCGCGTCTTCACCCTGCCCTCTCCACCCCTCCCAACCCATCAGAGTGGCAGCGGGCAATGCGAACATCAGCATGGTGATGGGCGGCCGCAGCTTCTCTCCCTGTCCTTCACCATACCTTCTCATCCCTCTCCACCCCTCCCAACCCATCAGAGCGGCAGCGGGCAATGGCAACATCAGCGTGGTGAAGGGCAGCCGCAACTACGGCACAGCGAGCGGAGTGGCACCCCTGTACTTACCTCTGTTTCACCCCTCTCAACCCGTCTCAACCCCTTCCCGCCCATCAGTGCGGCAGCGGGCAATGGCAACATCAGCGTGGTGAAGGGCGGCAGCGGGCAGCCGCAACTACGGCACAGCGAGCGGAGTGGCGCCACGGGCGCGCGTGGCCATGTACAAGGCGCTCTCTCACCCCCCAACCCCACCTTACCCTCCACCATCCCCACCTCCGCCCTCCCCCCCCCCCCCCCCCCCCCTTCACAGAGCGGCAGCGGGCAATGGCAACATCAGCGTGGTGATGGGCGGCCGCAACTACGGCACAGCGAGCGGCGTTGCTCCTCGCGCGCGCGTGGCCATGTACAAGGCGCTCTGGGTCGTCAAGGGCGGCGGTGCTTCGGGCACCAACGCTGATATCCGCGCTGCTGTTGACACCGCTGTTGCTGATGGAGTGGATGTGCTGTCTCTCTCATTGGGGGGATCAGTGCCCCAGTATTTTTCAGACATTCCCTATATGAATGCTGCCAAGGTGAGGCAATGGGGACAATCCCAAGGGCCCAAAGGAGGGGGGAGCGTTGACACAGCCGTGGCTGATGGAGTGGACGTGCTCTCGCTCTCCCTGGGGGGGTCTGTTCCCCAGCATTTGTCTGGCATCATTCCCTACATGAATGCAAATGAGGTGACTTTTGAGTCGACTCAAACGACATTTTTCCCCAGCATTTGTCTGGCATCATCCCCTGCATGAATGCAAATGTGGGGATCCCAAGATGAATGATTGGGCTCTACAAGGACTTGGATCTCTCTGGCAGAAAACCTTTTTTTTCTTCCAACGTTTGGAAAACCCCCTTCCCCCCCCCCCCCCCCCCCCCCCCCCCCCCCTCCTCCCCCCCTTCCCCTCTCTCTCCCCTTTCTTTCCGCCAGCCTACTCCCACTCACCCACAATAATGCTGGCAGGCAGGAGTGTTTGTGGCGCTGGCAGCAGGCAACTCGGGGCCGTCCTCTCCCATGCACAATCCACTGCTTACTCATTCCCACCCCACCCCACGCCATCCCACCCCGCCCCACCCCACTCCACCCCACTCCACCCCACTCCACCCTCTCAGGCGGGGGTGTTTGTGGCGCTAGCAGCAGGTAACGCGGGGCCGCCCTCCCCCATGCGCGTGCTGGGAACGCTCAGCAACGCAGCTCCTTGGTACCTGACTGTTGGTGCAACGTAAGTTGAGAGGAACACTCGGTGAAGAGGTGTGTTGCGGTTTGCTGAGGTGTTCTCTTCCATGCGCGTGCTGGGCACGCTCAGCAACGCTGCTCCGTGGAAGCTGACCGTGGGAGCAACGTAAGTCTCCCTCTCCGCCTTGCATTTCCTAGTAACGTGTACTCAAGTAACAGGACGTGTGCTGGGCACGCTCATCAACGCTTCTCCGTGGTACCTGACAGTTGGTGCAACGTAAGTTGAGAGGAACACTCGTTGAAATGGAAAGGTGTGCTTATGTGTGCTGTAAGGAACAGCTGGTGGATTAGGAAAGGTGTGCGGGTGGAAAAACTTTGTGGGAAGGAAAAGTTTTTATGAAAGTCCCAGCCACACACTGCTGCAAGCTGGGAACACTAACTCCCTTCTCTCGTCCCTCCCTCCGCTCGTTACTCTGTCCCATCCCGCAGCACTATTGGTCGGCAGTACTATGCAACGCTGAGTCTTGGGAACGGGGTGGAGTTGAAGGGAGTGAGCTTTGGAGGCACGGCACAGACGGTCAATAAAGTGCTGCTGCCGGCTGCTGCTGCTGTCAGGCCTGGCGCCTCTGCTTCTGATGTGAGTCGCATGCCCGTCTCACATGTGCTCATCATGGGTCCCTATCACATGTTCTTATCATGTTCTTATCACGTGTCCTCAACACGTGGTCTGTGCCATGATCACATCCCCTTACCACATTTCCAAATCACGTGCCCTTCTTTTGAGTCCTTGTTACAAGTCTGTGTGATTGCCCTTATCACACAAGCATTTTACATGTATACATGTCCATTCGACATGTCGAAATCACTTTTGAGAATTCTCAAAAGTGATTTCAATATTCTTATCATACAAGCAGTTCACATGTCTTGGAAATACATGTCCATTCGACATGTCCTTATCACACAAACATTTTCAAGCGTCTGTGTTAGTTACACGTCCCTCTCACGTGTCCTTATTGCAAGTCCTTTTTTTTTGTTTTTTTTACTCACCCCAATCATTAGCCCTTGTGAACCCCCAGGCCGCTCTATGTGACATCACTGCTATCAACAACTCCAAGTGGGGCGGATTATCGTGTGCACCTTCCAACCATCCTCCCTTTTTCCTTGCCCCTCTTTCCCCCCCCCCCCCTTTCCCATTTACGACCACCTAGGCCGCTCTGTGTGACATCACTGCTATCGACAAATCCAAGCTTGCGGGGCGGATCATCGTGTGCACATTCCAACCATCAGCCTCCAAGCCGGCAGGAATTCCCATCAACACTCTCGCAGCTTACAAGGCAGCAGCACTTGTCATCCTTAGCGGCTCACCCCAGACAGACAGCATGCCCATGCTCCCTTTCACCGACCTGCCCCTCCTGTATGTACCTGTTTCCGTTTCCCCCTCTGCACCCACCAGGCCGCTCTATGTGACATCACGGCTATCGACAAATCCAAGCTGGCTGGTCGGATCATCGTGTGCACGTTCCAACCGTCAGCCTCCAGACCTGCAGGAATCCCCATCAACACACTCGCAGCCTACAAGGCAGCAGCGCTTGTCATCATTAGCGGCTCGCCCCAGACAGACAGTATGCCCATGCTCCCTTTCACCGACCTGCCCCTCCTGTACCTGACCAACGCTGTGGGCGGGCAGCTGAAAAATTACCTGCAGCAGACGGCCAATCCCGTGGCGACACTTGGCGAATACACCACCACAAATTCCTCCAACGCTCCCCAAATGGCCTTTTTTTCATCCACCGGACCAACTATCAACCCGTCCCTCTTCCCGATCCCGTCTTTCCTCCCAACCAACGACATCTTAAAGCCGGACATCGTAGGTCCGGGTTTCCAGCTCTGGTCGTCGTACCGAGGCAAGAGCGCAGCTTCGGCAGCCACCGACCCTCCCACATTCAACTGCATTTCTGGTACCTCCATGGCTACTCCACATCTTGCCGGCATCGCGGCGTTATTAATCCAGAAGAATCCAGGCTGGACCCCCGCCCAGGTGATGTCAGCAATGATGACTACAGCATCTACAGTAAACAACGCCGGCCAGCCAATCAAACGCGCAAACGGGGACGTTGCCACCCCGTGGGATTACGGCTCGGGACAGGTGGACCCATCGAGAATCTTAAACCCCGGGTTGACTCTTACTTCAGGGTTTAACGATTATGTGAATTTTCTCGCGAGCCGGAATTTCCAGCAGACGAAGCACGCGTTTCCGGGGCTGAAGGGGATTCGGGCGCGCAAGCCGTGGAATCTCAACCGTCCAACGATCTCGATCTCACGGCTGTCGGTTCGCGGGAGGAAGATTGTGCGCACGGTTCGAAACGTGTTTGACCAGCCGTCGACGTACACTGTGAAGGTTCGGGTGCCATCGGACGTGCAGGTTCGGGTGACGCCGAGCCAGTTTACGATTGGTCCGGGGGAAGTGCAGCGGATCACGATGATTCTAAAGGCGAAGAAGGTTGTGAGGTCGTTTCTGTTTGGGTCGCTTAGACTGGTGGATGAGCATGGACACACTGTTAATATGCCAATTGCACTACGCACGGTGCTATTCTGAGTGCCGGGAGCGGTGCTATGCAGTGCTGATGGTGCTTGAGGTGAAGGGTGCTGTGTAGAGGAGACCGTGCAGCAGAAGGGAAGGAGTAGTAGGCTGGCAGCCTTGTTGGGTGGTGGAAGGAGTATGTCGTGTGGTATACACCCCCCGCAAGGTGGCGTGGCATTATGGAGCTTGGGAAGTGGAGGTGATAAGGAAATGCTGGTCCAGAGTGTGTTGAATAAGGTGGTGGGAGGTAGATGGTGGAGGACCTGGAATCCAGGGTACTTTTGCCATCTCCATGTGCAATTAGCACCCCTTTATACGTAAATTTGGAAGCTTCTTGTACTGCCAAATTGTAAGGTACATGTTTATATTGAATCACACTGCAACTAGGGAGAAACGGAATTGTGCAGGATTAATGCAAGTATTTTCTGTTTGTGTTTGTCGCAATTCTTTGTTTTGTCTGAAGTTATGAACAATAACAGATCTTCCGAGTCAGGGCTGCATGTCCATGACTCGTGCGAACCCTGGCGATGAACAAATTTCGTTTGTCAGAGCGGCCCAACTCAGAAACGCACGAGGCTCACTCCCTGATAGTCGTGTTACCACGTCGTTTCGCTTTCGTCGAACCTTAGCACTCGGTTTTCGCCCAAGCGTCGGTGGATTTTCGTGCAGTTCGCGTCGCACGTCCCTCCTTCCCCAAGCCAACCTCGGTGCGAGCGGCACCGCCCCGAAAATGTCTTCAGATTTCTGGGGCGCCCAGAATTCGCCCCAAATCCACCTCCCCTCCCACAGCAAATGTCCAGACCAGACAAAAGTAGCATATCACAACTTCGCAAGCAAAAGCACACCGAAAGCTAAGCAGACAGCACCGACAGTGCGACACACTCCCAGAACTATATTTTAACTCGAATCCATTCGCAGATCCGGGCTTTTGTTTCTCGTCTCTCGACGGAATCTCGTCGCACGGTCTCACCCTCCCGAATCCGCTCCAACTGTGGAGCATAGTTCTGTCGTTAGGTGGTTTAGCTCGAAATCCTGTCATTCACAGTCTCGCGTAATCTCTCAAGACAAGCACCATTGAATTCAGACATGCAGCTGCAAGCCTCTCTTGGCCCTCGGTTTCCACATCGCGATGTCCATACGCCTGTCTCACGAATTCTCTTCGCATTAAGTTGGTCATACTGGCTGTAGATACAACCTGAGATTGAACGCGATGCCCCGTCGCTACGTCGCGAGCCGCAGATGGCTGTGTCGAAATCTGTCTCGCGGAGCAGATGACCCTTTTGGGAAGTGTCGAAAACCGCTTCGCGTCCCCCAGCTACTTGTCGTCTGCCTCGCATTACTCCTAGTAGCTCCTTCGAGTCCCGCTGCTGACCGCTCATCCCAAGGTATAGGGAGAATCGAACATCACATATACAGCCGCGTCGCCTAGTTTCCGGATATTCTCTTCCGGGTTCTTCCTTTACCCTTGTTTTGAGGCGCCTCAAAACTAGACATCACTTAAAGCCGCGTCGCCTAGTTTTCGCCGGATATTCTCTTCCGGGTTCTTTCTTTACCCTTCCGGCTCCGCTCATTACTATCATAGTAGTGATGCGATTCTGCACACACTTCCTGAATCAGCCCGTTTCATCCATTCGAATTGGCTCGAATCATCGTCCCCGGTTGGTATGAGTCAGCCAGATTTCTAACATCCCTCCCTGCCACACTCGTGATTTTTCCTCCCCTGTGACCCATCTCACTCCACCATAATCCGTCCCTTCCGCGCACTCCCACGTATGGGCAGGACCAGGAGGAGTAAGAGCAGCAGCAGCAGCAGCAGAAGTAGCAGCAGAAGGAGCAGGAGGAGTAGACCCAGAAGCAGCAGCAGCAGCAGCAGCACGGGGTGGCATTCGGCGAGGGTACATGGTGTATCTGCGAAATGCCCCTCCTGTTCTCAATTACCACGGTGGAATTCCTGGGATTCCCGCGACCGCTCCGCCGGGCGACGATGATAGCGTAGGCGAATTTGACGACACAGTTAGCGACGTTAGCGATGGTAACCGAGAGTTTGTCCCCATAGATACTGACACTGCGTCGAGAGAGGAGAGTGCAACGGTGGGAAGGAATCTGCGTGGAGGCTTGGGTGAATCTCAAGCAACGCAACCACAACGGTTGAGGGGGGCGAGAGGGGGTTCGGTAAATTGTCTCGTGGGTCGCTTTCGCCCCAGACGGCCAGATGTTCGCGCGCCGAACGTGCGAGCTTTCGTCCGCTTCCTGCGAAATTCGCAACGACGGTTATTAGCGGATATTCGGGTTCCCGCTTCTGCGGTGTTGCACAGTTACACTTACACGCTTAACGGACTTGCTGTATCGCTGACGGAAGCGGAAGCACGTCGGCTGAAGCGGCATCCTGCTGTGGCCTCGGTGGAGGAGGACCGAATGGTAAGTGTACACGAATGAAAAGGTACACTACATTGTGAAATGTATTCACCAATACAGAAGAAAGGAAGATTTCTTCTGAAACGTACTGATTTTTTGTTTGCATGTCTGGTTATATCACTTTTGGGAATTTCCTTTACTGCTTGAAACCTGGCAGGTCCGTGGCCTCACAGTGGATTCGCTAACTTTTCTGAAGCTGCCTGACAGCTTGTGGGCAGCAAATGGCGGGCAGAGTCGGGCAGGCGAGGATGTGATTATAGGCGTGGTGGACTCTGGAATATGGCCGGAACATCCTTCTTTTGCAGACGATGTAAGTGCAACACAGCCCTTTTCCCCTTTCTCGTAACCTCCTCCTCCACCTTCCACCCTTCCCCCTTTCCCTCCATGCGTACCCGCTGACACATCCACTCCCTCACTCCTTTCCACCCCCTGTTCGCCCTCTCCTCACCTTATATTCTCCCGCTTGCTTTAACCCTCCCTCTCCTCCGCCCCCTTCTCCCCCAACCGCCAGACCCGTACGATCCGCCCCCTTCTGGTTGGCGGGGAGGCTGCACAGTAACGGACGATTTCCCTGAAACAGTGTGTAACGGTAAGCTGGTGGGGGCGCGCTTGACCTGACTCCATCCCTTCCGCCTTCCCCCTTCCCCACCTCCCTCCCGTCCAGCCATCAGACCCGTACGGCCCGCCCCCTTCTGGTTGGCGGGGAGGGTGCACAGTAACAGACGACTTCCCTGAAACAGTGTGCAACGGCAAGCTGGTGGGGGCGCGCTACTTCGTGGCGGGGCTGCTGGCCAATCAGGGCAGCGTTTCTGAGTCCCTGGATTTCATGTCGCCCCGGGATGGCAATGGGCATGGCTCGTGGTGTGCGGGGTGAGTGGATGGTATGGTATGGTACAGTGCGGTACGGTCTTGTATGGTACGGTAATGTGTGCGGGCGAATCAGGGCAGCGTTTCCTAGTCCATGGATTTCATGTGGCTCGTGGTGAGTCAATGCATGGGTGTGGGATATGGCATGGTACAGCGCAGTACTGTATGGTTCAGCGTGGTATGGTGTGCATGGATCAGGGCAGCGTTTCCGAGTCCCTGGATTTCATGTCGCCCCAGGATGGCAACGGGCAGCTGGCAACGCGAACGTCAGTGTGGAGATGCATGGGCGCAGCTACGGCACAGTGAGTGGTGTGGCGCCGCGGGCGCGCATGGCCATGTACAAGGCGCTGTGGCGCATGGAGGACGGCGGGGCGTCTCCTCCCTGCTCCACCTGCTCATCCCTCTCCACCTCTCCCCCTCCCCCAAATCCAACAGAGCTGCTGCGGGTAACGCCAACGTGAGTGTGGAGATGCATGGGCGAAGCTACGGCTCAGTGAGTGGCGTGGCGCCGCGGGCGCGCATGGCCATGTACAAGGCGCTGTGGCGCATGGCGGACGGTGGCTCATCAAGGGTGGCCTTTGAGGCGCCTCAAAAGCTGTTTTTTATGCTCTCTCTTTCTCTTCCTAATTCCTACCAGTGCGGCAGTGGGCAACGCGAACGTCAGCGTGGAGATGCATGGCCGCAGCTACGGGGCAGCGAGCGGAGTAGCGCCGCGGGCGCGAATCGCCATGTACAAGGCGCTCTGGCGCATGGAGGACGGCGGGGCGGCCGGCATGGACTCGGATATCCGGGCGGCAGTGGATACTGCCGTGGCGGACGGCGTGGATGTGCTGTCGCTGTCGCTGGGTGGCAGCATTCCCAACTATTTTGCAGACATTGCCTACCTGAATGCTGCCAAGGTGAGATGGGTGCCCTCTTGCCTCCTCTCCTCCCTTGTTTCACAATGGAGCAATGGGCTTGATCAGTAGAGAGTGGAACGACCTTACAGGGGGGAAGGGGAAGGAGGGAGGGGGGGGGGTGGGTTATGGGGGCGGCCGGCATGGACTCGGATATCCGGGCGGCAGTGGATACTGCCGTGGCGGACGGCGTGGATGTGCTGTCGCTGTCCCTCGGGGGCAGCATTCCGAATTACTTCTCTGACATTGCTTATCTCAATGCTGCCAAAGTAAGTCCTGTGTTGCGATGATCTTATCAGAGTGATGATTACTGGGTGTCCGGGTGTCTGCTTCTGCTGCCCCCCCCCATAGCTCTGGTAGGTCCCTTTTCACGCTGCTGCACAGCCCCAGTTGGCGTTTCGATTGCTTCAAAAAAAAAAAAAAAAAAAAGATCTCTACTGAATCCTAATATACACCCAGGTCTTTTATGCTCTTCCGTCCCTCAGGCCGGGGTGTTCGTGGCGATGGCAGCTGGAAACTCCGGAGCACCTTCCTCTGTCAAGGCTGTTGGCACCATAAGCAACGCATCGCCGTGGTACCTCACCGTTGGCGCCAGGTGAGGCTCCTTTCTCCAACACCCACAGCTCACCTTCACTGGCACATCGCAATGTGAAGGTGGCACCCCACCCCACCCCTCAATGCGTCTCCCACCTCCTCCAATCCAAGGCTGTGGGTACCATAAGCAACGCGTCGCCGTGGTACCTCACCATTGGGGCCAGGTGAGCCGTCTATTTCCAACAACCCCTGCACTTTTCATCATTACTTTAGGTACATCATAATTGATATTAACACCCAGGCCTTTTCCCCCTTGTGCCACCTCATCCACGTTTTACCCCTGTGGCAGCACCATGGGTCGAGACTTCATGGCCAATCTTACCATCACTGCGCTTCCTAACACCACCACCACCAACACCAACTCCGATACACCTGCTGCTGCTTCTGCCGCTTCCCCTGCCCCCTCCTCTTCTGCCCCTCCTGCCCCTGCCTCTTCTGCTTCTCCTGCTGCTACCGCTGCTGTCGAACCTGCCAGCACCTTCGTCGCGACTCCTTTTACCGAGAGCTTTCTGACTGGCAGCACTTCGACTGAAAGTTCTTTGGCCGGGACAGGGAGCCTTTCACCTGAAGCACCGGAGGAGGCAGGGAGGTCAGCACTAGTGCTATCAGGGTGGAGCTTTGGAGGCACGCCCCTCACGACCGACCTGCCGGTGGTTGATGCCAGGGATGCTGCTGCGAATGGTGCCAGTCTGTCGCTGGTAGGTGGTATGGTTGGGGTGTGGGTATGGTTGTAAGCACTAGTGCTATCGGGGTGGAGCTTCGGAGGCACGCCCCTCACGGCTGGGCTGGCTGTGGTTGATGCCAGGGATGCTGCTGCAGTTGGCTCTAGTCAGTCGCTGGTGAGCGCACAGGGAGCTTATGTGCATGGGTGTGGGTATGGGTGTGGGTATGGGTGTGGGTATGGGTGTGGGTGTGGGTATGGGTGTGGGTATGGGTGTGGGTATGGGTGTGGGTATGGGTGTGGGTGTGGGTATGGGTGTGGGTATGGGTGTGGGCAGGGTGTGGGTGTGGGTGTGGGTGTGGGTGTGGGTGTGGGTGTGGGTGTGGGTGTGGGTGTGGGTGTGGGTGTGGGTGTGGGTGGGTGGAGCTTTGGAGGCACGCCCCTCACGACTAACCTGCTGATGGTTGATGCCAGGGATGCTGCTGTGGATGGGGCGAGCCAGTCGTTTGGTTTGTGCGTCACGGCAGCAATACCCTGCTGAGGGCGTCATGTTTCGTACCTCCCTTCCACCATCAATGTCCTCCTCACCCCAGCACTTCCCTCCTCTGCGCCCTCTCCTACTCCCAAACACCACTTTTCTTTCTACAGGCCAGCCAGTGCCATGCTCCCAGCATCAACGCGTCTCTCACCCTCAACACCCTCCTCCTCTGCGCTCACTCCACTCGCCCTCTCACCGACGTGCTCCTGGACGCATCCACCCTTCGCCCCGCCGCCCTGGTGCTGCTGGGGGCTACGGACACACCTCCCCGCCTGCCCTACACGCGCCTGCCTGTTATTTACCTCAAGGCTTCTGATGCCATTGCTCTCAGGAGCTTCCTTGGCACAACCACCAGGTACGGCCTGGGCACGTCTCTTTCTGACTCCTCTGCGCTCTCTCCACTCGTCCGCTCACCAATGTGCTCCTGGACGCATCCACCCTTCGCCCAGCTGCTCTCGCGCTGCTGGGGGCTACTGACACACCTCCCCGCCTGCCCTACACGTGCATGCCTGTCATTTACCTCAAGGCTTCTGAGGCCTCTGTCCTGAGGACCTTCCTCGGGAGTACCACAAGGTATGCCTTTCCTGCTCTTCACCCCCGCCTGCCCTACACGCGCATGCCTGTCATCTATCTCAAGGCTTCCGACGCTTCTGCTCTCAGAAGCTTCCTTGGCACAACCACCAGGTACGGCAAACCTCCCCTTTTGCTTTCCTCTCGTCCGCTCGCCGACGTGCTCCTACTGGACGCATCCACCCTTCGCCCCGCTGCCCTCGTGCTGCTGGGAGCTACTGACACACCCCCCCGCCTGCCCTACACGCGCCTGTTTGTGATTTTCCTCAAGGCTTCTGATGCGGCTACTCTCAGAAGCTTCCTGGGAAGGACCAGCAGGTATGACCGTACGGTGCATGCCCGTTGTTTATCTCTCCTCTGCCCTCTCTCTCCTCTCTCCTCCTCTGCTCTCTCTCCACTCGCCCTCTCACCGACGTGCTACTGGACGCATCCACCCTTCGCCCAGCTGCCCTGGTGCTGCTGGGGGATACCAACACGCCCCCCCGCCTGCCCTACACGCGCATGCCTGTCATTTACCTCAAGGCTTCTGATGCCACTGCTATAAAGAGCTTCCTTTTTCCATCCCTCTCCTCCTCTAGTTCTTTGTCCTCTTTCCTCTTTTCCCCTCTCCTTCACCTCCCACCATGCGTTTCCCTCATGCGTTCCCCTTCCCCTGGTCCTTCCTCCCTCCACATCCCCCCTTCCCCAGCCACCAGGCGTCCCTTTCTCAGCCCTACACAGCCTCCACCTCCCCAGCACCAGCCATTGCCTCTTTCTCCTCCACAGGCCCCCCAGTCAACCCCACCACCCCCTCCTCCTCCCTCCCTCCCTACCTCCCAACCAACGACATTCTCAAACCTGACATTGTAGGCCCGGGGTACCAGCTCTGGGCGGCCTACCGAGGCTCCAGCGCAGGCTCGGGGGGAGCAGCTTCGGGCCCGCCTTCGTTCGGGCTGCTCTCGGGAACATCCATGTCTACACCACAGCTCGCGGGAATCGCGGCGCTTATAATACAAAACAAACCCGATTGGACGCCGGCGCAAATAATGTCAGCTATAATGACTACAGCGAGTATAGAAAATAACCAAGGAGGGGGGATTAAGAAGCCGAATGGGGGAGATGCCACCTGGTGGGATATGGGAGCAGGGCATGTGGATGCTGCTAGAGTGCTGGATCCAGGGTTGACTTTCAATGCGGGGTATGGTGATTATGTGAGCTTTCTGGCTGGTAGGAGCATGGCAGAGACTGCACGTGCGCTGAATGTTGGGAAGAAAAGGGGCAGGAAAGAAAGGGGCAACAGTCTTAGCAGCAGAAGTGGCGGCAGCAGCGGCAGTGCCAGCGCCAGTAGTGGCGAAAATGACGGCAGCAGCGACAGCAGCACTAGTGTCAGCAGCAGCATCAACAGTGGTGGTGGGAGCGACAGCAGCAACAGCAGCAACAGCACCAACACCAGCACCAGCACCAGCAGCAACAGTGGCAACAGCAACAGCAATAGTAGTAGAAAGGTCAAACAGGCTTCAGCAGCAAAGAAGCAAAGGTGGTGGCAGTGGCAGTGGTGGAGATGGGCACAAAACGGTGCTGGTAAAAAGTCGTCCACCATCCGTTCCATCCCAGCGACGCATCTCAACCGTCCATCCATCTCAGTGTCTCAGCTCCAGGGGACAACTGACATACCGAGAACAGTTATGAACGTGTACAATGCCACGTCAGCGTACCAAGCCACGGTTACATCTCCTGTTGGCGTGGATGTTCAGGTTATCCCGAACCAGTTTACGATTGGTCCGGGGCAGTCGAAGAGGTTCGTGGTTTGGCTGCAGCCAAATGCGGAGGCAGCTGAGGCTTGGGAGAGGTTCGGGTTTGGTTCGGTGAGGTGGGAGGATGAGCATGGGCATGTGGTGAACATTCCTTTAGTGACATGGATAAGTGCTTGAAAGTTGAATCTGCACGAGATACGGCACTTCCCTGCGTGCAGTGCTGGTATCATTTCCCTCTTGCTATCAGGGAGCTGGTTTCCAACTTCTCGCACATCACCCAGTGTGGTATTCACATCACACTGAGTGATGTGTCTGGAGTTTTTTTCCCAGCTCTACGGATTGTGGTATGGAATGCTCCGCATGGAAGATGTACCTACTATGGTGGCCGCATCTTTACAAAAGCAGTGTATATTATCGTATAAAGGCAGAATAAGGGCTTGCTGCATATTGAATTCGATGCTTTTTCAGGCAGAAAGACGGGAAGCTATGTACACTATCACTGTAACGTGGTTCTTGGAGATGCATTGAATTTATTGGCAAACCCCCTTGTGCACAGCAAGAACCACTGCTCGATGGCATGGCACACAACATGGCACGGCATGACACGGTATCGAGGCTTGAGTTGACCCTCAGTTGCTGCTGCTTTGGCTGGCATCAGAGAGTGAACTCTGCAACGAGAGAGAGAAGTGGTTGCTGGGCCAGCAGCGAGTGGGCATGCCATGCCATGCCATGCCATGCCATGCCATGCTATGCACGTCAATGCTGCTTGGGTTTGCGTCGGAGAGTGAACTCTGCAACTAGAAAGAGAAGTGGTCGCTGGGCCAGCGGCGAGTGAGTGGGCAGGGCGGCGTGGTGGGCGAAGTGGAATGCTGGGAGCACATCCATCCAGTCTTGAAGCACGTCCAGCTTTGATGCACGTTACTGCTCTTTCGGCTGACACCGGAGTGAGAACTCTGCAATGAGTGAGAAATGGTCGCTGGGCCAGCGGCGCGTGGGCAAGGCACCACAGGCGAAGTGGGACGCTGGAAGCACATCTGTCCAGGCTTGAAGCACATGCAGCTTTGATGCGTGTCACTGCTGCTCTTTCAGCTGACATCGGAGGGTAAACTCTGCAAGCAGAGAGAAATGGTCGCTGGGCCAGCGGCGCGTGGGCAAGGCACCACAGGCGAAGTGGGACGCTGGAAGCACATCTGTCCAGGCTTGAAGCACATGCAGCTTTGATGCGTGTCACTGCTGCTCTTTCAGCTGACATCGGAGGGTAAACTCTGCAAGCAGAGAGAAATGGTCGCTGGGCCAGCGGCGCGTGGGCAAGGCACCACAGGCGAAGTGGGACGCTGGAAGCACATCTGTCCAGGCTTGAAGCACATGCGGCTTTGACGCACGTTACTGCTCTTTCGACTGACATCGGAGGGTGAACTCTGCAACGAGGGAGAAGTGGTCGCTGGGCCAGCGGTGAGTGGGCATGGCACCATTGTGAGCAAAGTGGGATGCTGGGAGCACGTCTAGCACCCGCTGCACCTCCAGCTCGTGGGTGTGCCTGGCGAGAGCGGGAGCAGGGGTGAAGAGGGGTGAAGAGGAGTGCAAGGGGTGGGACATTGGAAGCACGTCCAACACTCGCTGCACAGCCAACTCGTGGATGTGCCTGGCGAGAGCGGGAGCAGGGGTGAAGAGGGGTGAAGAGGGGTGCAAGAGACTGTGGTGACTGGTCTTAAGGTAGGTATGTGTGGAACGCAGGGAGCACGTCCAACACTCTTTGCACCTGAAGGAAATGCGAGGGATGTTTTGGATGGGAGGAATGCAAGGAGCTAAAGGGATGGGTATGCCTTGTCAGGATGAGGGTGAGGGTGAGGGTGAGGGTGAGGGTGAGGGTGAGGGTGAGGGTGAGGGTGAGGGTGAGGGTGAGGGTGAGGGTGAGGGTGAGGGTGAGGGTGAGGGTGAGGGTGAGGGTGAAGAGAGACTTAGTGAAGGAGGTGGGGGAACAAGCTCACCAGATGTAATCCACAGTTCCGCAGAAGTTCGCATGGAAAGACGTCAGCAAAGGTTCACCCTTGGGGCATGCATGGCGATTCTCGGTCTGCCAGAATATAACAGTGAGGGAAGCTAGCAGAACGATGACGGAAGCAAACAGAAGCGTGGCACAAGCGATTAAAATGATATTGTCGGCATGCAGCACAACAGGGCGTCGGCATGTGCTTATCCGAAGTGCATGCAAACCCCTGAAAGGAAGCTCACGAGAGACAAGTGTATGTGGCTGTGTGAATTCAAGTGCCCGAGGAAAAACTAATCTCACCGGTGCTTGGGAATACGCGCTTTTGAGTTTCAGAGGGTGTTTCACAACAGTACCCCCTCCATCGCCCCCTGTTGCAATCTTTAGCTCCTCAGGGGACCAACCCCCCCCTCTTCCCATCCGCCCCATCCCTCCCATCACTTCCCATCCAAATCGTCCCTCCCCCAGAGGAAACGTGCTTCCCCCCCACCCAGAGCCATCAACTCCCACTCCTGCTCCCCCCTCCTTCCCGTGCTCATTCACAGCCACTCTCTGCCGTTTTGCCTCTGAGATGGACACGAAACTGCCAGATGTCGGCCCGTCATTGGCCGCTCCCTCTGCTGTGATGCTGCTTATGGTGGTAGCAGTGGTGGTGGCACTGGTGGTGATGGTGGCGGCGGTGGTGGCACTGGTGGTGGTCTCAGCAGCACTGGATTGCTCTGTCGACCGTTGCTGAGACACGTGGGAAGACGATTGGAGCCAAATCTGCTGCTGCCCCTCCCCTCCCTCAAGCTGCCCTGATACCCTTCTCCGATCGGTGAGAGCGAGGTCCAACTGCAAGGCAAGACGGGTGGGTTAAGGAGGAAAGGTGGACGGGAGAAGGAGCAGGGTGAGAAAGAAAACAGCTGCTGCCCCTCCCCTCCCTCCAGCTGCCCTGATACCCTTCGCCGATCAGTGAGAGCGAGGTCCAACTGCAAGGCAAGACGGGTGGGTGAAGGAGGAAAGGTGGACGGGAGAAGGACCAGGATGGAGAAATTAATCAGCTGCTGCTGCCCCTCCCCTCCCCTCCCTCCAGCTTCCCTGATACCCTTCTTCGATCGGTGAGAGTCAGATCCAACTGCAAGGCAGGATGGGTGAAGGAGCATGGTGGGGGAGTTGAAGTGAAGGAGTGACATTAAGTTAACTCAAAAGCCACCTGCCCTGATACCCTTCTTCGATCGGTGAGAGCTAGGTTCAGCTGCAAGCCAGGATGGGTGGGTGAAGGATGAAGGCGGAGAGATGTGGAGAAGTTATACGGAGACCAAGGAAAACTGCAGGGTAGATCAGTGCTAACATAATTTAGAATGTAGTCACCGTGGCTTGTATGGACACAGTTTCGGTCAAAGAAGGAACTGGAAACAACAGCACAAAAAGAAAGGCAAATATAGCACAATAACACATCCGCCTCCTCATCATAATTAGTAGTCAGCACTTGATAAGCCTACCTGTGATGAAGCGATGAAGTCATAGAGTGCACTCTGTAGCGGCAAGAAACACACACAGACAGTGCAGCGCAACCAGAGAGAAAAAATAGAAGGAAAATAGAGTTAATTGCAACTCCGCATAATGGCTTAGATTGGACACAACGAGCGTAAATCCGGAAAGTACAGCACACGCGGAGGAGAAACAAGAGGGAAAACGGAGTTAATTGCAGCTCCGCACAATGGCTCGGACAAGACGAGCACAAATGGGAAACTGGGGAGGAGCATGAACGAGATCAATGATTAGATGAATCTTATTGTGGACTCTAGTGTTGACTTGAGTTGACTTGTGTTGAATTGCAGTAACTTGACGTGACCTCGATTGAACTTACAGCAGGAGTGGCGTTGAAATCCCCACACACCACGACCGGACAGCTCCCATGCTTCTCCGACAGCTGATGGGCGGCAGACAGGAGCCGGGACATCTGAGCCAGCTTGATGTCTCCCCGCTTGGGGTTGAAAAGCACGTGGATGTTGGCCAGGACAAGAAGGCTGGAGGATGGGGGAAGGGGGGGGGGGTGGGAAAGGGGGGGGTTGAGGGGAGTGGAGAAGAGAAGGAGAGAAGCCGCGACATCTGAGCCAGCTTAATGTCTCCGCGCTTGGGGTTGAAGAGCACGTGGATGTTGGCCAGGACGAGAAGGCTGGGGAATAATGTTGGGGCGGTGGTTTGGGGGGGAAAGGATAAAGCAGATAGAGCGGCTTTTGAGGCGCCTCAAAAGTCGAGACAGCTGGGGAATAATGTTAGGGCGGTGGTTTGGGGGGGAAAGGATAAAGCAGATAGAGCGGCTTTTGAGGCGCCTCAAAAGTCGAGACAGCTGGGGAATAATGTTGGGGCGGTGGTTTGGGGGGGGAAGGATAAAGCAGATAGAGCGGCTTTTGAGGCGCCTCAAAAGTCGAGACAGCTGGGGAATAATGTTGGGGCGGTGGTTTGGGGGGGGAAGGATAAAGCAGATAGAGCGGCTTTTGAGGCGCCTCAAAAGTCGAGACAGCTGGGGAATAATGTTGGGGCGGTGGTTTGGGGGGGGAAGGATAAAGCAGATAGAGCGGCTTTTGAGGCGCCTCAAAAGTCGAGACAGCTGGGGAATAATGTTGGGGCGGTGGTTTGGGGGGGGAAGGATAAAGCAGATAGAGCGGCTTTTGAGGCGCCTCAAAAGTCGAGACAGCTGGGGAATAATGTTGGGGCGGTGGTTTGGGGGGGGAAGGATAAAGCAGATAGAGCGGCTTTTGAGGCGCCTCAAAAGTCGAGACAGCTGGGGAATAATGTTGGGGCGGTGGTTTGGGGGGGGAAGGATAAAGCAGATAGAGCGGCTTTTGAGGCGCCTCAAAAGTCGAGACAGCTGGGGAATAATGTTGGGGCGGTGGTTTGGGGGGGGAAGGATAAAGCAGATAGAGCGGCTTTTGAGGCGCCTCAAAAGTCGAGACAGCTGGGGAATAATGTTGGGGCGGTGGTTTGGGGGGGGAAGGATAAAGCAGATAGAGCGGCTTTTGAGGCGCCTCAAAAGTCGAGACAGCTGGGGAATAATGTTGGGGCGGTGGTTTGGGGGGGGAAGGATAAAGCAGATAGAGCGGCTTTTGAGGCGCCTCAAAAGTCGAGACAGCTGGGGAATAATGTTGGGGCGGTGGTTTGGGGGGGAAAGGATAAAGCAGATAGAGCGGCTTTTGAGGCGCCTCAAAAGTCGAGACAGCTGGGGAATAATGTTGGGGCGGTGGTTTGGGGGGGGAAGGATAAAGCAGATAGAGCGGCTTTTGAGGCGCCTCAAAAGTCGAGACAGCTGGGGAATAATGTTGGGGCGGTGGTTTGGGGGGGGAAGGATAAAGCAGATAGAGGGGCTTTTGAGGCGCCTCAAAAGTCGAGACAGCTGGGGAATAATGTTGGGGCGGTGGTTTGGGGGGGAAAGGATAAAGCAGATAGAGCGGCTTTTGAGGCGCCTCAAAAGTCGAGACAGCTGGGGAATAATGTTGGGGCGGTGGTTTGGGGGGGAAAGGATAAAGCAGATAGAGCGGGTTGCACCGGGGCAGCGAAGCAAGCGGTTTGATGTTGCCACGCTTGGGGTTGAAGAGCACGTGAATATTGGGTGAACAGCGGAGGATGAACAATATCTGAGACGCGGTTTGATGCAATTATGCAGTGGCTGGAGTGTTGGTGAACGGGTGGCTCAGCACGGGTCAGTGACCTTTTAGATATTCCTCAGCTTGTGTCCATTTCGTGATGAACACAGCCAGGGCCACTCACCTGTGCTGAGCCATCCATCCACCAACACTCCAGCACTGCATGATTCCACCAAATCGCCTTCTCAGGTATTGTTCTGACTGAATTTACTTTCTACCTGCTGTTCTCTTCTTCTGCCTCATCTCCTTCCAGTTCCTCGACTCCTTCCCCCCTCTTGTTTTCGAGAATTCTCAAAAAGGACAAGTCTTGCTACAAGGTGCAAAGGTGCAAAAAGTCACCTGCTATTCTCTTCGTCCCTCTCTTCTCCTTCTTCCAGATCCTCGACTCCTTCCCCCTCCTTGGTTTCTCGAACAAACTGGTTGAATGAATGGGGCCATGGTGAGGTCACATGGGGAGGAAAGAGGCGGGTTTTGGGCAAAGGACACAGAGGGAAGCAACTTGACAACAACTTCATTCATTCATAACCAACGAGGTCAGTCAATGACCGTAGGCAACAAAGGGTACCTTTAGCACGGTGAGCAGGGCAACATTGTCTCTCAGGCCCACATACAGTTGTGAGTTGACCCAAAAGCTTGAGAATTTTCATGAGAGCCATCCATCCACCAATCCCATCCGTCCACTGTACCTTCAGCACGGTGAGCAGGGCAACATTGTCTCTCAGGCCCACAGCTGCAAACTCTCGAGTTTTGAGACGTCTCAAAAATCATAACCACCAAGGTCAGCCATTGTACAAAACCACGGTGAGAAGGGCAACGTTGCCTCTCAGACCCACAGCTGCAAACTCAAGGTAAAGAGGCGACCTTATTTTTTTGAGAAAACCAAGCCATCCATCCAGGGTACCTTTAGCACGGCGAGAAGGGCAACGTTGTCTCTCAGACCAACAGCTGCAAACTCAAGGTAAAGAGACGACCTTATTTCTTTGAGAAAACCAAGCCATCCATCCAGGGTACCTTTAGCACAGTGAGCAGGGCAACGTTGTCTCTCAGACCAACAGCTGCAAACTCGATGGACTGGGAGTCAACACAGGACCACCTCTTGGTATTCCAGAAATTAGCGCAGCCATCCTTGTTGCCTCCTGTGCGACACTGGCAGGAAACCAATCGGAAAGGAGACAGTGAGACACGCATACACGGGCACACACACGCGCATGGGCACACACACACGCGCGCATGGGAGCACACACATGCAAACAGAAAAAAATAATCCAGATTAGAACGAATCAACCGAATCAAATCAGATAAACATGAATCAGATCAGATATAATCAGCACACCTGAAAGATGCTGTCGTAACCCAGCTTGCTCATCGCTCCACATAGATCCGCATGGTTGTCCACCTCCTGCCATGCAAGAACAAACAATTGGAGCCACTTTTGATGAAACAGTTTACTCCTCACAACAAGTAGCTTGTTCATCGCTCCACATAGATCCGCATGGTTGTCCACCTCCTGCCATGCCATGCAACAAACGATTGGAGCCTCTTGTAATGTAAGGAACTTGTTCACACGAAACTTGCAGCTTGCTCATCGCTCACTCCACAAAGATCCGCATGGTTGTCCACCTCCTGCCAGACAACGCAAGGAATAAGGAATAAGTACATATTAGCAGATCAATCAGGCAGCACGCCTCTGGGCACCCCGGGGTAGAGCTCTCCCTAGCCTTGAACCCTGAAACCCTGAACCCTGATTCCTACCTGCAGGCAGATAAGATCAGGCGAGTGCTGCTTGATCTCCTTCACGATGCCGTGTCTCCGCTGGTTCCAGTGCAGCACGCCTCTGGGCACTCCGGGGTAGAGCTCGCGGGCGAACTTGGCATCAACTCAGGTACTGCCTAGATCCCACAGAGACAGGAAATCTACCTGCAAGCAGATGAGGTCCGGCGCATGCTGCTTGATCTCCTTCACGATGCCGTGCCTCCGCTGGTTCCAGTGCAGCACGCCTCTTGGCACTCCGGGGTAGAGCTCGCGGGCGAACTTGGCAGCATGGCAGGACGCCAACACGTTGTACGACATCACACTCACTCTCACACACTCGCCCCCTGCACCTGCATGCCCCTCTCTATGCCCCGCTCTATGCGCGCCTCTATGAGCCTCAGCATGAGTGTCGGTGTGTGCGTCCGTGTTTCTCTCTGCATGCATTCCTGCATGTGTGTCTGCATGTGTGTCTGCATGTGTGTCTGCATGTGAATCTGCATGAATGCCTGCATGCGCCCCTGCGGTTGTACGTCCGCCTGTGCGCGCGTTCCCCTCCCCAGCCCCTTGCTCATCCCCCCCGCACCGGATCCACTGCCTCTTCTCCTCCCCTCCCCTCCCACCCCCTCCTCCCCACTTTCCTCTCCCACCCTCCCCTCTCCATCTCCCATTCTCCCCTTCCCCTTCTCCCCTGCCCCTGCCGAAATTCCAACCGCCTTGAATCCCTTCTCTTCCTCCTCCCCCCCATCCTCCTCTCCCTCTTTCTCCCCCTCGTCCTCGTCCCCATCTCCCCCCTCCTTCTCTTTCTCTCCATACACCCTGTCCCCGTTGTCCTCCTCCCCTTCCTTCCCCTCTTCCTCGTCCCCACTCTCCTCCCCTTCCTCCCGCTCCTGCTCCTCTGCCGAGCCTAGAAACTAGGCCCGGAGTTGAAACCGGAGGCTGGGACAGCCCCACACCTTGGAAATTTCCTTGAGGGTTCGTCGAAAGCTGCTGGAAGGCAATCGAGAGTGGATTCGCGGATGAGATACCGAGAAACGGGGAGGGGAGGGGCGCGGAGTGAGAAGGGTGAAACGCGGAGAGGGATTGGGGAAGCACGGGGTGGGCAGGGGGAAACGCGGAAATGGATTGGGGAAGCGCGGTGCTGGTAGGGGGAAACGCGGAGAGGAATTGGGGAAGCGAATTGTGGGCAGGGGGAACCGCGGAGAGGGGTTGGGGAAGCGCGGAGTGGATAGGGGGTAACCCAGAGAGGAATTGGGGAAGCGCGGAGGGGGCAGGCGTAACCGCGGAGAGGGATTGGGGAAGCGCGGAGAGGGATTGGGGAAGCGCGGAGTGGGAGAAACGACAGCTGTGGCCGAATCGGCATCCGGCAGGGGAGAGGAAACTAAAGCACACCGGCGCAGACGTATTAGGCGGAGGCGCGGACGGATTAAAGGAAGGTGGAGGAGTAGCCGATCCGTTCCATCCGCCGCCTCCGCCGCCGCCGCCGCCATTCACGCTGTTTTTATATCCCCTCCACGACATGGCGGGCCGCGATACAAGCACGGAGAGAAGCCCGATCGGCCCGCTAATCGGCGTTAGACACGAGGGACAGGAGGGCAGCAGAGAAAGCAGATCAAAGGGAGAACGTGCGGCTGGAGAGTTGGCGGCGGTAGTGACGCTGAGCGCGTGGGCAGTGGTCGTGAAGCTCAGAGCGCGGACGGCGGGAGAACGATTCATCTGAAGCCACGAAACAGAAGCAAATAATATGGTGATTTGAAAGCAAGAAGTAACTTTCTTATTTTTAAAAAAGATTTACGATGCCGTGCCCCCGTAGCTCAGTTGGTTAGAGCGTTGGTCTTATGAGCCGAAGGTCGCGGGTTCAAGCCCCGCCGGGAGCAGGTTTTTCTACCACCTTGAGTGTCTGTTTTCCTACCTTGTATTTGTCATCTACCTATTGGAGAGAACCACATGTTTTTCCCTGCTTCCCAGTTGCAATGACCCTGATACCGTACTTGACACACACCACTTCTGACTTGAGCACCCACGCCACACTTGGGCCAAGAATACAGGTCTGATCCGACAGTCATTCGGAACCCTTTTCTAGTACGTAGGCCAATATTTTAAACATACCCCACAAGTCTGACAAGCCAACTAGCAAGATTTATGATTAGACTGCCAAGCAATCAAAGGGGCTGGCGGGCTGGTATGTGATCAAATGAGTGAAGACAGGGGGATAAGGGGTTGAGAGGAGGGTGTAATCACTTCTTTGGAGAGTGGGTCCCACAGGGGGGTTGACAAATGAGAAAAACACTCAATAATGACAGGTTCTGTCTAGCCACAAGAAGCACCCCAGTATACAACATGTAACAACACATCTACAGCCTTGATATTCTTATAGAAAGGCGTCTTCCAGCCTGAGAAACAGACCCTGAGTGAGAACACTCAGCTGGACTTTCTATCATAGCACACACAGGCAGTGAAATATCCATGCCACTCCATCGTTTTCTTGTTGATGGCACTTCATAACCGGATGCACCATTCTTCTCGTGAAACCGCCTCAATCTCCCCAGAAACCACGTGCTGTGTCAACGCGGACGGGTCTGAGAAAGCTGGGCCGTTTCCCACTTGCCCCTGCTCGAGTGAGTCGTGAGACTTGCGAGACTTGGGCCACTTGGTACCACTTTGATAAGCATCCACCTGAGACAAATTGCTGTCTTCCCCTTTCACATCTCCTCCTGAAACCACTGATTCTGGCAGCAGCGCCACGTGTTTCTTGCTCTCATCCTTCCCTACCATCCTCGACTCCTCCCCGAAACCCAGCAACCGGACAAATTCCACCGCCTCTCTTGCAGCTTGCCGCCCAGTGGAGAACGCGCCGTGAACAGTGCCGGGGTGGGCGCGGGAGGTGGCTTCCCCGGCAAAGAAGAGGGGAGGGAGGGGGGCGCGGAGGGAATCGTAGACGTCTGGAGGGGCGTGCACTGCATCGTACGAGTAGGATCCGAGGGAAAAGGGGTCTGACCCCCATGTGGTGATGCGTGCCTGGATCTGTGTGTGGTGTTGACAGTGAGAAAACGGAGGGGAGAGAGGGGGTTCGAGACATCAAGAAGAGTGGAAACCCACATGGGTTGGGTGGGCGCGGGAGGTGGCTTCCCCCGTGAAGAAGAGGGGCGGGAGCGGGGCGCGGAGGGAATCGTAGACGTTGGGAGGGGCGTGCACTGCATCGTAGGAGTAGGCTCCGAGGGAGAATGGGTCTGAGCCCCACGTGGTGATGCGCGCCTGGATCTGCGTGGGTCAAGATGAACGAGAATGAAGTGGGGAGGGAAGGGAGGGGGGCGCGGAGGGAGTCGTAGACATCGGGAGGGGCGTGCACTGCATCGTAGGAGTAGGCTCCGAGGGAGTAAGGGTCTGAGCCCCACGTGGTGATGCGTGCCTGGATCTGTATGGGTCAAGATGAACGAGTGAGGTGGGGAATGGAGGGAGGGGGGCGCGGAGGGAGTCGTAGACATCGGGAGGGGCGTGCACCGCATCGTACGAGTAGGACCCGAGGGAGAAGGGGTCTGAGCCCCACGTGGTGATGCGTGCCTGGATCTGTTAAGAGGCCAGCGTGAAAAAAGAAAACGGGAGGGAGTGAAAGTCGTCGGGAGGGCGTGCACTGCATCGTAGGAGTAGGCTCCGAGGGAAAAGGGGTCTGAGCCCCACGTGGTGATGCACGCCTGGATCTGCATGGGGGGTGGGAGAAGTGAAGAAACAGAGTGGAGGGAGAGGAGAGGATGGAAACACCAAGAGTGGAATCCTCACACTCACGCACTGCTAGTGCATCAGGGGAGCACACTCACAGGTTCAGGCGCGTGCGGAAGAATCTTCCTCAGCTGCAGCATGGTGAATGCAACGGCTTCACTCTCCCCCATCCCCTCCATCTCCTCAGATAACCTCCCCGCGGGCATGAACACCAGCACTGCCCTCTCGCCCCGGCTCGCCTTGTGCAGGTTGAGGAAGTAGCTGCACGCGTAGGGCGTGCCTGCTACTTGAGAAAGTAGCTGCTACCGAGGGCCAGAAGCAGGAGGGGAGGAGAAGAGAACTCACCGGTTCAGGGGCGTGGGGCAGGATCTTTCTCAATTGCAGCATGGTGAACGCCACAGCCTCGCTCTCCCCCATCCCCTCCATCTCCTCTGCTAACCTCCCAGCCGGCATGAACACCAGCACTGCCCTCTCGCCCCGGCTCGCCTTGTGCAGGTTGAGGAAGTAGCTGCACGCGTAGGGCGTGTCTGCCACCACTCCCAGGAATTCTACCGAGGGCCAGAAGCAGGAGGGGAAGAGGAGAGCGATTTTGTTTTCGATGCCGACTCCGATGGAGTGGAGTGCGGTGCATTTGGATGGGGGAAGGGGAGGGGAGAATTGGATGCGGTTGGGGTGGGGAGGAGTGGTGGACGGATGGGTGCTGCTGCTGCTGCCTATTCTGCTGCATTTACTGCATTTATAACTGTTACTGCATTTATAACTGTTACTGCTACTACTGCAGTTACTGCAGTTGCTGCGACTAACACCACTGGCTGTCTCAGCTAAGGGGATCTCCTGAGTTGAGCTGCCACCGTGGCCCACAGACAGGCGCAGAACACCAGCTGGAAGGGTCACGATTGCCACGTCAGCAGAAAAAACGGCGCCGACGGCCGTGGTGATGTGGACACCAGGTCTACGTGGCATGCTGACGCCAGCTGCAGCTTCACTACTGGAAGAACCGGGATTGTCAGCAGGACGTAAGTGGCCACACATGCTGCTAATTCTGCTGCTTGTGTTGAGCATGCTGCCATGGCTGTTACTGCCTAGATCACAACTGTTACACTCAGTGCACCTGAGGCTAGCACATGGTAAGAAGCGGGTAGTGGAACCCTGCTTGGTGAGCCTGTTACACTGGTGACTGCCCTGCTGCTGCCCTGTCGCTCCTGCCTCCACTGCTGCACCTACCCGTGTTGCCTCTACGCTCGTTGCCCCTACCACCCCTGCTGTATCCATCCCTCTGGCAACTAGTTTGTCTGTATCCTGTGCTGAGGACCAGTCAATGCTGACCACTCTGTGAGAAAGAGTGGGAGAAGAAGGAAAAGGGGAAATGAACAGGTAAAGCGGGCAGAATTAGGAAAAGCAGCAGGAACAGGTGAAGCGGGCAGGAGATGGAAAAAGCACTTGGCATCATTTCTCCTAACGTCATATGTCAAAATATTTCTGCTCCTACCATTGCACTCACTGCGGCGCTGTGGAGAAATTCACTTACACCACGTGTCGCATAGCCATCGCAGCAAAACATCAAACCATCACCTGTGATTAAAACGAATGTCCAGCCCAGCAGCAAGCGCTTCCAGCACGGGCAGGTAGCCGTTGACCATGAGCCCGTGACCTCCTTCCACGAGATCCTCCTACCATGCAGCATGATGGGATGAGAGGCATGAGGGGATGCAAGGCATACGGGAATGCGCAGTGGTATGGGAAAAGGAGCACAGGATAAAGGCACATGTGTAGTCATGACACCAATCCATTTACCTGTCCACACACACTCGCATCGATCAAAGGCAACCAGAAAAGGCAGTCCAGGTGTCCAGCATTTGGTAGAGTGTTTTTTCGAATCCGTGGCGAACCACCGCTCCATGCAGCACAGATACCACTGCAACACCCACCGCTCGACCCCCTATAGCCTCAATTCTGCCCCTTGTAGGCCACTCCATCCCTACACCTTCACCAAACTGACCTCCTCCCAGCGCACTCCCCTGCAACTCTCCTCCTCCCAGCATTTGGCAGAGAGGTTCTTCAAGTCCGTGGCGAATCACCCAGATTTAAACCCCCTATGGCCTCAAATCGGCCTCTTTTCCCTCAATTCCCCACCTTGTAGCCCCCTGCATCCTCACTCCATCCTACCCCCGCCAACTCACCTCCTCCCAGCATTTGGCTGAGAGGTTCTTCAGGTCTGTAGCGAACCACCCCTCCAAGCGGCACAGGTACCACTGCAAAACCCGCCTCTCCACCCCTTGCAACACCAAATCTGGCCTGCGCTGCTCCACCAGAGCCAGGGCATGCTCCATGTTCATGTCCTCGCTTGTAGTTGCGCAAATCTGTCGAGTCTGGTGGTGTGGAAATGAGGAAAGAGAAAATAGCCTGGTGGTCAGGTCAGAGATACTGCAGCAGCACTTGCCACTCTCCAGCACCTGCCACTGCATCTCTTGCCAGCAGCTTCAGGCACGGCATCTGCTGCTCCACCAGAGAGCCAAGGCGACTTTTGAGGCGCCTCAAGAGTCATCCGCTGCTCCAGCAGAGCCAAGGCATGCTCCATGTTCATGTCCTCGCTTGTATTAGCGCACAGCTTTCGAGCCTGGTGGCATGGAGGTGAGATGAGGAAGGCAAAAGGGTCTACCTAAGGTGTTAAAGTGAAAACACCCTCTTCACATGCTCCATCACGTCCTCGAGGTGTTGAAGTGAAAATATCTTGACTGAAGTAAGTAGAAAAAGACTGAAAGCACATACCCTTTCCAGATGACCCTAACGACGTACCTCTTCCAGCATCTCTTCAAACACGCGCTCCACTCGTTCCACCACGTCTTGGGGAATCTTCATCCCATCCTCATCGTACAATGCATAGCTGATATGTACATGGGGGGTTGTTGGGTTGAGGGAGGAGAAGTAGCACCATTCGCAGATTGCGTTTCGAAAAATTTCAAGGGGGGCCGGCTCATTTACATCAAAGCAACACAGGCTGGTAAGGGTTGAACAGGAGGATGCAACTTAGGAATCAAGCGGGCATGTTGGAAACCGAGAATTGAAGGAAGAACGAACTTACAACTCAGCACCATACAAAACCATACAGCGCCACACATCACCATACAGCATTGCACACAGCCATGTACGACCACACAGCACCACACCGCACACACCACACAGCATGGCACACAGTGCACACAACCATGGCACCATGCTACCTACTCACCTACCCACCTCTCAAGGTCACCGAGTCGTTCCCGCTGGTTCGGTAAAGTGGAAGCTGGAAACACAACACCACAAACCTAACCATCTAGCTTTCCCCGTACCCACCTCTCCAGGTCGTGATCGTAAAGCACCGAGTCATCCCCGCTGGTTCGGTAGAGCGGAAGCTGGAGGTCCGCAATCAGCCGAGCCAATGGATTACTCTCAGAAACACCGTGCAGCCTGGGAGGCGGAGGAGAGAAACGAGAGGAAAAAGGGGAAAGGGGAAAAGGGGACGGGGTTGAAAGAAAAAATGAAAAAGGAACCCACTAGGTGTTGGTTATGCACTAAGTGACAATTGCTTCAAGGAGAATTGCTCAATTGCTTCAATTGCTTAGGAGTGAGCCTGCTTCTCTGTTAATCCTCAAGAGAAATGATTTAGGAATTGTCTTCGGTAGCACTATTCAGGAACGCGCGCTTACCAAGCAGCACCTAGATCAAGCGGAAAACCAAAAGAGTAGTCTGTGAACGCTCGACCTCCGATGCGATTCCTTGCCTCTAGAACCACTACCTGTGATGGGAGGAGAAAAGTAGGGAAGAACAGAGGCCGTTCAGCGAGGGAAAACCGCCCCAGAGGAAAGAAATGAGCCATTGATCTGGATGTGCCACAGGGAAAGTCTTGGTTCATCAGAGAAAGAGGATGACGTAGCCGCTCTGATGCCTGACGGCCTTGAAGAAAGAGCAGCACAGCCGTCAAGGAGCAGACAAGCGTCATGAAGCCCTCAGGTTGCACGAAAAAACCCACCTCGAACGACGCGTGATGCAGCGCGTGAGCTGCTGCCAGCCCGGAAAACCCGCTACCAATCACGATGGCTGACGGCCGACGAGGTCTTTGGCGATCGCTTGTGCTACTGGTAACAGCAGCACTGTTCGAAGTGCTGTTACTATCGATGGGAACACATGAAATTGAAGAGCTACACTTCCTCTGATTCGCCATGATCCTGAGAAAGGAAGTCAACCGGCTCCAGCTATCCTTTGCGAGCTTTGCTTGCTCACAGTATTTCGAAAAATATTAGCCTGCGCGACGAGGAAAAACGGTGCTGGCTTTAGATTTGAGCATAGGAATACTTCGCAATGAAAGAGGAGTTTCTATCTACGTTTCGGGAGTGCAGGGAATCAGATGGCGTCTGGGGAGACTGAAACGGCCTCCCTCCACTTTCAAGGCAGGCTGGTTCAGGGATTTCAACGGTATTGCTGTGAGTGACTGCATTCTCGATGGAATCTGTGGTAGAGGGGAGTTCCCGAAATTTTCCATCGGAGCGACCTGGAATTCTGTAGGAATTCTGATGTTTTCCTCATACATCATCGGTTCAAAACGATATCTTCTGGTTGGACATGGTCAGCGCACCTGTCGCCCCAACAATCATGCGCTCCTCTTCGTGGAAAAGAAGGGTGAACGACTTCCGTTTGATGATGTCATCATGAAGTGGAAAGTGACCCATCCCATCAGCCTTCGAGGGTTTCATGCACGCTATTGGATGACAAAGAAATGACTGACCAATGAAATAACTTCTGGTTTCGTTTAATGCTCCGAATGAAGTCGCTACAGCCTGCTTCGACTTCCGATTCGTGAGTTGCTCTCGACATACACTTCGCTACTTCCAGCGACAATATTTCGCTATTAGAAATATCACAACTGGCACTTCGTTTGCGTAACACCCTCTCCCATCTTCCTCGCCTTTGCTCACTTGTTCCTCCGTTATTGTCACACGATAGACCGCCATACCTTTCTCACTGCTGCGCTGAGTTTCGAACTCGTATCCCGTGCTCCTCGTTAGCAGCTAGCGACGTTTTCAGCACCACTTTCCTGGAAGGTTTAGTTTAGTCATACGCTGTTTGCTACCTGCTCTTTCGGCTAACACCCAGGTCCCTGGATTGTAATAGAAGTTTCATGGCAGGGCAACAACCCCAAGACACCCTTCCTGTTTCACCTCCAACTCCCGGGAGAACTGTCGGAGAAGCAGCGGTAGGCGGAATGGCCGCTCAGGTTGGCGGAAACGGCGGAGACGGTGGAGCGGGAGGCTTAGGCGGAGGCGGAGGGGGAAGCGGAGGCGGAAGCGGAAACTCAGGTGGTCGTCCCGTGGGGGACGACTATGTTCTGGAGAAGCAGATAGGTTCGGGGTCGTTTTCCGTGGTGTGGAGGGGTCGGAGGCGGTCGACGGGCGACGCGGTGGCGATTAAGGAGATTCCTACGGAGAAATTAAGTGCCAAGCTGCACGAGAGCCTCGAGTCGGAGATTGCGATTCTGAAACGCGCGAGGCATCCAAATATCGTTCACCTGTTGGACATAGTTAAGGTGAGTTTGGTCTTCTATACATGCGTAGCGTCTTATGATTTCCTATGCATGGAGGCAACATGGTTCACCTGTTGGACATAGTTAAGTTGTGTTTGACCATCCGTACGTGTTTAGTACATGTTATGTTTCTTTTAACGTGTTGAAGACGCTCTAGGCATTCCAAGCATATCCTACCCGTGGTTTGAGGACAGATTTTTTCTTGTCCTACCCGTCCACGAATTTTGTTTCCCCTAGGCCTCGTCGCGTATCCTTGTCCTGTAGTACTGTGCTGGTGGTGACCTCTCGCACCACATCAGGAGGGGCGGGACGCGGCGGTAAAAGATGACTTCATCATTCCTTCCGCCCTGCTCTCTTTCCCCCTTCCTCAGACCTCGTCGCGCATGTTCCTTGTCTTGGAGTACTGTGCGGGTGGTGACCTCTCGCACCACATCAGGTTGTGCAGAAGTTCAGGTTTCAATTGCGCCCGCCCATCTTTCCTCTCCCTCTTCCTCTCACTCCCCGTTCCTCCCTCTCCCCAGACCTCATCGCGCATGTTCCTTGTCTTGGAGTACTGTGCGGGTGGGGACCTCTCGCACCACATCAGGCGTGGTGGGGCGGTGAAGGAGGCAGCAGCGAGGCACTTTATGCGGCAGCTGGGAGCAGGGCTGCAGGTGTTGCGAGCCAACAACCTGATACACAGGGACCTGAAACCCCAGGTGAGATTAGCTTTGAGATGTGAGACGAGTGGGACTATAGGGGGGCACCGCAGCAGGGCACTGCATGTGGCAGGTGGGAGCGTGGTTGCAGGTGCTGCGAGTCAACAATCTCTTTCACCGAAATTTGAAACTGCAGGTGAGAAAACATTGCTTTTGCGCCTCTTTTGGCTCTCTCTATCCCATTTACAATCATATTACAACCTTATTTTCGAAGTCCAACCCAACAAGAGTCGCAGATCTCTGTCTGCCATCGCACCTAGGTCTTTTGAGACGTCTCAAAACACTCCTTTTTTCACGTCGCAGATCTCTGTCTGCCATCGCACCTTGGTCTTACCACGTACTACTACCCCTGCTGTCTCTACCCCTATGTTGCACCCTGCCTCCCTTGTTGTCAGAACCTCCTGCTCTCGGAGCGCACGTCTGCTGCAGTGCTCAAAATCGCAGACTTTGGATTCGCCAGGTCAGTTCTCCGTTCACGCACGAGAGCGTTTGTTTATCGCGTTTGTCACCCCCGGCAACATTCCCTTCATGCATTGAGTCGATTCACAACACGACACACGAGAGCGTTTGTTTATCGCATTTGACACCCCAGGCAACCTTCCCTTCAAATCGAACCATTCCACTGCTGCCGCGGTTTGCATAGCAGAGAGGGAGAACTTGGTTGCTTCCATATAATGGCGCGTTTATGGAGCTTCTGCTGCTCTCTCTTTGCTGTGGTTCGGTGTTGCCTTTGCGGTTTATGGCAGGTCGTTGCAGCCGCAGGGTCTGGCGGAGACGCTATGCGGGTCCCCCCTGTACATGGCGCCAGAGATCCTGCAGTGCCAGCGATACGACGCTAAAGTGAGACTAGTGCAGATGGTGTATGTATGGTAGGTAGGTAGGTAGGTAGGTAGGTGGGTGAGTGGGTGGGTGGGTGGGTGAGCTGGTAGGTAGGTAGGTAGGTAGGTAGGTAGGTAGGTAGGTAGGTAGGTATGGTATCAATCAGTCGCTGGTGGAACTGGCAGTCACCACCAGAGGATCCCGAAGTATGAGCAAGATGATGTGAACGTGGGGGCGATACGACGCCAAGGTGGGGCGCCTTAGAAACATTTCTTTGCTCACTGCTCTGCTCGCCCAGCTCTTGAGTCGAACCAAAGCATTTTCTCTACCTCATTCTCCCTTTCCCGCTCCCTAATTTACTCTCCATTTCGCCCTCACCCTCTTGCTGCTCCTCTCACCAATCCGCCAGGCGGACTTGTGGAGTGTGGGCGCCATTCTTTTTGAACTGGTTGTGGGCCGACCCCCCTTTGAGTTGGCTGGAAAGCCGTGTTCCCGCCTCACTTTCTTTCCCGCTACCACACTGTCCCCTCACATTTCGGCAGGCGGACTGTGGAGTGTGGGCGCCATTCTCTTTGATCTCCTCGTGGAGCGACCCCCTTTGAGGCGACTCAAAAGCCATTCACCCACCTTCCTGTCTTTCTTCCTACCTCACTGTCTTTCTTCCTGTCCTCTCTTATTCCATCAGGCGGACCTGTGGAGTGTGGGCGCCATTCTCTTTGAGCTCGTTGTGGGGCGACCCCCCTTCGGTGGTCAGAATCACGTCCATGTGAGTAGTTAGTTAGTTCCTGCACTTGTGCAGATTTTTGAGACGTCTCAAAAGTCACCTAGTTCCTGCACTTGTGCAGATTTTTGAGACGTCTCAAAAGGCGGTCAGAGTCACGTCCATGTGAGTAGTTAGTTCATGCCCTTCCACAGAAGCTTATGGTTTTGGAGATGTAAATGAAATTGCCAAGTGCACCATCACTCGACTTGTTGGCTTTAGCACTTGTGCTCTATCTGAGCCACTTTTAGGAATTGTCAAAAGTGACTCTGATGCTCGTCTCGTCCTGCTCATCGGATGTGGCTTTCGAGTCGGCTCGACTACTCTTCCTCTCTTGCGCCCCTGCTTGTTGCCACCACATCACAGCTGCTCCAAAACATAAAGAGGAGCGAGGCGAGAGTTCCCCGCGACATTGCTGCAACTCTCTCCGATGACTGTCTCGGGCTCATCCGCTCTTTGCTCAAGCGAAACCCCGGTGAGTGAACCACGTTTGTTTTTCAACCACACCGTCGTGTAAGTGGACTGCAGACAAGAGTCGCAGGCGAGGCGCGGCGCAGGTACCGCGTGACATTGCTGCAACTCCTTCAGATTAGACGACTGTTTTGAGCTAATTCGCTCCCTGCTCAAGAGGAACTGATAATATACATGATCAATCTGAATCGCCTGAAAGTGCCTTCAATGCCTCGGCTGTCAAGAATAGCCTTTTCCGTTTTTCTGTGTGTGAAGTTCTTGAGTGGTAAGAGTGTCCGTGCTTATTGAGAAATGTATCCCGTTTGCTTCTGTGACATGTCGCCCTTCCCGCCATTGCTCTGTGCTGTGCAGTGGAGCGGCTGTCGTTTGAACAGTTCTTCAACCATCCCTTCCTTGGCCTAGCAAGGTACGCATGCGGGAAGGGGGGGAATGGGGGGAAAAGGTGGGAAGGGGGGGAAGGGAGGAATGGGGGGGTAATGGAGGGAAGGGGGGGAATGGGGAGAAAGGAGGGAAGGCGGGAATGGGGGGGGAATGGGGGGGGAATGGGGGGGAATGGGGAGAAGGGGGGAAATGGGGGGATTGGGGGGGGAGGAGGGGGGGGGGGGGGGGTTGTTTGATTTTTCTTGAGCTATATGAGGACTTGTCCCACCCACGTGCTGCTGCTGCTGTGCCATGTCGAGTATTCTTAGCAAACCAATTGAGGCGCCTCGAAAGTGCGCATTTTCTTAGTTTTGAGGCGCCTCAAAACTAGACTTGTCCCACCCACGTGCTGCTGCGGCACCATGTCGAGTATTCTGAACAAACTTATTGATGTGCCTCGAAAGGGCGCCTTTTCTTACCAATCCTCTCTCCCCTCCTCCGCCTTTTCCTCTCTCCCCATCCTTCTTGTCCCGCTTGTAAATCCTTCCCTCCCTCTTTTCCCCCCTCCCCTCCTCCGCCTCCCCCGCCTCTCCCTGCATGCTCACACATCAGTTCCCCTCCAGTCTATCTGGCAACCACCTGCCACTTTCACCAACCCAGCTCCCCTTTATTTCCCTCCATTCCCTTCCCCTCCATTCCTCCTCCCCCTCCCTCCCCCCCCCCTCCCCCCGTGCTCACACATCAGTTCCCCTCAGTCTATCTGGCAACCACCAGCCTCCTTCACCAACCCAGCTACTTCTGAGGCTCCTCAAAACATTCCCCCCCCCCCCCCCCCCCCCCCCCCCCCCCCCCCCCCCCCCCCCTCCCTCCCTCCTTCCCTCATTTCCCCGTAATCAGTTCCCCACAGTCTATCTGGCAACCATCAGCCTCCTTCACCAACCCAGCTGCTCAGACCGAACCTCCGGCACTCCGTACCGAACCTCCACCGTACCCTGCCGAACCTCCACCATCCTCCGCCGAACCTCTGCCTCTGCCACAGAGTTCCAAGCCTCCTGCAGCTGTTTCTGCCCCTACAACCCCTGCCACCACCCCTTCGGCTCTTGCTGGTTCTCCTGGTGCAGGGGGGGTTGCGCCTGCTCCCCCAACCTCCCCTCCCCTTACTCTGCCTCCTAATACCGCCCCGCCTCCCCCTTCCCTTGCTCCCCCTGCCCCCGTTCCCCCGCTTCCCCCTCCCCTTACACCCCCTGTCTTGCCTGCCCCCCGCACTTCCCCATCGTCCGCCCCACCTTCTTCCCCTTATCGCTCCGTTTTCCCACACCTTCCCCCGGGCCCCTCGCTTCCTGCTGCTTCTATCCCTGTTTCAGCTGCCACTGTAAATAATGCTGTGTGTGGTGCTGTTAGGGGGGATTCGTATAAGGAGGATAGTGATCCATGGGGTGTGGTTGCTGTGGGTGGTGGTAATGATGAGGGCAGGGGAGGGAGTGGAGGAGAGGATGGAGGGAGTGGGAGAGGGGGCGGGGGTGAAGGGAGGGCAGCGGGAGAGAGAGAGGGTGTTTCTGCCCTCCCTCCCAACGGGAGAGAGGGTATAGCAGAAGAAACAGCAGCAGAGGCAGCAGCGGCAGCCGCAGTAACAGCAGTTGCAGCAGGAGAAGCAGCGGCGGCAGTAGCAGCAGCCGCAGAATGTGCAGCAGCATTGGCGGCTGCAACTCCTTCCGTTCCTCCTGCACTTGTTGCTCCTCCTGCCCGGACTGCTCTTTTACCTGCCCGTGCAGTGACTGTATATAACAGACCCTCACCCGCCCAACTGCATACCCACCTACAGCAACAACAGGGACAGCAGCAGCAACAGCATCACACTCAGTCAACGTTCATGTCAAAACCAGAGAGGGGAGCAGATGCAGCAGCAGGGGCGGCAGCAGAAGCAGCAGCAATGGCAGCAGCACCAGCTGTAGCGGCAACAGCAGCTGCGCCACCAGCGGCAGCAGTAGCAGTTGCTGTCGTGCGAGCCACACTGGCCGGACCATCGCTGGCAGCAACCGTACCACTCTCAGTGGCAGTGGCGCCAGCAGCAGCACCAGCGTTGGTGCCTGCACCATTGGCCCCATCAGGAGATGAAAGAGGTGCGTGCAGCTATGCCCCCCCTCCTGCGTTCTTCCCCTATTCCTAAGGCGTGCACGCCACCTCCTTATCTGTGCTGTGATTTTCATTCGCAAACCCATTTGTACTTGCTGCTCACAGTTTGCTGTTTTTTCCTGTTTATGATGTTTTTTTCCTTGAAAAAAAAGGGAGGATTTTGTTCCTGATCCGTGACGCTCATGCATTTCCGATGATGTTTTTTATGGCACCAATGTTTTTTCATGGCACCCATGTTTTTTCATGGCACCCATGTTTTTTTATGGTACAGACTCGTTTGAAATGCTCGAAAAAGATTACATTGTTGTGGACCATCCGTCCGAACCCTCTCTGTCCATTGACTAATAGTGACATGACGCCAGACGTATTTATCATGTCTCCATTCCACTCCACTTGCTTCTCTCCTTGTCCCCAGGCAGCACAGAGTCATTCGAGATGCTCGAAGGAGATTACGTCGTTGTGGACCATCCATCCGAACCCTCAGCCGACCAATCTGCCAACAACCCGTCTCTCGGCCAGTCCAGCCCGGGTCAAGAAACCCTCCAAAGTTCTGGGTCTGGGTCCGGTCGCACGATCATCCAGTCTCAGAAGCCCAGTATCTCAGTTGCGTCTCACAAGCACCACGGGTCTGCATCAACCTTCCCTGCTGCGGCTGCAGCTGCGCTGTCAGCTGTTGTCGGGGCAGTGGGGGCTGCAGCTGCTGCTGCTGCCGCTACAGCTGGTTCTTCTGCCCACCTGTCATCTGCAGCTGCCAGGGTTCCCACAGCTGGTGCTACGGCTTCTGGTGCCACAACTTCTGCTGCTACAGCTGCTGCTGTTGCTGCTACAGCCGTTGCTACAGCCTCTGGTGGTGTTGCTGGTAGCCCCTTGATTCCACCTGTAGAGTCTCCTCCGTTTTTTCCCCTGCCTCCCCACCACCACGATACATCTGCAGCTCTTGTAAATAGTCCTGCTCGTGTACAGGCACTCTCAGTAGAGTCACAGCATGTACAGTCACACTCGTTACAGTCGCAACTTGTACAGCCATATCCGTTACAGTCACAACCTGTACAGCCTCATTCGTTACAGACACCACCTGTACAGTCACAAGTGGTAACAACAGCAACACCTGTACCCCTAGTGCAAGTGAGTGGTTTCTGTCCAAAGGTTCCAACAGGAGGGTTTGCCAAGGCAGCAGAAGCACCACTAGCAGTCAAATCCACTACTATCCAAACCAGTGCAAATGCTCCTGCGGCGGCGGCTCCTTCATCACTCCCCACTGCACCATGCCTCACTGCACCGCTCTCCACCACACCACGCTCCGGCTTGGCTCTGGCTGTGAGCCTTGGCATGCCTCGCACATCCTCCCTCACCCCTCCTCCTCCTGTCAGCCTCTGCAGCCCAGCAGCAGGCAGCCTAAGCATTGATGCGCCTGTGCCAGCACATAGTGCTGCTGCTGCTGCTGTGGGGTCAGACCGGCCAGGAGCTGCTGTAGCCGAAGGGATGGAAGGCAACGCTGTGTTGGGTGGAAACCCGAGCACAGGAGCAACCTTTCAATGTGAAGTACAGAAGGACCCACAGCAGCAGGAGCAGGTGTTTCAACAGCAGCATCCTCAGGAGCGGATTGCCTTTCTCAGGCAAAGCGGGCGCTACATTGCAGAAATTGCTGCGAGCAAGGTGAGTGCTGCGAGCAAGGTGAGTGGTGCGAGCAATTCGAGCGTGATGCATGCAATGCAGCTTGTTCACCCTACGTTTCTCCAACAATCTTGTCATGCAGAATATGCAGTTTCAAAAGAGAATTCTACCTACAGCAGCACTGCTCGCCTCACTCTCCCTCCACCTGGTCGCTCTTGCAGTGTGGAAAGAAGCTCTCACGCTCTCCCACGAATGGCGCCCTCATAAGTCTGACATCTTTCCTTTCCTCTGCTTGTCTTCCCATCTTCCTTCGTGTCAGCTGGAAGCAGCAGCACCGCTCGCCTCTCTCTCCCTCCATCTTGTCGCTCTCGCGGTGTGGAAGGAGGCTCTCACACTCTCCCACGAATGGGCTACCACCAGTGCCACTAGCACCACCAGTGCCACCAGTGATACTTATAACGGTGGTGCTCATAGTGGTGATGCTTATAACGGGGGTGTTTATAGTGGTTCCAGTGGAATGATTCTGGTGCGCAGGAGCAGCAGCGTGGGGGCCCATGGGGGCAGCATAGGGGGGCATGGGGGCGGCTTGGGGGGGCATGGGGGCGGCTTGGGGGGGCATGGGGGCGGCGTGGGGGGGCATGGGGGCGGCTTGGGGGGTCATGGGGGCAGCGTGGGCGCCCATGGGGGCGGGGAGGAGGCAGCAGCAGCGATGGCTTGTGACTTGGTGGAAGCAGAGTTCCTGGCAGCTGTTGAGACAGCTGAGATGGTTGCTGCTGCTGTTGACAGGGACGGTGAGTGCAGTGTAGATGAGTGGATGGGATTGATGAGGTGTGTACGGTGTAGGTAAGAAGTAGGTAAGAAGAGGGAAGAGGCAGTAGCAGCGATGGCGTGTGACTTGGTGGAGGCAGAGTTCCTGGCAGCTGTTGAGACAGCTGAGATGGTTGCTGCTGCTGTTGACAGGGATGGTGAGTGAGTGCGGTAGGGATGGGTGGATGGGGTTGATGGTGTGCGTGTGGTGTAGGTAAGAAAAGGGGAAGCAGCAGCAACATGTGAGTACAGTAGTGATAACATGTGACATGGTGAAGACAGAGTTTCTGGCGAATACAGTAGGGAGGGATATTCTGATGAGTATCTGGTGACCTGATGCTCTGGAGATCATCTATCAACCTGCTGTGTCAGGGGCTAGACAGACAACATCTCAGTTCACACGTATCTCTCCCCTCCCTATCACCGTTACGCCCCTCATTCCCCCACCACAGACCCATCACCCGTGCCTGATGCTCTGGAGATCATCTATCAAACTGCCCTCATCGCTGGCCGCTCTGCTGCTGTGAGTGCCCCTTTCCTCTTTCCCATCCCACTGTCATTTTTGAGAAATCTCAAATGACCACCTTTTTTTTTTTTTTTTTGTTCTCAGGCACCTCAGAATTCCGTTGCTGTGAGTGAACTCAAAGCTCTCCTCTGTCTCTCTTTCCCCCTAGTTTCTCCGCTCTTTATTACTCATGGAGGAGTTGATGGGAAACATGGCATCATCAGCAGCAGCAGCAGCAGCTACGCTCGCTCTGCCACACTCCTGCATGTCTCTCCCTGCCCTCTCACTCATGCACTTCCCTTCCCAATCCTGCCTCTCCCCACTAGCAGGTGGAGGAGTTGATGGGAAACATGGCATCAGCAGCTGCAGCAGCCTACACACATGCCTTAACCCCTTCATTCCGCTTTGCCCCCCCCTTGCTTTGTGTCCATCTTTCACCTCTCAGGTGGAGGAGCTGATGGGAAACATGGCGTCAGCAGCAGCAGCTTACGCGCGCTCAGCCACGCACTTCTCCTTCCTCCTGCACCTCGAGTGCTTCCCAACCCCTGTTCCACCCCGCTCTCCGATCTCCCCCCTCAGGTGGAGGAGCTGATGGGAAACATGGCGTCAGCAGCAGCAGCCTATGCTTGCTCTGCCATCCTCCTGCATGTCCCTCGCTGCCCTCTCACTCAAGCCCTTACATTCCCAATCCTGCCTCTTCCCACTCTCAGGTGGAGGAGCTGATGGGAAACATGGCGTCAGCAGCAGCAGCCTATGCGCGCTCAGCCACCCTTTTCGCCTTCCTCCTGCACCTAGCCCCTCGGCTCCCCATCTCCCCTCCCCTCCGCCTCTCCCCCTCGGATCGCCACCGCCTCACCAAGTACCACGATGGGGTACTGGCCCGTCAGAAGCACTGCAGTGCTGCGCGGCACTGCTGACTGCTGACTCCGCTCCTGCTCTCCCACAACCCCCCCTCCCCCTCTCCAAGTACCACGATGGGGTACTGGCCCGTCAGAAGCACTGCTCTGCTGCGCTGCACTGCTGACTGCTAACAGGCTAGCAGCCTAGCACCCCTTACTACAAGCACTGCACTGCTCTGGTGTATTCTTCTCCTTCTGCTGCTCCCCCCCCACCTCCCCCCCCATCTCCCCTCTCCCCCCCTCGTGCTCTCCCCTGCCGACCGCCACCGCCTCACCAAGTACCACGACGGGGTGTTGGCTCGCCACAGGCACTGCAGTGCTGCGCTGCACTGCTGATTCCCTCTTCCGCTCCCTGCCTCTCCCACTAGCGCTGCGCTGCTGTGTTGCACTACTGACCCAACCAGATGATCACCCCGTACCGTACTGCAACCATCTGTGCTACACTTTCCAAAATAGCGGTGCAGTGTACCGAACAGGCTCTCCCAAGTTCCAAGCATGAATGTACAGATGAAATATTGGTAAAAGTCCCCCAGAAATGAAGGCCCCCCCCCCTCATATGGTTACGTAGAGCACCTAAAAAGTGGGCACACTACACTTTCAATCATGTACTGGATAGGCGCATTCGCCCTTGTATGTGCAAGCAAGCGCACTGATGCTTCTCAGATACCATACAACCTAAATTACGGGTACCGTACCCCCGGATACAAGACCCCCTCCATTGTAGACCCCCGGGTCTATAATACGGGGGGGGAGTGGGGGGGGGGGGGGGGTATTCTATTCAAGTCTCTCTTAGTTATACCCCCCTGATATTCAGAGTTCCCAAAAAAACAGCTCTGGAAATCCGAGTAGTGAAAATCCAAAAAAAGCCCTGCCTAACATCATAAGACCCCCCCACCCCCTAGGGAACTACTCATTGTTAGAGAAATTAAAATCTGTTATCTTTCATGTTCATCAAGAGACATGGAAGCGTGTGTTGGAAACAATAAAACTTAAGCGCTTCAGTCGTGTCGAAACACCGCACCAGAAGCGAGGCAAACTACACCGAAGCACCCGCGAGTCAACCCTCGGAGGTTAAAAGAGGTTGCTGGAGGTTACGCGAAAGTCAAAGGTCAGCAACCTTTGACCCGACAAGTACAGCGCGACAGTTAAGGACATACAACTGACTCGTTACAGAGCAGTTGCCCGAGTCGTACTGTATCGAACCGCAACAGCAACAGTAAAAGTAGTTATAACTGTATCCTTTGATATTCCTTGCACTACTATATATTCTTGTACTTTCCTGTTATAATCAATCTACTTTGCCCTCACACACTAGCGCAAGGTGATTCACAAGTTTTATTAAAGCTTCCGCTGTTACAATACTATCCTACCCAGAGTTACTCCTGAAAAGATCCTAAGGGGCCATCTCAGCCCAACATGGTATGAGAGCAGTCAGGGGAAACTCTACCACTTCCAAATCAAAGACATTACAAGACATGGCAACAAACAAGGAGAGGAGCTCTTCTAATGGCTCCCCGGGCACTACTCCTACACCACCTCCTGCCTCTGGCCTGCAGACAGAGGAAGGCACGGCAACAAGACCTAGGGGAACGTCCACCGAGACTCTCACAAATCGCCCCACGGACTTCGACCAAAGCATGATGGAAAATTTTTTCTCCTTCATGTCCTTCTACGAGCAGCACCAGCAGTCGGGACCTGCACAGACACACAACAGCAACAACGGAGCGACGCCCATGAGCCTTGACGGGTCGTCATATGCGCGCGGAAATCAACAGCAGCAACCTACCTTCGCCCCGTACGAACGCGGGTCAATCAGCTTCATGCCGCAGTCTTCGCCTGCACAAGACAAATCACTGGACGCGTTACAAGTACAGTCGCAATTCGCACACGTTTTGAAGCTTCAGACGTCAAGACCATTCGACGGAAAGGACTTCTTCACCTGGTCCTTTGAGTTCGAGTTGATGATGGAGGGCGCGCAGATACTTGGCTTCTTCGACGGGTCCCTGCAATATCCAGCAAACGGCACACAGTATGAGAAGCAGCAGTACACGTATCAATCGATGATGGCGTATACGATCCTACTGAGGAACTTAACACCAACTCAGCAGCAGAACATTCGGTCCTACCGGGCCTTCGGCAACTCGGCGGAGCTCGCGTACAACCATCTGAAGAGCCTGTATCAAGCAACAGACAGTGTAAACCAGAGCAGGTTAATGGCGCAGCTGACAACAGTTGAGATGAAACCAGGAGAGAAAGGAATGGCATATATCAGTCGATGTCGCGAACTGCGCGACAAGCTTCTTCGATGTGGAGGGTCCATCTCTGAAGACGCCTTCGTGACGGTCATCATCGGTGGCCTAGGTCCTCAGTGGCGCGCCACCAAAGCTATCCTCCGAGCCCACGGGAGAATCTCTGAAGCAGCACTCTGCGCCGAAATCCACGCCGAGCAACAGGATATGGACCTGCAAGAAGAACGACACAGAAAGAAGACGACAACATCAGAGTTCGTTTTTCACACGCAACGACGACACAACAACTACAACAACCGACAACAACAACCAAAACCAGTACCTCCCTTCTGTCACATCTGCAAGACTTCAGGGCACCCGCGCACGCACTGCCCGAATCGTCAACAGTCAACGACCCCGCAACGACACCTTCGACCCTCAAGCAGTCAAGTTGCGTCAACGCAAGCAAACCCAACGACCCAGATCCAAGCTTCAACGACCTCAACAGGACAACCTGCACAAGGAGCAAGAAACATCGTTAGCTGCATGGCAAGACTAAGCGAATCCTGCATTACCGAGTCACCACCTCATTACTCACCGGAAGAACAACTCGACAACGCCACACCTCGTCGCGAAGCACTTCAACCAAATCCGACATACGCCGCCATCGCCCAAAGCGAGCCATCCGGGAAGGATACATGGTTCCTGGACAGTTGCTGCGGACAACACATGTGTTCTTCAGGACGCTTCGTACAGCGAGAATATCAACTTCAACGTGAGGTCGTCATCACCGTCGCCAATAATCAGAACCTGCGCACACGACGACAAGGAATTGTACAACTTCAGTCACGGGAGACAAACGTCATTCTGCAAATGTCCAAGGTTTTAATCGCAGAAGGCCTTGGCTACAACTTACTAAGCGTCAGTCAACTGATGGCGAAGGGAATTCACCTCGAAGCAGACAGCACGACCCAGGAATTCAAGCTATACCACGGGAGAGGAGGTCTTTACATCGGAAAAGCAGTCCTCAAGAACAACGTCTTCGTCTTGGACTTCGTTCCTGATCTCGGTACCGCTGACAGCGACGCCATAGTCAACTTCACCAACTGGACACACCCTCCAGATCTTGACCCTGACTTCAGTACAGGCGGCTTCTGGTATTCACATACCATTCCTGAAACAGAGAGAACAAGAGCATTAGCAACGATTCAACAATCGGCAGCAGCAGAGACAACGTCGGCAGCAGCAGAGACAACGTCGGCAGCAGCAGAGACAACGTCGGCAGCAGCAGAGACAACGTCGGCAGCAGCAGAGACAACGTCGGCAGCAGCAGAGACAACATCGGCAGCAGCAGAGACAACAACAGCAACAGCGACAACGACGACACCAGTCGCCGGTCCTTCAACGACGGCGTTCTTCAACGACGATGCACCACCAACACCTGCACAACAGCTTCAGCCAGCACCACGAGAATTTCATCACAGTCCCAACTTCACCACCGGTCTCTACTCCAACTCCGACATGTACCAGCGCTCACCCGGTCATCGCGCCAACGAAGAAATCTGGCACGCAAGAATGGGACACCCAAGCAACACTGTGCTAAATAACACGATTCGAGCAGGAGTACTCGACAAGGACTCTCTGCTTTTAACAGACGGACGAGAACTTCAACGAGCACGAGGGACTTGCTTCACCTGTCCTGAAGCTGACTTACCGCATCAACCCTTCGTCTCGCATCACAACCCAAGCGCACCTGCATATGCACCACTCGAGAAAGTATACAGCGACATCTTGTACAACCGCGAACCCGGACAAAACGCGTATAACTACACCATCACCTTCATCGACGCCGCTACACGTTACGTCTGGCACCTAAACTTACCAAGTCGCGACATGGCTTTCGAAGCTTTCGTGGCATGGCTTCCAGCAGCAGAACGGGAATCGGGAGCTAAGCTCAAAAGTTTCCAATCAGACGGAGGAGGAGAATACTCGTCACAGCGATTCAAGCAGTACCTGGCGGAGAAGGGAATCAAGAGACTCATCTCCCTTCCCTACGCCCATCAACAGCAGGGTGTAGCAGAAAGGATGAACAGGACTCTGCAGAACACCATGCGCAAACTGTTACGTGGCATGCGACTACCCAACCACCAGTGGCCCGAAGCAATGGACCACGCCGTGATGCTGCACAACTTGCTTTCTTCGTCGTCACTCCCGAACAACACATCACCGCATCTGCTGTGGACAGGAAAACTGGGCAGCACAAAAATGTTACGAGTCTTCGGCTGCATGGTACAGTACCGACCCCCATCTGCACGAGCCGGCCGATTCTCTCAACGCGCACAGTGGGGACTACACCTGGGCATCGAAAAACATTACAACGCGTGGAAAATCTTCGACATCCACACCAAAGAAACAGTAGCAGCACGTGATGTCATTTTCTACGAACGACTCACGCTGCCAACGTACCTTGCCAACCTGGACGAAAATCGAGACCCCACAGGCGGCTTCCGTGGCGATCGAGCCTTCGCTTCGGCAGAAGACGAAGCTGACTGGGACGAGCAGAATGTGGAAGGAGCCTCGGAAGAAGCCGGACCTCTTCCCTACTGCTCAGTGGACGTACCGATGGACGAAGAAAACCCTCGCGAAAGCGTCAACGCCGAAACTTACTACCACTTCGCCGACAACGGTTACGTTACACCTGCTGAAGTCAACACCAACGAAGCAGAACGCATAGGGCCCAACTTCGCACCCGATCCAGAAACTGGAGACGAGGCAGTCTATCCCGAGGACACCACACTCCCCCGCTACACACAGAGCGGACTCCAAATCCTTGGTCTCGTCACCGCGGTCCACGGCGTCAACATTCCTAAGGAGCCTGCGACAGTTCAGCAGGCTCTGGGGGGGGAGCATAAGGAAAAATGGCGCGAAGCCATGGACAAGGAGCTGAAGGCATTAGAGGAACGCAACACCTGGAAAGTCGTTCCCATCGGCGTAGCGCGAAACAAGACCATTCTTACCGGGAAATGGGTCTTCCGTGTGAAGACGAAGGCCGACGGCACCATCGACAAGTTCAAAGCGCGTTGGGTCGTTCGCGGCTTCGACCAGGAACATGGACGAGACTTCACCGAAACCTTCGCTCCGGTCAGCCGCCACACTTCACTTCGAATTCTTCTCGCCATCGCCGCTATGAAGAAGAAGAAACTGCGCCAAATCGACGTCGCGAACGCATTTCTCTACGCACCGGTCGATGCAGAGATTTTCGTGGAACTACCGCACGGCTCCAACACAAATTCCACGCACGTCTGCCAGCTACTAAAATCGCTCTACGGGATCAAACAGGCGCCGCGACTGTGGCAGCAGTACCTGCATACTCGCCTCATCCGCATCGGCTTCAAACAACTCCCGCACGATCAGGGCATGTACCGCCTCACGAAGAACAGCGACTACATCTTGCTAATTGTCTACGTGGACGATCTTCTCTACATCGGCTCTACCGACGGCATCACCACCTGGTTCGAAGGGGAGCTGCAGAAGGACCTCACCCTCACTGTCTCATCTACCGTCACACAGTATCTCGGACTTAACATTCGAGAAGATAACGACGCGATCTACCTCAGCGCCGAAAAGTACGCCGACACCATCGCCAAACGATTCGGAATTACGCCAGCCGCGATCTCAACACCATACCGCTACACGACAGGAGCCGATAAGGAATCTGCCCCACTTAAGCCCGCCGGCATACGCGACTATCAGAGGAAGCTAGGTTGCCTCCTCTTCGCAGCCGTCACTTGCCGACCCGACCTATCCTACTCCGCAAGCCAGCTCGCCACTCATCTCAAGAAGCCTGAAGCAGAACACCTGGCGGAACTTGACCGCGCTCTGCACTACTTTATCAGCACCGCGATGATCGGCCTAACTTATCACAAGAACGCAGCTACACCAACCAAGCTAATCGGCTACGTCGATGCCGATCACGCCGGCGACACTGACAACAGGCGCTCACGCACCGGCTATGTCTACCGCCTCGAACCTATCGGTCCTATCTCCTGGCAGTCGAGCAAGCAGGAGTTAATTGCACTATCTTCAGCCGAAGCAGAATATATCGCGCTCTGCTCAGCCACCAAGGAGGGACTTTACCTTCGCGAGCTGCTGGAAGAAGCGAAGTTAGCCGAGTTACCCAACTTCACCGTGTTCTGCGACAACCAGTCAGCAATTCGTATCGCCAACAAGAACGGCTTCGCGAACAGAACGAAACACATCGCCCTGCGTTACTTCTTCGTAAAGGACGAGATCGAGAAAGGGAGACTCGAGCTATCGTACTGTCCCACGTCTGAGATGGCAGCTGACTACTTGACCAAGAAGCTTGGAAAACAAAAGTTCGAGTACTGCATGCTGCTGACTGGACAAAGCCACGTCATCAGCAGCGACACTCCAGAAGCGAAGGGGAGTGTTGGAAACAATAAAACTTAAGCGCTTCAGTCGTGTCGAAACACCGCACCAGAAGCGAGGCAAACTACACCGAAGCACCCGCGAGTCAACCCTCGGAGGTTAAAAGAGGTTGCTGGAGGTTACGCGAAAGTCAAAGGTCAGCAACCTTTGACCCGACAAGTACAGCGCGACAGTTAAGGACATACAACTGACTCGTTACAGAGCAGTTGCCCGAGTCGTACTGTATCGAACCGCAACAGCAACAGTAAAAGTAGTTATAACTGTATCCTTTGATATTCCTTGCACTACTATATATTCTTGTACTTTCCTGTTATAATCAATCTACTTTGCCCTCACACACTAGCGCAAGGTGATTCACAAGTTTTATTAAAGCTTCCGCTGTTACAATACTATCCTACCCAGAGTTACTCCTGAAAAGATCCTAAGGGGCCATCTCAGCCCAACAGCGTGCATAGGGTGTGAAGGCCGAGGCGTCACTGTGGAGGCCCTTCCCACTCATGTGGCCACCAAGTACCGTTTGTTGTGGCCAATGGGAGGAGGCTCCGAGCTAGATTTCATGATGACGTGGTCTAAACCCTCGTCCAGACCATTTCAAGCATTTTTTTGGGGTGCTAAAAACGGAGCACTTCCCATTCACTTGATTTGGCTCATTAGCACGTGTCTCGTATTAATTTGTAAAGACCCGAATGTTATAAAATATATGCCACTTATTTAGACTCGCTCATTTTTTGGGTTGCGATTATGACAAGACCCCCGGGTCCAGTATCCAGGGGTTTACGGTATAACAATTTGCACTGCTGGTTAGAATACCCAACTAACAAAAAAGTATATCGTTCAATACAGTGCTACAAACAAGATCACTGTAGCTATCAGCCGTTTCAAGACCACCATACCATAATGGTAGTGCAGCTTGCAGGAGGAGCAAATGAATCCTTTGCAGTCCAGAGTTTCTGACTTTGTACTAACACTTAGCTAAGTACCACCAGTAGCCGGCACTGCTCCAACAGACCCCTGACCGGCTGTTGCAGACTGAGCACAGAGAGCTTCCTGGATCCTTCCTTTCCATACCAACCCCACATCCGAGTTCAGTTTCTTTTCCGGCGTGTGCAGAAGATACTCGTCAATGCCGCCCACCTTGTCTATGCAGCGGAGGGCGTACGTGGTAACCCAGAACTGGATGAAACTCATGAATCCACACATCTTGCACTTAGCTAAGTCCTACCAGCAGCCGGCACTGCTACAACAGACCCCTGACCAGCAGTTGCAGATTGAGCACGGAGCGCTTCCTGGATCCTTCCTTTCCACACAAGCCCAACATCCGAGTTCAATTTCTTTTCCGGCGTGTGCAGAAGATACTCGTCAATGCCGCCCACCTTGTCTATGCAGCGGAGGGCGTACGTGGTAACACGGAACTGAATGAATTTGTCAAGGGCAAAGCTGTAGAGGCGCTTGTACTGCACGTTGGGCTTCCACATGCGCCGCGTTCTGCCCCCGAGTTTGGAGAGGGGGAACGGGGAGGGGAGGGGAGGGGTAGGGAAGGGGAAGGAGAAGGGGGAGGGGGAGGGTGAGGCATGACAGTACAACACGGAACTGGATGAATTTGTCAAGGGCGAAGCTGTAGAGGCGCTTGTACTGCACGTTGGGCTTCCACATGCGCCGCGTTCTGCCAGTGGTGGAGGAAGAGGGAAGGGAAGGGGGGGCGAAGGGGAAGGGACATGGCAAGCCAGCAAAGCACCAACTGAAGGGAAATACTGAGGGGAAAAGTTGTAGCGGCGTTTGTATGTACAGGACGTTGTTTTTGAGAGGAAAGGAGGGGAATAGAAGAGTGTGAGAAAGGAATCATCAAGAGCAAAGCTACAGAGACGTTTGTTCGCGCACATCAGGTTTACAAATCCGGTGCGTCTGTGCGGCTTGGGGATGGAGAGATGGTGGGAAGTAAGGGTATGATGGGAAAGTGAGTGAGACAAGGAAAAATGTCACAACACGGAATGGGGTGCTCTATAACCAACTCACTTTCAACTTTTACCAGCCTTGATCTCCCTGAAAGCAAACATCTGAATTTCCAAGAGCCAGAAAAAAGATCTCAACTCACTTTCCCGCAGTCCTCGCTGACTTTGTTGCCGAATTTGACCTCCTCGCATGCGAACAACCCTTGTGACACACGCGAGAGATGTCTGAGACTGAATGATTAACTAGTTTCATCCGGACTTACTTATTCCCGCCGTCCTCGCTGACTTTGTTGCCGAATTTGACCTCCTTGCCCGCGAACAGCCCTCGCCGCGCGCGCCGCATCACGGCGCGGCCCACTAGCTCCAACCCTAACGGCATTGCTTCCGCGCCGAGCCAAAAGCGCAGCAGCTGGATGAGAGAGACTCTGTGGACAGACGTTTCTTTGGCTAAGGGAAGCACGCAGGCTTGATTAGCCGAGGAACGCGGGCGGGTTCGGTAACGAAGCGAATGCTTTAATAGGAAGGGAAGCTGGATCCTCGCGCGCTAATGCAAGTAGAATACAGCGCGATTTCAAGCGGTCTATGGTGCGCGTCCTTCGCTGGGAGACATCTGATGTCACGCCGCGGAATCAGCTACCACCACCGCCTAGCTGCCGCGGGGGAAGCCGGAAAAAGATCGTTGCTGATGCTCAACCAAGATTGTACCGCTTGCTTGCATAATATTTTTAATGGAGCTACAATCACAGTGATGTAAATCGGGTCCCGCAGTAGCGAAGGGGGCATATGTTTTCCCAAGAAATGATTCGTTTTCCCGTGAGTACAGTAGATGAGAGGAAGGAAGAATCAAAGCTCCCGTTTGTCAGAATTGCAGCGAAAGCTGATCAGCTTTCCAGAGCTACACTACTGTACTGTAGTGCTCATCTCCTTTCGGAGTTTGAGCCACTAGCGAGCCCCGACGAGAAGTTTTTCCTGACCCGATGAAAGTGTACCGCCGAAAATAGCTCAGCGGAATCAGGTCGTCGCCCGAAGGAGCTCGCTGCCCGCGGGCAAAAAAAATTCTTAAAACCCATTCGGGCATGCATCCGGTCAGGGAGCCTCAACCCTTTGTTGCGTGGAAAGATAATCTCCAAGTCTTGTGCTTTCGGAACCCTGAATCGCTTTCTCACGACGATACCGCATCATTTTTTGGCGCTGTTCTGCAGGCACTCGATGCCGTCGGAGGAATGTGCCACGATGCTGCCAAAGCGTTGACATTTTGGGGGGCAGCCCAAAAAATTGTTTCATCTCTGTTGATGCCGTCAGAATGGCATTGGCTGCAGAACATGCCTTTTGGCGACGGCATCAGCTGGGTTCGAAATCTCACAGCGCTTTCCCTCTCGGGCATTTTGTGGTGCCTGTGCCACCCCGTGGCAAACCACCCCAGAGAGGTGGTTTGCCACGAGATGGCAGAGGCATCGGCCAGTTGGGACAACCGCGAACTCGCCCTGCTGAAAAGAAAACAACCACCAAAGGCACCCTTGGTACCAGAGGTTCGAAACGCTAATCAGAGGTTTGTGGGGACCGGTTGGCTTTTCGTTTTCCGATCGCTTTTTACCCAACCATGGCACAACCTGCTGCTAAAATTTCTACACAGCCCGTGACGAAATTGTTGCAACAGGGGGCGGAAGTCTCACTTCTCGGGCCCCCGCTTTCCTCAGCCGAAATGCGAAATTCCCAAACAGGGAAAGTGCTTCGAGCGCCTAGGGAAGTTTCTGGCGGCAGAAATTGATGCCGCTGCCATGCCAATGCCACCTGCCTGCAGAACAACGCCTTTATTTGTGTTGTGCCGTGCAACGCCCCTCGTGGTGCTGGGCACCAGGTTCCCCCATTGGTCGGTGGGAGATTGTCAACGGTCAATGCATTTTCCTCCCATCCCTCCCGCCCTCGACATCCGCGCTGCCATCACGTGACGAGTTACTTTACTACGGTTCGATGAGTTCATGTGCGGTAGAAAGCAGCTAAAAAAATACTTCAAATGGTTGAACAGGGTTTGACGGAGAGTCATCCGGAATGGCACCCCCTGATCCTATCTCAGCGCTCAATTCTCAGGGCCTACACATCCTATCTCATGTGGCACAAACCTGGCAGGGACCTGCAAAACAAGGCGGCTTCTCTGTTTCTGTTTGTGAAAGGCTGGCACTTGACTCCTTGGAAAGGTCTGCATTTCTGTCCCATAAGTTCCGCAATATCCCTTCCTAGGCCTCGTGTCGCTCTTTCCCAAGATCCGCCGGGAACTGCTACGTACCATTGCCACATACGGCTTTCAATAGTGAGAAGCATTGACCCCCTATTTTTTGACAATTTCGACATGGAACCACCGGGCCGTTCAAGTTCGCATGTTGCCATTCGAACTTAATTTTTGGCATGTAGCAATGTGAGGGTCAAACCAGTTAACAATTTATATATCAGCCTAGAAAGACGTGATCAAACACCAATATAGAGTGGTCAATGTAAAGTCAATGTGACCCATTTGCATCACAATGCGTTTCTTATTGCTGATCAGCTCTCTCGTATTTAATTTTCACACCGTCTCAGTGTCTCGTATTCCACCGTAGCGAAATGCTTCTTTCCTTTGCGTCAGAAAACTTAATTTTGGAAGAGACATCTGCATCACATTGCCTTTCTTTCCTCTAGTTAGATTCACGCTTCGTTCCGTCGCCCTATCCCACCCAACCCCCTCAGCCTTTCCGGTCCGGACGTGATCCGGACTTCAACGCGTGACAGGAGCGTCACAGAACGAAAAAACACATCAACTCAATTAAAAAAAAAAAAAAAGTCACAATGTTTCTCCGCAAGAAAAGCTCGCTGACGTCCAACATCCTGGGCCGGCCGCCGGCGGACATCCGCGACAAGTTCCTGATGGGGAAGGAGCTGGGCAAGGGGCAGTTCGGCGTGACGTACCTGTGCACCGATAAGGTCACTGGCGAGCAACTCGCGTGCAAGTCGCTAGCGAAACGACGCATCGGGTCGAAAGAGGAGGTCGAGGATATCAGGTGGGTGCAATGTGTGCGTTGGATGTTGGACATTGAACGTTTGAGATTGCGTGCCAGGCTTTTGGGAGTTGAGAGTACCGGGCGACGGAGGATTGCGGGCATTGCATGTGGGGATGCGCAAGGGGCAGTTCGGCGTGACGTACCTGTGCACGGACAAGGCCAGGCGAGCAACTCGCTTGCAAGTCGCTCGCCAAGCGACGGATCGGGTCGAAAGAAGAAGTCGAGGATATCAGGTGAGGGTGGGGTCGCGGACATCAGGTGGATGCAATGTGCGTGTTGGACGTTGGACATTGAACGTTGGAATAGCGTGGGGGGCGTTGGGCATTGAGAGCTTTGAATGCTGGAAGATGGAGGATGTGGGGCAAGGGGCAGTTCAGCGTGACGTACCTGTGCACGGACAAGGCCACCGGCGAGCAGCTCGCGTGCTAATCGCTCGCCAAGCAGCGCATCGGGTCGAAAGCGGAGGTCGAGGATATCAGGTGGGTGCAATGTGCACGTTGGATGTCGGACATTGAACGGTTGAGATTGCGTGGGGGGCTATCGTTGCGAGGTTTGAATTCGGGACGGCGGAGGATATGCAGCATGGCAGTTGGGCGTTACTTACCTGTGCACGGACAAGGCCACTGGCGAGCAGCTTGCGAGCGCATCAGGTCTAAAGTGGAGGTTGAGGGCATCAGGTGAGGGTGACGTGACGTCACGTCACATCTGGTCGAGGATGTCAAATGGGTTGGTGAACATCAGGTGGTGGCTAGACGAGTGAAGCAGAGTGTTTATCCTGGCATTGCATCTGTAAGGCATTGCACACATTTCATTGTTCACATTGCATCTCACCGTCCTCCTGCTCCCTCCCAGGAAGGAGATCGCCATCATGCATCATCTGGGCGGCCACCCCACATCGTGCAGCTGCGCGGCGCCTTTGAGGACAAGCACAACGTGCACATCGTCGTGGAGCTCCCCTCAACACACAGAGACTCACACCATCGTCATGGAGCTCTGCTCTGCGGTGATCCACCAGGCCTAAAGTAACAAAGGCGTACACCTCCTGTCCCCTCCCGTCTGCCCTCTGTCTCCGGTCTGCTCTCTGTCTCCTCTGTTTCCTCCCTGCACCCTCTCCTCCCAGGAAGGAGATCGCCATCATGCATCATCTGGGCGGCCACCCGCACATCGTGCAGCTGCGCGGCGCCTTCGAGGACAAGCACAACGTGCACATCGTCATGGAGCTCTGCGCGGGCGGCGAACTCTTCGACCGCATCGCCGCCCGGGGCCACTACAGCGAGCGGGCGGCGTCGGCATTATTCAAAACCATGATGGGGGTGGTCGACCATTGCCACCAGAATAACGTTGTCCACCGGGACTTAAAGCCCGAGAATTTTCTTCTCGCGGATCGGAGGGAGGATGCGCCGCTGAAGGTGGCGGATTTCGGGCTGTCGTCGTTTTACAAGGAGGGGGAGGTGTTTTCGGAGACGGTGGGGAGCGCGTTCTATGTGGCGCCTGAGGTGCTCAAGGGGAAGTATGACAAGGCGTGTGACGTGTGGAGCTGCGGCGTCATTCTCTACATCCTGCTCAGCGGCACCCCACCTTTCTGGGGAGGTGAGTTGCTCTTCTGAGAGCAGATTTTCCACCAGGTGCTCAAGGCAACTCCTTACTTTGCAGCGACCCCCCTATCCCACTATGCTGACTGCTCTTCCCTATCCCCCACTCTTCTCCCCCACTCCCTTCCACCCCCTCCTCCCCCTTTTCCTGCCCCACCAGACACGGAGAAGCAGATCTTCCAGCAGGTGCTCAAGGCCAACCCGGACTTTGCAGCAAACCACTTATCCCCCTGTGCTAACTTTCTCTCTCTCTCTCTCTCTCTCTCTCTCTCTCTCTCTCTCTCTCTCTCTCTCTCTCTCTCTCTATTCCCCCCTCCACTCCACCACCAGACACGGAGAAGCAGATCTTCCAGCAGGTGCTCCAGGCGAACCCTGACTTTGCAGCGGACCCTTCTTTCCCCTTTGCTGACTGTTCTTTCGCTGCCCCTCCCATCCCGCCCTCCTTCCCCCTCTCCTCCTCCGTCTCCCCCCCACCAGACACGGAGAAGCAGATCTTCCAGCAGGTGCTCAAGGCGAATCCCGACTTTGCAGCGGACCCCTGGCCGAACGTGTCGGACTCGGCCAAGGACCTCGTGAAGCGCATGCTGCACCCCGACCCCGCTCAGCGCATCTCCTCTGCTGATGTGCTCCGTGAGTGGATATGCATGTGTGCTTTAAGAGAAGGGAGGGTTGGCATGTGGCTGGCACCTGACTGGGATGGTAAAGCTGCAGCGGACCCCTGGCCGAACGTGTCGGACTCGGCCAAGGACCTGGTCAAGCGCATGCTCCATCCGGACCCCGCCCTGCGCATCTCCTCCGCCGATGTGCTCCGTGAGTGAAGAGGCTTGTGCATGTTGAATAGAAGGGAACGATAGAAGGGTTGGCATATGGCTGAAGGGAGTCTTAGGCTGTGCTGCAGCAGACCCCTGGCTGAACGTGTCAGACTCGGCCAAGGACCTGGTCAAGCGCATGCTGCAACCCGACCCTGCTCAGCGCATCTCCTCTGCTGACGTGCTGCGTGAGTGAAGAGGAGGCAGTTGAACGTTGAATGAAAGGGAAGGAAGGTTGGCGTATGGCTGAGGCTGGGATGGGGTGACCCCTGGCCGAACGTGTCGGACTCGGCCAAGGACCTGGTGAAGCGCATGCTGCACCCCGACCCCGCTCAGCGCGTCTCCTCCGCCGATGTTCTCCGTGAGTTAAAGCCAGGGTCTCATGTAAGCCAAGGAGCCATCGACTGCAAAGCACTTGAAGCTAGGTAACCAAGTTAGTGCTGGCGAAGTTGTCTCTGGTTGGGTTGGAAACTCAGCCCCAAAAGCAATTGCACAACACTTTTGGGGACTTGAGACTTTCGATGAGTTGGGGGCATTTTAGGTTTGGGTCCGAACCAACTTTCCAAGCCTAGATGGTTCGGTCACCCCCAACGATTTACGTTCGCTTCGCACCCCTCGCTTCAGCACACTTCCAACCTTACACCTCGCCAACCAATCAACTACACACTTTCACAAGCAATTGCAAAGCACTTGTAGTACGTGAGACCCTGCCTTTAAGAAGCGCGCACATCTGTGGTTGAGAGGGAAGGGAGGGTTGGCGCATGTGGGTGAAGGGGGGCTTGGGTTGGGATGGGATGGGATGGGATGGGATGGGATGGGATGGGATGGTAGAGTTCAGCAGAGACTCGTGACCCCTGGCCGCAGGAGTTTTGAGACGTCTCAAAACATCTCTTTTATCACCTGGCCGCAGGTGTCGGACTCGGCCAAGGACCTCGTGAAGCGCTTTTGAGAATTCTCTTTTGAGAATTACTTTTGAGAATTCTCAAAAGCAGAGACTCGTGACCCCTGGCCGCAGGTGTCGGACTCGGCCAAGGACCTGGTCAAGCGCATGCTGCACCTCATCCCTCAACGTGCATCCCAACTCAGCGCGCCATGTTTTTTTTTTTTTTTTTTCACCCCAATTTTCCCCTCCCACCCACCTGTCAGGCCACCCATGGTTGTGCCACGAAAGCAGTCCAGCAAGTCGCTGGGAGAGGCGGTGCTGAAGCGAATCAAGAAGCTTTTGAGTCGACTCACAAGTTCCCCCCCTCTTTCCCTCTCACTCCACCTGTCAGGCCACCCGTGGCTGTCCCACGAGAAGCAGTCTGATAAGCCGCTGGGAGAGGCGGTGCTGAAGCGAATCAAGAAGTTCTCTGCGGCCAACAAGATGAAGAAGCTGGCGCTCAAGGTGAGAGAGAGAGATTCGTGCAAGTAGACGGGTTGACTGAGTGACTGACAGGGGAGGGGGCCTGAGGCTAACCGCTGGGAGAGGCAGTGCTGAAGCGAATAAAAAAGTTCTCTGCGGCCAACAAGATGAAGAAGCTGGCGCTCAAGGTGAGAGAGAGAGTCGTGCGAGTATGAAAGGGGACCTCAAGGTAGCTGTTGAGAGAGGCGGTGCTGAAGCGAATAAAAAAGTTCTCTGCGGCCAACAAGATGAAGAAGCTGGCTCTCAAGGTGAGAGAGAGAGAGTCGTGCGAGTATGAAAGGGGACCTGAAGGTAGCTGTTGAGAGAGGCGGTGCTGAAGCGAATTGGGACGTGAGAACTTCTCTGCGGCCAACAAGATGAAGAAGCTGGCGCTCAAGGTGACCTAGGAATTGTTTAGTCTTCAAGAGGATCTTTTCATAGCTAGCTGCTGGGAGCTAGCTATATGAGTGAACAAACCTCTCTGCCGCCTGTCATGCAAACAAGATGCGGAATCTGCTCCCAGCAGCTTCAAGGCGAGAGAGTCACTGGAAGCAGAGTCAAATAAAAGTACCACTCTTCTGCCTGCCAACAATATGAAAGCTGACTGAAGCTTGCACTTTAGGTCAAACCCCTAAGGATTATTTCTGAGAGCTACTCGTGTTCATAGCTTGTCCCAATCCCTGTTGTTCCCCTCCAGGTCATTGCATGCAACCTGAGCTGCGAGGTGATTCTGGGGCTGAAGAAGCTCTTCAAGGAAATGGACAAGGACTGCTCCCTTGCTCCTCTGGTTTTTGAGAATTCTCAGAAATGGACAAGGACGGCTCCCTTGCTCCTCTGGTTTTTGAGAATTCTCAGAAATGGACAAGGACGGCTCCCTTGCTCCTCTGGTTTTTGAGAATTCTCAGAAATGGACAAGGACGGCTCCCTTGCTCCTCTGGTTTTTGAGAATTCTCAGAAATGGACAAGGACGGCTCCCTTGCTCCTCTGGTTTTTGAGAATTCTCAGAAATGGACAAGGACGGCTCCCTTGCTCCTCTGGTTTTTGAGAATTCTCAGAAATGGACAAGGACGGCTCCCTTGCTCCTCTGGTTTTTGAGAATTCTCAGAAATGGACAAGGACGGCTCCCTTGCTCCTCTGGTTTTTGAGAATTCTCAGAAATGGACAAGGACGGCTCCCTTGCTCCTCTGGTTTTTGAGAATTCTCAGAAATGGACAAGGACGGCTCCCTTGCTCCTCTGGTTTTTGAGAATTCTCAGAAATGGACAAGGACGGCTCCCTTGCTCCTCTGGTTTTTGAGAATTCTCAGAAATGGACAAGGACGGCTCCCTTGCTCCTCTGGTTTTTGAGAATTCTCAGAAATGGACAAGGACGGCTCCCTTGCTCCTCTGGTTTTTGAGAATTCTCAGAAATGGACAAGGACGGCTCCCTTGCTCCTCTGGTTTTTGAGAATTCTCAGAAATGGACAAGGACGGCTCCCTTGCTCCTCTGGTTTTTGAGAATTCTCAGAAATGGACAAGGACGGCTCCCTTGCTCCTCTGGTTTTTGAGAATTCTCAGAAATGGACAAGGACGGCTCCCTTGCTCCTCTGGTTTTTGAGAATTCTCAGAAATGGACAAGGACGGCTCCCTTGCTCCTCTGGTTTTTGAGAATTCTCAGAGATGGACAAGGACGGCTCCCTTGCTCCTCTGGTTTTTGAGAATTCTCAGAGATGGACAAGGACGGCTCCCTTGCTCCTCTGGTTTTTGAGAATTCTCAGAGATGGACAAGGACGGCTCCCTTGCTCCTCTGGTTTTTGAGAATTCTCAGAGATGGACAAGGACGGCTCCCTTGCTCCTCTGGTTTTTGAGAATTCTCAGAGATGGACAAGGACGGCTCCCTTGCTCCTCTGGTTTTTGAGAATTCTCAGAGATGGACAAGGACGGCTCCCTTGCTCCTCTGGTTTTTGAGAATTCTCAGAGATGGACAAGGACGGCTCCCTTGCTCCTCTGGTTTTTGAGAATTCTCAGAGATGGACAAGGACGGCTCCCTTGCTCCTCTGGTTTTTGAGAATTCTCAGAGATGGACAAGGACGGCTCCCGTGCTCCTCTGGTTTTTGAGAATTCTCAGAGATGGACAAGGACGGCTCCCTTGCTCCTCTGGTTTTTGAGAATTCTCAGAGATGGACAAGGACGGCTCCCTTGCTCCTCTGGTTTTTGAGAATTCTCAGAGATGGACAAGGACGGCTCCCTTGCTCCTCTGGTTTTTGAGAATTCTCAGAGATGGACAAGGACGGCTCCCTTGCTCCTCTGGTTTTTGAGAATTCTCAGAGATGGACAAGGACGGCTCCCTTGCTCCTCTGGTTTTTGAGAATTCTCAGAGATGGACAAGGACGGCTCCCTTGCTCCTCTGGTTTTTGAGAATTCTCAGAGATGGACAAGGACGGCTCCCTTGCTCCTCTGGTTTTTGAGAATTCTCAGAGATGGACAAGGACGGCTCCCTTGCTCCTCTGGTTTTTGAGAATTCTCAGAGATGGACAAGGACGGCTCCCTTGCTCCTCTGGTTTTTGAGAATTCTCAGAGATGGACAAGGACGGCTCCCTTGCTCCTCTGGTTTTTGAGAATTCTCAGAGATGGACAAGGACGGCTCCCTTGCTCCTCTGGTTTTTGAGAATTCTCAGAGATGGACAAGGACGGCTCCCTTGCTCCTCTGGTTTTTGAGAATTCTCAGAGATGGACAAGGACGGCTCCCTTGCTCCTCTGGTTTTTGAGAATTCTCAGAGATGGACAAGGACGGCTCCCTTGCTCCTCTGGTTTTTGAGAATTCTCAGAGATGGACAAGGACGGCTCCCTTGCTCCTCTGGTTTTTGAGAATTCTCAGAGATGGACAAGAACGGCTCCCTTGCTCCTCTGGTTTTTGAGAATTCTCAGAGATGGACAAGGACGGCTCCCTTGCTCCTCTGGTTTTTGAGAATTCTCAGAGATGGACAAGGACGGCTCCCTTGCTCCTCTGGTTTTTGAGAATTCTCAGAGATGGACAAGGACGGCTCCCTTGCTCCTCTGGTTTTTGAGAATTCTCAGAGATGGACAAGGACGGCTCCCTTGCTCCTCTGGTTTTTGAGAATTCTCAGAGATGGACAAGGACGGCTCCCTTGCTCCTCTGGTTTTTGAGAATTCTCAGAGATGGACAAGGACGGCTCCCTTGCTCCTCTGGTTTTTGAGAATTCTCAGAGATGGACAAGGACGGCTCCCTTGCTCCTCTGGTTTTTGAGAATTCTCAGAGATGGACAAGGACGGCTCCCTTGCTCCTCTGGTTTTTGAGAATTCTCAGAGATGGACAAGGACGGCTCCCTTGCTCCTCTGGTTTTTGAGAATTCTCAGAGATGGACAAGGACGGCTCCCTTGCTCCTCTGGTTTTTGAGAATTCTCAGAAATGGACAAGGACGGCTCCCTTGCTCCTCTGGTTTTTGAGAATTCTCAGAAATGGACAAGGACGGCTCCCTTGCTCCTCTGGTTTTTGAGAATTCTCAGAAATGGACAAGGACGGCTCCCTTGCTCCTCTGGTTTTTGAGAATTCTCAGAAATGGACAAGGACGGCTCCCTTGCTCCTCTGGTTTTTGAGAATTCTCAGAAATGGACAAGGACGGCTCCCTTGCTCCTCTGGTTTTTGAGAATTCTCAGAAATGGACAAGGACGGCTCCCTTGCTCCTCTGGTTTTTGAGAATTCTCAGAAATGGACAAGGACGGCTCCCTTGCTCCTCTGGTTTTTGAGAATTCTCAGAAATGGACAAGGACGGCTCCCTTGCTCCTCTGGTTTTTGAGAATTCTCAGAAATGGACAAGGATGGCTCCCTTGCTCCTCTGGTTTTTGAGAATTCTCAGAAATGGACAAGGACGGCTCCCTTGCTCCTCTGGTTTTTGAGAATTCTCAGAAATGGACAAGGACGGCTCCCTTGCTCCTCTGGTTTTTGAGAATTCTCAGAAATGGACAAGGACGGCTCCCTTGCTCCTCTGGTTTTTGAGAATTCTCAGAAATGGACAAGGACGGCTCCCTTGCTCCTCTGGTTTTTGAGAATTCTCAGAAATGGACAAGGACGGCTCCCTTGCTCCTCTGGTTTTTGAGAATTCTCAGAAATGGACAAGGACGGCTCCCTTGCTCCTCTGGTTTTTGAGAATTCTCAGAAATGGACAAGGACGGCTCCCTTGCTCCTCTGGTTTTTGAGAATTCTCAGAAATGGACAAGGACGGCTCCCTTGCTCCTCTGGTTTTTGAGAATCCTCAGAAATGGACAAGGACGGCTCCCTTGCTCCTCTGGTTTTTGAGAATCCTCAGAAATGGACAAGGACGGCTCCCTTGCTCCTCTGGTTTTTGAGAATCCTCAGAAATGGACAAGGACGGCTCCCTTGCTCCTCTGGTTTTTGAGAATCCTCAGAAATGGACAAGGACGGCTCCCTTGCTCCTCTGGTTTTTGAGAATCCTCAGAAATGGACAAGGACGGCTCCCTTGCTCCTCTGGTTTTTGAGAATCCTCAGAAATGGACAAGGACGGCTCCCTTGCTCCTCTGGTTTTTGAGAATCCTCAGAAATGGACAAGGACGGCTCCCTTGCTCCTCTGGTTTTTGAGAATCCTCAGAAATGGACAAGGACGGCTCCCTTGCTCCTCTGGTTTTTGAGAATTCTCAGAAATGGACAAGGACGGCTCCCTTGCTCCTCTGGTTTTTGAGAATCCTCAGAAATGGACAAGGACGGCTCCCTTGCTCCTCTGGTTTTTGAGAATCCTCAGAAATGGACAAGGACGGCTCCCTTGCTCCTCTGGTTTTTGAGAATCCTCAGAAATGGACAAGGACGGCTCCCTTGCTCCTCTGGTTTTTGAGAATCCTCAGAAATGGACAAGGACGGCTCCCTTGCTCCTCTGGTTTTTGAGAATTCTCAGAAATGGACAAGGACGGCTCCCTTGCTCCTCTGGTTTTTGAGAATTCTCAGAAATGGACAAGGACGGCTCCCTTGCTCCTCTGGTTTTTGAGAATTCTCAGAAATGGACAAGGACGGCTCCCTTGCTCCTCTGGTTTTTGAGAATTCTCAGAAATGGACAAGGACGGCTCCCTTGCTCCTCTGGTTTTTGAGAATTCTCAGAAATGGACAAGGACGGCTCCCTTGCTCCTCTGGTTTTTGAGAATTCTCAGAAATGGACAAGGACGGCTCCCTTGCTCCTCTGGTTTTTGAGAATTCTCAGAAATGGACAAGGACGGCTCCCTTGCTCCTCTGGTTTTTGAGAATTCTCAGAAATGGACAAGGACGGCTCCCTTGCTCCTCTGGTTTTTGAGAATTCTCAGAAATGGACAAGGACGGCTCCCTTGCTCCTCTGGTTTTTGAGAATTCTCAGAAATGGACAAGGACGGCTCCCTTGCTCCTCTGGTTTTTGAGAATTCTCAGAAATGGACAAGGACGGCTCCCTTGCTCCTCTGGTTTTTGAGAATTCTCAGAAATGGACAAGGACGGCTCCCTTGCTCCTCTGGTTTTTGAGAATTCTCAGAAATGGACAAGGACGGCTCCCTTGCTCCTCTGGTTTTTGAGAATTCTCAGAAATGGACAAGGACGGCTCCCTTGCTCCTCTGGTTTTTGAGAATTCTCAGAAATGGACAAGGACGGCTCCCTTGCTCCTCTGGTTTTTGAGAATTCTCAGAGATGGACAAGGACGGCTCCCTTGCTCCTCTGGTTTTTGAGAATTCTCAGAGATGGACAAGGACGGCTCCCTTGCTCCTCTGGTTTTTGAGAATTCTCAGAAATGGACAAGGACGGCTCCCTTGCTCCTCTAGGTTCTTTCCGCTTTACTCCTCTCGGCGCTCCCCACTCCTTTCCGTCCAGGTGATCGCTTGCAACCTGAGTCACGAGGAGATCCTGGGACTGAAGAAGCTGTTCAAGGGGATGGACAAGGACGCCTCCCTCCCTCCTCTGATGACCCCCTTCTCTCCCGCCCGGCGCCCCCTTCTCCACTCTCCCCTTGTTCCCTTCCCGGTTGTCTCCTTGCAGGTGATCGCGTGCAACCTGAGCCGTGAGGAGATCCTGGGACTTGCTGTTCAAGGGGATGGACAAGGACGCCTCCCTCCCTCCTCTGATGACCCCCTTCTCTCCCGCCCGGCGCCCCCTTCTCCACTCTCCCCTTGTTCCCTTCCCGGTTGTCTCCTTGCAGGTGATCGCATGCAACCTGAGCCGTGAGGAGATCCTGGGACTGAAGAAGCTGTTCAAGGGGATGGACAAGGACGGCAGCGGCAGCATCACGTTTGCTGAGCTCAAGACCGGCATGCAGAAGCTGGGTAACCCCATGTCGGAGGAGCAGCTTCAGCAGATCATGGAGGCGGTAAGGGGGGGAGGAGGGATGGGTGAATCATGAATTGAGAATGGTGTTGGGGTGAGCTTGTAAGTTGGCAAAGGCAGCAAGATGGGCATGCAAAAGCAACAATGCAGATGAACAAGGTGGAGAAGGAGGAGCACATTGCATCACACCCACTCACACCACTCTTAACCTCCCTGTGCCCCTCTCCCTCCCCTGGGGTGGCATGGCAGGCGGACATGGACCACAGCGGCACCATTGACTACACGGAGTTCATCACAGCAACGATGCAGATGAACAAGGTGGAGGAGGAGGAGCACATCACATCCCATCCCACCCTCTCACACCACTTTGAACCCCTCTCCACACCACCTTCTCTCCACACCTTCCCCACCCAGGCGGACATGGACCACAGTGGCACCATTGATTACACGGAGTTCATCACGGCAACGATGCAGATGAACAAGGTGGACCGTGGAGAAGGAGGAGGACGTCTCATCCCATCACACCTTACACCACGCCATACCTACCCTTGCCCTTCTCCCTGCACTCTGACGGCAGGCGGACATGGACCACAGTGGCACCATCGACTACACGGTGTTCATCACAGCATGCACATCGCATCCCATTGCACCCTCTCACACCACTCTAAACTCCCCCTTGCTCCCTCCCTCCCATCCCACCCAGGCGGACATGGACCACAGCGGCACCATTGACTACACGGAGTTCATCACGGCAACGATGCAGATGAACAAGGTGGAGAAGGAGGAGCACATCTGGAAGGCCTTCCAGCACTTCGACCGCGATGGCAGCGGGTGAGCAACGGGTAACAGCGGGTAAGCATAGAGGCACTATGTCCGTGGGTGGAGAAGGAGGAGCACATCTGGAAGGCCTTCCAGCACTTTGACCGTGATGGGAGCGGGTGAGATGAGACGAGAGGAGAGGCACTTGGTCTTGGTCAGACAGGGACTAGAGTGGGTGAGTGGGACGAGGAGAAGGGCACTAGGACAGGGGATGCAGATGAAAAATGTGGAGAAGGAGGAGCACATCTGGAAGGCTTTCCAGCACTTCGACCGCGATGGCAGCGGGTGAGTGAGGTGGGGAGGCACTTGGACCACGACGGCAGCAGGTGAGATGAGAGAAGGGATGGGGGAGTGAGATGGGTCGAGAGATTTATGTGGCTCTCTCAGCTATTCAACCGCGACCACACACAGGGGGTGATACAACTTTTGAGACGTCTCAAAACTCTCAGCTATTCAACCGCGGCCAAACAAAGCGGGCGATACAAGAGTAGATGAGAGTAGTGCACCAGCTCTCTGGTTACCACCTGATGGTTACACTCCGCATCTCCTACGGTTTTCCCTCTTCCATGGCAGGTTCATCACGGTGAACGAGCTGAGGGACACGCCAGCATTGCTACGGTTACCACCTGTTGGTTACACTCTGCAAATCCCTCCAATATTCCCTCACCCTCTCCCACAGGGCAGGTTCATCACGGTGAGCGAGCTGAGGGACGCCCTGGGGAATCAAGTGCAGTGCACCAGCTTGATGGTTACCACCTGGTGGTGCTGACACTCTGTGACTCTGAACAGCCCCCCCTCCCCCCACTCTTCCTCCCCTCCACATGGCAGATTCATCACAGTGAGTGAGCTGAGGGACGCCCTGGCGAATGAGGACATGCTGGAGCCGGGTGAGCTGGAGCAGATCATCGAAGAGGTGGACACGGATAAGGTGAGGGGGCAGGGGGGAATAGAACAGGTTGGGAGGAGCGAGCAAGTGTTTGATGGGGAGGAGCACTTGTTCAGATTAGTGGGAAGGTTTGACGTGTTTGGGAATGACGAGCATTGCAGCCATAATGAGGTATCAATCGGAAGCAAGAGATAAAACCCGTAACCAACCATCTTCTCATGTGCATGTATGTGTGCACTGCACACCCTTGGCTTCGCTCTTTGTGTGTTTTTTCAGAGCGGCACGATCGACTACGAGGAGTTTGCAGCCATGATGAGGAAACAAGATCAGGAGACAGCCGGCGCACAGAAGCAGAGGCGGACCCGCAGTATTGGGGCGGACTACTATTAATTCTCTGCCGATAAAATAGAAATGTCGAAAGAAGTGGATAGGACTAGTGCATAAACGGAAGTTTCCAGGTGCTTTAAGTACTGGTTCTTCTTGTTCACTTTATTTTGTAATACGGTATACATTGACTCCATGGTGTTTTTCAGGCTGAAGCTTATTGTATTCCTTAGGTGATGCGTTGTGGTTAGACAAGGAGACAAAACATTCCGTTGCCGGATTTGAACCCGGGTCTTTCGGGTAAGAGCCGAATATCCTAACCTACTAGACTACAACGGATGTTTAGTTCGCTAGATGTCGTTATATTATGTATAGTTAGCCCACAGAGACGCGACTTTGTGAGTTCACCGCAGTTTTCGTCGGGATGTCGCGATGGCTCCTGAGCGTCAAGAAGCAGTCGTTGCGGCGCGCTAGAAGGCTCCTAGTCTCCGCGGACAAGCTAGGTAGGCGCGTGCGGAATTTGAAGCTTATCTGGAAGTTCGGATTGGTCTGCGTCGTCATTCTCCTCTTCCAAGGCATCGCAGGCCCACGCTGGGAACCATACGTGGAATCCGGACCGTACGTTAGATCACAATTCTACGCAGAATCGGACGGTCGCGATAGAGGTGCGTATGGGAGAGAGTTTGGGTGGCAGGAGAGGGGACAGACGACAAGGAGTACTTACTCGAATGCAGGAAGCGGGAGATACAATAACGAGAATGCGCTGTATTCGGAGTTTAATCACGATGCGAGGGGAAGGCGTAAGTTTCAGGAGGAGCAGCAGCGACAGCAGCAGTTTAGCAACCAGGCGGAGACAAGTACGAGTTACAGCTATACGGCGGCTCAGCATTCCAAACGGCAGGTAGAATCACAACCCGGTATTGTCACACGCCTGGCGACTTTACTATGGCGTTCCGTGTTCAGACCAGCACCCCCTCCTGTCGACCAGGCCCCTTATTGTCACATCCACAGACTACTGAGCCAAAACAGCACGGAAGCCAGCAGCAGCAGCGACGGCAGCAGCAGGAATGCCAATGGTTTTGACTCAGAGGAGAGCAGACGAAGGCGCGAGAAAGTCGCGGAGGTGGAAGGTAGAGGGAATAGAGGGGTGGATGAGCAGGAGACGGAGGGGACGGAAGAGTCAGAAGGGACGGAGGAGGAAGCCAGGGAGAGAGAGCAGCTCAGGGAGAGAAAGAAGCTTCAGGAGTTAAACAGAAAACGCGAAGCGTCCCTTCTCAGTCGCGATCCGTCCACCCTTCGCTACGCTTACGTCACCCTTCTCTGCGATGACGTCATGGCGCCGGGAGCCCTGGTGCTGGTGCATTCGCTGAAGCGCACAGGCACGCCGCATGACGTGGTGGTGCTGACGATGAATGTGAGTGACGGCACGGCTGCGCGGCTGCAGCTGCTGGGAGCAAGAGTAAAGCAGATTGAAGAGGCCATCCCTTACCCCTTCCCGGCCACACCCAACAGAGTCGCCATCAACAAGCCGTGCAGGTGGGTGCAGAGCGGTGCAGGTGGGTAAGAGAGACGTGCTGGTGCTGACGATGAACGTGAGTGAGAGGACGACTTTTGAGGCGCCTCAAAAGTGCAGGTGGGTGCCATGCGGTGCAGGTGGGTGGGGAGACGTGGTGGTGCTGACGATGAACGTGAGTGAGGGCACGGCGGCGCGGCTGCAGCTGCTGGGAGCGAGGGTGAAGCAAATAGAGGAGGCGATTCCCTACCCGTTTCCTGCGACGCCGAACAGAGTCGCCATCAACAAGCCGTGCAGGTGGGTGCAGAGCGGTGCAGGTGGGTGGGTTTTGAGTGAGTCGACTTGTAGATTTGCGCCCAGAGCCCTGGTGACTGGTGGTGCTGGTGCATTCTCTGAAGCGCACGGGCACGCCGCACGACGTGGTGGTGCTGACGATGAACGTGAGTGAGGGCACGTCTTCTGAGGTGCATCAAAAGTGCAGGGGGTTGCCATGCGTCTTCCCACCCTTCCTCTGTCGCCCATCTCCCCCAACCTTTCCACCCCATCAGGTATTCCAAGCTGTGGATGTGGACTCTCACAGAGTACCACAGTCTAGTGTATGTCGACGCTGACCTGCTCGTACTAGCCAGTCTGGACGACCTCTTCTGCCGCTATGAGCTGACTGCTGCGCCACTTCACCCCACCCCTTGCTCCCCAACAACCCCCTCCCATCAGGTACTCCAACCTGTGGATGTGGAATCTCATCTCACAGAGTACCACCGCATTGTCTACGTCGATGCGGACCTGCTCGTATTGAGCAGCCTCGACGAGCTCTTCTGTCGCGATGAGCTTTCTGCTCTCCCTCCCTGTCGCCATCCCGTCATGCATCCCATCCCACCACCCACAACCCCCCCACCCCCATCACCATCAGGTATTCCAAGCTGTGGATGTGGACTCTTACAGAGTACCACCGTCTCGTCTACGTCGATGCGGACCTGCTTGTATTGAGCAGCCTCGACGAGCTCTTTTGTCGCGATGAGCTCTCAGCTGCACCGGACACCATCCCTCCTGACCGCTTCAACAGCGGCTTGATGGTGGTGGCGCCTAGCGACGACACGTTCAGGGATATGCTGAGCAAGGTGGGTGGTGCGGGCGGGAAGGCATGCGTATAGGGAAGAGGGGTGCAAGTGATGAGCTATCTGCTGCACCATCCCTCCTGACCGCTTCAACAGTGTGCTTATGGTCGTGGCTCCTAGTGACGACACATTCACAGATATGCTGAGCAAGGTGAGCAGTAAGCGGGCAGTGGGTGAAGGAACTGGGTTGGGGGGGGTAGAAGGAGGAGCTCTGTGCTGCACCGGACACCATCCCTCCTGACCGCTTCAACAGCGGCTTGATGGTAGTGGCGCCTAGTGACGACACATTCAGAGATATGCTGAGCAAGGTGAGGAGAGGTGAAAGAAAGGGATATGGGGGTAGAAGTCAGAAGGAATGAGCCCTCTGCTGCACCGGACACCATCCCTCCTGACCCCTTCAACAGTTGGCTCATGATGGTGGCGCCTACTGTGACATGTTCAGGGATATGCTGAGCAAGATGGGTGGTGGTGGGGGAAGGGAGGGTGTTGGGGGGGGGCAAAGGGAGGGATTGAGGGAGAAGTGTAAGCGGTGAATCTTCTGCTGCGCCTGACCCCCCCCCTCTGGCCCTTCATCCGTCCCCTTTCTCCCTCACTTCCCTCTCAGGTAGCCACCACCAAATCACCCAACGTGGGCGATCAGGGCTTTCTCAACAATTACTACTCAGACTGGTACCTGCAAGGCCCCTCCCACCACCTGCCCTACGCCTTCAACCCACTCGTCCGCCTCAGCGGGTGGGAGGGGTGGGAGCGGTTTGTGCAGCCGCAGCTGAGAGTGCTGCACTTCTCTGGGAGCACCAAGCCCTGGAACACCATGGAGGACAAGCAGGCAGGTGACTATAACGGGAGTGGTTATGACTGTTTATTCTGTTATGGGGGCCGACAGTGCATAAAACCGTGAAAGAGAGTGGTCGACATCGGTAGGAAGGAGGGGTAAGAAGGAGAGATGGGTGGGAGGGATGGATGGAGTGGGAGGGGTGGGAGAAGTTTGTGCAGCCGCAGCTGAGGGTGCTGCACTTCTCTGGCAGCACCAAGCCTTGGAACACCATGGAGGACAAGCAGGCAGGTGACTATAACGGGAGGACAAGCAGGCAGGTGACTATACCGGGAGGACAAGCAGGCAGGTGACTATAACGGGAGGACAAGCAGGCAGGTGACTATAACGGGGGGACTATAAGGAAGCCTGAGGAGTGGGTTGGTGGGAGGGGAGCGATGGGGTAGGAAGGGATTGGAGGGATTGGTGGGTGGGGGGGATGGGAGAAGTTCATTCAACCGCAGCTGAGGGTGCTCCGATTACTCGGGCAGCACCAAGCCTTGGAACACCATGGAGGACAAGCAGGCTGGTGACTAAAACGAGAAATGACTAAAATGAAGGTGACAGTATTGCAGTAGGGCAATTTCTGGCTCGCTGCACACAATGACCTGCCGGCACAACGCTTTTCAACCTTTCTTCACCACATTCAACCCCTCTCCACCCCTCTCCCCAACCCCAGTTCCCCACCACTCGCAGTTTAGATCACATATGGCTTGCCGCACACAACGATATGCTGAAGGCCCTTGCAAAAGCCATGGCTGCTGCAAAGGCTGCTGGAAATAGTGGTGGCAGCAGCAGCACTGGCGCAAGTGAGCCTGCTGGTAGGGATGCAGCAGCAGGGAATGGGGATGGTGGAGTTGAGAGCATCGGGGCGAGCGGGGAGACCATCGGGGCGAGCGGTGAATACGCCCCGCTCTCTTCCGTCTGCCAAGAGGAGGGTCCGACCACCAATGGCAGGTGCGCATTTCACACGATGCGATGCTACTACAAGTGTCTGGTTTTCAGGCGCCTCAGAGCTAGAGAGCGTTGGGGCGAGCAGTGAATGCCCCTCTTTCTTCCAATTGCCAAGTGATTCTTTGGTCGACTAAAAAATCACTCCTAGCTGATTGTTTGGAAACTTGTCAAGATTCTCTCGCAACAAATGGCAGGCGATGCATTCTCTTTATGTGCACATGCACGCATAGATGTATGTGTTGTGCATCAATCCTTCTATCCTTCCATCCATCCGTCCGTCCGTCCATCCGTCTATCCATCCATCCAAATCCCCCTGCAGTGTTCGTTACGATAAGCTCACCGTGGTGCTCACAGCAACAGGCGCCCCACAGCAGACCATGCAAGCCATACGCCACTACACCTCAGCGCCTGTGGTTCGAGACATCTTCGTCCTTCTCTCCGATGACAACCCACTTGCAACAAGCAGTGACAGCAGCACCTTTCCTCTGGTGCAGGGCGAGAGGCCTGTTGTTCTTCTCCCTCTCCGCAACCCGCCAGCGACTGCTCGCTTCAGACCCATTCTGTGAGTTTTGGTTCTGAAAAGTTTGAACGTGTTTCTCACCTCCATCTTGCTTCTTTCTCCCCATCCACCACTTCCCCTGTCTCCTCTTGTGCCATCGAATCTCTTCCCACTGCTGCAGTCTAGTAATTGACGACACCTAGCTGCCGCCTCCCTCCTCTCTCTACTCTTTTTCCTCAAACTGATGCCTCTTTCGTTTTCATTCCCCCACCCATCAGCTCTCTCACCACTGCTGCCGTCATGGTTATCGATGACACCATGCTGGTCCCCTCTCCTCTCCTCGCCACATCCCTCCTGCGATGGAGGGAAGCCCCCAATCGCCTGCATGGCTTCCTACCTTCCGCCCACTTCCGCCTCTCCAAGGGCGCCCTCAAAGGGCGACTGGCCGTGCACGCATGCGTGTGTGGGTGTGTGCCATCTTTCAACTCCCACCATTCCCTCCCTTTCCCCCACCAGGTCACTAACTACTGCTGCCGTGCTAGTAATCGAAGACACCATGCTGGTCCCCCCTGCTCTCCTCGCCACATCCCTCCTGCGATGGCGGGAAACACCCAACCGACTGCACGGCTTCCTCCCATCCGCCCACTTCCGCCTCTCCAAGGGCGCCCTCAAAGGGCGACTGGCCGTGCATGCTTCCCTGGGGCCAGGAAGGGACTACTCAGTGGTCACTGGTGCGCTGCTGCTGCATAGAAACTACCTGCACTATTTTAGCTGTACTATGAGAGAAGAGGCGAGGCGGTATTTGGAGGGAGGACATGAGGGAGAGGGTGGGGGAGGGAGTGAGGGAGGGAGTGAGGGAGGGAGTGAGGGAGGGAGTGAGGGAGGAAGTGGGGGAGGGAGTGAAGGCGGTCTGACCAATCCGGCAGCGAGAGCGTGTGCTGACGTGGCGATGAACATGCTGGTGACTCATCTGTCTGACCTGCCACCTTTGACAATCTACGACTCAACACAGGAGGTGCAAGGGCCCTTTCCCTTGCCGCCTGCTCCTGCCATGTAAGTGTACCATGTCATGTCATGTCAGCAAGGCATGCAGTTGCATTGCAACGGCAACAGAAACTGACACGCTGATGATTCAGCTATCTGTCCCATGCCATCGCTGGCAGTCTCTGTACCGTTCAACAATTGGATAGGTCATCTCAGTGAGCCACCATGCCTTTCAAAAAAGTCAACCAATTCACTGCCAGACTTCTCTCTGCAATATCTCCCATCACCTCACCCCCCCGTCTCCCATCTCGCTTTGCCCGCCCATCACAGGGGAAAGTGTCTCAATGACCTTACCACACACATGGGCCTCATGCCGCTTAGGAGCACAATCGATGCAGTCACAGTCATACATAAAGACTCATACATATACGTGAGTGCTTATCTATGATTATGCAATTACTTTTCCCAATTGTCCTCTGAATTTTCCGTGTGTCCTTCCAAGTGAGTGAGGTACCATGTTTCGTGTCCCTCTAAATCCTCTTGTTTTCCCCCATCCCAAACGCCTTTCTTTCTCCCACCCACTCTCTCCACCGCCGCCCTCCACCCCTTTCCACCGCTTCCTTCCAAACAGGAGCCCCAAGGTTCGTGTGCCCCCGGCGCCCCTCCTCTTCTCCCCCATTCTTAACGCCTTCCTGTCAACCACCCTCCTCCACCTCATCCCCCGCCGCTACCGCCGCTTCCTCCCTGCTTTAAAGAGCACCCACCCGCGCGTGCTGTTTGTTCCGGGGGATGCTGCTCCCAAACATGCCGTGTGCCTGCGGGTGAGTAATCTACGCCACCTGCAATGCGCCCAGCCTAGAACAGGTTGAACTGACAAACCCACTCAGCCTAGGCCTTGACTTGCTTCCTCCCCAGCTTTGATAGCACCCACCCGCGTGTGCTATCTGTTCCCGGGGATGCTGCTCCCAAGCATGCCGTGTGCCTGCGGGTGAGTCTTTTGAGCAACTTCGAACCTGTCTTGGGGGGTAGGTAGTGACCTGCGTGTGCTATCTGTTTCGGGAGATGCTGCTCCCAAGCACGCCGTGTGCCTGCGGGTGAGTTTTTGAGACCACCTGCTGGTGGTGTTGGCTGTTACACATGCTGCCATCCCCAGTGCACATGCATGGAATGCAAGCACGCACACACATGCATGCAACCACGCGCACACGCATGCAACCACGCGCACACGCATGCAACCACGCGCACACGCATGCACCCACGCTGTCGCGTTATTAACTCCTAGCCGTCAGGCTAAGGCGTGAATTACACAGCAGCCAGGTAATGGTGCATTTCTGGACTTGTACTCTAATTTCTTTTGTGTGCATGGTATGTACTGTACATACGCTTGACAGAGCCGAGTGCAGGGAAATTCTAGGAGGTTGGTGCAGAAGAGGGAATTCGATTCCAGCTGGGAATGCGATTCCAGGCTAGGAACTCGATTCCAGCTGGAATATAGTGCAAGCCTAGTGGGCCCAGTGGGACCCAGCTAGCGCCTTGGAGCCATCACGAGCAGCGTAACTGACTCGCGTCTGGCACTAGAGCTAGCGTGCTGCAGAAGTAACCTAGGCAGGAGAAGGAGGGAATGTAGTCGAGGGTAGCACTCAGGTTTCTCGCTTTTTGCTTGTATGTTTCTCTTCTTACTGTAATCTTGTTTTCCTAAGCCAAAGGAAGCTAGCAGTAGGGAGAAGCAGGAGCAATCTGACTGAGCCCTTGCGAGCCTGATACACGCGGAGGGAGGGAGAGTAAGCTCATTATATATGCCAGGAGGAACAAGGGTCAGGGGGTGTCACCTGCTGGAAGAAAGGGGACAGAAAAGTGATAACGGAGAGAAGAGGGAGGGAAGGCTTCAAGGAGAAGGGAGGTTCAGCCGGACTTGCATCACGACAACGCACACACACATGCCCGCACCCATGCACACACTCACGTGCGCACGCACCTCGAGTCTCTCTTTCCCCGCACCTCTCATTCTTTTGCCCCTGCAGGTATCACCAACAGCATCATCATCGGCATCACCCCAAGAGTCTGAACCAGCAGTGGAGCTCTCTCTCTCCGAAGCCATCTCCTCCCCCGTCACCGCACTCCACCTCTCCAGAACCACTGTGTTCGCCTCCACACCATCCACCACCACCATCATAAGCCCACCCAGCAGCAGCACAGGGAAAGGGGATATCACTAATATGCTCAAGGGGATGGATGGAGATGGAGGTATCGGGGCGGTGCTAGGGTTTGATGATCCGTTTGCCGTGTTCCATCTGGCGTCGAGATTAGCTGCGTGGAGGAGGTCGGAGGGATGCTTTGCTCCCTCCCGCCTTGTGCTCTTTCATGGCGATAGACTGCAACAAACAGTAAGTAAACATACGCCCTTGGAATTTCTTGGAAATGGCTCTTTGTCTCCTTTGTTTTTTTCCCTGGATAGGCACCGCATACCCCCCGTCCCGCTTCATCCGCCCCTCCTCCCTGCTCTGCTCACCTTCATCCCCATCCCAGCTGCTCCCTTTCCCCCTCCTTCCCCTCCCTCCTCAGCTGCTCCCTTTCCCCCTCCTTCCCCCCCTCCTCACCTCAGCTACCCCATGCCTCCCCCTGGGCATCGCTTCTACTCAAGGCCACCCTCGGGGACGCCGCCTTTCCCCCCTTTGCTCCGCCCACCACCACCACCACCGCGGCCACTGCCACCAGCGCTGCTGCCGATGGCTCTTCTGCTGACTCCAGTTCGTCTGTGGTGTGCTTTGACCGCGTGGTGCTCCTGCGAGATCCTGTTCTGCCTGCTGCTGCTGCTGCTGGTGTTGATGATGGTGGTGGTGGCAGCGGTGGTGGCAGCGGTGGTGGCGGCAGCATTGGCAGCGGAGATGGCGACATGGGATCGGGATCGGGATGTGATAGCCATGCTGCTATCATCCGTTCTGCGCTGCGCCTTACATGTCGGTATGTGAATCTGTTACCCATACGAGCGCTCTAAAGTGATACAGCTGTTCATGCGTGCCGTACTCGCGACTCAAAAGCGTATGTTTTTTTAGAATTCTAAAAAAATGTTCATGCATGCCGTACACCAACTCAAGAGCCACCTTGATACAGCCGCACATGCGGATAAGTGTATCTGTCATCGTACAACAATCACAGTTATCAACCGCCATCCCTCCATCTCCACTTCTTTGGCCTTTCTAGTGTAAACCTGTCTTCGAACCTACCCCCCTCCTCCACCGTCTTCCTCTCCTTCCGACCCACCTCCTCCACTTGCCCTTCTCCCTTCCCACCCCCATTCCCGCATGTCTCCTCCCTCCGCTTCCCCATCTCTCAGTCTCCAGCCGCTCGTCCGCTCCTCTTTAGCCATCTTCATGTGCAATCCCTCCCCCCCCCCCCTTGATTCTCTTGCTCCGCCATTCTTCTCCCCCTTGTCTCCTTCCTCCACTCTCCCACCTCTCAGTCTCCAGCCACCCATCTACTCCTCTCTAACCATCCATCCTCATGTCCCCCTCTCCCTCAACCCTCCCTTCTCAACCCCCTCCGATTCTCCACTCTCCCACCTCTCAGCCTCCAGCCGCCCACCCGCTCCTCTCTAACGATCCTCATAGCGGGTTCAGATGCCGCATGGAGACAACACATACCAGCCCCCCTGCACCCCGCCAACTTGACTGCCGCCCTGCACAAGGAGTGCACACGCACACATCTGCCCTGCCAAGTGCTGCGAGCACAGGGGGATGGCCCGTGCAGTGATCAGGTCAGTGCCTTCTTTGCATTGCGTGTGTCAAAACCTCCAACCTGACTGCCGCCCAGCTCAAAGAGTGCTCCCATGCACGTCTCCCTTGTGAGGTGCTGCGAGCACAGGGGGATGACCCGTGCAGTGATCAGGTCAGTGCCTCCTTTGCATTGCGTGTGTCAGAATTTCCCGCCCGATTGTCGCCCTGCACCAGGAGTGCTCCCGTGCACGTCTGCCCTGTGAGGTGCTGCGAGCACAGGGGGACAATGATCCATGCACGGATCAGATCAGTGCCGTAACGCCAACCCTACACAATCTTAATTCACATCAACCCCTTCACACCGCTCTCTCCACCTGTCACCGAATATGCACGGTTGTGCATATAAGGTGCCAGTAATAAGGGGGTGTAGCAAGGGTGTAGCTATGTTGTGTTTGCAGATTCGAGGATGGGTAGGTGGGGGCTGGGAAATTGACGCGAAGTTGGTAGGAGAGCACCAAGGGGTGAAATCCATGCAACCAATGGGAACGAACCCACTCAGGCTCGAGCCGCACATTGAGAAATGCACGGTTCGAGCCAGGGTCAGGTAAGTTCACTCTCACACACACACACAATGCTTTCCGTTTGTTATCCTTTCGTATAGTGGATTCTTGTTGCCTTAAGCTTTGCCCACGGTGGCACCCACTCAGGGAGGACCTTTGAGGTGAGAGTTTCATTTCTTTCATGACAAACGGAAAGGTGCGCGTACAAGCATGGATGTGTACGAGCTGCGTTACGGCAGGAATTACGGACGCCGTGAGGAGGATCGCTCATGGCGCGAACACTCACGCGAGCGCGGGCGTTCACTGGAGAGGTCGCCGCGGCGACCTGAGCGATCTCCGCGGTGGCCGGCCTTTCGTGCGGATCAGGTCCCTCTCGCGCCAGATCGGCAGGAGGGAAGATCCACGCGAGAAGGACGAGGCGGATCCGGATCTGTGACGATGGGAAGTGACCCATGGCGGACGGACGGACGCCACAGAGCTGAGGGCGGTCATGGGCACCGTCAGGACACGGGAGCATACCGCTCGCCGGAAGAAGGCCATCGCCGTCGCGAAGATCGTGGCCGCGGGCGTGGTCTGGAGGAGCTCTTCTCGGGTCGCCAAGGCGATCTCGATGTGGACGGAGAAGAGGAGAACGAATCTGCGAATAAGACGCAGGAGCCGGATCGTGAAGGCGAGACCAAGGGCGATGAAGCGATCCAGGAGGAAGACGCAGGCGAGCAGCGTGAGATGCCCGCTGGAGCTAATGACGACGACCCCGCGCAAGCGGGCGTGGCGGCGAAGCCGAGCGCGACGGAGGCGGACGGACAGAGCGGACGAAATCTGCCGCACGTCAGAGAGGAAGTTGACGGAGAGGGGCGCGGCAGTGGCGGACGCTCCCCAGATCCGCGTCGGCGACGTGATGGAGAACGCGGCGGTGGCATGCGCTCGCCTGATCCGCGGCTGAATCGCGACGGAGGACGCAGTGGCGTTGCGCGATCGCCAGATCCTCGGCTGAATTACATGAAGGAACGAGGCGGCGGCGCGCGCTCGCCAGATCCGCGGCTAAATCGGGATGTGGGACGTAGCGGTGGTGGACGCTCGCCAGAATCGCGGCGGAGCCGTGAAGGGGAGCGCGGGGGCGGCATGCGCTCGCCAGATCCGCGGCGGCACCATGACGGTGGGCACTGGGGCAGAGCGCGCTCACCGGATTCCCAGAGGTATCGCTAGTGGAGGAGCGGGGGGGATCGGTGCTCACCTGGTCCGTATTATCCTGGCGAGGAGAGACGGGGAGGCGGCTACCGCTCGCCTGATCCGCAGCGCTATTATGGAGAGAGGCGTGGGAGCGGGGCGCGCTCGCCTGACTTGCGCATGCAGCACGAAGGAGGCCGGGAAGGCGGATTCGGTTCGCAGCAACGATATGACAGCAGAGATGAAAGACGCGGAGGGGGATCTCGCTCCCCTGGCCGGTATCAGCGGCATGATGGAAGGCGTGCCGATGCGGCAGGGCGAGACCAACCCGACAGTCGAGAGGGAGGCAGTGGGCTGATGCACAGCCTGGAGCGGGCCAGAGAGGCAAGGGAGGGAATACTACGGGCGAGAGAGAGAGGAGCGTCAGGAAGGTCTGCAGGAGGGCCGAGTGAGGCATGGGGAGAGGGTAAGGGAAGCTCAGCAATGGTCACGAGAGTGGAGGTACCAGCGCGTTTCTCGGGAGATCAGCGCATGGGACCCACGCTGAAGAATTACCTGATGCAAGTGGGCAACGTGCGGTACAGGTGTGAGCGGAGCGGCATGGACTCAGTGGACTTCTTCCTGAGCCTGCCAAACACCTTGGAGGGGGAGGCAGAGACACTATATAGGATGAAGATGGATGAGCTGCTGGAGAGGGCGGGGAGATACGGGGAAGACCCCACGGAAGCATTCGTAAAGCGGCTGAAGCGGCAGTTCCCAGGCCACACCGCAGAGAAGATAAGGGAGTTCCAGGACTTCAGGAAAGGGCGAGGCGTGTCACTACTCACCTATTACAACCGATTGGTCAACCTTGCGGAGGATGTGAGTTGCGCGGATACGGCCCTGCTCGTGAGTAAGTTCCTGGACGGCCTGGAGGGTACATTGGGAAGCGGGCTGCGGCTGAAAGTGTATGAGATGGGGGCTGAAGTGACGCTCGATGAAGTATTTGAGCTAGCTGAGAAGATGGAGCTGGCTCAGAGGAAGTATGAAGCATACCGACAACGTCCAGCGGAGCGAGGCAGAGGACCTACCTGGGCCGCAGCCATGATACCAGAAGAAAAGGAAAGGGCAGGGGGAAGAGGGGACAGCAGGCCTGACACGCGGACGTGCCACCGGTGCGGGCAGCCAGGGCACCTGCGCAGAGACTGCAAGAACTGTGACTCCTGTGGCAAGCCAGGGCACCGGCGGCGGGAATGTCCAACGGCTCCAAAGTGTGAAATCTGTGGAAAGGGAGGGCATGCAGCAAAGGAGTGTTATCAGCGAGAGGGAGCAATGAAGAAAACACCAGAGGAACTGGAGAAGCAGATCGGCAGGTTGCAAGCGCAGCTGCAGGCAATGGGACCACGACGAGAAGCGGAGGCGGGGATGTACGCCAAGGAAGAAGAGGAGGAAGATGTGGAACAGGATGAGGAGGCCGCGTTCATGGTATGGCCGGGCCGAGAAGAGAAGGAGACAGAACATGATGAGCAGCCAGCGTACATGGCATGAAGAGGAAGGGAAGAGATGGGGCTGCGCAGCGGGGGAAGGGACACGCGGAAGGAACACGTGAGGAAGGAGCGGGAGCGAGGACAGAAACCAGAGGAGAAGGAAGAGAGGTGCACAGCAGCGCGGCACCCCCAAGAAAGGTTAGCATGTCAAACCTCCGTGCTGCTGATCCAAGGCGGCGCATTGTCAGTCGAAGGGGAGAAGGCCAAGACGACGATCATAGATACAGGGGGATGGCAGAGAAGCTGGGATTATGGGCACCAGACCGACACGTAGTGAAGGGGATGCTAGTAATGACCGCAGAAGGGGGGGAATCAAAGTGGATGCCTTGCACCAGAACGCCGATAGAGCTAACGGTGCTGAAGGGGGAGAAGCATGAGACGCCAGTCAGGATCAGGTGTGGAATTTCAGAGTCAGAAGACTTTGACGTCTTGGTAGGCACAGAGATGATATTTGCACTGGGCATGACCATCTGCTTCTGGAAGGAGACAGTGGAGTTTCGAACCAGGTGGTGGAGGAAGGGTGAGCCGTTAGGGCAGCTGCCAGTGCAGTTTGTCAGGACAGAGCCAAAGAGAGCTTATAGGGCAGGTCCGAAGGAGGGGGCAGCGGAGCAGCGGGCACAAGAGAAGGCAGCAGGCGGGAAAAGGAGTGAAGAGCCGAGGATGCACTTCATGGATGAACCGAGTCAACAGACAGATTGGCAACAACCCATCCGGCTGGTGGAACTGTTCGGGGGAATAGGGGCGGGACTGGCAGCAGTGGTGCGGAACGGAATCGCCGTGAAGCAATGGATCTACGTGGAGAAGGCACCAGAGGTGAGGAAAATGGCGTAACACCATGCGTGGGAGCTGCACAAGGAGTGTCCGGAACTGCTGAAGGAAGAAGTGGTCAAGGCAGCCATGAACCGAGGAGTGAACGACGTGAGGACGATCACAGAAGCAGAAGTGGCGAGCTGGGGGCACGTAGACCTACTGGTGGCGGGGTGGGAATGCCAAGGGGTATCGTGGGCAGGGAAGGGGAAAGGGGAGCAAGACCCGAGGACGCAGCTGATGGAGGACCTGTTCAGAATCATGGAGTGGCTGCAGGCCAAGCAGGGCAGGTTGGCATACCTGCTAGAACACCTGGACATGAGCGGGGACGTGCGAGAACCAGTGAGACTGGTGAAAGAAAGAGTGGCCCAGCAGGTGGGTAAGGGAGTGAGCAGTGACGCGGCGCGTATGGGAGCATATCGGCTTAGGATGTACTGGCAGAACGTGGTGCCAGCGGAGGACCTGCAGAAGGAGATAGAAGGGGTACAGAGAGCAGGAGGGCGAAGGGTGAGCGATATACTAGAGCCAGGAAGGACGCCAGCACCGGTGAACAAGAAGAGCTACAGCAGACATTATCCGTGCAACCAGGTGGGGCAGGAGAGGCAAGCGCTACCCACCCTGGTGTCGTATGAGGGGGCAGCAGGATATCGGATGGATGGGGAGCAGCCGGGCCCAGGATTGGTGCATGACCATAGGAAGGGACAGTGGGAAGAGCCCACGGCCTTGGAGAGGGAGCTAGCCATGGGGTATAAGGAGAACGCCACGGCAGCTCCTGGCGTGTGCGAGAAGGAGAGGAGGCGGGCAATGGGGAACGCCATGGACGGGTACATGATGAGGTGGCTGGTGCAGCGGATGTGGAAGGAGACCGTGTTGCATTGGGGGTTGAAGGAGGGGGAGAGCACAGTGGCGACAGTCAGGCAAGGGGTGTGGGCATGCCTGCCAAAAGAGGAGCCCGAATGGAAGATAGGTGAGAGCATGAGCGAGGGAGGGAAGGCGGCAATGAGGGCACTGTTGGTTAAGCATAGGAAGGGCTTCGCCTTCACCCTGCAGGAGTTGGGGAAGTGCAAGATCAAGGAAATGGCACTGAAGCTGAGTAGTGATGAGCAAGTGTTCCACCGCAGGAGGAAGATGCCACCAGGGGATGAGGCGATCTGCAGGGAGAAGATAAAGGAGCTACTGGAAGCCGGGCTGATTAGGAGGTCAGAGTCTGAGTACGCAACCCCAACCGTGGTGGCAGCCAGGAAGGATTTGATAGGAGAGGTGCTGAGCCGGAGGATGTGCGGGGATTACAGAGATCTTAACAAGATCACAGTGCCGGACAGATACCCGATGCCGATGGCGGAAGAGCTCTTTGACAAGCTGGCCGACGGGGTGTACTTCACGACAATGGACCTGCGACAGGGTTTCAACCAAATAAAGATCAGGGAAGAAGATGTGAAGAAAACGGCATTCCACGGACCGGACGGGTTGTATGAGTGGCTGTACATGCCCTTTGGCCTGAGGAACGCCTCGGCGGTGTTCCAGCGAGTCATGGACGCGGTTCTGCGGGGGATAGAGCATGCAGCGTGCTATATTGACGATGTGGTAATCTTCAGCTTGACCGAGCAGCAGCACCTGGAGGACGTGGAAAAGACGCTGACGGCGATAGAAGAGGCAGGGCTCACGTGTCACCCTAACAAGTGCAGATGGGGGGAGCAGACGGTACAATACTTGGGGTACGAGGTCACAGGGGGGCAGATTGGAATCCAGCAGGCGAAAGTGCAGGTGCTAGACGGGCTGAGGGAACCGAGAGACAAGTCAGGGCTGCGAGCAGTCTTGGGCTTTCTCAGCTATTACAGGCGCTTTGTGCCAAACTTCAGCAAGAGAGCAGCGGTGTTGAATGGGATGCTGCGAGAGGACAAGGCATGGGAGTGGGGAAGGAAGCAGAGGGAGGCACTGCAAGACCTCATGTTAGCTGTGAAGGCGGCGACAGTACTGCGGCTGCCAGCAGCAGACCAGCCCTTCATCCTCTACACCGACTGGAGCAGCCAGGGGATGGGAGCGATACTCTGCCAAGAAGTGGAGGGAGTGGAGAAGGTGGTGGCCTACGCCAGCAGGAGCTGCAACCCAGCGGAGGCGCAGTACAGCTCATACATCGGGGAGGGGCTGGCGGCAGTGTAGGCAGTAGGACATTTCCGGGTGTACCTGCAAGGCAGAGAGTTTACGTTAGTCACGGATCACCAACCACTCACATGGCTGATGACGACGCCAGGCCTGACAGGGAGGAACGCGCGGTGGGCAGTAAAGCTGCAGGAATACGATTTTAAGATCAGGCACAGGCCGGGGAAGACACTGCAACACGTGGATGGTCTCTCCCGCGATCCACCACCGCCAGAAACAGAACAGGCTGCACAGGGGACGGAAGGGACAGAGCAGGAGCCGGCGCAGACCTTGATCCTGTTGGCTAGAGAAGTGGAGCGGGCTGGTGCAAAAGGGAGTAAGGGGCCAGCCGACATCTGGCAGGATGCAAAGGCAATGGAGTGGTTGAAGGGAGAAACTGAGGAAGATGAGACAGTGCCCGAAAGGGTGAGGGCACGAGGGCACCACTACAGGTGGTATCAGCAGCAGCTGCAGATCAAGACGGAGGATGGCTGGAAGCTGGTGCCAGCGCCTGAGGAGCGGGAAGCAGTGATCAAGGAAGTACACACCAAGCTGGGACATTTCGGGCATGAGAGGACCGTGCAGCTGCTGAAGACAGGCTGGCGGTGGGAAGGGATGCGCAGGCAGGTGAAAGAGTGGGTGGGAAAAGTGTGAGGCATGTCAGAGGAGCAAAGCAAATCTGACCCAGGCCAAAGCAGAGCTGCACTCGCTGCCCATCTGTGGGCTGGGGTTTCGCTGGTCACTAGACCTCGCGGGGGAGCTGCCGCTGAGCAGGAGCGGGAATCAGTATATAGTGTTCATGGTGGAACATGTGAGTAAGTGGCTGGAGGTGAGAGCCATACCGAGCAAGAGTGCAAGGCATATTGCAGCAGCCTTCAAAGCGCAGGTGGTGTGCCGATTTGGAGCGTGCGGGGAGGTACTCACTGATCAAGGAACAGAGTTCCAAGGAGAGTTCAAGAAGCTGTTAGAGGAGTCTGGCATCGCGCACCGAAAGACCTCCCGCTACCACCCGCAGAGCGACGGGCTGACTGAGCGAGCCGTGCAGACCTTTAAGCGGGGACTGCGGGCCTATGGGGAGCAGAGGAAGAGAGACTGGAATGAGGAGTTGGACTGGATAGCAGCAGGGTACAGGTTCGGGAAACAGGCAGCCCTGAAGGACCATTCCCCGTACAGCCTACTTTACGGACGAGAGCCCATACTGCCAGTGGGGGCACCGCGGGTATTGACTGACACAGTGACGGCGGGCACAATCAAGAACTGGGTAGCCCTGTCCGAGGTGAGAGCGCGCTACATGCGCTACATGATGCCAGCCGCACTGGAGAACCTGCACACCGCGCAGCTGAGGGATGCCAGGAGGTATGAACAGAGGCAGCGCAAGGGAGATGGACGAGTGACAAGGGGCGTCAGCGAAGGGCAGGAGGTGTATCTCAAGAGAGCAAAGCAGGACACCCTGGATGTAGGACTGGGGACGGTCCGCTGGAAGGTCAAGGAGGTGCGCCCTTCGGGGGTGCTGGTCCTGGAGAATGACACGGGGGCGCAGTTGAAGGAGCATCAAACGAATACTGCAGTGATCCGAGGAAGCGGGCCTCAGCGCAACGGTCCTGTGACCCGCGCTCAAGCTGCGCGAGCACGGGCACAGGAGGGGGCAGAGGGTGGCTGAGGCAACAGAAGCAGTGAAGAGAAGTTGAGCATGAAGACTAAGGCAGATGAGGGAATAGCTGTATCTCCGACAGCTGTCACCGAATATGCACGGTTGTGCATATAAGGTGCCAGTAATAAGGGGGTGTAGCAAGGGTGTAGCTATGTTGTGTTTGCAGATTCGAGGATGGGTAGGTGGGGGCTGGGAAATTGACGCGAAGTTGGTAGGAGAGCACCAAGGGGTGAAATCCATGCAACCAATGGGAACGAACCCACTCAGGCTCGAGCCGCACATTGAGAAATGCACGGTTCGAGCCAGGGTCAGGTAAGTTCACTCTCACACACACACACAATGCTTTCCGTTTGTTATCCTTTCGTATAGTGGATTCTTGTTGCCTTAAGCTTTGCCCACGGTGACACCCACTCAGGGAGGACCCTTGAGGTGAGAGTTTCATTTCTTTCATGAGGGTGGCTGAGGCAACAGAAGCAGTGAAGAGAAGTTGAGCATGAAAACTAAGGCAGATGAGGGAATAGCTGTATCTCCGACACACCACACTTCCTTCAACTCCTTTCCGCCCCTTCACTCCTGTCGTTGTTCACTCGGTTCCCTCCGTGCTCATATTTCCTTGACGTTCAATTCTCTCTTTTTTCTTGTTCAATGTGCGCTGATTTGGTGCAACTGCCTTGGGTCCCTACTCAACCCACCAACATCACCTGCTCCTCTGTAACAAATATATCATAGTTGTGATTTCCTTGTTATGCTGTCCTCCATTTCTCCTGCTTGTGCTTCCAGGTTCCGGCATGGATGCAAGCTGATCTGGTGCTGCTACCATGGGTCCCTCCCTGCTACCTACTCCACCTGTCCCTCTGTGAACAAGAGATTGCTGTTGTTTATCTCATTGTTCTCGTATTGCTCTGTTCCTTTGCTTGTGCTTCCAGGTTCCGGCATGGATGCAAGCTGATCTGGTGCTCCTACCTTGGGTTCCAGCTCAACTCACTGTCAATAAAACTCAAAGCAGAAAGCTGCAGGAAAGGCAGAGAGAGGAGCTGGAGAGGCACTACACGCCAGAACTTCTACAGTATTCCGTGCTGCTGACACCAGGATCCTCTCTGGCGCATCTTTACCCTGCTCGGACCCCAAAAGTTCCGCTCGAGTTTGCCCAGAAAAAGCTGGGGTGTTTTGGGATTGCGTACTCCCAGCTGCCCGTGGGGCAGGGTTCCAGCCAGGGGTTTCAAGGGGTGTTGAAATGGATAAGGGAACAGCTGAAGGGATGGGAGCGCAAGGGAGAAAGCAAGGTTGAGAGGAAGGGAGTGAGAGGAGAGGTAATAGAGGATGATGAGTATTCTTGTGCGGGGAGGGAAGTGGAGCACGTGGGTGTTCAACATGAGGATGATGAGGAACTATGGGACACAGATGAGAATCGTGAAAGTGATAAGAAAACTTAAGAACAGATGCTAGGTACGGTACCGTATGTGCCTTGTGTAAACGCTAATGCAGTAAGCTCACCATTTACGGTAGTGGTTCTCAACACATTGGCACTAGCTGATAATGTAGAGGGTATTTGTAACATAATTCGTAATATGATGTTGCAACAGGCGTCATGAGCTGATATTGACATGGTCAAACACGCGCAGAATCACCATGATCCCAAACTGGTCGACAACAGCAAGCCTCACCAAGCGATGCGGAAATCGTTTTTAAGCACCTCAAAACAAACATACTGTACGGTACCATTATGAGCTGATGTTTACATGGTCGAACACGCGCAGAATCACCATGAGCCCAAACTAGTCCACAACAGCAAGCCTCACTGCCCGGTGCGGACACTCATCACTCTCAAGTGAGGCCTCATGGATCATACATAATGCCTCACTACGTTATGAATTGATATTCACATGGTCAAACACGCGCAGAATCACCATGAGCCCAAACTGGTCCACTACAGCAAGCCTCACTGCCCGGCCTGGAAAGCTGCCGGCCTCAGGCGAGTGGAATGAAACTTCTTGCCACTTGAAGGAACAACTGGACACGTTTTCAATACCACTGCTGCTGCTGCCAGTCCGCTCAACATCACGGCTGCTGCTCATGGTGAGTGGAGCATCATTGATCCTTTCTTGAGGAGAGACCACTGCTGACCACTGCAGACCACTGCTGCCCGTAGGGAGAGGAGTGGTACCTGCGAGCCTGACAACCCGGAAGATCCTGGTAGGAGGGGTTGTTTTGCATGGCAGAGAGAGAACAGCCAGGAAGATGGATATGGGTTAACAAGAAGAATGACCATACGCAGAATGGTTAGTGTGATGACAGGCATAATAAATGGTGTAAGATGATTGAAAAGCCACATACCATGCAGGAGTTAGCTCTCGTGATGCACTCACAGGAATGACCACCTCAGCCTGCAGAGAGAAACGGAGAGAGGGGGAAAAGAAAGCAGTAGAAAAAAACGTGTGTGGGAAAAATTGCAGAAGTGAAAATGGAAGCATGCGGCGACGATGGAAGAGTAAGGTTTTTTTTTTTTTTTTTTTTTTGCGAATTTTAACAAAAGCAGAGTGAGGAGGCACAGCTCAGATGCCAAGAGACGAGTCGAGTGCGGATCGTGCTTTTTATTTTTTTAGGGCTCTAAAAAAGACTTGCACACGCATAATGACCCTGACATCCCAGCAGCATGGCAACATGTGCCCCACACAGCGTGCCTTTGAGAGCTCTCCCACAAGGAACCCTACACCACATACCTTGTCTGTCTCGTGGAGGGAGGGTGTTTTTGAGACGTCTCAAAAACACCCTCTCAACATGTGCCCCACACAGCGTGCCTTTGAGAGCTCTCCCACAAGGAACCCTACACCGCATACCTTGTCTGGATGCTCCCCTCGTTTGTAGCACATGATAGCAAACAAGCTCAATGGCAGCTCTTGAGGCTTCTGAACGGCATCTGTATCCGACCCCTCTCGCTGCTTCTCCCCCTCCCTCTGCCTATCTAACTGCTGCTGCTCCTGCTGCTGCTGTTTCTTCTCTCCCGAATGCCCTTCTCCAGAGCTCCCCCCTCTAAGTGTAGCGCCCCCCTGCCCCCTCTCCATCGGCCCCTCCCTCTCCGCCTTCCCCTCCCCTTCATGACTCTCCTCTTCCGCCATCCCCTCACCTTCCGCCCTCCCCTCAACTTCCGCCCTCCCCCCTTCCGCCCTCCCCTCACCTTCCGCCCTTCCCTCACCTTCCGCCCTCCCCTCAACTTCCGCCCTCCCCCCTTCCGCCCTCCCCTCACCTTCCGCCCTTCCCCCTTCCGCCCTCCCCCCTTCCGCCCTCCCCTCACCTTCCGCCCTCCCCCCTTCCGCCCTCCCCTCACCTTCCGCCCTCCCCCCTTCTGCCTTCCCCTCCCCTTCCGCCTCTTTCCCACCACTTTCTGCCAGGAGAGCTACTTCCACTCGTCTCCACCAATCAGCGGCTGCCAGCTTGGACAACGCAATGTAAGCTTCCAGTGGCGAGGCGGGCCAATCAGACGGCTTGATGGAATGAAGAGCGGAACGAGGAGGGGAGGAATGGATGGAGGAATGGGTATAGGGATGGGTGGAGGGGAAGGGAGAGGGTAGGCAGGAGGAAGTGGAAAAGGGAATGGAAGCGGCATCGGTGGAGGGAAGATAGGAGGGACGGGAGGAGGGAAGCGAGGAGCAGAGGGAGAGGAACTGATGCCAAGGGGGCAGGGAATTCACAACCAATGGCGGCAAAATGCTGCAGCCCTTGGTGCTGCTGCTGCTGCGAATTTCGCTGCTGCTTCCGTTGCTGCTGCTGTCGCCGTCGCGGCCGTCCCTGTCGATGACAAGGAGTAACGACCGGCATGCTTCACGAACTTCCCAGCTTCTTCCTCCTTCAACACCACTGACACCACCACGACCACTATAACTCCCGCTACCCTGCGTCATTGCCGCTGCTGCTTGTTGCCGCTGCCGCGTCAGGAGGATCGTTACAAGGTTCGTTTTCGGAGTATGAAGATGGCGTCAGAATCTGTTGCGGTCGGACCTTTCGCCAGCTCAGAACGGGTGTCCCCCTATTGAAAGTGAGCGAGGAACGATAAAAGTACGACACGAGAATCTAGTTTTACAGGTTGGTATCGGTGGTGGTAACGGTGGCAGGGTATTCGTAGAGCAGCTGTCACTGTCTCGGCGACGCGGAAGATGTGGTTACTTTATCTGAGGATTTCGTGACGCAGCTCCCGTGACATTCTATCCAGCTGCGATACCAGTAACAAGTATAAGAAAGTGGCGACAAATGTTACAGTTTTTTCGCCTTTCCTCGCTTATCCAGCTTCCACATTTCATTTGGACCCAATAGCCATCAGATCGATTTCAACTCAACCTTGGTTGCGAATTTTGAAACGCGTTGCGAGCTGAGTGCGTGCGACACATCAAAACGCAAGGCAGCACAAGGTCTACATTCTAGGTTTTCTTGAAATCTGCGACACGTACTTTCACACTCGGCTCATGAATTCTAGTTATTCCTATCGTATGATGTGTCGCACGCATACCTAGTGCGACACCTCTGCAAGGTGTCGCAAGGTGGTACTTAGTAACATAATCTGTAACATCTTCCTTGATCGACCCCGCCGCTCATGCCAGATTCCGAATAACGCCCTCTTATATGAACCCGCGCGTTGCGGAGTTTGAGCCCAGGGGGAAGGCGGGGAACGCTTGGGGACCGGGAGGAACGCGGGGGGCCTGGCACACACGGGGGACACGGGGGACGAGAGCGGATGGCGGACGTGAGAGTGACGGGGAGTGCCGCGGAGAAGGGGGCGATTACAGAAGGAACGGATATAGCGGAAGTAGCAGCTAAGAGGCCTCGCATCGAGGGCCAAGACAGGAAAACGGAACGAGCGGAGGGGTCCGCACCTTCCAGTAGAACGTTACCAGCAGCTTCGAAGAAAGAGGAGGCTGCTGCGGCGGTACCAGAGTCAGTTTACATCGCTGGTCGATACTTGAAGGTGCCGTTCCCAACCCAACCTCCGCCTTTTCTACCATCACCCACCTACATATTCTTCCAAAGTTATTTTTAGTAACGCCTGTAAAACGGACATCCAGCCTCCTCCCTGCCCCTTAATTATGCCGAGAAGTCTCGTTTCACTCTCCTCTGTTCCCCTTAGTCTCAAACGTGTGCGAATTTCGTCCCCCGTCCCTTGGTCCCAATCTCTAAACCCCTCCACGAAACCTTTCTAAAATCTTCTTCTTCGAAAGCATCTCTCTTTCTCCAAACCAAATCTCTGCTATGTTCTGGAGGTGGGTGGCAATTCTCTCACACCCTCCCTCTCTCCCCCCACCTCTCCTTCTCCCCCCCCCCCCCCCCCCCCCCCCCCCCCTCCCCTCCCCCCTGCCCCGTTCTCCGTCTCGGTGTGTCTGGCAGTTTTCTCGCGCCCTGAGCCAGTCCCCATGGACGGTGGACGATGAACAGATGGGGGATGGCTCTGTGCAGGTGCTTATAACGGGGATGGCTCTGTGCAGGTGCTTATAACAGGGATGGCTCTGTCCAGGTGCTTATAACAGGGATGGCTCTGTCCAGGTGCTTATAACGGGGATGGATCTGTCCAGGTGCTTATAACAGGGATGACTCTGTCCAGATGCTTATAACGGGGATGGATCTGTCCAGTTGCTTATAATGGAATTGGCTTTGTGCAGGCGATTATAAGGGCGATAGCTCTTTGCAGGTGCTTAGCGATGGCTCCGTGCCGGCGCTTATAGCGGGGATGGCTCTGTGCAGGTGCTTATAGCGGGGATGGCTCTGTTCAGGTGCTTATAGCAGGAATGACTTTGTGCCAGCGCTTATAGCAGGAATGGCTCTGTGCAGGTGCATATTGTGCGAATGGTTCTGTGCTGGTTAGCCAGGGTGATTTTTATTACGGGGATGGCTTCGTGCCGCTGCTTATAGTGGAAATGGCTTCACGCAGGTGCTTATAATTTGGTTGGTTATGTGCAGGTGCTTATTACAGGAACTTATCAAGAGTTATTATGCTTTGTGCACGTTTTTCCAAATGTGCAGGATCTAATAGCATCCCACGTGCTACCTCTCCTGCAACCACTGTCGCACAAGTTCCAAGCTGCTGGGCGAGAGGACATTGATGTGAGTGAGTGTTAGTCACCAAGGGATGAATTCCCTCCCACACATACTTTTCCGCTTGTTGCGACCGTTTTTTACATTTTATTTAGACCGCTTGAGAAGACATTGACATGAGAGTGTGAGGTGAGAGTCACGAATTGATGTGGCTTCACACGTGCGATTTTGCAATTGTTGAGTGACCTTTCGTACAAGAATGCAATCGGCTACAACACTACGTGTGCTGAGAATCTATTCGGGATCATGCCAGAGAACCCTCGCATTGCAATCAACAATTTGGGGGTGAGTGGATGTACCAATCATACTGTCATCTGTATGCATGTCAAAGGTGGTTATATGCTAGAGATGGCGAAAATGAAAGCATATAACCACCTGTAGCATGCATACAAAACACGGTAGAATTGGTATCTCCACTCACCTCGAAATTGTTGATTGCTATGCGAGAGTTCTCTGGCATGACCCCGAGTAGATCCTCAGCACACCTAGTGTTGTAGCCGATTGCATTCTTGTGTGGAAGATCACTCTATGATTACATGCATTTTCGAAGAAGTCTCAATAATTGCTTCAGAAGACATCAGTTTCAACGAATCTTGACACATGATTCACTCACCAATCTCTCTAATTCTCACTCAGGGAGCAGCAACCTGTGGCTGAGGAGGTCAGTCAGAGGGGCCAGCCTCTCAATCCTTTGTAACAAGGTGACTTTCGAGTCGACTCAAAAGTCACCTCAGTGATTCGCTCACCAATCTCACTGATTCTCACTCGGGGAGCAGCAGCCTGTGGCTGAGGAAGCCAGTCAGAGGGGCCAGGTGGGTGCGCGAATACCTCCCCAACTCTTTCCTCATCTCCCCCTCAAACACAGAGGTGCACATGCTGGGTTCGGGGCGGCCGTTTCTGCTGGAGCTCAAGGGGGCGAGGCGAGTGCCTACAGCTGAGGAGCTAGGGAGGAGTGGCCGGGACACCACGCCCAGTTCCTGTCCCACTCCCCCATTCTCTCTCGCTCTCGTCCCCTCCCCCCCTCCCACACACAGGTGCGCATGCTAGGTTCAGGGCGTCCGTTTCTGCTGGAGCTCAAAGGGGCGAGGCGAGTCCCTACATTTGAGGAGGATAAAAGGGGAGAGCACTCGCGATTCCCGTCCCACTCTCCTATCCCCTCCCGTCCCCGTCCCTTCCCCCTCCCGCTCTTGGCATCCCACTCCCCCATCCCCTCCCACCCCCGTCCGCATCCCCCTCCCGCTCTTGTCCCCTCCCCCCTTGTTTCCACAGGTGCGCATGCTGGGTTCTGGGCGGCCGTTTCTGTTGAAGTGCCTACCACTGAGGAGCACAGGGGGAGTGAGCCGGACACCACCCTCAGTTCCCTTCCCAATCCCCCATCCCCTCCCGCTCTCGTCCCCTCCACCCTTCCTTTCACAGGTGCGCATGCTGGGTTCTGGGCGGCCGTTTCTGCTGGAGCTCAAAGGGGTGAGGCGAGTGCCTAGCGCTGAGGAGCTGAGAAAGATCGAGCAGGAAATCAACGAGCAGGAGAGGGGCAAGGTGAGTGATGTTACCAGGTGTTGTGAGCTTTATACAAACGTCTATGCATATATATATATATATGTATATGTGTTTACATGTATTTATATATATACATACATAAATATATATATATATATATGTATATATGTACATATACATATTTATGTATGTACTTTCAAAATTGTAGGATACAGAGATATTCTTTTCGCCGTGAGCCTTTTTAATTCTAACCCCTGTATTATTCCCTTGGGTGGGCGTGTGAAACACATCTTCACGGGTGTGAAACACATCCCATGCCCCGACCTCCCATCTCTCTACCGCCCATCCCTCACCCCCCACCTCCTAGGTGGGCGTGTGTCAACTGCAGCTGGCAGATTCGCGAATGTGCACTCTGATGCGGCAAGGGGAGGCAGAGAAGCAGGTGAGTGAGAGGAGGGGTGAGTGGGAAGAGGGGTTGAGTGGGAGGAGGGGTTGAGTGGGAAGAGGGGGTGAGTGGGAGGAGGGATAGTGTGGCCCAAAAGGAGGATAGGTTGGCTGTGATATGCAGTGCATGGTGTTTGTACGGCCTATCTTAACTAGTCTTGTAATGGGCACCTAACGTGTCTTGCTGATGTGTCGTTCACTGCAGAAATCCTACGTGGCAGTGGTGTGGATCTCCCGGTCAATCACCCAAGCTGACGTGGCAAAGCTGGAGAGCATAAAAGACCTGGTAGGTGATAATTGCAGCTCTCAACCTTCTGCCTTGGTTTGGATTCAGAATTGCTGCCGTGTGTTGTTTTTCTCCTGTCCTCTCACACACATGAGTTTTTTTGCTCTTTCCTCCTCTCCTTTTCTCTCTTAACAACAGGAACTCCAGCAGAAGAACCCCATTCGAGTGTCACACAGACGAAGCCCTCTCACTCACCCTCAAACCATCTACAGGTGCTGTTGAGTTGACTCAAAAGATTACGCTTCCTCCCTTTCTCTCTCTCTCTCTCTCCACTGCAGGAGCTCCAGCAGAAGACCCCCATCAGAGTGTTACACAGACGAAGCCCTCTTACTCGCCCTCGGACCATCTACAGGTGATAAGGCAGTGTGGATAGAGCAGTGCAGCTTGCGCATGATTCCTCCTATCACTCCCCTTCTCTCACTTCACCACAGCAGTTTGTGGTGCCATGTAATTTCCCTTCCCCCGCCCCCCTCCCTTCCCTGCCTGATCTCTACAACTCGGAGAATTGCTTCTCAAAACGTTTCCCCTTCCCCCGTTCCCCCGTCCCTCCATTCCCCCGTTCCCCTTTTCCCACCTTCCCTCCCTTCACCACTGCAGCATGCGGTGTCATCTGGTGCCATCGAACCCACATGTGTTCCTCCTCCACCTCACCACTCAGGCAAGTCATACAGTGCGGTGCCACATGGCGCCGCATAGTTCTGCATTGTGCCACACAGTGCCCTGTGGTGTCACGTGGTGCAAACCAGTGGCATCTGGTGCCATCGAAACCACACGTGTTCCTCCTCCACCTTGCCACTCAGGCAAGTCATAAACAGTAGTAGTGCAAGTCATAAACAGTAGTGCAAGTCATAAACAGTAGTAGTGCAAGTCATAAACAGTAGTGCAAGTCATAAACAGTAGTAGTGCAAGTCATAAACAGTAGTGCAAGTCATAAACAGTAGTATTGCAAGTCATAAACAGTAGTAGTGCAAGTCATAAACAGTAGTAGTGCAAGTCATAAACAGTAGTAGTGCAAGTCATAAACAGTAGTAGTGCAAGTCATAAACAGTAGTAGTGCAAGTCATAAACAGTAGTAGTGCAAGTCATAAACAGTAGTAGTGCAAGTCATAAACAGTAGTAGTGCAAGTCATAAACAGTAGTAGTGCAAGTCATAAACAGTAGTAGTGCAAGTCATAAACAGTAGTGCAAGTCATAAACAGTAGTGCAAGTCATATAGTGCAAGTCATAAACAGTAGTGCAAGTCATATAGTGCAAGTCATAAACAGTAGTGCAAGTCATATAGTGCAAGTCACACCAGTTCGCACGCCACAGTGCTCACACCCAGTGCACACCCATTGCATGCCCTGGTGCACGTAAACTCTTTTCCATGGGTCACCTCACGTGCTGCTACTGGTTTTGTGCTTGTGTGTGTGTGTGTGTGTGCAGGCCGGTACTTATGTGAAGGAGTTTGTTCATGGCGACTTCGGCCGCACACAACCCAAGTAAGAAGAGAAGCCTCTCCTTACCATACTCTCATCTCACCCTTCTCTTTGCTCCAAGTTTTATGCTCCTGTGTCTACTCTGCTCCTGTCGTGTCTCTATCAACTCAAACTTCACCAATACACCTTTTCCCACTCCCCCGCTGCTTCTCGCTGTCCCTCCCACTTTTTGGCACACAGCATTGGGTTGCTGCTGGGCTGTGAAGCGGATATTCTCCAGCTCGACGTTGTAGATGTTAAAATGGATTTCCTCTTGTAAATTATTAGGTTTTATGTTAGGTGCTCCTTGATGCGCATCTTGAATGTGTGAATCCACTTTTATGTTACAAGTCGCACTCTGCATCAAATGCGCTAAAATCACGCTCAGTTCATACCCCCTTGAATGTGTATGCAAAGAATGGATGGGAGAAGGTGCAAGAAGGGCAGCAGGCAACGAATGCAGTAACGAAGATGTGACAAGTATGGACAAATCTGAACCGTCGAATCGTCCAGATGGTGCGTGAGGTGAACAAACACTGTGGCTTGCCGTACATATCAAGGCAGTCCGCTGCACCCTGAGCTAGGTGGGTAGTCCCTGCGCATCGAGCCAGCAGCCGGCTCGTGCCAGGTCAGCAAATACTTATCATCTAATGTCGCGTCGTCAAATTACGCCCTGTTCATTCGTTGTTCGCTTTGCTCACTCAATCACCTTGTCGTCGCCGCTGCTGCTCAGTTCTCTTGCCTTGCTTTCCGTGCACAGCCAAACCCATGAGTGAGTGACTGCGCGTCCCGAAAGGCATTGGCGGCCGAGACGAGGTGCTCCCCAAAGGTTTTCCCGAAAAATGGACAGCGACTCTCAAGTCCCGTCTTGACAGCACAGCACACCCACTTCTTCAATTGAAATAAATAATTCCCGTGGGTCTGATTTCAAGTCCCGCATACCACGCGTCGTCGTTCTACAACAGCGCGTCGTTCTGCAGGCCTTTCACGGTCCATACCTTGACAGCCTAACATCATTTCTGGCCCCCAAAACATGCCTGTTGATTCTCAGAGCTCCTGTCACACGGCTCTTTTTCCAAAGGAAAAAAAGGGTGAACATTTTGTGCTCGCCGGTCGTCGATCCTGTGCTTCGCTTTCTGAGGCTTCTCACAGTGCGTACGATCGTCACATGCGACTTATTCTGATGCGAGCATCATACCACGGCCTATTCCTTGACAGCGACGGACAATACCCTAAATTTTATCCCATCGCCCTTATAACGGGACATAATCTCGTTTTACAAGGTACTTCTTAATCCTGTCTGCCAACTGGACGCAATAATTCATTTTAGATTAGAGCTTAACCTTGCGGTAGTATCGCCTCTTGTGGCGGACAGCTGCGGAGGGTAATACGAGGTGGAGAGGGAGAGCGAGCAAGAGACAGGCTATGGGTCGCACATGAGACTTGCAATCCAGATCAGCGTCAGCATCAGCATCAGCATCAGCCGCAACACCAGCAGCAGCAGCAGCCACAGCAGCAGCAGCAGCCACAGCAGCAGCAGCAGCAGCAGCAGCAGCAGCGCGCTCCAGTCAGCGGAGGGAATCCACATGCTGTAATGACGTCAGCCTCACCAGCAGGAGTGGATGGAAAGCACGTGGTGCTGACCTCAGCAACAGCACAAGCACCCCTGACTAAGAAACGTCACTCACCAATTCAACGCCATGAGGTGCGCTTTGCTAATGCTTCCCCGATTTGATTCCTTCATGTTTCCAGTTTTTGAAGCGTCTCAAATGCTCTCGCTGCTCCCCACATGCAATTTCCTGACATTTTCATGCAATTTCCTGACATTTTCATGCAATTTCCTGACATTTTCATGTTGCGATACCCTTCTTATGCGATACCACGTTCCCTGTTACAAAGCGTTGCTGTTACAGAAAAATATTGACTACCCTGGAAGCCAAAGCAGCAGGCTTACCACCCTGAAGTTCTCAATTTTCGTGCTCTCTCCTGCTATGTTGCTTTGGCCCCTCCCTACAGCAGCTCAAGGGAATGATTCCAGTCGCCGTGCTTGTCGTATGTCTCCTGCTGGTATGAGCGATTTAAGACGTCTTTTGTTGCTGCTCCTGTTACAAAATTCACTGGCTCGCAGAGGCGCACGGGTCTTTGCGTCTGCTGCAATCTGCACGTGCATTCCATCATCTCCCTCCCCACTTTTCCTCCCCCTCCTCCCCACTCCTCCTCCCTTTCCTCCCCCCTCCTCCCTCTCTCTCTCCCCCCCCCCCCCCCCCCCCCCCCCCCAAACCACCCCCAAACCAACCCCACCCACCATCTTTCTCTGCATATCTCCCTCCCTTGCTTCGTTGCGCCATGATGCTTCAGTGCTTCTCCATCCACTCAACCCTTGCCAAGGGGGTTCCTTTCCATCCATTACTTGCCTGCCTTCGATTTGAGGTGTCTCAACGCATCTGATGCATTCCATGTGCATTGTTTTGTTCCCGTTCCGCCCACCCCTTGCCTTGCCTCTGCGTGCGTCCTCTGCAGCCCACTGCTCTCTCCGGCTCACTAACACGGCCGGCAGTAGCAGGAAGCGCTACCAGCAAGGACAGCAGCAGTGAAAGCAGTGGCAGCAACGGTAACAGCAACAGCACGAGTCAAGAGAGGCTGCTGCCGTTTGTGCAGTTCTCGGCGTATCGAATCTCAGGCGACCAGTTTGCTCTCGTGGGGCTGGCTGCTCGTGAACTGGCGCATGTGAGAAAGGTGAGGGTGGAGGGTGGAAGGAGGACCTCTTACATCCCCTTTTGAGATGTCTCGAGAGGAGAATTGCAGGCTGTCAACTTGCTGTTGTTGTGCGGCTGGCTGCGCATGGGAAAATGGTGAGGGGTGATGTAGTGTGTGTGTGGGTGCTGCTGCTAGTGTGTGTGTATCTGGTCCATGCAATTATGCACTTCTGTCTCTCTCCTGTGATGTGCCACGCAATGCTATGCATGCGTGCATGCTGTTTCTGTTCCCCTCAACGCAGTGCAGTGCACGGTGTCTTTGATCCTCTCTCTCATCCATCACGTGCCATCACTGCCATGCCATTCCATTACCTTACATGCATGTCCCATGACATGTCCATACATGCATGTCCCATGACATGTCCATACATGCATGTGTTGCTGTGTTGCAATCTGTGTAAAGGTGGGCGGTTGCGCGTGGGAGCCGGGGATACCAGCGAGTCAAGCAGGCCAAGGAGGGGCGAGGGATGAAGCGAGCAGGAAGTTTGAAAAGAGGGAGGAGCGAGGGGAGGTGAGCAAGGGGGGTGATAAGAGGGAGAAAGCGAGGAAGAGGAGGGGGTTGAATGAGGTGGAGCTCGATGGGAGGGAGTGGTTACGTGGCAGAGTGAAGGAGAGGGGCGAGGAGGGGAGGGAGGAAGGGAGGGAGAGGAGGAGGTTGGATGCGGTGGAGCTGGATGGGAGTGGGTGGATACGGGGCAAAGTGAAGCAGCAGCACGTGGGAGAGCATCACTTTTTGAGATATGCCGTGCTCATTCTGCTCTGCACTCTCAAGAGGTGCGTGAGTGGGAGGGTGTGGGAGAGATGAGATGAGAAGAGTGCGTGAGGTGAGTTGGTGGATCAGCAACACGTGGGAGAGCACCATTTTTGGAGATATTCTGCTATGCACTCTCAAACGGTGCGTGTGTGTGTGGGACAGATGAGAAGAGTGCGTGATTTGAGTGGGTGAAGCAGCAGCATGTGGGAGAGCACCATCTTTTGAGATATGCCATGCTCATTCTGCTCTGCAGTCTCAACCGGTGCGTGGGTGTGGGTGAGATGAGAAGCGAGTCAGAAGGGTGTCGAGTGTGAGCCCCTCAAAGAGACGATTGATGTGGAAGCGAACGTCCGGTTAGGAGGACGGTGGTTGAGGAGTATAGTAGAGTAGAGTAGAGTAGAGGAGGGAGGTGGCTAGCTGCCGCCGTGCCGTTCTCATAGGTTTAAAAAAACGTCGTATTTTTGGATATTTACCGTAAGAAAACGGTACCATAAAAACGGGCCGTAAAAATCAGTAAAAAAACGGTTCCGATATGTTATTTTCGTTTGGAGAGAAATTTGGCCATTTTATGGGGCCAAATTGATGGCGAAATGCACCAGAATGAAGAGGACGAACCCCTCCTTGCATGTGTGCATGCGTGGGCATGATTGGAAATATATTCGGCCTTGCTTTTGCCTTTTTTTCATGATGACAAGAGTTCTCTAACAAAAAAGCGCCGTAGTTTTGAAAAAATCCCGTAAAAAACGGACCGTAAAAAACAGACCGTAATTTACGAAAACCGTATTTTTGCACCTTGATGCCCTGTGTGTCCCATATCCCAATCCCGTGCCATGTGTTGACTCTTGAGGCGCCTCAATATTAGAGTAGGGAGGTGGCTAGCTGCCGCCTTTCTCATGCCCTGTCCCATCCCCCATCTCCCATGCGCTGTGTGATACACTGCAGGGAAACACCTGCAGGGGAGGGAGGCAGGCTACACATGGGCATGGAGGGGGAGGACGTGGTGGTGTATGAGGAGCAACCGGGGGAGGTGGTAACTGCCATGACGCATGCCCCCTTCCTCTACAACATCACGCACTGCTCCCCCCCCATCCCCGGCCAGGTGTGTTCCTCCCTTCCATCCTTCGTTCATCTGCAACATCACGCACTGCTCCCCCCCCAAGTTCTTTCTTTTCCCTGCTCTTCTGCAGCCATTACTGGATGGAGGAATAGCGGAGATCACTGATTTTCGTGATCTGATGAATTACGAGTCGTGGTATTATGGCCAGGTGAGGGATGCACAGTGCACTGATACCAACTCAGGAAGTCTCAAAACGCCATTTGCCGTTCGTTGCTGCAAGTCTTCTTCCGTCTATTTCATATTATTAACCAAGCTACTAATACTCGAACTCGAAAGGCGAGTATGACCTGCTTGAAGTGTTCATCTTGTTGATTGATTGGGATGAATCGAGCCTTGCGACTGCAAGTCTTGACACGAGTGAATTGATTTGTGGCGAGTATGTGACTAATGTTGGGTGATGCATCGCCAGAAGGGCCGAGCCGATTTGAGCCGATGCAATCCCCCATCTCTCGTTTCTCCTCTCCCATTTCCCTTCCATCATCACACGTTCCTTCCCGCCCAACCCCCCTCCTCCACCCCACCTTCCTCCGTCAGTTGATGATAATAAACGACTGTGTGTATCGCTTCCGCCGCCTCTCCAAGTGGATCATGTACCTTGACTTTGACGAGTTCATGTTCATAAACGGTCAAGTAAGCACGCTGATACCCCCAGAAATACCCCCACAAGTACCCCCACAGGTACCCCCACATTCCTCCCTCTCCAAGTGGATCATGTACCTTGACTTTGATGAGTTCATCTTTATCAATGGCCAGGTAAGGATACCAATACCCCACCCCTTTTTTCAACTTCTCCTTGACTTCTGCCTCCAGCAGCACATGCATTCTTGCCCCTCTCACTGTTCACCACGTCCTCCTACTTTATAAGGGCATGTCTTATGAGACTGTTTCTTTTCTCTCCCCAAACACCTTTCTTCTTAATCCCTCGCCAGGAGCGCATTACCTGGCCAGGAGCGCCTATGACCGTGCACGAATTTCTCGTGCCCTACGAGGGCATGAACCTCTACGGGCATGCCTTGATGTTTTCTCCATCAACCCTGTCCCCCCATCCCTCCATTCATCCATCCAGGAGCAAGTCCCCACGCCTCTCAACGTGCATGACTTTCTCGTGCCCTACGAGGGCATGACCTATGTCAGCCACGGATGCCTCGTGTGGGACTACCATCGCTGCTTGCCCTCCCAGGGCGATAACGGTACGAAATCTCACCTGATTGCGCAAGGCAGTACACGCATGTGCAGGTTTGGCCTCCGCAGTCCACCTGTCTGCTATTGACAGCTCCTGCAGGTTTGGCCAGTGTGTGACTTCTTTATTATTCTGTGTCACCCGTGAGCCGTCGCACTAACTTGTGTCGACGTTGTAAAGGTTAAAGGTTACACACAAAGAAGTCTACTGGTCTTCAAAGGGGTGAAAGATGCTTAGGAAGAACTTGATAGAAAGACCTCCACTTGCGAAACGATTTTTTAGGCGCTTAGAAAACCGTACCGTCTTGTTTGTACACCTTCATCAAGACTCGTAGGAAGACCTGCACTTACAAGACCTATTGGCCCCAACAATATATGGTCTTGTACGTTTTTGCCCCCTACTTCTCTCTTCTCTTTTCCTCAGTGTGCTACTCTTTTGCAGGCCTCAGCCTGCAAGTGCAGTGAAAGCTGTGGCACTGCCTGTTCCTGTGGCACTGCCTGCTGTGGCTGCTAACCCCTCGTTCGTCCCCTTCCCTCCTCCCTCCGTCCCTCCCCTCTTTCGTCCCGATCGCAGACCCCAGGTGGCAACATGAGCGCATGCTGTGGCATAAGCCGGAAATGTACTGTATAGCTAAGGACAACTCCACTGACCCCACCATGTGCCTGGGCCACTATGGCCGCCGCAAGCTGTTTGTGGATCCCAGAAAGGTGAGCTCACTTATCTGCGTGCGTGCGTGTGTGCTTGTTTGCTTGGTCGCTCGCCTGTGTGTGAGCATGCTTGCTCAGGAGTGTTGCTACTTGATATCTAGTTGACTTGAGAACCACCATGTGCCTGGGCCACTGTGGCCACCGCAAGCTGTTTGTGGATACCAGAAAGGAAAGTTCAGGAGAACTCTCAAAAGCCTAACACGCTGTCTGAGAATTTTCTGTTCGTGAACCCAGTGAATCTCGCATCTCCTTTTTCCTTGAAGAATTTCACCGTCTAATCCTCTCAAACTCCTCCTACCCTCCGCCTTCCTGTGCTGCAGATGCAGCGGTGATGCCTCATGTGGTTCAGGAACCCAGAAGAGGGACGCACCTTGTGTTGAACCTTCTCTTCTCCTCTCCGTTGATTCTCACGCTCTCACTCTTTATCCCCCATCCCACCCCCTTCCTGTGCTGCAGGTGCAAGCAGTGATGATCCATCTGGTTCAGGTACCCGCTACGGGAGGCATAGACCTGCCCACAGACCAGCTCAGGCACGACCACTTCCACGTGAGTGCCCTGTGGCGTCCTCATTAGTCAACTTTGGTGACTTTTGAGTCGACTCAAAAGTCACCTCAGACACGACCACTTCCACGTGAGTGTCCTGTGGCGTCCTCATTAGTCAACTTTTGAGTCGACTCAAAGTCAATCCCATACGGGAGGCATAGACCTGCACACGGACATCCTCAGGCACAACCAAATTTCCACGTGAGTGCGTTGTGGCGTTGTTTGCAGTCGTTTGCATCCGTCCGCTAGGCAGTCTTCGTGGTAGCCTTTTTGCACATGCCTAGTTGGTCTGTTACATTCCCCATGGAAATGCTCAGACACGACCACTTCCACGTGAGTGCTTTGTGGCGTTGGTTGCAGGGCCTGATCAGACAGGTCCTCTGTTGACCCATGTTGAGCTTTGTTGACTCCCTTTGACTTGTGTTGACCTGTTTCTCAGGGCCTGATCAGGCAGGGCCTGTATGAGTGCTCGGAGATACTGAAGGAGCACGACAACACAACCTAGCAACCAATATATACCAAACCTCTGTTGACTCTCGTTGACCTCTGTTGACTCTTGTTGACCTCTCTTGACTGTTGTTGACCTCTGTTGACCCTTGTTGACCTCTGTTGACCTGCACCTCAGGGCCTGATCAGGCAGGGCCTGTATGAGTGCTCGGAGATACTGGAGGAGCATGACAACACAACCTAGCAACCAATATATACCAAACCTCTGTTGACTCTCGTTGACCTCTGTTGACTCTTGTTGACCTCTCTTGTCTGTTGTTGACCTCTGTTGACCTGCACCTCAGGGCCTGATCAGGCAGGGCCTGTATGAGTGCTCGGAGATACTGGAGGAGCATGACAATACAACCGGGTGGCTCCCGGCGCGAGAGGAGGCGGACCGAATGCAATACGTGCGCACGCACCCCCTTGACATGCAATACCTTGTTGCCGATGGAGACAGCCTCTCATAAAGCACTTGAGTTCCATGGGAGAGAGAGAGGAGAGGAGTGGAGGCGGACTGAATGCAAAACTTGCACGCGCACATCCCTTATTGTGGCACACAGGGTGATCAATCTTTATGATGGGGGCTTGTGAGTTGTGCTTCCCGTGTGCTGTTTGTGGCTCAGAGGTGGAGAGAGCACGCGCAAAGAACGCATCAAGGCGAGCAGAAGCTTTATCAACTGGTAGATCAATGTAAATGGACTCATTTAGTATGGGGGCTTGTGCGTTGTGCTTCCCGTGTGCTGTTTGTGGCTCAGAGGTGGAGAGAGCACGCGCAAAGAACGCATCAAGGCGAGTAATGGTGCCATTGCTTGGTGGATCAAGCGAGTAATGATTATACTACCGTAGTTTATTAGTATTTATGACAACGGGAACTACTACGATACAAGGTTTCTATGAGCAACTTGAGCTAGCATGATGTCTGCAACAACCGTTTACCGGTACCGTATATGACAACCAAGGACAGCCACGTGATAAATGTGATATTTTGAATTGTCTCGACTTCAGCGAGCAACATGTCTGCAACAACTGCATACTGGTACGGTACATGACATGACATGACAACCAAGGACAGAACCATGCTTGTGCTCATGCTCTTGCAGCATGCTAACCGTTTCAGCCAATCGGGGCACAGATGCCCTGCCTGTTTCAATGCCCCTAATTTATTCAAACAACAGTTCTGAAATCCTGCTGTGCTATCAACCTGGTTAATGTCCCCCATCCGCTCACACCCGGTTGACGAAGCTTGGTGCGTTGCTGGGCCCATCACTATACTGGTGAATTGCTGTTTAACACTTGATGATAGTGTAGAAAAACTGAATCTTAAGGACGGGGGGGATGTTATATTAGTTTCCTGCAGACTCCACTTCAGTACTGGCCTTGGTGTGTCATCTGCGCATACTCTCGCCACCACTGCATTGCAAACAGCACAATGACATGCAAGACGGGTCACGGGTGTATAAGACTCAGTGAAAGATTAACCATGAGCAGAATGGATGTGCATGACGGGGGTGCACATTGAACTCTCCGCATGAGGTATACCACTATGGTGATATGGATGGAAGCACATCCCAGAACAAATGGGTAGCATTGCATGTGCGATAGTAAGTGGAAACAGAAGGCTGTGTTTAAACAAGTCCATTAGCCCGCATGGCTCCCGCATCCCATCTATCAACAATGCTCTCCACCACTCTCCACCACTCATAACATGTGACCACCACTTAATCGGGTCTATACAAGACCGTTTCTCTCAACAACTCACCCTGTGTGCCACAACGAGGTATTGCATGTCGAGGGGGTGGGTGCGCACGTATTGCATTCTGTCTACCTCCTCTCTTCCCCATGACCACCAGGTTATGTTGTCATGCTCCTTCATTATCAGCGTGCATTCCTTGATGCCCTGCCTGATTATGCCCTGAGAGACAAGTCAACAGAGGTCAACAAGAGTCAACACAGGTCAGTCACATCCTTTGTTATGTTGTCATTCTCCTTCGTTATCAGCGTGCATTCCTTGATGCCCTGCCTGATTATGCCCTGGAGGTAAGTCAACGGAGGTCAACGAGAGTCAAAGAGAGTCAACAAAGGTCAGCAAGAGTTAATGGCGGTCAGTTACACCCAAGGCCTATTTACACCCTGTCTGTGCTAATGACGGCGTCGAAGAGACTACTTTGCCCGTCATTAAAGTTGACACGCAACACACGTTTCGCAGAACGCTCACGTAGTGAGTCGACTCAGAACACAAAGACGCCACAACAGAGCACTCACGTGGAAGTGGTGGTGTCTAAGAACGTCCGTAGACAGGTCTGCGCCACCGCCGCCAATAGTGGGCTCCTGAACCGCGTGGTTATTCACTGCTCGCACCTGTGATGCAGGAAGGGAGGGATGGGTGAGGGACCAAAGGGCGGTTAGGTTGAATATAAGGTGCCTCTCCTCCCCATACTGGGCTCCTGAACCGCGTGGTTATTCACTGCTCGCACCTGTGATGCAGGAAGGGGATGAAGAGAGAGGGAAACAAGGTCAAGGAGTCTGAGTGGATCAAAGGTTCTGCTGCCAATAGTGGGCTCCTGAACCGCGTGGTTATTCACTGCTCGCACCTGTGATGCAGGAAGGGGATGGAGGAGAAGGAGACCGCAGCGCAATAAAACCGAAGGTTCTCCACCGCATCGCATCATCCAACCACGAGCCAGGGACCTCACTTACCCGTCTGGGGTCGACGAAAAGCTTGCGGTGGCCGTAGTGGTCCAGGCACATGGTGGGCTTGGTGTGGTTCTCCTGGCATTACAGAAGACCATTCTTGAGGCGCCTCAGAAACAAATCACACTCAGTTTTCAAGGCAAGAGCAAGCTCACCCGTCGGGGGTCCACAAACAGTTTGCGGTGGCCATAGTGGTCCAGGCACATGGTGGGCTTGGTGTGGTTGTCCCTGGCATTACAGAAGACCATTCTTGAGGCGCCTCAGAAACAAATCACACTCAGTTTTCAAGGCAAGAGCAAGCTCACCCGTCGGGGGTCCACAAACAGTTTGCGGTGGCCATAGTGGTCCAGGCACATGGTGGGCTTGGTGTGGTTGTCCCTGGCCTTGCAGAAGACCCCTGGCCCGTGCCATAGCATGCGCTCCAGTGGCCACCTGGGGTCTGAAAATGGACGAAGGGGGGATGAAGAGAGGAGGAACGGGTGGTGGGCTTGGTGTGCCAAGGATGGATGGTGGGCTAGAGGAAAGGATCCCCAGCCCGTGCCACAGCATGCGCTCTAGTGGCCACCTGGGGTCTGAAAATGGACGAAGGGGGGATGAAGAGAGGAGGAACGGGTGGTGGGCTTGGTGTGCCAAGGATGGATGGTGGGCTAGAGGAAAGGATCCCCGGCCAGTGCCACAGCATGCGCTCTAGTGGCCACCTGGGGTCTGAAAATTAAAATAGAGAGGAGAGGACGGCAAGTGGAGGGCAGGCAGCGATCCAAGTCCCATGAGAGGCTTCTGTGACGGGGATACGGCAGGCAGTCATGCACGGGCCTAACCAAACCATGTATTGCCCGCACCAGAATGTGCTACCAGACAAGAACACACGCAATCAGGCAAGCATACATGCATACCGTCAGGGCCTTGGGAGGGCAGGCAGCGGTCCAGGTCCCACCAGAGGCTGCCGTGGGTGACGTAGGGCATTCCTTCGTAGGGCATGAGGAAGTGGTGCACGCTGAGCGGCGTGGGCATGCGCTCCTGGGGGTAAAGGGAAACGGCATGATACAGACAACGTCATATACAGTTCATTCCCCTGTAGGACATTCCCTCGTAGGGCATGAGGAAGTGGTTCACGCTGAGAGGCGTGGGCATGCGCTCCTGGAGGAATAAGGTGGGGGATAGGATTCATGGAGGCAATATTATAGCGTAGGGCATGCAAAGCGTAGGGCATGCAAAGCGTAGGGCATGCTAAGCGTAGGGCATGCAAAGCGTAGGGCATGCAAAGAGTAGGGCATGCAAAGCAAAGGGCATTCCCTCGTAGGGCATGAGGAAGTGGTTCACGCCGAGCGGCGTGGGCATGCGCTCCCGGAGTCACAAGATATATAAGTGGGGTGGGGGGAGATGGGGTCATGACTTGGGGATTATTCCGCACAGCACATGCTGTGTGCTTACTAACTTGGCCATTGACAAAGTTACCGACACAGTAATTGTTACGATTCCCAAAACTACCTGGCCATCGTCAAAAGAGGCATGACCTTAATGTTGTCATGAGGAATGAAGTGGGTAATGGTGTGCTTACCTGGCCATTGATGAACATGAACTCGTCAAAGTCAAGGTACATGATCCACTTAGAGAGGCGGCGGAAGCGATACACACACTCGTTCACTATCATCACCTGGCGGGAAGACGAGGAGGGAGAGAAGAGATAAGAGAGACTATGACCGCAGCAATTTTTTTGTGGAAGATTGCCACGTCACTGCAGGAATGTAGAGAAGGAGAAAGGAGAAAAAAACGAGGACTAAAGCAATCAACACGCACATACACCGATCAACAAGACAGATCTCCTTGTGGTTACGAGGTGAGAGACAGAAACAGCTCCTAAGGCGCCTCAGAGGCCGTCGTCCGTGTCACACAAAAGCACTGAGGTGTGTTTGAGGCGCCTCGAGAGACAGAAACAGCTCCTCTTGAGGCGCCTCAGAGGGCCTCGTCCGTGTCACACAAAAGCACTGAGGTGTGCTTGATAAGCCCCCATGACAAGCCCCTCACCTGGCCGTGATACCATGGACTTTCACCACCCCATGACAAGCCCCTCACCTGGCCGTGATACTTTTGAGGCGCCCCAAAACCCATAACAGGCCCCTCACCTGGCCGTGATACCATGACTCGTAGTTCAGCAAGTCACGAAAATCCGTGATCTCCGCTATCCCTCCATCCAGTAACGGCTGCAGGTCAGCCAGACAAGAGGAGGCACAAGGAGAGTGAGCACGCATGAGGTGGCAAGCCTTTTCTCTCATATCATACGTGTGTACGTATTGCACATGCATGCATTCAAACGCTCACCCGACCACATGCATGCATATGTGTGTATGGGCATGGATCCACGGCCATGGCCATGCGTATGTCCAGGGAAATACTGTTTCCTTATTGCTCACCGCAATCAGGGCTCGCAGCAGCGGGTCCACCCCACCCACGTCGTAGAGGGAGAAATGGTCCACTCCCATGCGGATGTGCAGAGGAGGGGAAGTGAGTAGTGTCGTGCTGCTGCTCACCGCAATCAGGGCTCGCAGTAGCGGGTCGACCCCGCCCACATCGTAGAGGGAGAAGTGGTCCACCCCCATGCGGATGTATGTACAGAGGAGAGGAGGCACATACTATCATGTCATATGGCTCACCGCAATCAGGGCTCGCAGTAGCGGGTTCACCCCGCCCACATCGTAGAGGGAGAAGTGGTCCACCCCCATGCGGATGTGCAGATCCATCCACTGGTAGATGCGCTTCGAGATGACCTGAAGGGAGTGCGTGGGATGATGTAAGGAGGTGACTTTTTTTTAGATGTCTTAAAACTCTAAATGGTCCATCCTCATGCGGATGTGCAGATCCATCCACTGGTAGATGCGCTTCGAGATGACCTGAAGGGAGTGCATGGGATGATGTAAGGAGGTGACTTTTTATTAGATGTCTTAAAACTCTAAATGGTCCACCCTCATGCGGATGTGCAGATCCATCCACTGGTAGATTCGCTCCTAGATGACCTGGAATACAATCCATAAGACCATGCAGCATGTCATGCCCAGGCCGCATGACCAAGAAACGCATACCTCATGCCACATACCCCATGTCACATACCATATGTCATTTACCCCATGCCACATACCCCATGCCACATACCCCATGTCACATACACATGTCATGTACCCCATGCCACATACCCTACGTCGTATACCCGATGCCATATACCCCATGCAACATACCATGTCATAAACCCCATGCCACATACCATACAGTATGTCATAAATCCCATGCCACATATCCCATGCCACATACTTTATGTCATATACCCATGCCACATACCCCATGACCGTGTGTCATGTGCCACGTGCCACATGCCCCACATCACATTCCGTATGTCATATACCCCATACCAGATACCCCATGTCACATACCATATGTCACGTACATACCCCACGTCGCATATACCATGCCACATAAGATGAACCAAACTGCGTCCATGATGGGCGGGGTCGGCAATAAGACAAGGACAGAGAACGACACAAGAGGGACACGGGAAGGACAAGGGACGGGAGTAGTGGAGGGTGGGTTGGTTTGCGCAAGAGGAAGGGACTTACCTGACCGTGGATGGGAGGGGAGCAGTGCGTGATGTTGTAGAGGAAGGGGGCATGCGTCATGGCAGTTACCACCTCCCCCGGTTGCTCCTCATACACCACCACGTCCTCCCCCTCCATGCCCATGTGCACCCTGCCTCCCTCCCCTGTAGGTGTTTCCCTGCAGTGTAGCACACAGGGAATGGGATATGGGGCATGGGACATGGGGCAGAGGGCACAGTGAACACCACCACGTCCTCCCCCTCCATGCCCATATGCACCCTGCCTCCCCCCTCTGGTTGTGTTTCCCTGCAATGTGGCACAGGGAATGGGACACAGGGCACAGGGTATAGGGCAGAGTGCACAGTAAGCACCACCACTCCCAGCTGCTCCTCATACACCACCACGTCCTCCCCCTCCATGCCCATGCGCAAACTGCCTCCCACTGCCATGTGCACCCTGCCTCCCACTACCCCCATAGGGTATAAGATGGGACATGGGACATGGGTAAATGGAACATGGGACATGCAATGGGATATGGGATTGGGCATCGGACATGGGGGATGGAACATGGGACATGAGCAATGGGACATGGGCAACGGAACATGGGGCATGGGGCATGGAACATGGGACAAGGGGAGACGGGAAACGGGGCACGGGACGCAAGAGACTAGACCCGAGAATTTGAGAGGCCGAAAGACTGAGAGATTTAAATAAATGAGACCCAGACGCTGAGGAGCTCAATTAGTCATTTTCACACCCTCGTCATCTCTCAGACCTCTTGAGAGTGCAGATCAGGATGAGCACGGCGTGTTTCATCAAATGGTATTTCCCATGTGTGTGACCGTTTTGAGAGTCGACTCAAAAGGCTCCTAGTCGTTCTCACACTCTCATCATCTCATTCATCATCCACACACACGCACCTCTTGAGAGTGCAGATCAGGACGAGCACGGCGTATTTCATCGAATGATGTTCCCCCACATGGATCTCCTCCACACTGCCACGTATCCACTCCCTCCCATCCACCCCCACCTCTTCCAACCTCCTCGCCTCCTTCCCCTCTTCCTTCCCCACTTCCCTCCCTTCCGCGCCCCTTTCCTTCATCCCCTCCTCCCTCCTCTCCTCCCTCCTCTCCCCCACCGTCAGTAATGAACCCATCCCAGTCTTCCTTGCTCCTACTCTGCGTGTCTGCCCCCATGCTCCTCCCACACTCTCCTCCATCAGCCTCCTCATCCTTCCCTGTAAAGCAGCACCTCTTTGCTCATTCACTTGGCCAAAACCCTCTGCTTGACCGAGATTCCCTGCTGGGCCTGCTTGAACTGCTTCACCAAAATTCCTTGCTGGTCCTGGCTGACCTGCTTGACCGAAGTTCCCTACTTGGCTTGCTTGACCTGCTTGACCGAAATCCCCTGATTGACTTGCTTGACTTGCTTGACCGAAATTCCCAGCTTGACCTTCTTGACTTGCTTGGCCTACTCTTTGGCCTGCTTGGCCATTATTTTGTGCTGGGCCTGCTTGGTCAAGGTTCTCTGATTGGCCTGTTGGGCCTGCTTGGACTAGACCCAGGGGCGCATGTGGCTCCCACACGCAATCGCCCACCTGCACACATTGCAACACAGCAGCACATGCATGCAATGGGTATTGTTTCGAGTTGACTCAAGACACGGCCTGTTTGGACTAGACCCACGTGCGCATGTGACTCCCACACGCAATCGCCCACCTTCACAAGTTGCAACACAGATTGCAACACAGGAGCACATGCACGTAAGGACATGGGATTTGATGATGATGGCACCTGATGAGCGTGGACAGGAGATACTAGATCGCACACATGCACTACGCATCATGCGAGACAGACAGCATACATACATCACCCCCCCCTCCGAGCTTCCTCACCTTTCTCACTTCATCCAGACCACGTGCGGCGAGCCCCACAACAGCAAACTCGTCGCCTGCGATTCGACTTTTGAGGCGCATCAGAGACCTCTTCAACACTCCTCCCTCCCTCCTCACACACACTCACCCTTCTCACTTCATCCATAGCACGTGCAGCCAGACCCACAACAGCAAACTGGTCGCCTGCGATTCGATAAGCCGAGAACTGCACAAACGTCAGCAGCCTCCCTCTCCTCGTGCCGTTGCTGCTCTCACTGCTCGTGCTCGTGCCGTTGCTGCTACTGCTGGAAGGGGCTGCGTTACCTGCTCCCTCCCTCCCTCCCTCCCCCCTCCCTCCCCCCTCCCTCCCCCCTCCCTCCCCCCTCCTCTTCCCCTCCTCACCTTTCTCACTTCATCCATAGCACGAGCAGCGAGCCCCACAACAGCAAACTGGTCGCCTGCGATTCGATATGCCGAGAACTGCACAAACGTCAGCAGATTGCCTCTCCTCGTGCTGTTGCTCTCACTGCTTGCACCACCACTGCTGCTGCTGCTGTCACTGCTGCCACTGCTGTTCGTATCGCTGCTGCTGTCACCACTAGCTGCTGTGTTTCCTGCTGATGGTGGCGACGGTGGTGGGCCATTGAGTGCACCGGGCTGAAGGAGACGCAGTTGCACGGAAAGGGTGGTGGGAGAAAGAAACGCACAAGGAACGAAACGGGCGCTTTGTGCAGTGAGGCACCTCAATGGCACGTGATACGGTGCAATGACGCACCGGCGATAAAATTGAGGCAGATGGTTGGGGGGGCGACAGACGCAAAAGCAGGATGCAGCAGAAGCAGGAATACATGTGTCGATGCCAGTGAGTCAGTAATAGGAACAGCAGGGTGAGAGAGGACGGTGGTGTGTAAAAGGCTGAAGGAAGAGGAGCCTTGGAGCTGGAACTGCCTTACAAGACATCCCTGTAAAGCACCCTAGAAATCGTCGCTGGTTGAGGGTGGTGTGTACAAATACAAGGCTGAGGGGAAGGGAAGTGATGAAGCCTGGTTCTCCTGCCTCCGAACTACATGCTTGCATGATTGATTCTGTGCATGCCACGCCACATCCCCCTAAACACCACTGTTTGACAAACGAAGGGCTTACGGAGAAGTGAAGAGCGGATGAGGCAGAGGCAGCGGCCTGAATAATCGCTTGCTCTTCATTGGTGGGGAAGATTGAGGTGTCAAAACAGAGAATGACAGCCTGTTGGGGGGACATGTGGAGGTCAAAACAGAGAATCACAACCTGGTGGGGGACGTGTGAGGCTTTTTCAGATAAGTAAGAAGGTTGAGTGTGTTACCAGTTGAGAGTAGATGGAACTACATGCAAGTGACTTTCGAGGCGCCTCAAAAGCCAACCTTGCAGGGGACGTGAGACGGATAAAGAGGGCGTGTGTGTTACCAGTTAGGAGTAGATGGATCCACATGCAAGTACATGCACGCACACACGAACGCAAATGTGCACGCACATGCACACTCGCGTGCACACGCACGCACGCGCATGCGTGCACGCAAACACACACGCACGCACGCACACATGCACGCACACACACACGCACACATGCACGTGCGCACATACGCTCACGCACACGCACGCACGCACGCACGCACACACACACACACACACACACACACACACACACACACACACACACACGCACGCACGCACGCACGCACGCACGCACGCACGCCCGTGTGCACCCACACATTTTGACCTTTGTTTGAGTATATGGTCGTATGCAAGTAAGAACGCATCATCTTTGCAACTAATACTAGCCACCTTGACTTTAAGCACCCGTACCAGGAGGAGGCAAACAAAGAGGATGATGGACGGTGTTGCGCCCTTGGACAGCTGCAGGAAGGTTCAATATCGGCCACACGGGATCACGGAAACAGTAGAAAGAAAGTTCATTGCTCTTCCAGCTGCCTGATTAGGCCCGGACTGAGTGGGAATTCCTGTCCCATCATTTAGTATTGACTTTTTCCGTTAAAGTATAGTAGCATGTAGGAACGATAAAGGCGCACCTTGCGGTGTAAAATGGTTGAGAGAGAGCGTCGAAGAGAGAGAGGGAGCATTTCGTGGTGAATGGTTGAGAAGAAGAGAGTAGAAGGGAGGGAGGGAGCACCTCGTGGCGTTGAATGGTCGAGAGAGAGTGAGCGACGGGGAGAGAGAGGGGGAGAAGGTGTTGAATGGTTGAGAAGATGAGAGTTGAAGGGAGGGAGGGAGCACCTCGTGGCGTTGAATGAGTGAGTGGGATTGAGCAACGGGGAGAGAGAGGGGGAGAAGGTGTTGAATGGTTGAGAAGATGAGAGTTGAAGGGAGGGAGGGAGCACCTCGTGGCGTTGAATGAGTGAGTGGGATTGAGCAACGGGGAGAGAGAGGGGAAGAAGGTGTTGAATGGTTGAGAAGATGAGAGTTGAAGGGAGGGAGGGAGCACCTCGTGGCGTTGAATGAGTGAGTGGGATTGAGCAACGGGGAGAGAGAGGGGGAGAAGGTGTTGAATGGTTGAGAAGATGAGAGTTGAAGGGAGGGAGGGAGCACCTCGTGGCGTTGAATGAGTGAGTGGGATTGAGCAACGGGGAGAGAGAGGGGGAGAAGGTGTTGAATGGTTGAGAAGATTAGAGTTGAAGGGAGGGAGGGAGCACCTCGTGGCGTTGAATGAGTGAGTGGGATTGAGCAACGGGGAGAGAGAGGGGGAGAAGGTGTTGAATGGTTGAGAAGATGAGAGTAGAAGGGAGGGAGGGAGCACCTCGTGGCGTTGAATGAGTGAGTGGGATTGAGCAACGGGGAGAGAGAGGGGGAGAAGGTGTTGAATGGTTGAGAAGATGAGAGTTGAAGGGAGGGAGGGAGCACCTCGTGGCGTTGAATGAGTGAGTGGGATTGAGCAACGGGGGGAGAGAGGGGGAGAAGGTGTTGAATGGTTGAGAAGATGAGAGTAGAAGGGAGGGAGGGAGCACCTCGTGGCGTTGAATGAGTGAGTGGGATTGAGCAACGGGGAGAGAGAGGGGGAGAAGGTGTTGAATGGTTGAGAAGATGAGAGTAGAAGGGAGGGAGGGAGCACCTCGTGGCGTTGAATGAGTGAGTGGGATTGAGCAACGGGGAGAGAGAGGGGGAGAAGGTGTTGAATGGTTGAGAAGATGAGAGTTGAAGGGAGGGAGGGAGCACCTCGTGGCGTTGAATGAGTGAATGGGATTGAGCGACGGGGAGAGAGAGGGGGAGAAGGTGTTGAATGGTTGAGAAGATGAGAGTTGAAGGGAGGGAGGGAGCACCTCGTGGCGTTGAATGAGTGAGTGGGATTGAGCAACGGGGAGAGAGAGGGGAAGAAGGTGGTGAATGGTTGAGAAGATGAGAGTTGAAGGGAGGGAGGGAGCACCTCGTGGCGTTCAATGAGTGATTGACATCTCTTAATGATGGGTGCTGATGCTGCTGCTGACTTCATCAGCCCATGCCATCCATCCGCTCCTAATGGTGAGGCTGACGTTGCAGCGTGGTTTGCCTCCCCTTTGGACGCAGGTGCTGACGTCACTGGGTCATGCTGCTGGTGCTGCCCCTGATGCTCAAGAAGCGGTTCCTTCTGCTGCATCAGGTAATTCTTTCCGTCCTGGAATTCCCTGTGATGGTGCTGAGTGTGATGGTGCTGAGTGTGATGGTGCTGAGTGTGATGGTTAGGGTTACCATCAACGTGGTTGGTAGTACGGTTACCATCCGGGTGCTTACTACAACGCTGGAAGTCGTTACTCTGATGCTCCTGACCGCTAGACTGATACTCTTCAAGAGCATGCGGATGTGTGGAGATCAAAACCTCTCCTTCAGATGCCGACTGCGATTCTGTTCTCCTGCCAGGGGAAGCACTGGTTACGCTATTCCCTCTGGTCCCTCTGTGAGCAGGGGAAACTCTCCTGTACCCTCTGCCATAGCCTATGCTGTGCGTTCCTCTGCCATTCTCTCTCTCGCTATCTCTCTCCATCTCAAGTCCTGCCATCAGTGGAATCTTGCATTCACCGCTGCATCAATTAGCACGACAGGGATGCTATTACTCAGTTTAGAGTTCAACACAGTCAGATTATTCTGGCCGAATCGCGGTAGACAGAATTGAGGAGCACCTCGTAGCAGTGGTGATAATGGCCCGTTTTAAGGTCGTTCGGTTAAGATATCATGCTATGAAGCGTCGGTTTCATATTAGTCGTACCCTGCTGCTCTCATGGACTCGGTAAGCTACACCCCATCGGCTTGTCGCTCGCAAAACGGACGAGATAAGAAGCAACTGGATCCTCAGAACACAAGAAGCACTTGAAGTCTAGTTTTGAGGCGGCTCGAAACTAAGTTACACCCCTCGGCTTCTCGCTCGCAAACGAACGAGATGAGAAGAAATGTACGCAATTGGAGCCTCAGAACACAAGAAGCACAGGATCGAAGTGAACGGATTCCTTTCTCTTTTTCCGGGAATGAAGCCGTGTAACGTGTACTAGAGTTCTCGGTGTGAGTCGCTTCTCGAAATAAGAGAATGGACTGTGAAGGGCTTGCAAAGCGTCGTCTTCCTCTAGCAGCACCATTGCGGGGGTGTGTGCTGCTCATTGCTGATAGAAGAGAAATCAGAGAGGTGTGACCTGACCTCTCTTCCACTGGAGTCTATCTTGGGAAGGTCTGTTGGGAGGTGAGGACTTCCTCGACTCCTCGACTTGGGGAGGGGAGGAACCTTCGAGAACGCAACGCACGCTCGCTCGCCAATCACTCACTCGTGCGCTTGGCTGACCGCACGGGAACCCACTCACACTCCACTCACTCCACTCACTCACTCACTCACTCGCTCACTCAGTCACTCACTCGCTCACTCACTCACTCACGCACTGACTGACACTCGCTCGTCCGAGATTCTGTAGCGAGCAAGCAAAAGGACGAATGGAGAGCAAAGGGACGCACGGCACGTAATTTTAGGGCGTGATATCCGATCACAGCCACGAACAAGGATAAGATGTTGCTGACATGGCATGAGCCGGCTCACGGCTCGATTCGCAGGTGGCAACTCCTTGCGGGGGGCGGTCTTGAAGCTTACGGCAAACAAGAGCATCTATCAGGCACGTATGCACCGGTACGGTTAGATCAATAGGGATTAGATGCGGTGAAGGGACTCAGAATGCGAGGCAACGTTTCTAGTATTAGTTTCTGTAACGGGGTACTGTACAAGTTGGCCACTGCACAATCAGGCGAACCCAAAAGCTCAACCAGGTTTCAAATGTGAGATATTCAACAGAACGAATTTCAATACAAAGTAAGAATATGACAAGGTAGGGGCCTAGCGTCGCAATAATTTATGGAGATTAACAGGAGATATTGTGCAATATCTGCTCTGTGCATCCTCTGTTGCGTGTATGTACCTTTTTTTTCGTAGCTTGAGTTCGTGATGTGCCACGCTTTCCCGACAGTTATAGCCAGCTATAGTTTTGACCATTACTGGCCACGCTGTGTCCTCAGCACGTAGTCTTTCCACCACTGCATCTCACAAAAAAGACGAGCGGATAACTTGAAGTCATGAGATAAGATGATCAATACCGGTGACAGAGTGGTTATGCGTAGAATCAATGTAATCCTTTATTGGGGCATACTGTATTCCTTCCAAAGCCTCACCTTGTGTGAAGCAACAAGAGACGGTATATCGAGCAGGTGTGTTCGCACATAGTGCATTCTGTCTGCCTCCTATGTCCCATGTTCAGCTAGAGGCCAGATTTCCAAAGCCTCACTCTCACCTTGTGTGCAGCAACAAGCGATGGAATATCGAGAGGGTGTGTTCGCACATAGTGCATTCTGCCCGCCTCCTCGGTCCCATGTGCCCACCATTCAATGGGATCGTCCGCCTTCATGCTTATACTGCACTCGCTCGCTCCATTCTTTATTATGCCCTGGGGGGAAGGAGAGTCAACCAAAGCTAAACTGGAGTCAATCAGTGTCAGAAGAGAACAGGGGGCCTCCTCGGTCCCATGTGCCCACCAATCAAAGAGATCATCATTTTTCATGCTCATACTGCACTTGCTTGCTCCGTGCTTTACTATGCCCTGGGGGGAGCAAAGTCAACGCAAGTCAACAGCAGTGGTGGTGGCTGTGGGCAGAAGGACACTGGTCGAGATGTTAGAAAGCAAGGTACTCACACGGAAGTGGTGGTGCCTGCTTTTGAGGCGCCTCAAAAGAAAGCAAGGCACTTACACGGAAGTGGTGATGCCTGAGTGCGTCTGTGGGCAGGTCCTTGCCTCCCCCTACGGGGTCTGTTACCACATGATTCTCCACCACTCGCACCTGTGGGAGAGGGGAAGGGAGGGGGCTAAAAGGGTTAGAGAAGGGTGACAGGAGGTTGAGAGGAGTCGAGATTGACGAAACAACACAAGGTGCCTCTCCCATTGGGATCCACGAGGACATGATTCCATTGGCACCACGTCATTCTCCACCGCTCGCACTTGTGCGACAAAGAGGATAGTGAGAGTGGTTCGTGTGAGAAGAATCGTTTTGGGACGTCCCGAAATTCACAGACAGGATATCTTGCGCATCGGATCCACACCCGCGTGCACTGAGGTGATTTTTAAGGCGCCTCGAAAATCAGACAGAACATCTTGCACATCGGATCCACAACCGGGTTCCATTGTCCCTGATGGATAAGAATGTGGCTAAGGAAACAGTTAACACTCCAAAGAGCACACGCACCTTCCTGGGATCGACAAACAGCTTGCGGTGGCCCCAGTGATCGAGGCACAGCTTAGGGTTGGTGGTGTTGTCCTTGGCCTGGCAGTAGATGAACGGCCAGTGCCACAGCATGCGCTCCAACGGCCACCCGGGGTCTGCGATTGGAGAAGGGGGGAAGGAAGGCAGCGCTCGTGGTCCCACCACAGGCACCCGTGGCTCACATAGGTCAGCTGTGGCTGATATAGCCCCAGGTTAAAGCACATGCAGCAGACTGCACAAGCAAGCAAGAGTGCGTACCGTTATCGCCCTGGGCAGGCAGGCAGCGCTCGTGGTCCCACCACAGGCACCCGTGGCTCACATAGGGCAGGCCTTCGTGTGGGGCGAGGAATTCATGCACGTTCATAGGGTTGGGTACTCGCTCCTGTGGGTAAAGAGACAGAGGGATTGGGGGTCAAGGGAGAGGAGAGGAGAGAGTAGAAGGAGGCTAAGAGTGAAAGATAGGGCAGGCAGACCCTCGTGAGGAGCGAGAAAGTCATGCACGTTCATAGGGTTGGGTACTCGCTGCTGTGGGTAAAGAGACAGTGGGATTGGGGAGGAGTGGCCGAAGGGTTGATTTGTGCACCTCAAGTAGGGTGAGTGAGTTGAAGCAGGCGCAAGGACATGGAAGAATTGGAAGCAGGCGCTCAGGCTGAGAGAGAAAGCGAAATGAGGGGTGTGCGGGTGGGGAGGTGGGATGCTTGCATGCATGTGGACCTGTTCAAAGAGAGGCAGAAGGAGAAGCAGAAGCAGAAGGAAAAGTGTGCACTTGATGCTGATTCTTGCTTGAATGTTGATGAACATGGACTCGTCGAAAGCAAGGTGCGTATGCCAGACGCTGGAGTAGGAGTGAAGTGGCAAGGGGCATGCTCACCTGGCCGTCAATGAAAATAAACTCGTCAAAGTCAAGGTACATGAGCCACTTGGAGAAAACGAAGTGGGTGGTACCTGTGTTTGTGCGTTGCTTACCTGGCCGTCAATGAAAATAAACTCGTCAAAGTCAAGGTACATGAGCCACTTGGAGAGGCGCCGGAAGCGATACACACAGTCGTTCACTATCATGACCTAGTGCGAGGGCGAGGAGAGAAGAGAGAAAGGACATTAGGGGTGCACACGTCGTTCACGATCATGACCTGGTAGGGAGAAGGGGGGGAGGAGTGCAGACAATATTCGCAGTCCTTCATTATCATCACTTTGTGAGGGAGTGAGAGAAAGGAGATGGGAGGGATGGATGGATGGAGGGAGGGATGCCCGGACTTTTTGTTTGCAAGTAGATGCATGTTTGTCGTACTGGGCGTTCTGCATTCTCAAATGCTTTGATCCATCCCCTGCGTACCACCATTGCACGACACCACCACATGCCACCATTGCACGCCAGCTCACCTGTCCATAGTACCATGACTCATAGTTCACCACATCACGGAAATCAGTCACTTCCACGATCCCTCCATCCAGAAACGGCTGCGGGAGATGGAAAGCAAGAGAATGGGTTGGGGAGAAAAGGAGAAGGGTCATGGAGAAGTGGAAGGACCATAATCACATGCCTTTTGAGAGCCCCCAGAGCTGACTTCGAGCCTGCAAGCTGCAGCACAGAGCGCAGTTGCAGGCCCATGCTGCCCACATGGCACAAATCGCATAATGGTCCTCCTCATTACATGTCGCTAGGGTGTGATAAGTCGATTTTTGAGTTGAATCAAAAACCGCATCATAGTCCTCATTACATGTCGCTAGGGTGTGCATGCATGATCCCATCACATGCCTGGAGCACAGAGTGCAGTTGTAGGTCCACCCCTGCCCACGCCGTAGACAACATAATGGTCCATTCCCATGCGTATGTGGCCCCATGCCCCATGCCCCATGCCCCATGCCCCATGCCCCATGCCCCATGCCCCGCCTCATACCGCTCTACATACGCGCAGTTGCAGGTCCCATGGGGGCATGCTCCCATACCTGGAGCATCGAGCGAAGTTGCGGGTCTACCCCGCCCACATCGTAGAGAACATAATGGTCCACTCCCATGCTGATGTGAAGATCCATCCACTGGCGTATGCCTTTAGAGTCGACTCAATAGAGCACAGCACATGACAGCCTCACCCTCACCTGCAGCACAGAGCGCAGCTGTAGGTCCACGCCGCCCACATCATAGAGCACATAATGGTCCACGCCCATGCGTAGGTGCAGATCCATCCACTGCCGGACGCGCTCCGCTCTGACCTGAATGCATGCACATGGAACATGCCACATGACGCATGCCCCATGGGTGAACAATAAACAACACCTGGTGGTGAATCGCGGGGGAGCAGTGCGTGATGCGGTGCAGGAGGGGGTGTGACAAGAAGTGAATGGCAGGTGGCGAGGGGATTTTTGAGGCGCCTCAAAAATCACAAGAAGTGAATGGCAAGAAGGTGGCAAGGGCTCTGTAGTGTAGAGAGAGTACGTGGTGAATGGGAAGAGCACCTACTTGGTGGTGAATGGGAAGAGCACCTACTTGGTGGTGAATGGGAAGAGCACCTACTTGGTGGTGAATGGGCAGAGCACCTACTTGGTGGTGAATGGGAAGAGCACCTACTTGGTGGTGAATGGGAAGAGCACCTACTTGGTGGTGAATGGGCAGAGCACCTACTTGGTGGTGAATGGGAAGAGCACCTACTTGGTGGTGAATGGGCAGAGCACCTACTTGGTGGTGAATGGGCAGAGCACCTACTTGGTGGTGAATGGGAAGAGCACCTACTTGGTGGTGAATGGGAAGAGCACCTACTTGGTGGTGAATGGGCAGAGCACCTACTTGGTGGTGAATGGGCAGAGCACCTACTTGGTGGTGAATGGGAAGAGCACCTACTTGGTGGTGAATGGGCAGAGCACCTACTTGGTGGTGAATGGGCAGAGCACCTACTTGGTGGTGAATGGGCAGAGCACCTACTTGGTGGTGAATGGGCAGAGCACCTACTTGGTGGTGAATGGGAAGAGCACCTACTTGGTGGTGAATGGGCAGAGCACCTACTTGGTGGTGAATGGGCAGAGCACCTACTTGGTGGTGAATGGGCAGAGCACCTACTTGGTGGTGAATGGGCAGAGCACCTACTTGGTGGTGAATGGGCAGAGCACCTACTTGGTGGTGAATGGGCAGAGCACCTACTTGGTGGTGAATGGGCAGAGCACCTACTTGGTGGTGAATGGGCAGAGCACCTACTTGGTGGTGAATGGGCAGAGCACCTACTTGGTGGTGAATGGGAAGAGCACCTACTTGGTGGTGAATGGGAAGAGCACCTACTTGGTGGTGAATGGGCAGAGCACCTACTTGGTGGTGAATGGGAAGAGCACCTACTTGGTGGTGAATGGGAAGAGCACCTACTTGGTGGTGAATGGGAAGAGCACCTACTTGGTGGTGAATGGGAAGAGCACCTACTTGGTGGTGAATGGGAAGAGCACCTACTTGGTGGTGAATGGGCAGAGCACCTACTTGGTGGTGAATGGGAAGAGCACCTACTTGGGGGTGAATGGGCAGAGCACCTACTTGGTGGTGAATGGGCAGAGCACCTACTTGGTGGTGAATGGGCAGAGCACCTACTTGGTGGTGAATGGGAAGAGCACCTACTTGGTGGTGAATGGGAAGAGCACCTACTTGGTGGTGAATGGGAAGAGCACCTACTTGGTGGTGAATGGGAAGAGCACCTACTTGGTGGTGAATGGGCAGAGCACCTACTTGGTGGTGAATGGGCAGAGCACCTACTTGGTGGTGAATGGGCAGAGCACCTACTTGGTGGTGAATGGGCAGAGCACCTACTTGGTGGTGAATGGGCAGAGCACTTACTTGGTGGTGAATGGGCGGCGAGCACCTACTTGGTGGTGAATGGGCGGCGAGCACCTACTTGGTGGTGAATGGGCGGCGAGCACCTACTTGGTGGTGAATGGGCAGAGCACCTACTTGGTGGTGAATGGGAAGAGCACCTACTTGGTGGTGAATGGGAAGAGCACCTACTTGGTGGTGAATGGGAAGAGCACCTACTTGGTGGTGAATGGGAAGAGCACCTACTTGGTGGTGAATGGGCAGAGCACCTACTTGGTGGTGAATGGGCAGAGCACCTACTTGGTGGTGAATGGGCAGAGCACCTACTTGGTGGTGAATGGGCAGAGCACCTACTTGGTGGTGAATGGGCAGAGCACCTACTTGGTGGTGAATGGGCGGCGAGCACCTACTTGGTGGTGAATGGGCAGAGCACCTACTTGGTGGTGAATGGGCAGAGCACCTACTTGGTGGTGAATGGGCAGAGCACCTACTTGGTGGTGAATGGGCGGCGAGCACCTACTTGGTGGTGAATGGGCAGAGCACCTACTTGGTGGTGAATGGGCGGCGAGCACCTACTTGGTGGTGAATGGGCAGAGCACCTACTTGGTGGTGAATGGGCAGAGCACCTACTTGGTGGTGAATGGGAAGAGCACCTACTTGGTGGTGAATGGGCAGAGCACCTACTTGGTGGTGAATGGGCAGAGCACCTACTTGGTGGTGAATGGGCGGCGAGCACCTACTTGGTGGTGAATGGGCAGAGCACCTACTTGGTGGTGAATGGGCAGAGCACCTACTTGGTGGTGAATGGGCAGAGCACCTACTTGGTGGTGAATGGGCAGAGCACCTACTTGGTGGTGAATGGGCAGAGCACCTACTTGGTGGTGAATGGGCAGAGCACCTACTTGGTGGTGAATGGGCAGAGCACCTACTTGGTGGTGAATGGGCAGAGCACCTACTTGGTGGTGAATGGGCAGAGCACCTACTTGGTGGTGAATGGGCAGAGCACCTACTTGGTGGTGAATGGGCAGAGCACCTACTTGGTGGTGAATGGGCAGAGCACCTACTTGGTGGTGAATGGGCAGAGCACCTACTTGGTGGTGAATGGGCAGAGCACCTACTTGGTGGTGAATGGGCAGAGCACCTACTTGGTGGTGAATGGGCAGAGCACCTACTTGGTGGTGAATGGGCAGAGCACCTACTTGGTGGTGAATGGGCAGAGCACCTACTTGGTGGTGAATGGGAAGAGCACCTACTTGGTGGTGAATGGGCAGAGCACCTACTTGGTGGTGAATGGGCAGAGCACCTACTTGGTGGTGAATGGGCAGAGCACCTACTTGGTGGTGAATGGGCAGAGCACCTACTTGGTGGTGAATGGGCAGAGCACCTACTTGGTGGTGAATGGGCAGAGCACCTACTTGGTGGTGAATGGGCAGAGCACCTACTTGGTGGTGAATGGGCAGAGCACCTACTTGGTGGTGAATGGGCAGAGCACCTACTTGGTGGTGAATGGGCAGAGCACCTACTTGGTGGTGAATGGGCAGAGCACCTACTTGGTGGTGAATGGGAAGAGCACCTACTTGGTGGTGAATGGGCAGAGCACCTACTTGGTGGTGAATGGGCAGAGCACCTACTTGGTGGTGAATGGGCAGAGCACCTACTTGGTGGTGAATGGGCAGAGCACCTACTTGGTGGTGAATGGGCAGAGCACCTACTTGGTGGTGAATGGGCAGAGCACCTACTTGGTGGTGAATGGGCAGAGCACCTACTTGGTGGTGAATGGGCAGAGCACCTACTTGGTGGTGAATGGGCAGAGCACCTACTTGGTGGTGAATGGGCAGAGCACCTACTTGGTGGTGAATGGGAAGAGCACCTACTTGGTGGTGAATGGGCAGAGCACCTACTTGGTGGTGAATGGGCAGAGCACCTACTTGGTGGTGAATGGGCAGAGCACCTACTTGGTGGTGAATGGGCAGAGCACCTACTTGGTGGTGAATGGGCAGAGCACCTACTTGGTGGTGAATGGGCAGAGCACCTACTTGGTGGTGAATGGGCAGAGCACCTACTTGGTGGTGAATGGGAAGAGCACCTACTTGGTGGTGAATGGGCAGAGCACCTACTTGGTGGTGAATGGGCAGAGCACCTACTTGGTGGTGAATGGGCAGAGCACCTACTTGGTGGTGAATGGGAAGAGCACCTACTTGGTGGTGAATGGGCGGCGAGCAGTGCGTGATGTTGTGCAGGAAGGGCGGACGTGGAACGGCGTTTACCACCTCCCCCGCTTCCTCCTCATACACCACCACGTCCTCCCCGTCTATCCGCATGTGCAGCCACCCTCCTTCCGCCACATACGCTTCCCTGTGCAGTGTAACATGCGGCACCAGGGCACAACGCACAGGGCACAATGCACAGGGCACATGAGGGGCATAGGGCAGGAAACTGAAATCACCTTCCCCGCCTCCTCCTCATACACCGCCACGTCCTCCCCGTCTATCCGCATGTGCAGCCACCCTCCGTCTGCTACCTATGCTTCACTGAGGCACGGAGCATGGAGCACATGGCACAGGGCACAGGGCACGGGGCACGGGCACAGAGCACAGGACACAGGGCACAATCCTGAGACCATAGTCGACCTCCTTTGACTCCTCCTCATAAACCCCCCACCACGTCCTCCCCTTGCCTCACCCACTCACCTTTTCAGCGTGCACAGCAGGATGAGACCGGCGTATTTCCACCAATGGTGTTCTCCCACGTGTAGCACCTCCACACTGCCATGTATCCACCCCCTCGCTTCCTCCTCCGCCTCCTCCCTCCTCTCCTCCTCCTCCTCCCTCGACCCGCCTGGTTTCTCCCCATTCACAGAAGGATCACTCTCATGTGATTCACCAGGTGAATCAGCAGATGAGCCATTCCCTCCCGCACCTTCTCCTCCCCCTTCTCCTCCCGCCTTCTCCCCACTGTCCTGTGCTGCTGTAGCGTCCCCTCCACCCTCCTCTAGCTGCCTCCTTTTCTGAGACACCTCAAAGTTCTTAGCAGCATTCCCCCCATTCAAATCCTGAACCACTATCTGGCCCTCTCTTCCTCTCCTCAGCACTCTCCTCCTCTCCTCCTCCCTCCTATCATCCGTGCTCCACTCCTCCCACCTCTCTTCCTCGTTCCTCTCCTCCCCCCTCCTCCCCTCCGCCCGCACCACTTTCGTCCTATCACCCATCCTCTTTCCGCCTTGGCGTCTCTCTCTCTTTCCTCCGCCCTCCAGACCCTTTCCTCCTACCCCCAACTCCTTCACCATTAGCCTCCTCCTCCTCTTTCCCCCTTCTGAAGAGCCTCCCTTTGCTTCTCCTCCTCTGCTGCTCTCTCCTTGCCCTCCTCCCACCATCAAGTTACCTTCTTCATCCATTTCCTTCACCATCAACCTCCTCCTCCTTCTCCTCCCTCCCTCTGAAGCGCCTCTCTTTGCTTCTGCTCCTCTGCTGCTCTCTCCTTGCCCTCCCCCAGCTGGTTTCCCTGGTTCCCACACGCATTCGCCCACCTTACACATGGAATCACACACACCACCAAGAATGGTATGGTATGGTTACAACGTGCATAGAATGTTACATAGCAAACAACCAGAGATAAGAAACAAGTTAATACAAGAAAAAGCTAATACGAGAATCAGTTGATTATTACACGATTCCGCACTCCCGCACTTTCACAGGATCCACTTGCAACACACTTTTGAGGCGCCTTAAAAGTCTTCTAAGTTCACGCGGTTTTTATATGGGGACAATAACACAATTATGCACTCCCGCACTTCCACAATATCCACTTGCATCACAATCCATTCATCCGTTTTCTCCTACTCCCTTCCATCACCTTTCATTCGTTCTTCCTCTCCTTCCCCGTCTTTCTCCTCCTCTTATCCAGTTCCTCTCCCTCCCTCCCATCCTCCTCTCACCTTCCCCCCACCCCATCCCCCTCTTCACCTTCCTGCCTTCATCCAGAGCAAACGAACAGCCAGCCCAACAGCAGCGAACTCGGTGGGCGAGACGCAATACGGAGAACTGAGCAAACGACACCAGTCCCACACGCCTGAACGTGTGCTGCCTCAACTCCGCCGGCCGAAAAATGTGCGCGATGTCCCCGCCTTTCTACCTCACCTTCCCATTTTCCCCACCCTCCTCACCTTCCTGCCTTCATCCAGGGCTCGAGCGGCCAACCCAACAGCAGCGAACTCGGTGGGCGAGATGCGATATCCGGAGAACTGAGCAAACGACACCAGCCTTCCTACCTTTTCTTCGAAGCTCAATCTTCACTCACCTTCCTGCCTTCATCCAGGGCTCGAGCGGCCAACCCAACAGCAGCAAACTCAGTCGGCGAGATGCGATACCCGGAGAACTGGGCAAACGACACCAGCCCCACGCGCCTGAACGTGTGCTGCCGCCACTCCGCCGGCCGAAACATATGCGCAATGTCCCCGCCCTCAGGCTCGTTAGATAGACCGCTGTGTCCAGCACCGTTGCTGCTGCTGTCCGGAGCTGCAGGTTTGGCGTTTTGTTCGGAGCTTGGCTCGGAGCCGTCCGAAGCAGTGTTGGCGGTGGCATTGGCAGCAGAGGAGGCGGGAGTGGTGTCGGTGTGTGCTGACTCTCCTGCTGCTTCTGTTGCTGCTGCTACTGGCGATGATGGTGGTGAGTCGCTCTGGGTGAGAGACTGAGGGGTGAGTTGAAGGGTAAGATGCAGAGGTGGAAGCAGAAAAGGGCACAAGCAAAGCAAGCAGGCAGGGCAGGTTGAAACGATATTTCAATCGAGGCGCCTCAAGAACACATTATGTTACAGTTGCTTCTTTCGGCGTGCGCCTCTGAAAGCTTGTGTAACGTGTTTGCAGGAAACACATCATGTTTGTTTTCTCCTTAGCAGCTCACAAATATCTTCCACAAAAGTCAATGTTTCTGCAAAACTGACGCTTACCGATTGAGCAAACTGCGGGGGTATGGAAGAGGAGGCACGGATGAGTGCTTGCTCCTCGTCCTGGAAGATTGAGAAGATGTCAAACCAGAAAATGAACACCTGGGAACGGGAAGGGGGAAGGGGAAGGGGAGAAGGGGAGCAGTGGGGCACCTGGCAGCCTGCTCTCTCTCTGCTCAATCTCTCTGTCTACCTCCGAGATAAAGATGATGTGGAACAAACAGAAAAAAACACCTCAATGAGAACTCTAGAGACGTCTTAAAAGACGAGAAAAAACACCTGGATGAGAACAATGATGAAGAACATCGCTCACAAAGACCTGTATGACCTCTCACTCACGGCGGCAAATATGGTCCTCACCACTTGTGAGTGATGTTTTTTTTTTTTACTCCAAATTCACAAACCTAAAGGAAAAGGGATGGAGAACCTTATATATGCACCACTTCTCGCCAGTAAAAAACAGACCGCCAGAAGAAAGTAAAGCATAGAACCCCTTGGCTCTTGAGTCGACTGAAAAGCCACCTCCGGCCTCCCACACGCACATGTCACCTACGAACTCACCAGTAACAGGCAGACCGCCAGAAGAACGTAAGGCATGGAACCCTTGGGCAGCTGTAGTGAGGATCAGAATGGGGAGGATTGGAATGGGGAGAATTAGAATGTGGGGAGGATTGGAATGAGGTAGAACAAGGTTGGCTGCACGGGCAGGACTGGGAAATTCGCCTGCCTTGCACGAATTGGGGAATTCACACAAATTTACAGGATGGTAATGGAAGGTTAAGGGAGGGTTTTGTCGCACCTCTCGACGCTTGCCAATGTCAACGCACCTCTCTACGTTGAATGAGGGCGTGCCATTGCTGCATGATGGATGCTGACGCCGCTGACGTCACTGGTTGCTGCTGCTGCTGCTGATGCAGAAGCGGCTGCTGCTGATATTGCAGCTGATGTTGCTCCAGATGTTCCTCCTGATTCCCCTGATGCACTGGATAAAGCTCGAATTCCCGGTGGTCTTCATGGCTACTCCGATGGTCTAGATGTGTGTGTCTATGGTCTTGATGCTGGCTGTGCTTATGGTCCTGATGGCCGTGCTGGTGCCTGGAACCTTCGCTTTCAGAGGCTGACGGGGATGCTGCTGCTCGACCGCTTTCGTCGCTCACGCCGCTTCCGGGGCTCGCGGCTCTCCTGTGCATTCCCTTGCTCTTCTCCTTCTCTCTCCCCCGTCCCTTCTCCTTCTCCTCTTTCCCTCTCTCCTTACCCTTTTCCCGACCTTTTTCTCGCCCCTTCTCCTTATCTCTCTCCTTCCCAGCCATCTCCTGCTGTTTTTTCGTCAAAAGCGGCCCGTTACACCTGGCGACGATTAGTAACACGATTCTGACCAATCGGAGTCGTCATGGGAGAAACAACTGCGTTACGAAGGGCATTGATACGGAGCGCCTGCAGCAACGTACGGGCGAAACCCTTTCAAACTGCACCGGGCAATTTTGAGCAAGTTTTAAGTCTGATCATAACAGGAAATCGCGCAAACGTTGCTATGGAATGAGCAATGTAAGCTGGGAGCGAGGCGGACAGTGCAGGAATAGGAAGGAATGGCAGCGTTCCGTTTCCAATTCGACGGTCAACCTACGGCCAAGAAGTAATCCGTGACTGGCGGAGAATGTGAAGGTTGTCAGGACGTTGTCAATTGATGGATCGCCCAATATCGATCAGTCACCGCGCGGTAATCAAGGTTATTGCATCTGAAACCTACCAAAACCTATTTGAACACCGGAAAATAACGACCTGAGCCTGAGGGCGATCAATCTGCAACAATCCCAAGGACAATCCTGAACCGCATCCCCAGCAGGACAAGCAGCAACATATACACTTCTTACAATGCTTCCATATTGGTGTCGGCCAAGGGCTCCTCAAAAACCCCGTTTATTATTTGAACTTGTAACAAGCTTTCCGAAAATACATGTATGAGGACTTTGCATGTATAAGGTCTAGTCTTTCCGTGCGCACCATATTGTAACGCGGATAAGTGGCTACTTTTCTGCGGTGCTTCTCTCTCTTACGTCACCGTTGTGTCAGACAGTGACGTGGCTTTTTCTCCAAGCAAGAAACGTCACGACCCGCAGCGCAGTGCGGTAACGCATCACCTTGTAGTGATGCCAGTTTCTCATTTGGTCACGGCTGCTTGCCTCCGCCATTCGCCTCCAGGTAGTCGCGCAGTTTGTCGCACTGAATCGTAGGTGATAGCAGGCGATTGTCGTACAGGGAAGCCTCTGAATTAGACGCGACGCGCATTCCATTCCGTCGCCTGCCTCTCCGCATCGCCTGCGTCCGCGAATTCCAGGGTTTGCCTGGCTTTCCGGACATCTCAAACTCAGCCACAGATTTCGCGTTCCGCGTTTGAGTTCCGCGTATCCACCGGATCTGGCGTTCCGCGGTCGGCGTTCCGTGTCCTGCGTTTTCGTTTTCGGGCCCGGATCTACCACCATGCAGCACCTACGATCACGCGGCGCCCCCGTTGCCGAGATTCTCGCGGCTCGGTATGCCTCACTCCGTGTGTCTATTCCATGTCCCGTGTATAAACAAGTGTTTTGGGACGTCTTGAAACACTTCTTTATACACGTGGCCTTACTCCGTGTGTCTATTCTATGTCGTACTCGAGCACGCAGTCTAGTTTTGAGGCGCCTCAAAATAACAGGTTGTACTCGAGCACGCAGCATCTCTCCCAGAAAAAAAGTGAAGGGAACCCCTCTCTAGTCTCCTCATCACTGTCGAAATATGTACTTAATTCTACCAGTTTATTAAGCTGCAGGCCTCTGTTGAATCATGTGTAGTATTCGCGATACTCACCTTTGGATCGTCACTATGTGCTCTCATTCACACCCCGCCTCCCTTCTCCCTTCCTTCTTTCTGCCCAGCCTCTCACCTCTCCTCTCCCGCACTTTCATCGCAGCTTCCTACCATTCATCTGTCCACGTGTTCCCTTGTATGGCTGAGGAACGCCAGAGCCAAGGGACAGTCCCGGCAGCTGCAGCTGGTTTGGCAGCAGACTCAGCAACAACACCAGGTTCGGCAGCAGCAGCAGGAGGAGGAATGGCAGCATCAGCAGCAGGAGCGGCTGCAGGAGCAACAGCAGCAGCAGAGGCAGCCAGGCAGAATCTGAACAGGCAAGAAAAACATCGAGCAAGAGAAGAATCTGAACAAGCAATCCCGTTGTCACGTCGATGTTTGTGAAATTTGTTGGTTGGTTGCTTGGTTTACTTCGTCGTGACTGGACTGCCACTCCTTGCCGGTAGATCAATTCTTGAGAACTCTCAAAAGCGTTTTACAGCATCACGGTTGCTTGATTTACTTTCTCGTGACTGGACTGCCGCTCCTCGCCTTAAACTCCCCCCCAACAGGCTGCGCTACCGCAGCAGGCAGAGGGGTTTCTTGGAGCTGGATCTGCTGCTGGGAAAGTAGGTGGATGGGGTCCCGTTCCATACATCCAGCATGGGTCCTTTCCTCACTTCATGCCTGTCCTGTCCTGTCCCTCCCCCACGCCTCCTCAGGCTGCGCTACCGCAGCAGGCAGAGGGGCTTCCTGGAGTTGGATCTGCTGCTGGGCAACTTGGTGGTGCTTTCTTCCCACACCTGATTGCACCATGCTCTACCCGTCGCTCATCGCACTCCCCTCCCTTCCCCCACAGGCTGCGCTACCGCAGCAGGCAGAGGGGTTTCCTGGAGCTGGATTTGCTGCTGGGCAAGTGGGTGGAGGAGCACCTGCCTTCCCTCGACGCCTCCCATCTCACTGCTCTTGCACGCCTCATGGACGAGGTGAGAGGTGACTGTGAGGTCATTGGCTATTGTCTGCTGGACGAGGTTAAGTGAGGAGCGGGCAGAGGGGCTTCCTGGAGTTGGATCTGCTGCTGGGCAACTGGGTGGAGGAGCATCTCCCTTCTCTGGACGCGCCTCACCTGACGGCGCTTGCACGCCTCATGGATGAGGTGAGAGAGAGAGAGGGCGCTTTTGACTGTTGGACGAGGTTAATTGAGTAGCAGGCAGAGGGGCTTCTTGGAGTTGCATCTGCTGCTTGGAGTTGCAAGTGGGTGGAGCAGCACCTCCCTTCTCTGGACTCCTCTCACTTGACAGCCCTTGCACGGCTCATGGACGAGGTAAGGAGGTACTTTGGCTCCTATACCAGGTGAGTGCTGATCAAGACCTGGAGCTGCATCTGCTGCTGGGCAAGCGGGTGGAGCAGCACCTCCACTCCCTGGACTCCTCTCACCTGACAGCCCTTGCTCGCCTCATGGACGAGGTGAGGATGAGTTGTTGTCTGTTAATGGGAGCTTCTTGAGACAGCATTGCAGAGGGGCTTTGGAGTTGGATTTGCTGCTGGGCAAGTGGGTGGGGCAGCACCTCCCTTCCCTCGACGACCCTCACTTGACGGCTCTTGCTCGCCTCTGTATACTTCCTGCCCACACCCGCCTCCTCTCTTCAAATAGTAGCGTCCCCTCCCTCCGCATGCATACCTCCTAAGTCTCTCCACCTCTCCCTCTCTCTCCCTGGCAAAATCTTCTCCCCCCCCGTATTGCACACACAGGAGAGTCCGGATCCTTTAAGTGGTTTACAAGTCAGGAGACAGCGCCTGGTGCATGCACACCCTCCAACACTTTCCCTCCCCCTTTCCCCCATCCTCCCTCTCCCGTGCACACGCAGGAGAGTCCGGATCTCTTCAAGTGGTTTACCGGACAGGAGAAGGCCCCACAGCATGTCTCTCAGAACCCTGTGAGTGATTCTTTGACTTTTGAGGCGCCTCAAAGGGATCTCTTCCGGTGGTTTACAGGTCAGGAGACGGGCCCACAGCATGTCTCTCAGAACCTTGTGAGTGATTCTTTGACTTTTGGGGCGCCTCAAAGGGATCTCTTCAGGTGGTTTACAGGTCAGGAGACGGCCACACAGCATGTCTCTCAGAATCCTCGCAGCTTCTCATGTGAGCATTTTCCTCAAAAGTTGCGTCTCGAAAACAACTTCTGCAAAATATTTATGCGGTATGAGTTCCGTAGGTCGAAATAAGAATGCTTACCTCGCCGCTTACCTGTTTTGAGACGTCTCAAAACACATCTTGAGACGTCTCAAAACACGTCGAAATAAGAATGCTTACCCCATTGCTTACCTGTCCGTCTCCCCACCCACTTATTCATTTATGGATCTTTTTTACTGAACCCCCTAAACCCCATCACCCATCTCTTCCACTGCAGGTGTATCTCTCTATTCGCAGCAAAGTAGAGGAGAAACTTCATCTCATGCACCCAGCAGTGAAGGCAACACCTGGCCTGCCGTGGGTGCGGGGGTGGGAGGACATGCAGAGGCAACCAGGCGCCCCCCCTGCTGGCAACCAGTAGAGTCTTGTGTGTTACCCAGCTGAAGGATGTATGTACCCCTCTTTTAGGGCGCCTGAGAACACGTGTGGTACCCAGGTGAGGGATGGGTGTCTGCGACCTGCTGTGAAGGAGGTGTTATGCCTGGGCTGCCGTGGGTGAGGCGAGGGGGTGGGAGGACATGCAGAGGCAGCCAGGCACGACCCCTGCTGGCAACCAGTAGAGGCGTGTGTGTCAACCCAGCTTAGGGACGGGTTCATGTACCCTGCAGTGAAGGGAACGTCACGCTGAGCACGAGTTGTACAGGGTTTTTTCAGTGTGTTACATTACAGTATAGTTTGGAAGTGATTGTATCGTTAATGATGCCCCACAGCATATTAGTGTTGTGGTCTATTCTGTCAGGGAATTGTATTGGCTGCACAATATAAAGCATGAAAATCGTCAAAAGCTGTGCACATGCAGCATCGCGTGAAATGTAATTCAAGATATGTGTATATAGATAGAGTACCACCGCAATACCATAGCACAAGTCTGCACAGCAAACCGTTCAGCTAAATCCCGTTGGTGCAGTAAGCGAACAGGGAGAGTAGGAGTGGCTCATACACAAGATGTTTGATACTTGAGAGAAGAAAAAACTGATCTTCTAGGCATAAGCATGTAAATCGTTCAGCTACCTCGGTAGGTGGAGTAGGAGAAGGGGGAGAGCAGCAGCGGCACGTGGAAGTGCTCCCTCTCTTGCTCTGGCAGCACACGGAACACTATCGACACATGAGGGAAGAACCCACCACCACTGCCACTGCCAGCTTGTGCGTCTCCAGCCCCTCTGGCTCCGTGCATCCGACCAAGATACTCCCCCGTTCCAAAGCTCAGCCGGTAGATCCCAGCTCCCACTCCTCCTCCCACCGCTCCTCCCCCATCTCCACCCCTGGCAAGCAGCCCAGCAGCCCTGCCATCAGCATTTGTCACTCCCTCACCCATTCGCACCCATCCCAACCCTGCACCACCACTATCACTTTCCCTTAGGGCTTCTATCTGTCGCTCTAGCACCACTTCAATGCCGGCAGCGGGTCTGCCCAGAGCCACATCCAGCACGTGCGTGGAGATGGACGGATGCTTGGCGCTTGTAGCAGGTGTGACTGTAGCAGGTACAGCTGTGCTTGGAAGGCCTGGTGACAATGGGAAGCAGGGAAAACGGAGAGATTAGCAGCGGTTCTGAGGCGCCTCAAAACTAAATGGAGAGATTAGCAGCGGTTTTGCCCAGAGCCATGTCAAACACGTGTGTGGGGGTGGACGGTGATTTGATGCTTGTCGCGATGTGTAACACACTACTACCACACGCACACCTGGGCTGATGTGTGCAACGACTCTAACCAAACGGTACATTGCAAGAAAGTAGTAGACAGATTGTGTAGCGGTTTTTTTTTTTTTTTTTCCCCTCAATCGATTGATTCAAACATGCATCTCAACCGTCAAAGAAAACACAGAAGCACGCACACACCTGGGGAGATGTGTGCTGCGACTCTAGCCAGGCGGTAGGTTGCAGGGGAGGAGACTGGGCGAGGGAAGGTATATACGGAAAATGCATGGTCGGGAGAGGTAGGGAAACAGAGGAGCGAAAAGGACTTTACTAACAGAAAATAGCAGTGAGTTGGCGTATAAGGTAATCTAATAGTGGGTGATGGGGTGAGAGAGTACATAGAACAGGAATAAACCAAATCGAAGGTTTGGATAGGACGGAACCACACCTATGGTGTCAGTGCCAATGGTGGGAGCATTCAGCAGCAGCTTCTCCAGCCTCAGCTGTGTTGCGGTCAGACTTAACATGCACGCACAACCACACACATACACACGCACCTGTGGCGCCAACAGCATTGGTTGGTGGGGCCATTCAGCAGTCACAACCGGAGACACACCTGTGGTATTGCTGCCATCTGCGAAAGGAGCATCCAGCAGCAGCTTCTCCAGCCTCAGCTGTGTTCGCAGTCAGAATTAACATGCACGCATGCATGCACAACCACACATATACACACGCACCTGTGGTGCCAGTGCCATTGGTGGGAGCATCCAGCAGCAGTTTCTCCAGTCTCAGCTGGGTGATCTTCTCTTGCTCTTTCGCTGCCAGCTGCACCTCATAGATGGGCTGATTTGCCAGGCGCTCCTGCAACAGCCGGGGCGCAGTCACATGGGATAAATGAGCACCTGCGAGCAGCTTGCTTCTCCAGCCTCAGCTGTGTGATCTCTTGCTCCTTGTCTGCTAGCTGCACCTCATAAATTGGATGTTTCCCCAGTCGCTCCTGTAACAGTAGGGGTGCACACACACGGGATAATGATGTGTTATACTCCTTTTTATAAAAGATGTGTGATCTTCTCTTGCTCCTTTGCTGCCAGCTGCACCTCGTAGATCGGCTGATTCCCTAGTCGCTCCTGTAACAGTGGGGGAAAATTGGACCCTCGACATTGGCATATGTCTCACAAAACAAAGGCTGTGCACTTCAATCACAGCAAATCATGCCTGAGGAAAACGAAGGAGCAGTCACATGGATACCTTCAGCGCAGCAAGAATTTCCGAAGCGGGCTTGCCCTGAGCGCAGATGATGAAGATGTGACCAAAGCGCTGCTCGTACCGGCGATTACACTCCGCCATCTCCTGACAGGGGGCAGCAGAAAAACGGGTAGATAGGCAGGCAGGCAGGCAGGCAGGCAGGCAGGCAGGCAGGCAGGCAGGCAGGCAGGCAGGCAGGCAGACAAGCAGGAAGGCCTATGATGTTGATCCGTGCGAAGGGTGTTTTTGTTGCTGCTTTTCTCCTGAGCGCAGATGATGAGTATGCGGCCAAAGCGCTGCTCATAGCGGCGATTGCATTCCGCCATATCCTAATATGGAGCCTCAAGAACCGTGCTTGCATTTTACTACCATGAACTTGCCTGGAAGAGTGTGTCGTCTGATTATTGCAGGGCTGCTGCTTGCTTCGAGGCGCCTCAATAAAGTTTGACGCACCTCAGAGAAGCGGACTTGCTTTTGACTACCATGAAATTGCCTGGAAGTCGCCTGATGATTGCAGGGCTGCTGCTTGCCTGCTTCGAGGCGCCTCAAAAATGTTGGAGGCACCTCAGAAAGCGGACTTGCTTTTGACTACCATGGAACTTGCCTGGAAGAATGAGTCGTCGGATGATTGAAGCGCTGCTGCTTGCTTCGAGGCGTCTCGAATATATTTTAAGATGACTCTACTGTACTTGACTTTGAATACCATGGAACTTGCCTGGAAGAATGCGTCGTCGGATGATTGCAGGGCTGCTGCTTGCTTCGAGGCGTCTCGAATATATTTTAAGATGACTCTACTGTACTTGACTTTGAATACCATGGAACTTGCCTGGAAGAATGCGTCGTCGGATGATTGCAGGGCTGCTGCTTGCTCCCCTTGGGACCATCTGGAGGCAGAACAATGACATGTGCATGCGGCACACAAGTTCAATCAAGATGGAAATGCATGCAGACACATGCCAACACATGCGGATGCATGCGAAGGAATGCGAAATCATGCGAATGCATGCGATAGGGCATGGCTACATGTAAAAGCACCAAGATGCAAACACAGCAATGCCTATGCACAGTTTATCCCCCATGATTATCATCAGATAGCATCACCGCAATCAACCATCACCCATCCCAACCAACGACGCTTGAAATTCCAAAGCATCACCTATCTTCGTTTCTATCACACGCCATTACTATCACACGGCACTTACCGCTGTGTGGCGAACTTTCTCTTGAGAGATGCCACGTCACCAATTTTGGGATGAGCACTGAAGGCCTCCAGCCAACCCGAGATGTCCACCTGGCTACAGGATACAACTCATTAGGGCACATATAACTATGCAGTTACCCTGGGATTACCCATTCTGTATTTGGGCACGGGATAGGTGTGTCGCGTTCAAGAATACTACAAATTCGCTACTATGGTTTGTAGAATAGCAAAGACGACATAAATTCCTTCAATCTTCTTACATCCAGCCCCCAGCAAGGACCCCGGTACAATAACATTGATAACACAGCACCGGGTGTCTGAGAAAAGAAATAACACTAATGTAAAGAATAAACACGTGTGGGCTAACCTGATTCCACCACACGTCGCTAGCAGCACTTTGCAAATCCTCGAAGCTTCTGAAAGGCCGGCGCGCTGCGAGGCCAGAGGCGAACCTCTTGGAGCCGCAGCAGCGAATCAACGCCTCGCTCGTCTCGGCCTCTGGAAGCGCGTTGAGCCATCGCAATCCCGACTCGAGCCGCGTTGCTCTCCCTTGCTCAGACTGCTGCGGTTCAACCATTGCGATTGCGGGGACGAACGCTTTTGAAAACTATCAAGCGCGGACGAGCGTAGAATCGGTAGGCGCGTCACGACTCACGACGAGAGGAGCCGTTGGTTGAGCCCGCGTGCTGCGGTCCTAGTGACTAGTGCAGCTGACAAGTGAGTGAGCGCAACAGCCTCGTGAAATTGTTTCCCGATGAAAGACCTGTCAATTGAACCGTACTAAAACCCCTTAAAAGCAAATGTCACCGCAATCGAAACGTCCGCACAACTCAACGCAGAACAAAGAGGTTCGCTTTTGAAGCACATGATAATCGGAATCAGAGTGATTGTGGGAGAGTGCTGCTAATATCGTAACTATTTTTAACTGCCTAGCAAAAACAAGACATATTCTTCAAAGAACTAACCTGCTCTGGCACTCCACCTCATTCCGGAGTCCAGATTTCCTAACCTTCTATATTCATAAAGCGCTCTATTCACCTACAGCGTTCATGTACACGATTTCTATCCTTGACCACTTCACATAATGGACCCACCCTGGAAATTGCGCTCTCAACACAACTGCCACCCTATCTCCTGCTTGAAGCGACTGCACAAATGGAGATTCAGCGCTCCACGTTTTGGAATGCCGTTGCCAACGTCTAACGGCATGAAGGTTGCGGTAGATTTCATCTCTGGAAGCGGAGAGCGAACCATCAGGCATTATTCTTGCGAGTTCAGCGAATGTCCACGAGTTGTTGTAGGTGTTTTGGTCTTGGGGATAACTGCTCCATCTGACATTCCAAAAACAATTGAAGCAAAGGGGTGGGTGGGGAGTAAAGGGGTGGGGCGAGGAGGAGGGGGAAGGGGGGAGGGGGGGGGGGGGGGGGGGGGGGGGGGGGGGGGGGGGGGGGGGGGGGGGGGGGGGGGGGGGGAGGGGGAAGGGGGGGGGGGAGGGGGAGATGGAAAAATGCCGAACATATAGTCGAGGATTGGAATCTAAAAAAGGGAAAAACAAGAAGAGCGCACATGAGAGTTTAATTAGAGGCGACTTTACTCCTTACTTAGACAGCAACTTCAGGGAATTTCTTTGGAATTAAGGAGAGAACACAAAACGGGGTGGCATTCTAAAATCACAAAAAAATCACCTCCCCCTCTCTCTCTCCCTCTCCCCCCCCCCCCCTCCCTCCCCCCCCCTCCCCCCCCCCGCCCCCTCCAAAAAAAAAAGAAAATACATGAAAGAAAAATAAATCACAATGTTGATGTGGACAGGCAACACATTACTTACCCTTGGTCATGAGCTTCCGCGTCAACTTTAATCTCCTTAATCCGACCCTTGTCGAAATCCACAGGCTGCGAAATTACATAAGTCTCCTCCCAGTCCCCACCACTCATCCTGTCACTACTGAAAGACACGTCTTTAACATAATAGCCAGCGTACTCAATGATAGCCTGAATAATATCGTCAAGAAGGGGAGGAAGTGTGCCTTCAAAACCCGTTCGGAACGCCGACACAACTTCGCGAAATTGAGAGACGGACGGGGCGAAGGATGGGACGAGTCGCATAGGCTGACGCGCTTCGGAAGCAAAGGAACGGGGAGATTCAGAGCCAGATTCAGATCCCGAAAAGGAGTGGTGCGGAGATTCAGCGCCGGAAATAGAGTGGCGCGGGGACTCGGCTCTACGAAACGTGCGACGCCACATCCCACGCCGAAAATTGAGTTTTACCCATCTTCGCCCACTCACCATTGCACTAGCAATGACTAAAATTACTTAAAAGCGGGTAAGCAGTGCTGAACCCTTGCTGAGAGATTGGTGAACAATGTCCCCCGTTCCTCATAATATATCTCATATTCCCCATGGTCTCTGCAGCCGCTGTCAGTGCGCATCTGGCCGACCCGCAGGTGCCAGTTTGGATTGGCACAGCGAGTTTAGAGCGCGTCACCTCCTAACTCGAAATCGTCGGACATGAAGGCGGAACTCAAGAAAGGCGGAACGAAACGTGTCGTAGGGGAGTGTGAGGCGTGTCCCACACGGTTTTCCTGAATGCGGTTCAATAAGTGGTAACAGCGGTAAATTCAATGTATAGAGTGGTTGGGTCGGATGTTGAGGACATGATGGAGAAGTGTCGGACACGAAACACGCTTGGCTTCTGTGACGACACGACATTCCCCTACCACACCGCCGCAGTCCGTCCTGGCTTTCGCACAATGCACGCATTCCTCAGAATAAGTTGAGAAAGCTGTAAAACGACGCGGTTAACTTATAATCAGAAAGGTTGAGTAGGGTATGAGGAAACTCTATTTTCAGTTAACACCTAAAATTGTTTCGTAGGAAGTCTCGGTCAAGTGCTTCTGAGCACGTTTGAGTACGTTTCTGACTGTGAATAACCCCTGATCTGTGAACTCTGACACGAGCTAGAACACGAGCCAAAGTTCTCCGAGTAACACGCCTCTGCCCTGACTAGGGTACCTCACAAAATCCTGTTACCTGATAGTTTCCTGGTACGTATTGTGAACTGAAAACAGCCCTCACACACCGAAAGAACACACCTGCGGCGAGAGTTTCTAGTTTCCTAGTGGCATTTGGCAGTTGCAAGCATCTCTGTGTTTTAAGCATTGGTGCCGCCATTGCGGGTACAGCGCCGCGATCCTGTCAGCGCCTTCCGCCGGCCATTCCACGAAACCGTACGAATTTTGTAACAGAAAACGTTACAGCCAGGCAAACCCCCGTCCGGTTACTGGCGATTTCGTTTCTCCAGCTGACGCGCCTCAGGAATGTCGACGTTTGTTCACTGATTGCGTTACACTAGCTGAGGCGTCTCGAGCGAGTCTCTATCCGTCTACCAAATTCTTGCACGACACGGACTTTGTTACTCCAGCTGACGCGGCGCGATTGTTCGTTCCGCCGCTTCAACCGCGCTGCGCCGCTGCCGCGAGCGGAGGCTCCGCGAGGCTTCTGTGGTGCGGCTCTTGCGGAATGCGGCTCGGCGGAACGGAAGCCGGCGCGGCATGATTCCGCGGATGGGCGGAACAGCGCCGAGTCGGGGGCGTTTGGGCGGAAACGAGGGGATTGCGGGGCGTGTGGGGGAACCGCGCAGCTTTCTGCACCATATTACGGTGGAAGAGGAGAAGGTGGGGTTGAAGAGAAGGGAGGGGGAGGGGGGGGGGGGGGGGGGGGGGTCGCAGGGAGGAAGGAGAAGGGTAGTATTGGGGGAAAGGTGTGAACGTGGGGGGGAAGGTTTGGGCGGAACCTAGGGGGGTGGGGGTCCCGCCCAGTGGGCGGAGTTGCGCAGATATCCGAGCCATACTGCGGTGGAAGAGCGAAGGTGGGGAAGGGGCGGAGGGGGAGGAGATGACGGGGGTAGGGGGAAAAGGGGGGATTATTGGTGGGGAGGGGTGTAAAGCAGCAGGGAAGAAAAATTCTGTGTTCACACCATACCCCGTTTCCCCTTCCCCCCACCATCATCCCGGTAAGAGAAGCAGTGGCAGGGCGCTTCTTTGTCCACCCCCCACCATACCCGGCGAGGGCAGCAGTAAAAGGGGATTCTGTGTCCCCACCATATCCCATTCCCCCTTCCCCCCACCATCATCCCCTCCCCACTTCCTTTGTGCAGCCGGGGAACAAGCACCGGGCGAGGCCAGCAGTGAAAGGGAGCTTTTGCCTCACTCACCGCCAGTTACCTTCCCCATCCCACCTACCCATTTCCATCCCCCATGTTCAAGTTTCAACCCCCCCTGGGTTCATGCATGCATGCATGCAGCACAAGCACAAGCACCGGGTGAGGGCAGCGGGAGAGGGAGCTTTTGCCTCACCACCAATTTTCTTCCCCATCCCACTCGCCCACCTCCATCCCCCATGTTCAAGTTTGATTCGACTCAAAAGCAGAACCCCCCCTGGTTCATGCATGTATGCAGCCGGCGCACAAGTATCAGGTGAGAGCGGCAGTGGAAGGAGCTGTCTGTCCATCCACACTATCTCCCTTCTCCCTCCCATCACCACTACCCGCTCCCTTTCTCCCCGCACCTACCCCCCCCCCCCCCCCCCCCCCTCCCCTTCCCCCTCTCTCTCTTGCAACCGGGACACGAGTATCGGGTGAGGGCAGCAGTGGAGGGAGGCTTCCATGTCCCCACCCCACCAACTCTTTCCAACTCCTACCTACCTTGGTTTGACTTTTGAGAATTCTCAAAAGTCCCACCTACCACCATCCCGTTTCCCGTTTAAACGTCTTCTCTCCTTCATGCAGCCTCAGCGCAAGTATCGGGTGACAGCAGCAGTAGAGGGCGGATTTCTTAGGCGCCTCAAAAGTCGTATCGTGTGAGGGCAGCAGAGGAAGGGCGCTTCTGCGACAGACACCTCCATCCCCCACTCTGCCCCCCTCCCCCCCTTTATTCATGCAGCCTCAGCGCAAGTATCGGGTGACAGCATCAGTGGAGGGCAAATTTTCGTTCTGCAGCGATCTGGCTCGCACCAATGGTGTGGGCGGCAGTGCTTCCACGTGAGTGTGTGGTACAGCATGCGTTATTTATTAGTGGCCGAGGTCATGGGCAGAACAGAGAGCATATGTTATTTATTAGTGACCCCGGCATGCACAAACACACGCATGAAAGCCCGTGTTATGCCTGCCGTCCTTCTCTCTCCCCCCCCTCTCTCTCCTCTCCCCTCCCCCCAACCAGCCCCATGGACTATGCAGCAGCAGCAGTCGCCATGTGCACCTGGCGACCATGTGCCACCACTGTCCGACTGGGACAACCGCTGCCCCTTCCTTCCCCCACCCTTCTTTCTTCCCCCTGCCCACTATCCCCCGCTTTCCTTTCCTCCCCCAACCAGCCGCATGGACTATGCAGCAGCAGCAGTCGCCATGCGCACTGCCACCACTGTCCGACTGGTATGCGCCTGCCTTTGCTTCAATCCACACTTCCTTCTCCCTCCTAACCCTCTTCCCCCTTTGCATTCACCCCATGTTGCTGTCACAATATAACCAACCTTTCATCTCTCTCGCTGCCATGTCCCGTTCCCTCCCCCTTTCCCTCCCTTTCCCTCCCTTTCCCTCCCTTTCCCTCCCTTTCCCTCCCTTTCCCTCCCTTTCCCTCCCTTTCCCTCCCTTTCCCTCCCTTTCCCTCCCTTTCCCTCCCTTTCCCTCCCTTTCCCTCCTTTCCCTCCCTTTCCCTCCCTTTCCCTCCCTTTCCCTCCCTTTCCCTCCCTTTCCCTCCCTTTCCCTCCCTTTCCCTCCCTTTCCCTCCCTTTCCCTCCCTTTCCCTCCCTTTCCCTCCCTTTCCCTCCCTTTCCCTCCCTTTCCCTCCCTTTCCCTCCCTTTTCCCTCCCTTTCCCTCCCTTTCCCTCCCTTTCCCTCCCTTCCCTCCCTTTCCCTCCCTTTCCCTCCCTTTCCCTCCCTTTCCCTCCCTTTCCCTCCCTTTCCCTCCCTTTCCCTCCCTTTCCCTCCCTTTTCCCTCCCTTTCCCTCCCTTTCCCTCCTTTCCCTCCCTTTCCCTCCCTTTCCCTCCCTTTCCCTCCCTTTCCCTCCCTTTCCCTCCCTTTCCCTCCTTTCCCTCCCTTTCCCTCCCTTTCCCTCCCTTTCCCTCCCTTTCCCTCCCTTTCCCTCCCTTCCCTCCCTTTCCCTCCCTTTCCCTCCCTTTCCCTCCCTTTCCCTCCCTTTCCCTCCCTTTCCCTTCCGTCCCCTCCCTTCCCCTCCTTTTCCTTCCTCCCACAATATGCAGACAGAAAGCAGTGGCCGCTAACACACATCGCCATCACAGTGGAACCAACTATTCCCTTGCTTCCTGAGCTGCTACCCCCTTTTCCTTCCCCCCTTCCATGCACCATGCATCATGCACCATGCACCATGCACCATGCACCATGCACCATGCAGGGAAGTCGCAAGGGAAGTCTCACATACGTGGTGACTTTTGAGTCGACTCAAAAGGTGGTGCTTGTCGAAGTATAGTGTAGTGTCACCTTTGAGTGTAGCGTTGCCTCAAAAGTGACGCAAATGAAGTGCAGTGTGACGTGACGTGGCATTGATCTCATGGGAAGGTTAGCGCGTCACAAGAGGGAGGGGAGGGTCACACCTGTGTGATGCGGTGCAATGCGGTCCTAGTGACTGTTTTTCCAAAATGTGCACTGCTGCAGGCACCTGCCTGTTTTTAGAGAGGTTCATAGGTACGTACGTGGTATGTACTATCTGGGGTGAAGCCTACGGTAAGTGTTTTTACCAAGAACGAATGCTATTTCAATTGTGTTAAACCGAGCAATATGCTAATGCCGTCGCAATCGAGCAAAGCAATCGATTAGCATGCAGAGCATAGAGCACATTTCCCCATGCTATGTCAAAATTGAGGAGGATGATGATAACTACGGTATACAAATACAACACACAGACACACACGCACGCACGCACGGACACACACATAAGCTCCAGCATGGTAAGCTTGAGATACCTTATCCACAACTACAGTAGACATTTTTTTACTGCCCACTATCACAGCACTGAAACATCAGGGTATTTTTTTCAGCTAGCACTGATACATCAGCGCAATCTCTGTTTTTTTGAGGTGCCCTGAAACCCATCCGAGTGCCTGTCTACAACGCGCCTATCATACACGATTTCTATCTTAGCCCACTTCACATAATGGGTCCACCCTGGGAATTGTGCCCGCAGCACGACTGCCACCCTATCTCCTGCTTGAAGCGACCGCACGAACTGCGAATCAGTAGCACTCCACGTTTTGGAATGCCGTTGCCAACGTTTAACAGCGTGTAGGTTGCAATAGATAAGCTCCCGGGAAGCGGAGAGAGAGCCGTCGGGCATCAATTTGGCCAGTTCGGCATATGTCCACGAGTTGTTGTAGGTGTTGTGGTCTTGGGGATAGTCGCTCCAGCTGACATTCCGAAAACAAGGAGTGGAAGGGCGGGTGGGGAGGACGGGGGGGTTGAAAGGGGGAGGGTAGAATGCTAATGATATGTCAGAAGCATGGACACAAAAGAACGAGTACACTGCCAAAGTTATCTCATGTGGAGTGCACACACACATGGAAGAAGTTTTATTAAAACCCGCGGGCCAAGAAAGCCCAGATTGGCGACTTCACTCTAGACAGCAATTCTAGGGAAATTTTTATTTATGGAAAAAAGGGCATTATAGTATCAACCATGTATTGCTTCTGAACCAATATAAATATACAAATCGCAGATTCTGATGCGAACAGGGACATGTCACTTACCCTTGGTCCCGAGCTTCCACGAGAACTTCAATCTCCTTAATCCGACCCTTCACAGGCTGCGAAATCACGTAAGGCTCTTCAAAGTCCTCACCAATCACCATGACATTCTGAAACGACGTATCCTTATCATCTCCATACATCGTTCGGGAGCCCGACGGAACATCTTCAAGATCCTGTGAGTTTGACGGCCCGAAGGACACTTCAGAAGCAAAGGAACGGGGAGATTCGTGGCGGGAAGTAGAGTGGTAAAGAGATTCGGTGACGACCACAGTAGGGCGGCGGTAGAGAGATTCGAAGCCGGAGATATAGTGGTGATGAAACCCGAAGGGGATAGAGTAATTACGAATGTCGAAAATGCGGCGACAGCTAAAATCGAAGACCCATCCTAAGCGGTCGGGAGATTCAGGGCCGGAGATAGGGTGGTTGCGAGACTCAGAGCGTGAAGAAATGGAGTCGTCTTCCGAATCCATTAGTGAGGGCGAAAAAGGGAAGATTGGCGGGGAGACTAAGCCGAAGAAATAGAGAGGTGAAAATTGAAGTGAAGAGGTGCAGGAAATGAAATCCACCGTGGATATATGCCGGACCAAAGAGGGGAGCAGTCGGACTGTGGGAAGGAGCAATCGGTCCGACTGAGACCTACCGGATGTCCTGGTCGAGTACTTTTGAGGACGATTGAGCACGGTTCTGCAGACGGTACACACGGGCCCTGTTCGGCAGGCGTTAAAGCCAGGATCTCAAGTAAGAAGAATTGGCATCAATTGCAAAACAGAAGATGCTCCTCGTCAACTTCTCTACCTCGCTAACCAATCATAGCATCTCAATTCACCAACTGCAAAACAGTCAAACTACTTGAGATCCTGGCTTTGGCTGCGTTCTGCGGGCGCATTAGCCCGCATCAATGTACATTGTATTCTTTTTTCGATTTGCCAGGACCCTTCCTTGATAACCAGCCAAAAGGTTATCAAGGTTCGCAATAAGCGATTGGCTGCCGAGGCAAACCAAGCGCGAATGCCTGCAGAACGGACTTTTTGGCAACCACAAAATTACATGTTGCAGCTTTCCGAGAAATTTAACGCCCTAGCAATCTGACGATCGCTTGATGCGCGCATGGTGCAACGCTGAGAAGACGCATGATGCGCGCATCAGCTCGAATTGGGGCAATTGAACAGCGCATCATGGCGTGTGGGGAAGGCGTCAGGTGCGTTCTTCTTTGCTTCTAAGAACCTTCCGCACCCTCGAATTCCTCGGAAATTTGAGATCGAAATTTGACATGCCCGAAATTCGAAATTTCCAATTTCCGATTTCCCGAACCTGAATCTCCATTTGCCGAGCCTCTTTTTTTCAATTTCAAATTCCTGATTCCCGAACCTCAATTTGTCAATGTGCGGATCAGGCCGAGCCTAGGGCGCATCAGAGTAGATGCGGCCGCAGAACGCAGCCTTTACAAAGGCCGTTAATATCAGGCTCGGGGACCAGCTGCAGTAAAACGATAAGCGAACTATGGGTTATCAAGGTTCGAGATAGGCGTTCTCATGCCGAACCTGAGGGTGTTAAAATGCCTGCCGAACGGCACTTGTATTGCTGGCGTATTTTGCCAAACGAAGTTTCCAGGAAATCGCTTCCACGGGCAAAAGGGTGGACCACTGATCCGCCCCCTGGTGCGCGGTCGAGAGCTTGGCCCTGTTCTGCAGGCGTTAAAAAGGTCGTTAATATCAGGCTCGGGGACCAGCTACAGTAAAACGATAAGCGAACTACGGGTTATCAAGGTTCGAGATAGGCGTTCACATGCCGAACCCGAGGGTGTTAAAATGTCTGCCGAACGGCCCTTGTATCGCTGGCGTTTTTTGCCAAACGTAGGTTCCTGGAAATCAATTCCACGGGCCATAGGGCAGACCACTGATCCGCCCCCTGGTGCGCCGTCGAGAGCTTGCACCATGCGGGGGATTGGTGATGCGGCCAATCATATGCGACTGGCCAAAGATAAACACCAATCATGTGATTTCACGAAGGTGCTGCGAAACTCACAACCTTTACGTGGCGTGGTTTTAACGCCCTTAACGCCAGCCGAACGGTGGTCACATGATTTTTTATAACGCCAAGCAGTCCTCCCAGTTTCCGAGCCTGCGTTTGGGCCAGCGGGTTTTTAACGCCCATAACGCCTGTTACGATATGAAGCTCTATGAGAAGGCATTCCTGTATGCTGCAGGAGCCGACTCTACCGAGTACGAAGTCGAGGAGTCAGAAGAGTCGAAGCGACACTACAACCGTCTGACTAAGACCGATGCAGGCAGAAACATTTGAAGTGAAAAGAGCGGGAACAGGTTTGAAACTGATTCCCGCGCCGCACAGTTTAAATTTCGCTGCAATAAGGGAATGTACCCCTTAGAGTACATGGCTAGTCTAGGTCGTTTCGCATTCCTTTGTATTTCTATATAAACCCAATGTATGCATGCTATTATCAATCTCAGTCATTTACATTCACTCTGACCTGAGTTCACTACTTCCGCTGCGACACTACCCGCGATCAACCCTGAACGATCCTCTTCGCTAAGTCACATTTCAGATTGTAACATGGTATCAGAGCTGCTCAGGGATTCTTCGCAACGTCAACTCCGTAAAATTCGCCAAACCAAGATCTGGCGAGCGGCACACATTCCAATACCAAGATGGCCGGAGGATCCGGAGGCCAAACAAATCTAACGGCCGAAGGACAAACCAACCCGGCTGCGACAAATGAAGCGACAACTACGATCGGCACTGCCGCGCTCGAGCAGTTATTCGCTCGACTGTCAACAATGGAGAAAGAACTCCAAGAACTGCGCAAAGGCGATGCGGGAACCACTTCCCAACCAGTTCAACCTGGACAACCGGCTGCGAAAAGCCGCGATACCGCCGCGCATGGCTTCTCCCTCGACTCAGACAAATCTGCAACAACTGCCCCTCGTCCAAGCGACGAAACCATCAACTCTGCGCAAGCACGCTTTCTAAGTGTGTCAAAGATCAAGACTACTGCCGCGTTTGACGGCAAGGATTTTTATACATGGAGTTTTGAGCTGGAGCTCCTCCTACAGACAGCGCAGATCTACCACTACTTCGACGGTTCCTATCCTAAACCGGTGGAAGACACCGAAGACGCCCGCGCTCAATACTACAGTGAGTCGCTCATGGCGTATAGCGTCCTGCTGCGCAACATGTCGCCAGCAGAACAGCTCGGCATCCGCTCCTACAAAGAGAGCGCCGCTCCGGCTCTTGAAGCTTGGAAGCACCTCGTGGAGGTATATCAGCCGAAGGATTCCGTCACTGCAAGCCGTCTCCTGCAACAACTCATGGAGACGAAGATGGGGCACGGGGAGAAAGCAAACAGTTACATCAACCGTTGTCGGAACATCCGTGATCAAATCATCAAGAACGGAAGTTCGATCTCGGAGGAGATATTCGTAAACATCATCCTCCAGGGACTTGGGCCCGAGTGGAAGCCCTGCAAGGCACTACTCCGACAACGAGGACAACTTTCCGAAGCCGCGCTATGCGCCGCACTGCTGACTGAACAGCAGGACATTGTCAGAGGTCCACTGGTGATCCCCGATTGATCCTAGGGAAGGGTTACAGGCATGGCGGCCTGGGGGGTTATGGGCGCACTCACCCGCTACACAAACAAGCCCTTCTATCCCAGTGGTTAGTGGCTGGGATTCTGACATGTTATCAGAGCGAAGGTCTCGGGTTCGAATCCCGGTGTGTGCACCTCGGGCATCCCAGTGCGGGGGGGTGTCAGAGGTCCACTGGTGATCCCCGATTGATCCTAGGGAAGGGTTACAGGCATGGCGGCCTGGGGGGTTATGGGCGCACTCACCCGCTACACAAACAAGCCCTTTTATCCCAGTGGTTAGTGGCTGGGATTCTGACAGACATGGACTCGAGCAGAACGAGTTCCGCGCCGCGGCGAGAGCGACTCGCCTTCTACACAGACAACCGTGAAGAGCGACGACAACCAAGGCGCCATTACTGCAAAATTTGCAAAGCCTTCGGGCATTCAACGGATCGATGCAAATCCCGATCCAACTATCGGCACCCGAATCCCACTCACCACAACAACTGGGTCAGCCGACAAGACGCTCGCCACCCTCAGCCACAACAACCAGTCTCCCGTCCTCCTGCACAACAACAACAACCACAGCAGTCACAAGGACCTCAAGGAGGAGCTCCCAGGAACATAATCGCAAACATGGCGACGCGACGCCGCCGCACTGCTAAGACAGACGAAGAAAACGAACTTCAGGGAACATTGCCGTAACCAGAAGAAGGGTGGAACAACCCCCTTACGGAAGACCACTACTACCTGCACGACGAAGACGAGCAAGATTGGAATCAGCCAATCACACTGCGGGAAAGCCCGCCTCACGACAATCAACTCTACGTACCTGTCGGATGGAAGGAAGATGAAGACCCGTTTTTTCACAGACGCTACAAGGCGACGATGGTGACCCCGCGACTCGCGTTACTACTCCGCAACAACAACAACAAAGACAACTACAACACCTGGTACCTGGACAGCTGCTGCGGACAACACATGGTGGGGTCGACTCGCTACGTGTCAAACCTCAACCGAGCCCCCGCAACCTTCGTCACCGTTGCTAATAGCCACCAACTGCGCGCCAACTCCCAAGGCATTGTCGTTCTGCAAGCACGAGACAGCAACACTCACATCTCGTTCAATGACATGCTCTACGTCCCAGACCTACGCTTTAATCTACTCTCGGCAGGACAACTTCGGGACTGCGGCGTCATACTCACCACCGACCTGGCCACACGCGACCTCATCCTCACGTACGCCCCTCCGGACACACCTCCCGAGTCGTTTAAATACCTCGGTCGAGCCCGCTCAATCAACGGGATCTACGTTCTGGACTTCGACGTACCAAGCTGTGAAGCCTCGTCGGATGAGCTCGTGGACCTGGTCCCCCTCGAATTCGCCTTCATGAACGAAGAATCGTGGCAACATCCTGACGGGCGACCGTGGATTCGCCGCAGCCCACATCCGCGCGAAATCAATCTGCACAACCCCGACATCAACGGGCTCTGCACCACCTGCCATACACCCGCTGCAAGCCGCACGGAACAAGTGGAGAGGGAATTCGCGGCG